TAACGATTCACACTGTTGTTCGCGAATAAGCACTTTTCTGTGCACTGTAAAAAAAAACCCAAAGAAACAACACAATGGACCGATCCAGTAAGCCCCGCCCACTGCGCACTGGGCAAATTAACACGTGCTCCTCTCCAATGGGTGCGTTCGATTAGCTTACACGTGTAAGTTTCCCTTACACGAGAGCGTTCGTTTAGCCATCACGTGATTCTCGTGTCTGCTCCGGTGTCATACACCAGTACCCGAGCTGGCGAGCGGGTCTCTGGTGGAAGTCCCGGTGTAATGACGTAACGGGCTAGCCCGACTTAGCAAAAAGTAAACATGGCCGGCAGAATTTGCCGCGACGTAAGTACAAATGTACAGATTATGACGCAAATGGAAAGAAAAGTTTATTTATCAGACAAAATTAATTGGAAACTATGTGCAAGTTGTATGGTCCGTTTATTTTCAGGGACGGAACCCGACGGTTGGCTGCTATAGCTAGGCCAATGTCGTACCGAAAGCAGTCGAAAATCGCGGTACGGTACTAGCCATGGTAATCCTTACTTTTAGGACACCTCTATTTTGTACGAGTTCTGTTCAAAACTGACTTTTGCAGATGACTGTCCAGTACCAAAGTGACTTTTGCAGGCTAAGGAAGTTTTTTTTCTTCAGACAAACTCATGTTAGTTAATAATTTTGAAAGCACTTTCAAAGAAAATGTGACTTTCCTACTTTTTTTGCAGTTCGCCATCTTGCTTTTTAAATTTATTTTCTGTTTGTCATCGTCGTATTTAACCCCTCAGAAATCAAAACCCTGCCCTCTTTCTACAACATTAAACCTGGTGATATTCAAGAGGTGTCATTGGCAAATGTTCAAATGTGTCAATAAATATCAGAATGTCACTTTTCAGTGTCATTTAGTCAGCTGTTTTGGTGAGTCTTTTAACCTTATATAGAAAAGGGGTCCTAAAAGTAAGGATTACCCTAGCCATGGACTGGTCATGGCCGGATGGCTGCCGTAACAATAGCGATGGTTAAAAAAAGGAGTCTGAAAATGCACTTCACTCTCCATGATATAAATAAGTGGTGTCTGGATAGTATGATACTACGTTCTTAGCGATAGTTCAGTATATAGTCTCAATTATTATTTTGTTAATAACAGGGCCGGGCTTCGAAGAAAAAGGAGTTAGCCTAACATTAATTCAAATTTTAGTGACTATTGTTACGGCAGCCGTAATGCAGTTTTCAACTACTGTCGTTCAGCATTGCAGCAGTTTCCTTCTTTGTTTTTTTTTTTCTGTTTAATAATAATGCTGGGTCCTAGATTTAATTGTCTTCGTTGTAATTGTAATCAGTGGCTTGGGTGGATGTTTTAAGGGAGAGATAGAGCCTGAGAACCATTCGGTTGATATATCATTGTAGTCTATTTCCAACAGTTAAAAATCCTAACGTTATTACCGCCTTGTAATGATAGCAGTTGAAAATTGCATTACGACTGCAGTAATGATAGCCAAAACATATTTTTAAAGGCACGGGGAGGGGGGTATTGCCCTACAAATTATGGTGAAGTTATAGTAGTTTTAACTATTTGACCTTAAACCTGTTCCAGAATTTTTCATTCTTGAAGTTAAAATTTTGAATATTTGTGTTTTTTCATATTTAAATATGATTGTTCACACATACACACTAGTGTTTACAATTAAGGCCATTCATTTTCGAAAAATTTAGTATTTGATTATTTGAAACCGCATTTGACCTATTTGAACATTCAAAACTTGGCGTCAATTTTACACAAGTGGCCATTTGCCTGCAGAAAGTACACTGTACCTGTCCAAAATGTGCATGCCACACGAGTGTTTTGCAATAAATAATTTACAATAACTGGTCATTTGCTTTAACCTAGGATGGAAACAATGAACTGATGTCAACAAAAAAAGTTACTGTCAACAAAATGTGGCATCTGACAATAGGCCTAAAGTTTTTCTGTTGACAGCCTGGGCAAATACTGAATAGTCAGCTATGCTATTCCAATTACCGTTCAAAAGTAGAGCTCTAAATGTTTCTTGTTTTATTGCTTTGTTTTCTTTCAGATTCTGTTTGCGAAACTTGTTTTATGAAACATCATGAAGAGCTGCTTCAGGTAAACACTTATTAATCTTCATTTTTTTGAAAAAAAGGTACATCTTTGTATTTTGGATCATTTTTGCCCCAAAACAAGCAAATATTTTACCACATGACTTGAAATACATTTTTACCAGTGTTGTAGTCGAGTACTTTTTTCTGAGTACCGAGTACTGCCGAGTACTTGCGTTGCCGAGCATGAGTACTTGAACTTCCGAGTACAAGTACAGGTCTCCGAGCCCTTGTACTTGTACTTCCGAGTACGAGTACGAGTACGAGTACTTCCGAGTACAAGTACGTGTACTTCTATTTCCAAATACGGCCATAGGGCAATACAGACCTACTCACGGGTTGCTGTTAAATGTGTTTGTCCGGACGTGCACAGAGGAAAATCAGGAAACTTCGATTACTCCACAAACGCAGCCAATCCACCATTTCAAACTGTAAGTATCGATAAGATAAGGCTGCTATTCGAGTACGAGTACTTTGATGATCGAGTACAGTTTCGACATGTCGAGTACGAGCACTTTGCTGCCCGAGTACGAGTACCGTCATTTCGAGTACAAATACTTTGACATGCGAGTACCAGTTCAAGTACAAGTACACTTAAAAAAGTACTCGAGAAGTACTCGAGTACGAGTACCGAGTAGGAGTACTACAACACTGGTTTTTACAAAAAATCCAAAGAATCCAAATATATGTCACATTAGAACATCAATCACGTTGGACCTTTTCAAGTTTTCATAATCAACAGTAGTTTTTTTTTCCACAGGAAATCTAAGTAGACTCTCTCTTAATCAGAAGGTGCTCTCTTTTATTTTTGCAGATTTCAAGAGACATCTCATCTATTGGAGGTGTTCAAGGAAACGAGGCCCTCATCGGTGAAAAAGAAAGCGGTCAAGAGTCAAAAGAGGTCCAGCCCCCCCCCCCTCCCCGCCCTGCTTTTCAAATTTGCAGCACTTGCAGTGGCCTGAAATTTAGGGGAAAATGTTCTTGGGTCCACCCTTGGTGTCCCCTAAAAACAAGATGGTGCCTTCCCCTGCCCTCCAACCCCAACACTGAACAAATCCTGGCTCAGGCTAGCCACGGCATTTGAAGTGGCTGTGTGAGTTGCCTTTTCTTGTGCAAGCCTGGATGAAATTCCTTTATGATCTTTCAAGCTTTTGGGTTTATCCTCACACGTACTTTGCTGCTGGAATGCCTATTTCTTTTTATAAAGTTTTACTCACAGGCTTCTTGAACTTGACTCTTTCAGTTTACAATTAAGAGATTGCATCGACTAAAATTCATTTTCATGCACTAAAAACAACTAACTGGACACATTTCATTAGACTGAGTTTTGTGACTTGAGTCCAGTTGAGTCCTTATCAGAAAGTTACTCCTGTTGAGTTGAGTCATTAAGTCAAGAAGGCCGAGTTGAGTCACAGTTTGTGGTCAAGTTGAGTCAAATTTATGTTCGAGTCAATTTGATTTTCTGATATTTCAACACCTTATAATAAATTTATAAATAATTTTGGACTGGAAGAACATACACAAGACACCCATTTATTATGAAGATCCAAAGACGCGAGTCCCATCCATGTCAATACAATGTACACTGTATGTGCATTTTTTCTCCTAAGCCCTCGAACACACAATACAATGTTTGTTCAGATATTTTGTAAATAATGTGTTCATATATTAAAGAAGTATTTATTTGTCGGCCATATACACATATCTTTAAACAGTTGCTTTTTTGTTTTCCCTGAACAGAAAATTTACTTATTGTTTTTTATGAATAAAGGAGGTATTAATTACTAATAAATGGATCTTTATCATGTACCGACATAATCTTGTAAGCACTAAATAAGTTTAGAGTGTCAAAAGCAATGAAAACTGAAATAATAGTTATAATCCATGGATGATACACAGACAATTTTTTTATTTTCAATTTCGAGAAGCACGATATGCAAGAAAAAAAGTTTTTCAAGTTATGAAATGTCCAATGATTGTAGACTGAAGCAATAAGTTATATACTTTAATAGGCAAATGGAAGGTTATTTTCTAAATGTATTTCTTGAAAGTGTGTCAATAAATAAAAAAAGACACTGTGGCAATATTTTTGACGGCTTTTGTCTGCAATTTGTTGTCATGGACTCGACTCTCGATATTAAGGCCTAAGTTCAATTTATCAATAACACGCTTATGAAATGAACTTCTTTCAAGCCGAAAATGCCTCAACTTTTGGAACGAATTCCAAACGATTTAGGATGAAATTTACGTTTACATCGGTCTTTATGACATACTTGTCGATAATTTAGAGCAAATCTATTGATTCTGTCATTTATTTATCGTATTGCAATGATCTAGAGCTAATTAAATTAGCCGGATCGCCGCATCTCTATTTTCCCGGTGAGCAGACGCTGTGTGAACATTCACATTTGGCCCCGCCCCTTAACACCTTTGACCTTCATTTCCCCAGCATGCCATAGGCGAATACACCGCAGCGTTTGATTAGCCTCATTGCGTGGCTTTCCCTGGGTGTAACCCCGCGTATACACGTGTAAGCTAATCGAACGCACCCAATGTCACGCTGCATTTTCTTGCCTCACGCTTCATACGCGCGTGCACGCATGTCAGACATTTGTGTACGCACGTCGGACATAAATCGCGGCTGTGATTGGTCAGAACACCATTGGGCGGTGCTTACTGGATCGGTCCATAAACCGCTTGCATACGCGTTCGATAATCGACGCGCGAAGGCGCGCGAGGCCATGTTGTGGGACAAGCGTAAATCTATCCATGCACATTTTGTCCCACAACATGGCGTTTGCACCTTCGCGCGTCAATTATCGATTGCGTCTGCAAGCGGTCTATTGGCAAAACGTGCACGTGACATCAGACACACACAACAAGGGTTCCTCCATAAAGCCTACAGGTTTTTATGACAGATATTATTAAATATCCAGGACACACTATAATAATTCACACTTTTGTTTGCGAATGAGCACTTTTCTATGTACTGTAAAAAAAAAAAAAACATTGGCAAAATGTGCATGTGACATCTGACACACAGTAAGGGTTGTTCAATAAAGCCTACAGGTTTTTATGGCATATATTAAACATCTACTACACACTTCATCATGAGATCAAGAGTCGCCTTTGTGCGCAGCTTTTTGGGCATCTTGAACAGGTTATAACTGGCCGTGGAGGTCGCTATTATGAAGTCTTGCAATTTCTTGAAGGATCCTGGGCGAACGATCATCACGCGAGCCTCGCAGATGGTGCCAACTTGGCGGTAGTGGTCGTAGAACTCGTGCTGCTTGCGAAGTGACTGGTCGAACTGAAGGAAATAACGAATTAAAATAGTGCCATTTAAAAGAGTTAATGATATGTTTTATCTCCAAAGAATCATCAGCAAAAATGGCGACAGCTGTTAAAGCAGGAGCTACAAGCTTACTTTGAAATCGTATTATTGATAACAAAATTGCGTGTCTGTGTAGGCCTATGCCAAAAAAAAAAAAAAAATCGGGATAATTACCAATGACTTCTGCTCCTCTGATAAACGGAAGCCGTCCACTGATTCCAACTCGATGAACAGTAGGTACAACATGTCAAAATCAACTGTTTGGAAACAAAAGAAAACTCACGGAATTTTCTCATTGTTTGGAAACGAGACCGAGATTTCTAAAACACTGTGCCAATCATTTTATTTACCATGCTCCGCGTCCCCGTACATCAATGGACTCTCTGCGCATGTCCATTCCACCAGCGTCGCCCCTTGCCAGCTGGTCAAGCTCTCCTGTATGGCGTTGTTCACTACAAGCTTGTCAATCTTCTCGCTCCGTAAATTCAACAGCTCACCAGTTCTGAGTATACAAGAGCATTTTCAATTCAAGTATTGTCAACAATTGTTAAAGTTAAATATTATCAATTGAGTACTTTTTCAATGATGTACATTGAACACCGATGCTTTACCTGTTTCAGATTTATAAAATTGAGTTGTACAGGGTGAGTACAAAAAAAAGAAACCCAAATGTCGGGCCATTGTTTTAGTGAAGTTCTGCATGTAGCAATTTCAATTTCAAGTTACGGAATTTTAAACGTAACCACCGTTTTAAAGTTCTGTCCACGGATCACCAAAAAAAAGGTGCGCGTTCTTTCAGCAAAACGAGAACAATCTACACACATCCCTGTGTGATTTGTTTTCGTTTTGCTGAACGAACACTTACCTTCTTGTGATCCGTGGACAGAACTTTAAAACGGTGGTTGTGTTTAAAATTCCGTCACTTGAAAAGTACACAAGTAATTTGAATGATTCTTGTACCAATAGAAAGCTTATGAATTGGGCTTTCATATCCTAGATTTTGAAAGTGCTACATGCAGAACTTCACTAAAACAATAGTCCTGACATTTGGGTTTCGCTTTTTTTTACTGTATACATATATAAACATTTCATTTACACAACGCCGTTTTGCATAGATCGGCGCTAAGCTTACCTGTATTTCACTTGAATCACCGGGCAGTTGTCATGGAAACCTACAACCTCCACCACGTCGCCCATGCGGTAGCGGTAAAACCCACTTACGGTCGTTATGACTATCTCGTAGCGTTTTCCAACCTCGATCTCATCCAGAAATAAAGTCTTTGGATTTGCCTCCTCACTAGATGAAATACAAAAATTTTTAATTACTTTAAAATTTCATTTTTTGTGTTCAGTTGATACGAAGCATCTGAATTGTGTAAAATGTACACTGCAGTAATCCGCTTACTCTTGAAATATCACTTCATCATGAACTGTAGATTCAGTGTTTTATTCTTAAAAATATTAAATTTCCATTTTCTTTGGCTCTTGTAAGATAGTCCATTGCCAGGCTCAGTTTTGTTTGAATGACCTATATCGTTGAAGTGTCATCCTTTACTTCAAGTTCCAGTATTGTGGACATAGGCCTACCTCTTCCTAAAAATGAAATAGGCCTAGTCGGGACTTATCGCAATAAAATATTACAAGCTATGTTTACAGTAAAATAAAAATTAAGATCAAATAGGGAAAGTGTCATTAAGCAGGAAGTGTTCTAAAAAAAAAACCAATGACGTCAACGAACGAAGTTGTGAAAAAAACTAGGTATCGATTATCTTTCCGAAAATCTCACTTTCACAGTCTGTGTGCGCCAGGTTTTCATGCGACGCGCATGACTCATGGAAAAGAGTTTATAACCTTGTTAACATAACATCAAGGTCAATAGACTTACCAAGTTTCAAGAAAGAACTAATTGATATTTTGTGCTATCACCATATTGTTTATGTCATTACTTGTTTTCTACCTGAGATCTTCAGGAATGAACTCCGTCAAGTTTGTACTAGGGCTCAGCACATATTGCGGCGGTCTACCGTCCATCCACAAGTTGTAGCAAACTAAACCTTCGGTGCAGCCGTAAGCGAATGAGTAAAGACGGCTGCCTAATATAAAATGGATAAAATGGGTCAAAAATGAGCTCTAACGAAAGCACGAGGAACATGTGACAGCCACTGATCTCCATATAAAAATCTGATTTTAGCCCATTGGCTGTTGGAATTGAAAAACAATAGACTGGTAAATAAAGTTATCCCATTTCATTGACATGTATGTCTACACTCTTTACTAAACATAGTTAAAAAAATATTAAAATGGCAACAAACTATATTTCATATAATATTTTTCTGTTTGGAAAACTGTAGTTCCGTGTAGGCCTACTCTATTAGACGAATCGATGTTATTAATTTTGAAAAATGAGAGTGGTTGAAACTGGCTCCCTCCCCAATTCTAATTTAGGGATCGGGAACCAGTGCTATAGCTTCACTTATTTTTTTTTTTACAGCTCAGCACAATGTTAGTGCCTCCGCCAAGGGGTTAGGTTTTGTGTGTTGGTGGTTGGTTGGTTGATTGGTTGGTGCGTTTGTCTGTGAACAGGATATTTCAAAAAGTTCTGAGCGGATTTTCATAAGAATTGTTTTAGGGACGGTCCTTGGTACAAGTGCAAATCGATTAGATTTTGGAAGTGATAGGCATCTGCGTGTGGATCCAGGACATTTAAAAAAAAAAAAATTCACTCATATATGCATGTAAAACTTTCACCAGATCGCTCTGTGCACAGGTTCGTGTGCGTGGCACTGACCCAGTGACCCTATATGCCTTGTAACCCACCTAATCTAGCCACATAGGTCTCTGAGTGCTTTCTATACACGTAACTACACGAACTGTATTTTACTCACCTTTGGTGTATTTGGCTTTGAGTTTCTGCACATAGCCAGATATATCTGCGGTCACAAAGCAATTCAGATGCGGCCAGATTCGCCCAAGGATACCAACAAAACCTCGAGCAAACTCTGCTCTCAGCTCATGAGCCCTGGCTGGGTTGGCCTCCAAGGCAGCATCCAGCGAACGTCGTGTCTCCGCATCAATGTTCAGTCTAGGATTGATCCTGCCTGTAGAAAGATCCTCCAAGAACATGTCTTGCTCATCTTCCAGCATGGAGAACGCCCTGTACACCTGTGACGCGAATGGAGCACTGAACGTGCAGATGTTTTTGTCGGTCAGTGCGAAGAGAAGGTGGACGTAGGTGGCTTCGAAATCCGTAGAAATCTGGAAGGCACTAAATGGTGAATTCAGGAGCGTGCTTACCATGAATTTTGCAAGGGAACTATTGTCAGGCACGAATACCGCTGGTGCAATAGGCAGTCCTGACTTGGTAAACTTCTGTGCCGGTTTGCAGTACAACCCAGCCATTTTCTGTATGGGGCTCGACCCCACTGCCTGTAAAACGACCACGAGTCCCAACCCACTGTCATTAAATACCATTGGTATCAGCTTGCCCTTTCCCGTGGTGCCTGAGGAAATTCCAAACCTGTCCACTTTGGCTGCCACACAGACGTTCTTTTCCCCGTCTGCCAGTCTCTGGAAGTAATCCTGGTAGTGATCATACTTGGTGAGTGGATGTTTGTCTCGGAAATCCTGCAGTGATTGGATGCCTGTCAAGTATCGTCTGCCGTACTCTGTATCTGCGTCGCGGGAGATCAGCTTTAGGAGAAACTTCTCCTGCGCCTTGCGTGGCTCTTTCCATAGCTTTTTAAGCTTATACAAACTGAATGGCGTGGCAAGGGTTGCAACTTGGAAGAGGATGTACTGCAGCAACAGTGTCTTGAGGGTGTGACTTTCGGAGCACCGGAGGGTTGAGATGTGAAAAGCTGTGACCGAGGACAAGGTGCCCAGAATCGCTAAGAAACCTGAAGACAACAAAATAACAAAACCAGCCAGTTGCAAAAAAATTCGACATGTCTGTGTTTGGCTAATTCTAGAAGTTCATTATTAAACAAAAAATGGACTGAATTTTTCTGCCACTGAAGTTTGGAGAAACAGATGGCCCAAAAGGCTCTCCAAAGTCCTTCTACAGGTAACCGCCCCTCCCCCCCCCCCCCCAAAAAAGCCAGACAGTTTCGATATCATCGATATCATAATGTGTCGTTTTGAAATGAAGACCTACCAAGTGCGAACTGCTGATCATTTAGCTCACCGTAGGCCTAACTGGTAGGCACGTGAAACGCAAAGTTTAGCTTGACGCGAACATTGTCACGAGGTTAGATTGTGGATAAAGTGGTCCACAAAGAACCTGTTCATTAATAATTTAACAGAGTTTTTTCACTTACTTTGGTACCCATATAGTGGCGATAATATTGTGCATGCATGGTGGCTCCGGATGGACATATCGCACATATTAGCCCAAGTGTTGGCGACTACATTCACGATGTCGCAATTATTTGTAACAGTATTAATATTTGCTACAATATTCACTTTGTCGCAACTGTTGGCTCATAATATGCGAGACCAAATTCACGATTCACACCAAATGTGTAATGTTTGCAAATTTAAGTGTCCTTTCAGTGCGACCTCAAATTATTGTGCAAGCAAAAGTACAAAACAGCCGCTCATGCATGACTGGGCAAGTTGTAGTGCACCACATAAGTTATGCCCAAGCATACACCGCATAATGGCCTATTGGCCTACCATACCTGCTGCAACACGGCATAACCAAGTGGCGTCGTTGATGAAATACGCATTGATAACATACGCAGTGAAACCAGCAGACGCCAAGGCCCACAACACACACCGATGTTCCCACGTTACTGCCATGTTGAACCAATTTGAGAAACCAAGAGGGTCGGAACGGTAGATCGCAGTGTACTTTAGAACTCGAACTACGTGCACGTTCACAATGAAAGGCTTGCTGGCACTGTGAACATTTCGATACTTCGAGTGCAGTCCTAAACTTACACAAGTCAACTTATGGCATTTTGATCGCGGGAATTATAATGTAAGAATTACACAGTTTTTGGCTGGCACTCAGTATTTGTTGCCAAGGGAACATGTTGTATCAAAGTTTTGGTTTGGAAGCGGGTTATCTTTAAAAAAGAAAAGAAAAGATAAAGTGCCTCTGAGTATGGGGGTATCCTTTTGTTACGAGAGACGCAGAAGATGATCGGCAAGGCAACATTTCAGCAGGTGGTATGGTTAGACACATATTCCTTGGTAAATAAGACTAATTAAAAGTGGTCGATTCCGGACCACACATGGGGAACTCATGGATATTTGTCAACCCCCCCTTACCGAAAGGCCACGCCCACATGACAGTGGCCAGCAGCAGTTGTTAATAGCTACATAGTCTCCAATGGTAACGCGAGGTCATAAACATATTCTACATCATATATGATGGGTATAAGCATGATTAAATGCATACAGAACCCAACTGAAGTTAAACATTTTAAAGTTAAATTAATTCCAGTTGTTTTCCATATTGACAAAGTCTTTCTTGGCTAGATTCGAATTTACAAGCCTCAAGCAGCATCGTGTTTATGATGCATTTAACTGAGTTAACATTCTTATACATTATCAAAGTCCATATAAAAGATTCTCCAATGATAACAAACTAGCAGATAAACTAAAAAAACTAGCAATTTCTTCAACAACAATTTAAATACCTGCACTACTGACAACAATGGCACGAAACATGCGTCACTAAGGATATCACCGTTCCCCAAGCGAGCTTTCCAGTGACGTCACTTGAAAGAGTTCGGCAAGTCTGACCTCGTCCCCATGACACGGAGCAGTACGCTCCCACTAGCTCAGTCTGGCTGCTCTGTCTTTACTATTGTATTAAGGTTAGACCATGGGAACGAGGTTAAGAGTGGTTGTTTTATTGTGGTTGCACCCCCACCATGCTTGTTTTTTTTTCAAAAATTAAAATAAAAAAAATAATGAAAATATACATTTGATAATTCAAATAATAGGAAATGTATCAAAAAAATTCCACAAACCTGCTACTTATTCTTCTAGGCATCTGAAAGTTCATATCATGCCCTCCGTATTTGAACAATTGTAATGTTATTTAAAAAAAAAAAAAAAAAAAAAACTTCTGATTTTAATGTCTCATTTTCACACTACACCAACTTCTTAATTTTCCAGAGCCAGGGTTATTTCAACTTCTCATGACCTGGTAGGCAAATTCTGGTCTCTGTGCATCTCGGGATTGCAACGACACTCTTAGATTCTTTGTTTTGCATTAAAAAAAAACCTATGCCAAATATATCTCTAAAGTAACTGACTTTTGCATTCATAATCATTGTGGAGTGCTGTGGCCAAGGGCACTGGATTCGTGGACTGTGGGTATAAAAGCTGCGGGGTGTGGGTTCGAGTCCAGCCTGGGTCATTGTGCGTGGGCCCTTGAGAAAGGCACTTTGTCACTCATTGCTTCTCTCCACCCAGGAGTAAATGGGTACCTGTGAGGGCAGAGATGGTTATTGTGATTGAATAAGCTTGAATAAGCTTGCTTGTGACTAACAGGCAGCATCGAGCTGTATACTCCCCAGGGAGCTGAGATGGTATTTGGAATGTTTTTAATTGGCCCAATGATCAGGGGTAATAATAATACTGTAAGCGCTGTGATTTAGTTTACTAATAAGAGCGTTCTTAAATGCCGATTATTATTATTAACGATTCACACTGTTGTTCGCGAATAAGCACTTTTCTGTGCACTGTAAAAAAAACCCCAAAGAAACAACACAATGGACCGATCCAGTAAGCCCCGCCCACTGCGCACTGGGCAAATTAACACGTCCTCCTCTCCATGTCACGCTGCATTTTCCTGCCTCACGCTTCATACGCGCGTGCACGCATGTCAGACATTTGTGCACGCACGTCGGACATAAATCGCGGCTGTGATTGGTCAGAACACCATTGGGCGGTGCTTACTGGATCGGTCCATAGACCGCTTGCATACGCGTTCGATAATCGACGCGCGAAGGCGCGCGACGCCATGTTGTGGGACAAGCGTAAATCTATCCATGCACATTTTGTCCCACAACATGGCGTTTGCACCTTCGCGCGTCAATTATCGATCGCGTCTGCAAGCGGTCTATTGGCAAAACGTGCGCGTGACATCAGACACACACAACAAGGGTTCCTCCATAAAGCCTACAGGTTTTTATGACAGATATTATTAAATATCCAGGACACACTATAATAATTCACACTTTTGTTTGCGAATGAGCACTTTTCTATGTACTGTAAAAAAAAACATTGGCAAAATGTGCGTGTGACATCTGACACACAGTAAGGGTTGTTCAATAAAGCCTACAGGTTTTTATGGCATATATTAAACATCTACTACACACTTCATCATGAGATCAAGAGTCGCCTTTGTGCGCAGCTTTTTGGGCATCTTGAACTGGTTATAACTGGCCGTGGAAGTCGCTATTATGAAGTCTTGCAATTTCTTGAAGGATCCTGGGCGAACGATCATCACGCGAGCCTCGCAGATGGTGCCAACTTGGCGGTAGTGGTCGTAGAACTCGTGCTGCTTGCGAAGTGACTGGTCGAACTGAAGGAAATAACGAATTAAAATAGTGCCATTTAAAAGAGTTAATGATATGTTTTATCTCCAAAGAATCATCAGCAAAAATGGCGACAGCTGTTAAAGCAGGAGCTACAAGCTTACTTTGAAATCGATTTATTGATAACAAAATTGTGTGTCTGTGTAGGCCTATGCCAAAAAAAAAAAAAAAAAAAAAAATCGGGATAATTACCAATGACTTCTGCTCCTCTGATAAACGGAAGCCGTCCACTGATTCCAACTCGATGAACAGTAGGTACAACATGTCAAAATCAACTGTTTGGAAACAAAAGAAAACTCACGGAATTTTCTGATATTTTGGAAACGAGACCGAGATTTCTAAAACACTGTGCCAATCATTTTATTTACCATGCTCCGCGTCCTCGTACATCAATGGACTCTCTGCGCATGTCCAGTCCACCAGCGTCGCCCCTTGCCAGCTGGTCAAGCTCTCCTGTATGGCGTTGTTCACTACAAGCTTGTCAATCTTCTCGCTCCGTAAATTCAACAGCTCGCCAGTTCTGAGTATACAAGAGCATTTTCAATTCAAGTATTGTCAACAATTGTTAAAGTTAAATATTATCAATTGAGTACTTTTCAATGATGTACAAAAAGTGTATCTGGGACATTGAACACCGATGCTTTACCTGTTTCAGATTTATAAAATTGAGTTGTACAGGGTGAGTAAAAAAAAAAGAAACCCAAATGTCGGGCCATTGTTTTAGTGAAGTTCTGCATGTAGCACTTTCAATTTCAAGTTACGGAATTTTAAACATAACCACCGTTTTAAAGTTCTGTCCACGGATCACCAAAAAAAAGGTCCGCGTTCTTTCAGCAAAACGAGAACAATCTACACACATCCCTGTGTGATTTGTTTTCGTTTTGCTGAACGAACACTTACCTTCTTGTGATCCGTGGACAGAACTTTAAAACGGTGGTTGTGTTTAAAATTCCGTCACTTGAAAAGTACACAAGTAATTTGAATGATTCTTGTACCAATAGAAAGCTTATGAATTGGGCTTTCATATCCTAGATTTTGAAAGTGCTACATGCAGAACTTCACTAAAACAATAGTCCTGACATTTGGGTTTCGCTTTTTTTTACTGTATACATATATAAACATTTCATTTACACAACGCCATTTTGCATAGATCGGCGCTAAGCTTACCTGTATTTCACTTGAATCACCGGGCAGTTGTCATGGAAACCTACAACCTCCACCACGTCGCCCATGCGGTAGCGGTAAAACCCACTTACGGTCGTTATGACTATCTCGTAGCGTTTTCCAACCTCGATCTCATCCAGAAATAAAGTCTTTGGATTTGCCTCCTCACTAGATGAAATACAAAAATTTTTAATTACTTTAAAATTTCATTTTTTGTGTTCAGTTGATACGAAGCATCTGAATTGTGTAAAATGTACACTGCAGTAATCCGCTTACTCTTGAAATATCACTTCATCATGAACTGTAGATTCAGTGTTTTATTCTTAAAAATATTAAATTTCCATTTTCTTTGGCTCTTGTAAGATAGTCCATTGCCAGGCTCAGTTTTTTTTGTTTGAATGACCTATATCGTTGAAGTGTCATCGTTTACTTCAAGTTCCAGTATTGTGGACATAGGCCTACCTCTTCCTAAAAATGAAATAGGCCTAGTCGGGACTTATCGCAATAAAATATTACAAGCTATGTTTACAGTAAAATAAAAATTAAGATCAAATAGGGAAAGTGTCATTAAGCAGGAAGTGTTCTAAAAAAACCCAATGACGTCAACGAACGAAGTTGTGAAAAAAACTAGGTATCGATTATCTTTCCGAAAATCTCACTTTCACAGTCTGTGTGCGCCAGGTTTTCATGCGACGCGCATGACTCATGGAAAAGAGTTTATAACCTTGTTAACATAACATCAAGATCAATAGACTTACCAAGTTTCAAGAAAGAACTAATTGATATTTTGTGCTATCACCATATTGTTTATTTCATTACTTGTTTTCTACCTGAGATCTTCAGGAATAAACTCCGTCAAGGTTGTACTAGGGCTCAGCACATATTGCGGCGGTCTACCGTCCATCCACAAGTTGAAGCAAAGTAAACCTTCTGTGCAGCCGTAAGCGAATGTGTAAAGACGGGTGCCTAATATAAAATGGATAAAATGGGTCAAAATGAGCTCTTACGAAAGCACGAGGAACACGCGACAGCCACTGATCTCCATATCTGATTTTAGCCCATTGGCTGTTGGAATTGAAGAACAATAGATTGGTAAATAAAGTTATCCCATTTAATTAACATGTATGTCTACACTATTTACTCAACATAGTTCAAAAAATATTAAAATGGCAACAAACTATATTTCATATAATACTTTTCTGTTTGGAAAACTGTAGTTCCGTGAAGGCCTACTCTAAAACGACTCGGTGTTATTAATTTTGAAAAATGGGAGTGGTTGAAACTGGCTCCCTCCCCAATTTTAATTTAGGGATCGGGAACCAGTGCTATAGCTTCACTTCTTTTTTTTTTTACAGCTCAGTACAATGTTAGTGCCTCCGCCAAGGGGTTAGGTTTTGTGTGTTGGTGGTTGGTTGGTTGATTGGTTGGTGCGTTTGTCTGTGAACAGAATATTTCAAAAAGTTGTGAGTGGATTTTCATGAAAATTGTTTAAGGGACAGTCCTTAGTACCAATGCAAATCGATTAGATTTTGGAAGTGATTTGGATCTGCCTTTGGATGCAGGACTTTAAAACAAAATTCACTCATTATATGCATGTAAAACTTTCACCAGATCGCTCTGTGCACAGGTTCGTGTGCGTGGCACTGACCCAGTGACCCTTTATGCCTTGTAACCCACCTATTCTAACCACACAGGTCAATGGACTATACCATTTTGTACAATGGGGAAGTTAAAGATGTTTTAAATGTGCAATAAAGTATCGAAGCCCATTTGATATGCGAGGCTGTATGGGTGTGCTCACAATATGGTGTGGAATTGTTCAGCCTTGGTTGAGGTGTGCGCTCTCTGAGTGCTTTCTATAGCTCAACACGTAACTACACGAACTGTATTTTACTCACCTTTGGTGTATTTGGCTTTGAGTTTCTGCTCATAGCCAGAGATATCTACGGTCACAAAGCAATTCAGATGCGGCCAGATTCGCCCAAGGATACCAACAAAACCTCGAGCAAACTCTGCTCTCAACTCATCAGCCCTGGCTGGGTTGGCCTTCAATGCAGCATCCAGCGAACGTCGTATCTCCGCATCAATGTTCAGTCTAGGATTGATCCTGCCTGTAAAAAGATCCTCCAAGAACATGTCTTGCTCATCTTCCAGCATGGAGAACGCCCTGTACACCTGTGACGCGAATGGAGCATAGAACATGCAGATGTTTTTGTCGTTCAGTGCGAAGAGAAGGTGGACGTAGGTGGCTTCGAAATCCGTAGAAATCTGGAAAGCACTAAAGGGTGAATTCTGGAGCATGCTTAGCATGAATTCTGCACTGGAACTATTCTCGGGCACGAATACCGCTGGTGTAATAGGCAGTCCTGACTTGGTAAGCTTCTGTGCCGGTTTGCAGTACAACCCGACAATTTTCTGTATGGGGCTCGACCCTACTGCCTGTAAAGCGACCACGAGTCCCAACCCACTGTCATCATATACCATTGGTATCAGCTTGCCCTTTCCCGTGGTGCCGGAGGAAATTCCAAACCTGTCCACTTTGGCTGCCACACATACGTTCTTCTCCCCGTCTGCCAGCCTCTGGAAGTAATCCTGGTAGTGATCATACTTGGTGAGTGGATGTTTGTCTCGGAAATCCTGCAGTGATTGGATGCCTGTCAAGTATCGTCTGCCGTACTCTGTATCTGCGTCGCGGGAGATCAGCTTTAGGAGAAACTTCTCCTGCGCCTTGCGTGGCTCTTTCCATAGCTTTTTAAGCTTATACAAACTGAATGGCGTGGTAAGGGTTGCAACTTGGAAGAGGATGTACTGCTGCAACAGTGTCTTGAGGCTGTGACTTTCGGAGCATCGGAGGGTTGAGATGTGAAAAGCTGTGACCGAGGACAAGGTGCCCAGAATCGCTAAGAAACCTGAAGACGACAAAATAACAAAACCAGCTGTTTGAAAAAAATGTCGATTTTTTTTTAAAGGTGTCATGACTGTGTTTGGTTAATTCTAGAAGTTAATTATTAAACAAAAAATGGACTGAATTTTTCTTCCACTGAAGTCTGGAGGGACATATGGAAGATATGACATATGGAAGATAATCGGCATGTTGCAGGCAACATTTCAGCAAGTGGTATAGTTAGACACCTATTCCATGGTAAATAAGACTAATTAAAAGTGGTCGATTCCGGACCCATAGGGAACTCATGGATATTTTGTCACCAACACCTTACCGAAAAGCCACGCCCACGACGGTGGCCAGCAGTTGTTAATGGCTACACAGTCTCCAATGGTGACGCGAGGTCATAAATATATTCTACATCATAATTATGATGGGGATAAAGCATGATTATATGCATACAGGACCCAACTGAACTTAAACATTTTAAAGTTAAATTAATTCCAGTTGTTTTCCATATTGACCAAGTCTTTCTTGGCTAATTTCGAATTTAAAAGCCTCAAGCAGCATCATGTTTATGATGCATTTAACTGAGTTAACATTCTTATACATTATCAAAGTCCATATAAAAGATTCTCTAATGATAACAAACTAGCAGATAAACTAAATACTAGCAATTTCTTAAACAAATATTTAAACTGTGAAATATAATTAGATTGTGGATAAAGTGGTCCACAAAGAAACTGTTCATTAATAATTTAATAGAGTTTTTTCCACTCACTTTGGTACCTATTAGCAAGGGCAGATCGGGGGGGGGGGCCAAATGGGGCCATGCCCCCCCCCCCCACAAAAAAAACCCAATTTTTTTTTTAATGTGACATCGCAATAAAGGCAGGCAATGAGTACACCACCATCTTTTCCTCAAAAGAACATTGGTTAAAGTGGTCAGAAATTGCCTCAGATCGCACCACAGAGCATCTAGAATCCAAAAAAAATTCGGGGCCCTGAAGCGGGCCCCGAGCCCCACGCCGTAATTTTTTGGACCCACTTTTTGGGGGGACCCAAATTTTTTTTGGCCCCCCAAAAAATTGTGTTCTGGAACCGCCCTTGCCTATTAGTGGCGATAATATTGTGCATGCATGGTGGCTTCGGATGGACATATCGCACATATTAGCCCCAGTGTTGGCGACTACATTCACGATGTCGCAATTATTTGTAACAGATATAATATTTGCTACAATATTCACTTTGTCGCAACTATTGGCTCATAATATGCGAGACCAAATTCACGATTCACACCAAATGGGTAATTTGCAAATTTAAGTGTCCTTTCAGTGCGACCTCAAATTATTGTGCAAGCAAAAGTACAAAAACAGCCGCTCATGCATGACTGGGCAAGTTGTAGTGTGCCACATAAGTTATGCCCAAGCATACACCGCATATAATGGCCTATTGGCCTACCATACCTGCTGCAACACGGCACAACCAAGTGGCGTCGTTGATGAAATACGCATTGATAACATACGCAGTGAAACCAGCAGACGCCAAGGCCCACAACACACACCGATGTTCCCACGTTACCGCCATGTTGAACCAATTTGGAAATTAAGAGGGTCGGAACGGTAGATTGCAGTGTACTATATAGAACTCGTCCTACTTGCACGTTCACAATGAATGGCTTGCTGGCACTGTGACCTTCAGTCTTTGGATTTCGATACTTCGAGTGCAGTCCTAGACTTACACAAGTCAACTGTTAGCATTTTGATCGCGGGAATTATAATGTAAGAATTACACAGTTTTTTGCTGGCACTCAGTATTTGATGCCAAGGGAACATGTTGTATCAAAGTTTTGGTTTGGAAGCGGGTTATCTTTAAAACAGAAAAGCAAAGATAAAGTGCCTCTGAGTATGGGGGTATCCTTTTGTTACGAGAGACGCAGAAGATGATCGGCAAGGAGGCAACATTTCAGCAGGTGGTATGGTTAGACACATATTCCTTGGTAAATAAGACTAATTAAAAGTGGTCGATTCCGGACCACACATGGGGAACTCATGGATATTTGTCACGATCCCCTTACCGAAAGGCCACGCCCACATGACAGTGGCCAGCAGCAGTTGTTAATAGCTACATAGTCTCCAATGGTAACGCGAGGTCATAAACATATTCTACATCATATATGATGGGTATAAGCATGATTTAATGCATGGAGAACCTAACTGAACTTAAACATTTTAAAGTTAAATTAATTCCAGTTGTTTCCCATATTGACCAATTCTTTCTTGGCTAATTTCGAATTTACAAGCCTCAAGCAGCATCATGTTTATGATGCATTTAACTGAGTTAACATTCTTATACATTATTAATGTATACATTCTTAAAAGATTCTCCAATGATATAAAAACTATCAGATAAACTAAATACTAGCAATTTATCAAACAAATATTTAAACTGTGAAATATAATTAGATTGTGGATAAAGTGGTCCACAAAGAAACTGTTCATTAATAATTTAACAGAGTTTTTTCCACTCACTTTGGTACCTATTAGCAAGGGCGGATCCGGGGGGCCAAAGGGGGCCAAGGCAGGCAATGAGTACACCACCATCTTTTCCTCAAAAAAAACATTGGTTAAAGTGGTCAGAAATTGCCTCAGATCGCACCACAGAGCATCTAGAATCCAAAAAAAAACCCCCGGGGCCCTTAAGCGGGCCCCGAACCCCACGCCGTAATTTTTTTGACCCACTTTTTGGGGGGACCAAAATAGTTTTTGGCCCCCCAAAAAATTGTGTCCTGGAACCGGCCTTGCCTATAAGTGGCGATAATACTGTGCATGCATGGTGGCTCCGGATAGACATATCGCACATATTAGCCCCAGTGTTGGCGACTACATTCACGATGTCGCAATTATTTGTAACAGTAATAATATTTGCTACAATATTCACTTTGTCGCAACTATTGGCTCATAATATGCGAGACCAAATTCACGATTCACACCAAATGTGTAATGTTTGCAAATTTAAGTGTCCTTTCAGTGCGACCTCAAATTATTGTGCAAGCAAAAGTACAAAACAGCCGCTCATACATGAATGTGTGGGCATACAAGTTGTAGTGTGCCACATAAATTATGCCCAAGCATACAGCGCATAAGGCCTGTATACCTACCTGTTGCAACACGGCATAACCAAGTGGCGTCGTTGATGAAATACGCATTGATAACAAACGCAGTGAAACCAGCAGACGCAAAGCCCCACAACACACACCGATGTTCCCACGTTACCGCCATGTTGAACCAATTTGAGAAATTAAGAGGGTCGGAACGATAGATTGAAGTGTTCTATAAAACTCGTCCTACGTGCACGTTCACAATGAAAGGCTTGCTGGCATTGTGAACAAATAAAAGATTAGCCAATGATAACAAACTAGCAGATAAACTAAACACTAGCAATTTCTTAAACAAATATTTAAACTGTGAAATATAATACAGACGAACTACCTGCACTACTGACAACAATGGCATGAAACATGCGTCACTAAGAATATCACCATTCGCCAAGCTTTCCAGTGACGTCAGTTGAAGGAGTTTGGCAAGTCTGACCTCGTCCCCATGACATGGAGCAGTACGCTCCCACTAGCCCCGTCTAGCTGCTCTGTCTTTACTATTGTTTTAAGGTTAGACCCTGGGAACGAGGTTAAGAGTGGTTGTTTTATTGTGGTTGCACCCCAACCACGCTTGGTTTTTTTTTCTCAAAAATTAAAATAAAAAAATAATGAAAATATACAATTGATAATTCAAATAATAGGAAATGTATTAAAAAAATTCCACAAACCTGCTACATATTCTTCTAGGCATCTGAAAGTTCATATCATGCCCTCCGTATTTGAACAATTTTAATGTTATTAAAAAAAGAAACCTACTTCTGATTTTAATGTCTCATTTTCACACTACACCAACTTCTTAATTTTCCAGAGCCAGTGTTATTTCAACTTCTCATGACCTGGTAGGCAAATTCTGGTCTCTGTACATCTCGGGATTGCAACGACACTCTTAGATTCTTTGTTTTGCATTTACAGAAACCTATGCCAAAAATATCTCTAAAGTAACTGACTATAGTCTTTTGCATTCATAAATTGAATTCATTGTAGAGTGCTGTGGCCTCCTGGTTAAGGGCATTGGATTCGTGGTCTGTGGGTAATTCTGCAGGTTGTGGGTTCGAGCCCAGCCGGGGTCATGGTGCGTGTGCCCTTGAGCAAGGGACTTTGTCACTCATTGCCTCTCTCCACCCAGGAGCAAATGGGTACCTGTGAGGGCAGAGATGGTTATTGTGATTGAATAAGCTTGTTTGCGCCTAACAGGCAGCATCGAGCTGTATACTCCCCAGGGAGCCGAGATGGCATTTTGAATGTTTTTAATTGGCCCAATAATCAGGGGTAATAATAACATTGTAAGCACTGTGATTCAGTTTACTGATAAGAGCGTTCTTAAATGCCGATTATTATTATTATTATCATTAACGATTCACACTGTTGTTCGCGAATAAGCACTTTTCTGTGCACTGTAAAAAAAAACCCAAAGAAACAACACAATTGGCAAAACGTGCGCGTGACATCAGACACTAACAACAAGGGTTCCTCCATAAAAAGCCTACAGGTTTTTATGACAGATTTTATTAAATATCCAGGACACCCTATAATGATTCACACTTTTGTTCGCGAATGAGCACTTTTCTATGCACTGTAAAAATAAAACATTGGCAAAACACAGTAAGGGTTATTCAATAAAGCCTACAGCTTTTTATGGCATATATTAAACATCTACTGCACACTTCATCATGAGATCAAGAGTCGCCTTTGTGCGCAGCTTTTTGGGTGTTTTGAACTGGTTATAACTGGCTGTAGAGGTCGCTATTATGAAGTCTTGCAATTTCTTGAAGGATCCTGGGCGAACGATCATCACGCGAGCCTCGCAGATGGTGCCAACTTGGCGGTAGTGGTCGTAGAACTCGTGCTGCTTGCGAAGTGACTTATCGAACTGGAGGAAATAACAGATTAAAAATAGTGCCATTAAAAAGAGTTAATGATAGGTTTATCTCCGAAGAATCAGCAGCAAAATGGCGACAGCTGTTAAAGCAGGAGCTACAAGCTTGCACTTTGAAATCGTATTATTGATTACAAAATTGTGTGTCTCTGTCTGTATGCAAAAAAATCATGATGGATAATTACCAATGACTTCTGCTCCTCTAATAAACGGAAGCCGTCCACTGATTCCAACTCGATGAACAGTAGGTACAACATGTCAAAATCAACTGTTTGGAAACAAAAGAAAGCTCACGGAATTTTCCCATAGTTTGGAAACGAGACAGATATTTCTAAAACACTGTGCCAATCATTTTATTTACCATGCTCCTCGTCCCCGTACATCAATGGACTCTCTGCGCATGTCCATTCCACCAGCGTCGCCCCTGGCCAGCTGGTCAAGCTCTCCTGTATGGCGTTGTTCACTACAACCTTGTCAATCTTCTCGCTGCGTAAATTCAACAGCTCGCCAGTTCTGAAGTGAAAAGTTGATTATTATGTTTTCGTTATTTATTTGTCTTATTTCGTTAATTCAGATGACAGTTGAGAAAAATAGGCTTAAAGAGGTTGTGGAATGCTCAGACATTTCCATCAAGTACCTTTTGTACTCATTTCATGACAGACACAATAGTCGTTTTTATTTCATCACACCTTAGGCTACATATACCCGAAAAATGACGGAAATGTCTTCGAGCATTCCACAACCACTTTAAATTCTTCCATATCCAGTTATAGTAAACTAAGCTTTCTTTCATCCACTGAGACATTGCATTCTCATTCTAAATGGATACCTTATTTGTCTAGCAAGTGTTCCGAGGTCAGCACGTCCGGGTGCGCATGACCTGCGTGCACAAGAAACGTTCGTCCATTGTTCATGGCAAGTAAACTCATATGCTTTGCAACACCTGTTTCCTTTTTACAGGATTTTGAGAGAAAGATAACTGGTGGGGGAGCACTTGGACGAGCCGATACTAAATAGCTTATCTAAATCCAAATTTTAATCAAACAGGGTATAAATATAACACTTATATCCTTGTTTTTTTAAATGCTATCAACCAATATCAATATCGTTCACTTTTACCTGTATTTCACTTGAATCACCGGGCAGTTCTCATGGAAACCCACAACCTCGACCACGTCGCCCATGCGGTAGCGGTAGAACCCATTTATGGTTGTGAGGACTATCTCGTAGCGCTTCCCAACCTCGATCTCATCAATCATCAACGTTTCTGGATTCTCCTTCTCACTGTGTGGAAGAACCAACACAAGATCTGGCTTATAAACTTGTCAATGTTTACTTAAGTTTGAATAAGATTTCTGTCATATTTTCACAATGATTCTTTTAGCTTTTGTTGTGTTCGTGATAAATTGTGATAGCCCCCTCAACATACGAGTTTGATGGCCCGTGCCATATTGGCTGATTACCTGTATGAATAAAAAACGGTCGACTAATTTGCTCTGTATGTGTTCACCGACAGCCTTAACTTGAGTATTGAGGAGGATTAGACTACATTAAACGAATAAAGATGTATGCTGACCTTTGACCTAGAAGCCTCGTAAATGTTTTACGCAGATAGCTTTACACCTTCACAACTTTTTGTATTACCTGTGGTCTTCGGGAATAAACTCGGTCAGAACTTCATTGACAAGAGGCACATACTGCTGCGGTCTCCCGTCCAACCACATGTTGACGGCAAGGAGGGACTCAGTGCAGCCGTAGATTGGACTGAAAAATGCGATCCCTGCATTAAAGCGAAGTGAAAATTAAGCTCGTTTCACGAACAGCATGTAACCCATTTCTCCCAAAATCATGCGCTACCGACCAACCGATCGATCGACCGTCAGACTATCGCGATTTTGAAAGATGATGCCAACACCCTACTGCAAACTAGGGCCCAATTTCATCCACATTTCACGGCAATAATGAAGCTGAAATAATTACGATTAATCTTACCTTTTGTGTATCTCTCGTTGAGCTTTTTCATGTATCCAGATATGTCGACAGCCGTGATGCCCTGCAGATGCGGCCAGATTCTGCCGGCGATGCCCACAAAACCTCGAGCAAACTCTGCTCTCAGCTCATCAGCCCTGGCTGGGTTGGCCTTCAATGCAGCATCCAGCGAACGCCGTATCTCCGCATCAATGTTCAGTCTAAGATTGATCCTGCCTTCAGAAAGATCCTCCAAGAACATGTCTTGCTCATCTTCCAGCATGGAGAACGCCCTGTACACCTGTGACGCGAATGAAGCCGAGAATGACGCCAAGTTTTTGTCGGTCAAAGCAAAGAGGAGGTGGACGTAGGTGGCTTCGAAATCAGTTGAAATACGGAAGGCGGAAAAGGGTGTGTTTTGAATGGCTGTGCAGCACATTTTTGTGAGTTCAGTATCACCGATGAAGAACAAGGGAGCAATGGGTAGTCCTGACTTGGTGAACTTCTTGGCTGGCCGGCAGTACAGGGTGGCTACCCTCTGTACGGGGCTTGACTTATACAGACGTTTGTGGTTCATTATCAAGATCATTCCAGCACTTGTCTTTAGTATCAAAGGAATAAGCTTGCCCGTTCCCGTGGTGCCAGACGAGACTCCGAACCTGTCCACTTTGGCTGCCACGCAGACGTTCTTCTCCCCGTCTGCCAGCCTCTGGAAGTAATCCTGGTAGTGATCATACTTGGTGAGTGGATGTTTGTCTCGGAAATCCTGCAGTGATTGGATGCCTGTCAAGTATCGTCTGCCGTACTCTGTATCTGCGTCGCGGGAGATCAGCTCTCGGAGGAACTTTTCCTGCGCCTTGCGAGGCTCTTTCCAGGCCATCTTAAGCTTCCCAAAAATGTACGGATCGAAGAAGTCGGTCGCAAGGTTGATGGCGTACTCTAATAGAAGTGTCTTCAAGGTGTGAGTCTCAGAGCATCGCAGCGTTGAGATGTGGAAGGCAATCACCGTGGAAAGGGTTCCCAAGACTGCAATAATATGGTGACACAAAACAACTTCATATAAAAAGTTAGCTCATCATCTCAAATTTAATTAACCTATCCCTCCCATCAACCGGAATGTTATGACACAGTCATAATGGCCAGGTTATTATAGTAACAAAGTAACCAGGCTTATTATGTACATTTAGTTACCTTTTCATCAGTTGAGAAAAATTATTTGGTTTAAGTTGCACACGCTATTGATTTTGTCTCCGTAAAAACAATACGTCCAATACCCTGTAAAACTATGAAAATTGACTAGACAACTTAATTACAGGCATACACATTTTAGAGTGTGAGTTGAGCTGTCATTTTTTAGATGAAAAACACGTCAGTGACAACAAAAAAGGAGTCCAGATCTGTGTGACATTTTTGTGAGAGTCAATTTCTTTCTCATTTTTCCGAAAAACTGAAAACCTCCGGTAAGGTACATAATGGTGTTATCATTTCAGCTAAAAAATTGTTGTTATCATAGTTAACTCAGCCATACACCGGTAACCTTTGAAGCCTATATAGTAACTGGTTGGTGGGACGACTGTCGACAATGTGTATCTATATCTACGTTACACAGTGTCAATACTGAATTGACCTTCTGTAAAGCCTACCTGCCGCGGCTGTACCGGTCAAAGATGTGTCACCAAGCAGGTAACTACGGACGACATACGCGGTGACACAGGCAGAGATAAAACCCCAGACCGTACAACGAAAGGCCCACGTCACGGCCATAACGACAGAACGCTGACAAGTCACTCAGGAGGGGAAATGGAAATAAATCACTGAACTAAACGGCGTTCTCCGTCTTTCCTGAATCAGTGCTCGAGATAAACAGGGCTCATCATCAGTCACAACAGTCCAATTTATATGCTGTGTGACTGTGCCTCGATCTTTATCTCCCAGTCCTTGTATTCACAAAGTACAGAAGTATCACCGAACCTCACTTTTGTTACTGCATGCACAGCATTATACACAAAAATACGTGCCTGCTATTCGGGTATCTTTCGTAGTCGGAAGTCAAGCAAAAGTGCAAAGGTCCTGGTTAGTTGTACAGGCCTGGTAAAGTGAGCACATACGCTTTTTCAACAACTCTTTGAGTTTCGATATCAGTTGGTTTGAAGATTGACCTCCCATGCAACCAAAGTTCGTCGACATTTGAATCAAACATGACAAAGCTTCAAAAGGTACAGGATTAAGGTGGAGTTCTCGAGAGGACATAGTACACTTTACGCAAGCGCACTGACTTGGGTTCTTCACTACCTTCTTAACGCAACGCTGTAAAAGAAGAATGAAAAGTGTTCATAGTGGCATGTTTCCTAAATGAAGAACTAGGGAGCATTTGCTCACTTGCCACTAGCGCAGCTCTGTTTACGTGGGAAGACTGGCTCGTGTCTAGGCGCTCTGAGCAAACTTGTGTTAATATGCGGAAAGCGTGTCGGTTAAACTTACTCCCTCGCATATGCATCACAAAATATAGATTTTCCTCTTTCACATGAATATAATATCTTCATGATTAAAGGCGAATGATTATGTGCACTTTTCCATTGAAAAACGGGCAACTCAGTGACAATTTCGCGTTTCCTATGGAGGTCACGGCACATTTTCCCGAGTTTTGAGGGTGCAGGTTTACTTCTTCGAACGGCACACGTGTGAACCCGGTCGCATACAATTACCTCGTACGGTTTCTGAAAGAGAACACAATAAGCTTTCCTTTCATGTTACAACCGTTTTGATTGGTTGAGAAAAAAAAGGGCACTTTTCTTGTCAAATCAGACATCGCTTTTGTTCTGAGGATCGACCTGCTGTTTATGTATAGTCCGGTCAACGCAGTGAAGGTCACCGGGACAATGCACCGTTGTGTGTGATGGCGGAGCATGCAGGGCTTTGATTTTCTGCACATATTATGGGTGGCAAAGTTCTCCATAAGGTACAAGGATTACGAGAGATTGTGAACTTCTCCCATGAACAGCATCATTTCAGGAGGGAAATGGTCTCCTTTCGGTCCCATATCCCAAATCCCCACAGCCGAAGTACGATTTAATGATTAAAAACTGAACTGCATGCATATTTTCAACAATAAATTTAATACTTTTTTATAGCCACCAAAATTATCGTGGCTACTTTCAAATTTACGAGCCTCAGAAGCATCATTTTGTGATATATATATGCATGTACATGTAATTGCAGGCAATGTTTATGCATTTGATGAGTTAACATTATTATACATTATTTATTTATTGAATAATATCATATTAAGGATTCTGTACAAACCGATGATCAAACACTAGTAGATAAACTAACAATTTATAAACTAACCTTTAATTAACATAAACATTTCGTAATTTAAAAAAGTTGAATAATTTCAAAAATTCATAAAACTGCTACAGATTTATTCAATGACGCAAACCTATGAACGTTGACGCACTTTGTATAACAACAACTTATCGTTATTTTTTTTGGGGGGTGAGGTAATTTCTGTATTTTAATGTCTTTTTCTTCACTCTATACCATTTTTTAATTCGCTTCTCATATAAGAAAATAAGTATGTGCTTGGCAGGTTTTAAACACTATGTTTAAGACCAGTTTGGAGTCTGGATGGTCATCATCCAGACTTCAAACTAATCTTAAACATTATGTTTACTACCGGCCAAGTACATGATATTTATTCCCGTAAAATCAGCACCTTTAATTAAAATGATAATGCCAACTTCTTATTTTTTCAGGGCCAGGGTTATATCACCTTCTCATGACCTGGTAGGCTTGAACAGGCAGAATAAACACTTTTCTGTGCACTGTAAATTAAAAAAGAAAATTGGCAAAACGTGTGTGTGACATCAGACACACACAATAAGGGTTCCTTAATAAAGCCTATAGGTTTTTTTTAACAGATATATTAAACATCCACTACACACTTCATCATGAGATCCAGAGTCGCCTTTGTGCGCAGCTTTTTGGGTATCTTGAACTGGTTATAACTGGCCGTGGAAGTCGCTATTATGAAGTCTTGCAATTTCTTGAAGGATCCTGGGCGAACGATCATCACGCGAGCCTCGCAGATGGTGCCAACTTGGCGGTAGTGGTCGTAGAACTCGTGCTGCTTGCGAAGTGACTTATCAAACTAAAAGGAAATATCAGATTTTTAAAACTGTGTGTGGACAACGGCACCATAACGGCAACAACTCCAAAGAAACAGCCAGTGTTGTAGTACTCGTACTCGGTACTCGTACTCGAGTATTAATTGAGTACTTGTTTGCGTACTCGTACTCATACTCTTACTCGAATGAATGCACTTGAAATGACGTATACTCGTATACTCATGCAACAAAGTGCTCGTACTCGACATGTCGAAATTGAACTCGATCATCGAAGTACCCGTACTCGAAGAACAAACACACATTAAACAGCTATAGCCGTAAGTTGGTCTGTGCATCGGTCTGACTGGGCCCGCCTGGGCCAATCACTCAACGATCCATTTGCCGTATGGTCGTGTTCGGAAATATAAGTACCGGCACTCGTACGCACTCGGAATACAAGTAGGGCCTACTCGTACTAGTACACGGAAGTACCAGCATGGGCGTCGCGAGGGGGGGGGGCCAAGGGGGGCACTTGCCCCCCCCCCCCCCCCCCCCCCACCCTGGAAAAGCCACACACAAAAAAGGAAGAAAAAAAAAAGAAAAGAAAAAAAGAAAAAAGAGGCGCGAAGACAAAGTGGTGTAAATTTAATGAGTTGGAGGGGGGCAAAATGTGCCCCCTCTAAAACTGATAAATCGAGAATGAGTTGAGAAACACAAGCATTTTTTGGCAATTTTTTTTTTTGCCCCCCCCCCCTCTAGACAAAATCGTGGCGACGCCCATGAGTACCAGTACTCGTACTCCGAAGACCTGAACATGTATACTCGAAAGTATAATTATGTACTCGTACTGAGTCGTACTCGGTAACCTATAAGTACAGGTACTCGACAGTCCTCGGTACTCGCAAAAAGTACTCGAGTACAACACAGGAAACAGCAGCAGTAACATCAGTAGAAAAATGCCGGGCGACAGCTGTTAAAGAAGGAACATAAGCTTACACTTTGAAATCGTGTTATCATTTCAGAAAGATAATGCGTCTCTAAAAGCATGGAAAAAATCTGGATAATTACCGATGACTTCTGCTCCTGTGATAAACGGAAGCCGTCCACTGATTCCAACTCGATGAACAGTAGGTACAACATGTCAAAATCAACTGTTTGGAAACAAAAGAAAGCTCACAAAATTTGTTCTTAGTCTCAAAATGGCATTGTGATTATTGAACTGGAGAAGTGGAACATGTTTGACATTTAGTAATGATCGTGATTATCGATTCCGGGCGGGAGTTAGTTTTGTCTTATTGTATTGAATTAAGGCATTTAGAGATCAGCTATAGAACTGGCAAAAATGGATTGATTGACAAATCGGAATTGAAGGCAAGGACAATCGAAGTCATTGACACTCGTTGGAAACGTTTGTCACACCAGGATACATTGCGAATGATCAGAAAACAGGAGTGGGGCAAAATGGTGTCAGTTTAGGAATTCTGGCTTCGTCTCCGTTTCAGCTTCAAGCCAGCTCCAACTTTGTCAATTCGGTCGACTGACTTGACAAATTCACGCACAGTTCCATTTTTGTTGTATATTTTAGTTGCATTTTAGCGTTTAACGATTCTTGTCTACCTTGGGCTGGAGACGAAGCTGTAGACGAGACCGGGATCTCTAAACACTCATACCAATAACCTTGTTTACCATGCTCCTCGTCCCCGTACATCAATGGACTCTCTGCGCATGTCCAGTCCACCAGTGTTGCCCCTGGCCAGCTGGTCAAGCTCTCCTGTATGGCATTGTTCACTACAAGCTTGTCAAGCTTCTCGCTGCGTAAATTCAAGAGCTCCCCAGTTCTGAAGTGAAAAGTTCATAAAGTTATGTTCTCGTTATTTATCGTTCATGTCAGATGACGGTTCAGAAATAAATGGGCTTAAATTCTGACATCTCCATTTCAAGTAAACTAAGCTTTCTTTCAACCGCTGAGAACTCATTGCGTTCTCATTGGATACTTTTTGTCCAGCAAGTGTCCTAGAGTCAGCACTTCCGGATGAGCATGACCCGTGCGCAAGAAAGGCTCGTCCATTGTTCATGGCAAGTAAACTACCCACGATGCTTTGCAACACCTGTGTTTCCTTCACAGGTTTATGCGAGAGAGATTAGCGGTGGAGGCACTTGGACGATATAGCTCTTCTGAATCTAAACTTTGAGTCAAACAAGGTATACCATATTTTCATTTTTTTAAAAAGCTATCAACCAATTATTATCGTTCATTTTTACCTGTATTTCACCTGAATGACCGGACAGTTCTCATGGAAACCCACAACCTCGACCACGTCACCCATGCGGTAGCGGTAGAATCCGGATGCGGTTGTGAGGACTATCTCGTAGCGCTTTCCAACCTCGATCTCATCAATCATCAACGTGTCTGGACTATCCTCCTCACTGTGTGGAAGAAACGATACTAATTCTACCCAGAATTTGTCAAAGTTAGCTTAAGATTTATGTAAAATTTCCACATAGAATCACTCAGGGTTTTTTTTTTCGCAATCAATTGTAATAGCGCCCTCATCATACGAGTTTGACGGACCGCGCCATGTCTGATTACAATGTTGGTCTAGCTACGACTAAAGAAACAATTATGATTAATTTATGGTGGCCCTGAAGGGACATCGCATATCGCAAACGTGTGCGCATACGTATGCGAAGTCGCGAAATTTATCGCGAATGTGTGCGCACACGTATGCGATGTCGCAAAATTTATCGCGAATACGTGCGCACACGTATGCGATGTCGCGAAATTTATCGCGAATATATGCGCACACGTATGCGATGTCGTGAAATTAATCGCGAATATGTGCGCACACGTATGCGATGTCGTGAAACAATTCGCGAATATGTGCGCACACGTATGCGAATTTGTTTGCAATGTCGTGAATTTTATTGCATACCTTGTCGCATACCTTTCAGTAAAATTCCTAATAAACTGGGGAGTTGTAGCAGCTAGTCTTGAATCTAGACGTACTGTTAGATATAAATAGGGTCTGACTAATAAACCTTCGCGCGCACGCTGTTCCTCGTGCAATCGTTACTACTAGTACTGTCGAGCGCAAACTTGCTACTTGCGCAACTTTGAAACTTGCGCGCGCAAATTTCAAACTTGCGTGCGCGCGAAGGTTTATTAGTCAGACCCTATTTATATCTAACAGTACGTCTAGATTCCAGACTAGCTGCTACAACTCCCCAGTTCATTAGGAATTTTACTGAAAGGTATGCGACAAGGTATGCAATAAAATTCACGACATTGCAAACAAATTCGCATACGTGTGCGCACATATTCGCGAATTGTTTCACGACATCGCATACGTGTGCGCACATATTCGCGATTAATTTTACGACATCGCATACGTGTGCGCATATATTCGCGGTAAATTTCGCGACATCGCATACGTGTGCGCACATATTCGCGATAAATTTTGCGACATCGCATACGTGTGCGCACACATTCGCGATAAATTTCGCGACATCGCATACGTATGCGCACACGTTTGCGATGTGCGATGTCCCTTCAGGGCCACCATATTAATTTGCTCTCTTAGTGTTCAATTTATTGTAATTCTCGATGTGCGAGTATAAACAGCTTCTTATAATTATTGGCAGATGACAAGCACCCTTAACTTGAGAATTAACAAGATTAGATAAGATTAAACGAGGAAGCGATGCATGGTGACCTTTGACCTAAGCCTCGTCAACGTTTTCTAACTACATGTGCGCAGATAGTTTTCCACAAACCCACCAACCGGGATTTTTGTATAATTACCTATACTCTTCAGGAATAAACTCGGTCAGAACTTCATTGACAAGTGGCACATACTGCTGCGGTCTCCCGTCCATCCACATGTTGACGGCAAGAAGGGACTCAGTGCAGCCGTAGATTGCACTGAAAATCGTTGTCCCTGCATTAATAGTGAAGTGCAAATTAAGTTCCTTTCACGATCAGCAGTAGCCCGTTTCTCCCAAAATCATAAGCTACCGACCGACTGACCAACCGACCGGCTCAAACATTCAGCCACCGTCAGTGCAGTAAGCCTGAAAGTTTTTTAATTTAGACTGTTTCAAAAGTGAGCATGATTGAGTAATTTCGAATGTCAGAGGTTATCTAATGCAAAGCTGAAATCAATTTACTTAAAATTAATCTTACCTTTCGTGTATCTCTCGTTGAGCTTTTTCATGTATCCAGATATGTCGACAGCCGTGATGCCCTGCAGATGCGGCCAGATTCTGCCGGTGATGCCCACAAAACCTCGAGCAAACTCTGCTCTCAGCTCATCAGCCCTGGCTGGGTTGGCCTTCAATGCAGCATCCAGCGAACGTCGTATCTCCGCATCAATGTTCAGTCTAAGATTGATCCTGCCTTCAGAAAGATCCTCCAAGAACATGTCTTGCTCATCTTCCAGCATGGAGAACGCCCTGTACACCTGCGACGTGAATGGGGCCGTGAACGACGTCAAGTTTTTGTCGGTCAAAGCAAAGAGGAGGTGGACGTAGGTGGCTTCGAAATCCGTTGAAATCTGGAAGGTGGAGAAGGGTGCGTTTTGAACGGCTGTGCAGCCCAGTTTTGTGAGTTCAGTATCATTCACGAAGAACAGTGGAGCAATGGGTAATCCTGACTTGGTAAACTTCTTGGCTGGCCGGCAGTACAGGGTGGCTACCCTCTGTACGGGACTTGACTTGTTAATATACAGACGCTTCGGGGCCATCATCGCGATAATTCCTACACTTGGCTTTAATATCAAGGGAATAAGCTTGCCCTTTCCCGTGGTGCCAGACGAGACTCCAAACCTGTCCACTTTGGCTGCCACGCAGACGTTCTTCTCCCCGTCTGCCAGTCTCTGGAAGTAATCTCGGTAGTGATCATACTTGGTGAGTGGATGTTTGTCTTGGAAATCCTGCAGTGATTGGATGCCTGTCAAGTATCGTCTGCCGTACTCTGTATCTGCGTCGCGGGAGATTAGCTCTCGGAGGAACCTTTCCTGCGCCTTGCGAGGCTCTTTCCAGGCTTTCTCCAGCTTCTCAAAGAGGTACGGGCCGTAGAGGTCGATTACAAGGTTGACGACATACCCTATAAGAAGTGTCTTCAAGGTGTGAGTCTCAGAGCATCGCAGCGTTGAGATGTGGAAGGCAATCACCATGGAAAGGGTTCCCAAGACGGCAATAATACCTACAAGGGTGGCACAAAACAACTTCATATAAAAAGTTAGCTCATCAGCTCTAATTTAATTTTTGCGAGCCTTTTCAAACCTATCTCTCCCATAAACCGGAATGTTATATTTATGACACAGTCATAATGGCCAGGTTATTATAGTAACAAAGTAACCAGGCTTATTATGTACATTTAGTTACGTTTTCATCAGTTGAGAAAAATTATTTGATTTAAGTTGCAAACGCTATTGATTTTGTCTTCGTAAAAACAATACGTGCAATATCCTACAAAACTATGTAAATTCACTAGGGAATTAAATTACAGGCATACACATTTTGGAGTGTTAGTTGAGCTGGGTTTTTTTTTCAGATGAAAAAGACGTCAGTGACAACAACTGGAGTCCAGATCTGTAGGGCATTTTTGTGAGAGTCAATTTCTTTCTCATTTTTCCGAAAAAAACCCCCCGAAAACCTCCGGTAAAGTGACACATGGTGTTATCATTGCAGCTAGAAAATTGTTATCATTCAGCCATTTAACATTTCAAGCCTATAATAACTAGTTGGTGGGATGACTGTCAACAACGTGTATCTATATCTACGTGACACAGTGTCAATACTGAATTGACCTTCTGTAAAGCCTACCTGCCGCGGCTGTCCCGGTCAAAGATGTGTCCCCAAGCAGGTAACTACGGACGACATACGCGGTGACACAGGCAGAGATAAAACCCCAGACCGTACAATGAAAGGCCCACGTCACGGCCATAACGACAGAACGCTGACAAGTCAGGAGGGGGGAATGGAAATAAGTCTCTGAATCCGGCGTTCTCCGTCTTGCACTGAATCAGTGCACGCTCATCAGTCCAATTCATATATGCATTGTGGCTGTGGTCTCGATCTTTATCTCCACGCCCATTATAATTATAGTACAAAGTACAACTGAAGTTGTGTGGCAGTCACACAAATCCCGTATGTTTTGTGCTGTACTGTACAGCACTAGGCCTGTTTATACACAATTATTTGTCAGCTAATTCGTTTTGAAGTCACCGATTGCGAAAGTGCGTCACCGATTCGGTGATCACATTAAATGCCTCTTTGGCGTTCCATACAGACATGCCCTCTCATGTGGTCGGTTACGGCCCCTATTTTTATCATCAGGCCTACATACACATGCATGCGCAATATAATTCACACTACAACAGGAAGAGTTTCTTTTTCGCCATAAACCCACTTCGTGAACGTACGTTCCTCCATGGTTCATAGTAGTACTATACATTTTGTGCATCCAGGACACCAATCTGTGTATTTTAGCTTTCAGCCTACGCCGTCATGGCCGTTATAACGTGGAGGATTCGGTGCCTACTGTGGGGCATTGTATCCGCATGTCTCACTGTGTATGCTATCCACGTGTACTGGACAAGTGAAGCATCATGGCTGCTGCTGGCTGCCACAGGTAAAAAAAATGTTCGTTAGTGGATGGGGAAAGAGTTTCAACATGATGCCCATATTCCAGGGTTGTCAGAATCGTGACACGTGGCGTTTGGAGAAAATGAAACACTGTATAAAACGTAATTGACAATGACATTGTTTTCAGTAGGTCTGTGATTATTTTCCTGAATGCGCGGCTGCGCGCACAGTGTAAGTTCCCCGATGATAAAAAGCTTACAATCTAACATTGCCATGAAAAAAAAAACATTATAGACCTGTCATGCATGATTTTGAGAGGTTGGGGGAACAAAATCATTCCAAAATTGCCACGTACAGTGCCGGCCACCGTACTCCGAGGCTATTGTACTGACGTATTGACCAGAACAAGACATTATTGCACGTAGCCTTCATTTTCTGTATTGTATAGGTCAATGTTATTGTAACCTATATGCCCCCGTACAGGGTACGTGAGTCAAAAAGAGCGGGACCCAAACCCCCAAAATTATATTTCATATTTCAAAAAAATATGCAGCACCATAAATAATAATGACTGGAAAGCCAATTTCATAAGGTACTTTTAGATGAAAAAAATGACTGAAATCGGTCAATCCGTTCGGAAAATATCACCATTTAAACACAATGACCCTAAAACCTGTCTCGTTCACACACAAAAAATGCAATTTCAAGAATCGTCGTCGCAATTGACTTCAAACATCACCGGCAATAAAATTTCCGTTTAAACGTTAAAAAGTTTCAACATAATCCCTTTGAATGCCCGTCCTTTAAAAAATAGTAGATTTTATAAATCGTTTGCCTAACCACGGTTATACTACAGTTGGTAACAGTTGTTGAAACAAGTATTCTGCGTCATTTTCTTTCTTTTTCCAAACAGTCAAAACACGCGATGAATTGCTTTATTTTGGACGAGACAGGTTTTAGGGTCGTTGCGTTTAAATGGTGATATTCTTTGAACGGATTGAGCTATTTCAGTATTTTTTTTCATCTAAAAGTAGCTTATGAAATTGGCTTTCCAGTCATTATTATTTTTGGTGCTACATATTTTTTTAAATATGAATTATATTTTATGGGGTTTGAGTTCCGCTTTTGTGACTCACCCTGTAGACCAGAAGTATTACGTCATCTATATTTAGACACAGTCAGCATCATGATAATGCAATGCATTGTTGTCATACAATCAATAAAGATTTGTTTGCCATTGTGTCTAGATAAATGCTACGGAAGCGTTAAAGGGACATCATACAAACTACAAAAAAGGTCATAATTATGACTTATATCTCATAATTTAACAATTACGTATAGTCGTATTATTATTAGATACATGATTCACATCAGCATGAACATTGAAATTGGAGGATTCAGGACTGTTAGGTATAATGACACATTAAAAAAAAAAAATTGTTGCACAGAATGTTGATCTTATGACGGATATTTTGCTTATCAAGTAACAGCTTCACGATGAATCATTACAGGTCTTAACAAAACAACAAAGTTCCCTACGAGTTTTGTTTTGTTTTGTAGTTGTGTTTGTAGCATGTGGCGGCATTTCGACCGTGGTAGCTTTTCATATCTGTACTCTGAGATGTTCAGAGACCCACACTCTGATGACGCTTCTGCTGCAGTACTTCGTCTCGCAGATGATGGCCCTGTTCGCTCCGATGGCTGTATCAAAGCTTGAGAAAGCCTGGAAAGAGCCACGCAAGGCGCAGGAAAAGTTCCTCCGAGAGCTGATCTCCCGCGACGCAGATACAGAGTACGGCAGACGATACTTGACAGGCATCCAATCACTGCAGGATTTCCGAGACAAACATCCACTCACCAAGTATGATCACTACCAGGATTACTTCCAGAGGCTGGCAGACGGGGAAAAGAACGTCTGCGTGGCAGCCAGAGTGGACAGGTTCGGACTTACATCAGGCACCACGGGAAAGGGCAAGCTCATTCCCCTAGTGATGTCTGCAAACGCGAGATTGGCAGGGACCTTTTATTGGAGACGCTCGACGAATTCAAGTCCGGTTCAGAAAATGGGCGCGATGTACTGCAGAACCACCCACAGGTTCACCAAATCGGGAGCTCTGGTTGCACCTTTGTCGTTCGTCTCTGACAGCGCAGGCTCGAGAATCATGTCGGGTGCATTTGTGAACACACCCCACATAGCTTTCCAGATTTCAACGGATTTTGAAGCCACCTACGTCAACCTTCTCTTCGCACTGACCGACAAAAACATCTTCACGTTCAGTGCTCCATTCGCGTCACAGGTGTACAGGGCGTTCTCCATGCTGGAAGATCAGCAAGATATGTTCTTGGAGGATCTTTCTACAGGCAGGATCAATCCTAGACTGAACATTGATGCGGAGATACGACGTTCGCTGGATGCTGCATTGAAGGCCAACCCAGCCAGGGCTGATGAGCTGAGAGCAGAGTTTGCTCGCGGTTTTGTGGGCATCGCCGGCAGAATCTGGCCGCATCTACAGTGTCTCCTTACAATCGACGTTTCTGGATTGATGAAGAAACTCGAGGCAAAGTACAGCAAAGGTATGTATAGCATCTTTGGTTGTTATTATTGAAGGTCACTATCTTACCTGGAAATACATACTCGCAAAGCGATCCATTGTGTTGTCATTTATAGGAATGTCTTTGTACCCCCTGCCTCGGCAAGGAAAAAGTAAAATGAGCAAAGGAAAAAGAAGATGGTTGAGGCCAATTTGTGGTGACATCTTAATGTACGATTAGCATAGAGTAAGGGCACTACACAATAGAGATCAATATATTAAACATATATTGTTCAAAGTATATTGTTCAAACTGGCGTCTACAGCAGGTGGTTTTTTTTTTGCAGCGCTTCCAATGAAAACAAAAATTGTCGCATAAAATAGAATAGAAACCACGTTGATAATGTTCATCTTCTTTTTTGATTAAGCAACATTCGCACTTGTGTTACAATGCAGGCACCAAGTTGTACAGCGCTAGCTATGCCTGTACGGAATGCATTTCGCTGGGGCTCAACCTGTGGATGGATGGTAGACCACAGCAGTATGTCATGTTGCCGAATGAAGTCATGGCAGAGTTCATACCAGAAGATCTCAGGTACAACATTCCAGATGCAAATAGCAATCTCTGGTTTTAAATTCAATCCTGGCCCTATTTGATAAAACATTCATTTGATTCGTCAAACTCACAACTTGAACACACCGTCCTTATTAACCCCGGATATCAAACAGTATCGGTGCTATTTTTGAATTTCACCCCCCCCCCCCAAAAAAAATGTAAGTGCCTTTTGTATATATACAGAAGTGATTCATTTTTTAATGAAAACGGAGAAAAATCGGCGTGTGTTTATTTATGGAATGATCATTTCGGCGAGACAGTAACTCGGATCTCGCTGCCTTTTTCCCCCAAAGGGTTGCAAACACCAAAATACTGCAATAGAAAATCAAACAAGTTGGGGTAGAAGTAAAATCAACTAATTTAAGATCGAGTGACGATAGGTGTGGATCTTTATTTCCATTTGCCGCCACAACATCATAGGTTGAGGTTGATGTGTACAGGGCTTCAGTCTTGTCACTTGTACGTAAATGACGATTTCACGGCTTGTTACTCAGACCTACGAAATGAAGGGAAACTTCGAAATTGAATCGAATTAACCCTTAAAGGGCCGGGTTATTTTGACCATCTTACAGCCGGGGCGTATTCCAGCACCCCTTCCCCCTCCCCAAGATCTCGGCCATCGATAGTGACGAAAAATTACGAAACTCGGTACATGCATAGAACGATCTAACATGAACATGCCCAAGAAATTTCATGACTAAGGTCAAGAGGTTTTGGAATGATGGCTAATTAATTATTCATATGCATGAATGGTTATTCTGCTTTGTGTATGGGGAAATTCAGTTTTTACGGCGCGTTGCGCTGGAATTTTTTTATGTGGTCCGAATTTTATGTTTTTGGTATCAAAAGATGCGCAAAACTAGAGGTTAAAAAGTCAGGACAGCTCGGGTCGCGAAACAAATTTTTTTCAAGGGTATCGCGGGAACAAAATGGGGGGGGGGGGATTTCGCCCCAACCCTTTTAGGGTTAATATATACAATGCACCTCCATATAAGTTGTGCAACTGTGTTTGGTTGTCAAATGTTTTTATGCAGTTCGGAAGCGAATCCTGAGACGTTGTTTATTGATGAGGTCGAGGTTGGCAAGCGCTACGAACTTGTCATAACATCCTTATCCGGCTTCTACCGCTACCGCATGGGCGACGTGGTGGAGGTTGTGGGTTTCCATGACAACTGCCCGGTGATTCAGGTGAAATACAGGTACTTTATCGGGAAACGTTTTCCCGAATTCATGTAGCTTGATTTGGTTATACATTAACTATGCGCTGAACTATGCGTCACAGACTGCATTTGGAATTCAACTGAAATTCAGATAATTAGGAAAAATGTTACCTTATCTAGATATTGTACAGAGTGTGTTTCACCGTATAGTTTTTTTAAACAGCAAAAAGAGACTTCCTTTTTTAAATTTGGAGCAAGTTCGATGGAGGGAAAATAGTCGACATAATTATGGTTGGTTCTTAATGTTATATATTCCTGCGCACTAACCGCAACTTGCGAACAACATCTTATCAAACGATGTCGAAAATTTCAGCACGAAACGCAAGACAAGTCAGCGCCAGTGCAATACGTATACATGACACAATGCACTGATTCTGAAAACTCAAAGATGTGAATTTTTGTTGTTGTCACTTCAGAACTGGCGAGCTGTTGAATTTGCGCAGTGAGAAGATTGACAAGGTTGTAGTGAACAACGCCATACAGGAGAGCTTGACCAGCTGGCCAGGGGCGACGCTGGTGGACTGGACATGCGCAGAGAGTCCATTGATGTACGAGGACCAAGAAGGTAGTGAGAGCTGGAACTTTGGAAACAACTAATCAAATCCGTCTTGTGTACAAGGCCTCCATGAAATAGAAATAGCCAATGGATCTTGACCTTTCCATGGATAAGGTCTATGTATTGGTGAACTCGAAAACAAAGTGCAAAAGCAGGGGCTCAAGGGGGCTCCCTTTGCTAAGGTCGGAGACGTAGTGTAGACCCAGTTGCGACTTTTTACCGCGACTTTTAATAACTAAAGGGTAACTTTGCGAGTAATAGCCCAGGCAATGGAAAACAACCCGCTGGACTCTAAAACAACTTGAAAAACAATGTGAACAGTGTTATCATGATAGATGCGTGCTGTGAAAGAAATATGTACAGTATAGGTCCTTCCTCGCCATGTTACCTGATGTTTTGTTCATTTTCAGGTGTTGAATATGACATGTTCTACCTGCTGTTCGTCGAGTTGGATCCGGTGAAAGACTTCCGTCTGACAGAGGAGCAGAAATCATTGGTAATTATTACCTAATCTGTAGCCTACAGCAATCAAAACTTACGAAGATAACGTTTTCAACAGTCGTACAGTTACTACAGTATCGTGTCACAGATATCACTTGTTATTGTCATATCAATGTTGAACTTGATTCGAGTCGGCTCGGTGCAACTTTAAATAAGTCCAAATAACTGCAGCACTGAAAAGCCACTAAGTTTGTATTTGACTAGGCAAAACACTATTTTCTAGTCAAATTGAACTTGAGTACTTTAGTGGGGACAATTGACCGGAAAATCCTCGGTGACTGGAAATCTAGACGAAAACTTAAGTGATCTGTGGATAGTTTTCTGTGTCGACTAGGTCCATTCAGATAGTGATATTTGAATGTATAACTAGTCAGTATAATAAGTGCACAACTCCTCATCCACGTACACTGCAGCATTACGGACGCTAAATACATGATCGTTACCGGTCACTGATAATTTGTTCTTACATCTTCGGTTTACAGTTCGTATGGAGTTGCCCTACAGTGGTTAGTTAACGTCTCGATTCCTAGGCCGACGACGTATAAAGCTGGCTTGTATTACCGGTACTCGTAACTGATAAACTATGCAGAAACTTCACGCGTTTTTTCTTTGTGAATAGCATATTGCCTACAAATGGCGGTCTTGACCCTCCAGTTGGTAATCTTTACACAACTTTGACATTGTTCACTTCAACTTTGTAAAGTTTACCATTAGAAAAGTAAACCCCTCGGACATTTGTACGTAACTCGTGTAAATATACGCCTTTACATTTTTCAAAATGTTATTTTCAAGCTACGTTATAATTCTGTAAATTCTTTTCGTAAATTTTTACCTAATCTGTATATTGTTTTACGAATTTTTTTACCTGTTATTTTTTTTACCATTCATTCTGTGTGCATAGACAGTGTTGCTTAATCCACAGTTTGCTGTCAACGTGCATTTTTGCTTTCACCACGATTACTGCTAACAAAATGATTTTGCTGGATTTCCTTCAGTTCGATAAGTCACTTCGCAAGCAACACGTGTTCTATGACAACTACCGTCAAGCTGGCACCATCTGCGAGGCTCGCGTGATGATCGTTCGCCCAGGATCCTTCAAGAAATTGCAAGACTTCATAATAGCGACCTCTACGGCCAGTTACAACCAGTTCAAGATGCCCAAGAAACTTCGTACGAAGGCGACCCTTGACCTGATGATGGAGTGTGCAGTAGATGCTTGATTAAGCTAAATATTTTCAGCTGTTGCCCAGCTCATAAATATGTTGACACCGATTTCATAAAATTTTAGTGTAAAGTTCATTGTTAAATGCTCAAGTTTGAACCGCATGGTGACGTACATTTTTTTTGGTTGACCGTTCGAAAGTACTCATTTAGCGTTCAGAAAATGAACGTGTCACGGATAAAATGAATATGAATTTATATTCTGTTATACATGTTTTTGTTGTAATTTTAATCATAGACATTTTAATCATAGACATTAAAATTAACACACTTGATTGATATAGTTTTTTTTTTTTTTTTTTTTTTTTTTTTTCTTTTTTTTTCTTTGCGATAATCAAACCTGTATTATTCTATAATAAAAATGACATTTAACTAAACCTTCATATAACGACACGTACATTCCATTCCAAAAGTGGCTTTAAAATGTATCCAACAGGAAAACGCAATTAACATAACTTTTAACAAAATAATACATGTGTAGTTAGATATTTTACGCTCTGGTTGCACTCCGCGGTCGATGTCCAGGTTGTTGGGGAAGCCTGACCAGGGTACAATGTCATTTAAGTGTTTGGCGGAGTGTTGAATTTTACAAGAAACAATTCCAAAACTTCTTATTTGTCTTTTGTAATTTAGCTCTAAAAACGAGTTCGCGTAAAAAAATATAAAAAGTGCTATTCCATGTATTGTTTTGGTATGCTGTCAGTCTAACTTTTAATATAGAAAACATCGCTATTGTAGTAATCAAATTTGTTTCAAGGTCAAAGTCCGGGTTTAGTATTAAATCTGACATTGATGGAAAGTTATAACAATGCTTTGTTACTGATTGATAATACTTAATAAATTGATTCCAAAATTTAACTGTGTGTGCACAAGAAATAAATACGTGTTCATAATCATCTACGGTATTACACAGGCTGCATAGTGGGCTATCTTTGATTTTCCATTTATACAGTAAGTATTTGGTTGGCATAATGCGATGTATTAACTTGAAGTTAAAATTCCTTAATTTGGCTTCTTTTACATTCATAACTTTTTGTTTCCACACTGAATTCCAATTGAGTCCTTCAGTCTGCAGTATTTCGTTCCAACGCTCTTGTGCGACAGGTGTTTTACTTTTATACTCGAGTAAAATCTTATACATTTTTTTTGTGTTTATATTTTCCAACTTACCGAGTTTTTCACTGATATGAACATGCCTTTCAGTTGGAATGTTATCTTTATTTAAGAGTTTTGTTAACCATACTTTGGGTAGGGCCTTCTTTAGTATATACATTTCAACTAGCCAGTTCTGTTTGCTAATTAGTTTACCACTCACATACCTGATGGAGAGTTCGCCCTTTTCATTCAAAATGTCATTTACATAAATGATATTGGATTTGATCCAATTTCTGAAGAACAAAGGTTTGTCGTTATACTTTATGTGTTGATTACCCCAAAGTACTTGTGTCTTTATCTCAGTTCGGGATAAATCTGCTTGCGTTTTCTTTTGTTTGTTCAGTTTCTGCCAGCAGAGTATTATCTCTTTGTAAAATTGCGGTAATTTACCTGGAAGATTTGAAAAACATTTTGTATTTTTAAGGTTCATATTTAGGACAGCTAAATCAGGGCAACATAGATTAAGGAAGTAGTCACATAAGCTTGTCCATTTACCAGCTTTTTTGTTAATCAATTTAATGATCCAGTTGCATTTTAGCGCTGCATTGTGTGATTCAAAGTCAATTAGATTTAGACCTCCTTCATCTAAACCACGAATCAAAGTTTTTCTAGAAATCTTATCTATTTTCCCTTGCCAGATGAAAGGAAAAATCAGATTTTCTATTTTTGTAATTTGTTTTTGTGGGGTTGGAATAACTGATGCTAGAAAGGTAAATATTGGTATTGCCAAGTTGTTTACAATGGTTACTTTACCTGGTAGTGTCAGGTTGCGTCTTTTCCACTGGTTAATTAAATTTGCACAATTAGTTATTTTTTCTTCCCAGATTAATTCATAGCATTCATACATGTTCTTTCCAAAGTAAACGCCTAGTGTTTTGATTGGTCTTTGCTGCCAATTTATAGTTTCTTGGAGATTCTGGTCCAGATTAATATCGCCAATAACAAGTCCTGTTGTTTTTTGAAGGTTCAGCTTTGGACCTGCTATTCGTCCAAATTCTTTAACAACGTCAAGAGCGTTGTTGATTGATTTAGAGTCTGACATAAAAAGAGTGGTATCATCTGCATACATAGAGATACGAAGATTTGTTTTGTTTGGTAATTGTACCCCATGTATTTAATGGTTTGTTCTTATTCTGTTCGCGAGAACTTCTGCTACGATTAGGAACAATAGGGCTGAGAGAGGGCAACCTTGTCTAAGCCCACGTTTCAATGTGAAAAATTCAGAAATATAGTTATTATTAATAATTGTACTTTGAATGTTTTTATACATTGTTTTTATCCAACTGATAAAGCTATTTCCAAAATTAAACTTTTTTAGTGTTTTTATTAGGAAGCTCCATTCTACAGTGTCAAAAGCCTTTTCGTAATCTAAAAAAAGAATTGCAGTATTTTTATTACTTTCTTGGCTAAAATGAATAACATCATCGATTAACCTAATACTATTTCCGATAAATCTTCCTTTGATGTAGCCTGACTGGTCATCTTGAATGATATCTCCAATTACGCCTGACAGTCGATTTGCTAATGCTTTAGCAGCTATTTTGTAGTCAATGTTTAGAAGGCTGATTGGTCTCCAATTTTTTAAATTGTTTCGCTCACCTTTTTTATACAGTAATGATATTATAGCACGGCGTTGGGATATCGAAAGTTCCCCTTCTAGGTAACTTCTATTCATTGAATTCACAAAGAGGTTTTTTAGTTGCTTCCAGAATGCAAGGTAAAATTCAACTGTTAAACCGTCTGTTCCAGGACTTTTGTTCTTTTTCAAACTTTGTAGTGCTTTCTCATATTCTGCTTCGGTAATAACCCGTTCACATTCCTCTTTCTGTTCTTCGTTTAACACAAAATCAAACTGAGTATCATCTAAGTATTTGTTTACTTCATTTATTTCTACGCTGTTTGAAGAGTACAGACTTTGGTAGAATTTTTTTTGTTCATTGAGTATGCCAACTTCATCTCTGATTATTTTATTATTTTCATTCTTTAATTCTGTAATAGTTTTTCTCAATGCGTTACGCTTTTCAAGTCCCAAAAAGTATTTACTGTTTCGTTCACCCTCTTCGTACCACTGTTCTCGAGACCGAACCATTTGTCCTGCTATTTCTTTCTCGTACATTATCTCTAAAGTTGTTTGAAGTTTGTTTTGCTCTTCTGATTCTTCTTCACAGTCATTCATGTTTTTCAGCCTTGTTATTAATAATTCTTTTACTGTATTTTCCACCCTTTTCTTCTTTTTGGAATAATTTATGGCATACTCTTTAAGTTTTAATTTACATATTTCCCAGCAGAATCTTTGATCTTCAAATTCCGTTACTAAGTTATTCGTTAACTCATGCAAACATGACTTCATTTTATCTACAAAGATTTTATCGTTAAGAAGGGAACTATTGAATTTCCAATAGCCTGGCCCTCGTTGAGCTTTGCTGCTAGCTAATTTAACTGAAATCGCTTGGTGATCGGTTTTAATGCTTGGTCTTATGTCGCTCGAAGTAACTGCATCAACAAGAGAGGTTGAAATAAGAAAGTAATCAATCCGTGTTTTTATACTGGGATTCTTTTTTCTAAAAGTGTACTGGTAAGTATCTGGATGTTGATTTCTCCATATATCTGTTAAATGTTTCTTTTTACACAAATCTATCAGTGAAATCGTATCCTGTTTTCGTAGTTTAATCCCTCCTTCTTTATCACATCTGTGGTTAAGTATGCAATTAAAATCACCTCCTAATATTAACTCATTGGTATTGGGGATGTATTTAAAGATCCACTTCTCCAATTTTTTAAAGAATTGAACCCTTTCTTTGCAAGTGTTAGGGGCATAAATATTCATAAATGAGATGCATTTATCTTCATGGATTGCATTAATTAAACATATTCTTCCAAACGAATCACAATGTGAATCTTTTACCTCAATGTTAGCTGAATCTCTAATTAAAATACTGGTACCTCGACTATAAGAGTTGCCATATGAGTGATAACTTTTCCCATTTTGCCAGTCATACATATCATGAGTATTTGCTGTATCTTCTGTGAAGTGTGTTTCTTGTGTAAATAGGATGTCGGCTTTTTGATCCTGGAACCATTTATATGTTGCCAGGCGTTTGCCTCTATCCCTCAAACCTCGAACATTCAAACTAATTATGTGGAGAGAAGCTGTGCCAAACAATTAGGAGCTTTGATTAGATTTTCTTTATTTCATCGATTTAATCATTATTGGTTTATTTATTTACTTCATTACTTGTTTATTTTATATTTTTGGTTGTTGAGAGGATTCAGCTCGTTTTGTACCTGATGAACTCCTCTTCGTCGGTGTCATATGTTGCTGTAGCTTGTTTCTTTTGGATGTCTTGGTGTGTCGATGTTTGCTGCTTGCTGTGACGCTTCCTGCGTTTCCTGCGTCTCGTTTGTCTTGTTCCGTCGTCTGTTTTCTCGATCGGGGTTGTGGGGCTTGATCGAGGTCGTTTGGGAGTGTTGGCGGTCTCGGCTGGATGAGCTGTAAGCGGTTGTCGCTCAATGTGACTTTGATTGATTGATATAGTTAGTTAACCAATCAGAACAGCTTTTTAGTTACTTTTGTGTTTTATAAAAGTGTATCCTGAAAAAAATATAGAAACCGGGGTTTTTGGGGCTTAGTAATGTACTCAGCAACCAATAAATGGATTCATTGACGGTAAACCATCAACTCAATCCACTCTGCAGGTATTCCTTTGTCTTTTTACACCAAGGAAGTGACATCATCCTTTTGAAGAGATCCTTCCAAATATGGCTTTGTTCAGGACTTTCTTGAATAAAAGCGGAAGGTCCGCAGACCCCAATCCTTGTGCTATTTTTCTGTTGGGTTATTTGAAAAGCAAGGCTTCCACCGTAAGACCACATTACACCAGGGGGCGCTCTGCATGATATAGATATATATCAATATACTCGCACTTACATCAAAACGGCGCACTTTAAAATGTTTTGTACTTTGTTTCTCTACTTTTCGATACCTCGAAATCGGCATTTTTTTCATCACGAAAAAGTGGGGGTGGGGGATGATTCAATAGCCCATCCCCCTGGTCTACAAGTGGGGGATATATACCCCCTCCCCCAGGATTTACGCCCCTGCCCCCCTCCCAATATTAATTGGAAGGGGCAAGAAGGATAGGTTCAATAATTCAGATTAGTTCGTACAACGTGACGTGAGAAGAATTTAAATAAAAAGAGAGAATTATACACATTTATCACATCATCAATGACGAATATTTATTGATTTTGAAGAATCAAAAACAAATGCAAAGACAAAGGACATTCATTATTAAATAATTCGAATTTTGTGAAGAAATAACTTAAAAGCTAAACGTCGGCAGAGTTTTCGCTCGATGCCTCATTCAAAGGTGACTAATTTTTATATTTCTAGGAAAAGAGCAATTGAATAAAAAGGATATTTATTCGAGCCTTCTGCAGTGATAAAAAGCTGAAAAACAAATTAGCTTGTGCAATGGAAATTAAAACTTATTGATCTAAAATGTGTTTGGATTTACACGACATTTTAACACTTGGTGAATGTTGAGAATGAATGTAAGAAACATTATAACACGGAAAAAACTTTGAAATATATTTTGCAACTTACATTTGAGCGAATCAATTTCTACATTTTTATTAACAAATTACAGTATTAAGATTAAAGCAGCTACATTTAAACTTCAAACCTTAAAAGGCCCATGTAATGGATCTTGTTAATGCAGGCCTTGAAATGTACCATTATGTTCATTTTGACGTTGGTAAGGGCGAGTTTGTGCCTTTTTTATTTTTATGCTTATGCAAATTTCCATATTTATGAGTAAAATTGTGATTCAGTCAAGGCGGAAACTTCAGGTTCATAAAAAGTCACCAGAATTTTAGGGGTATGCTGTGGTTTCTTTCTGCTTTCAGTGATTTATTTGTTGTTTCAGTATATGACAGTAAGACAATGAGACAACTTTATTTACAAATGTTTTCACTAAGCAGAATTTGGGGTTTATAATTTGAAGAGAAAAAACCTTAAACTGAAGAGTGTGTTCCTAAAGGGACATAACAGCAACAGCGCCCTCGGTTGTCGGGAAAAGCATAACACATTAATTAAACGTTTAAAAATATGCAATTTGCAAAACTTTTGTACCAAAGAGAGTAATCTAATTGTTGTTATACATTGCAGAGAAATTGATTTTTGCTACAAATATGCTCCAGTTAAAAATTCATATCATGAACTCTTTAACTCATTCAATGGAATGAAAAGCAATGGCACTTAGGTTTACGCAGCCTCATGTGACGTGACGTAAGCTAGTCAACATCATCTGATTGGTTACATTCCCATGTCGGCTGCCGCTATTTCCATTAACTGTTAGATCGAAACAAATCGAATCAGGACAAAAATAAATCGACAAAATTAAGCTGGCCAATTGATTCTGTGTTAATCAAGACCTTTTTTTCAAAGGCGAATGACAGTGGTACAGAAACAAACATGAAGGGGACACACACACAAGCACATGCAAGGGTGGAAAGAGAAACAGAAAATGAGGATTAAACAGAAGAAGGACCGAGGGAATGTGTGGAAGAGGGTGAAGATCAAAGAGAATGAAGAGAATTAGGAATGGGACTGGGGAAGGAACAAAACAGGGTTTGTAGTGGATAACGATCAAAGGAGGGGTTGATGAGAAGGTAGGGGCATGGGGAGGGGGGCAAAGGAGTGCCCCCTCCCCCTCCCCCCCCCCCCCCCCTGGCGACGCCCATTGGTAGGGTGAGCCTGGGGAGGAACAAAGGAGTGTGGCAGTAGAGGAAGTGGTAGTATAAATAGCAGTATAATCGGATGGGCGTTTGCAAAAGAAGAGGCATTGTGTATTTTCTATTTCAAATATATGCAGCTTTCTTTGATCATCAATTTTACCCAAAATGATAATCTGGTACCGCAATAGCTTTCTTTCCGAATCCTGTCAACTTCCAAGTTGTGTGTGAATATTTTTTTTTTTTTATCCAAATAAGTATTTCAGAATTAGCGAGAATTTCAGGCCTCAAATAGAAACAACAAAAATAGAATATTTCAAATTTGTTCTTAGTGCCCCTATTTTTTATACCTAGTTATAGTCATGAGGATGGAGAGGCTCTTTTTTCCATTTTAAAAAATTGTCATTCTTTAAGATCTTTATTATTTTTTCTTAAGGAGATCGGGGATACGCAGAAATGGCAGTACGATTGGCCTGTAAGTTAAGGCTTGGTTAAATGATCAGACACATTGAATTGATGAAGTTACCTTGAAGATACGTTTCTGCCACACTGGGGTCAACTTCCGGTAAACATCGTCGAGAGGGCTAGGGATGACACTCAGCGCATTGATGACGTCATTCTCTTCCTATGATTGAGCACGATTTTTTTTTTCAAAGGAGGAGACACTCTTAGTCTTATAAACCAATTTTTTTCTCAAGCGGGTTTAACTTGCAATGTCAAAGACATGACGGCTAAAATTACGACACACCTCTTTTTCCTCCCCCCCCCCCCGGTTTTTTTTCCTTTTCTGCTCGGCAGATAACTGCAATCATCTTTTGAGCATATGATATTTCGAAAATAAAATATTCACAAGCTCAAAGTGCTACATGACATTGACGTTTTTTGGCCACCCATCCATTATATTTTGCTGAATTTCTCCCATTATTGAGTTAATGGTCTTACTGAACAAAATGGAATATATTATTCATAATTGCTGAGTTTATCAACAATGGGCGGTTGTTCCGCATCAGTAATATTCCAGCTGGGGCTAGGGCGTTTGCAAAAGAAGAGGCATTGTGTTTTTTCTATTTCAAATATATGCAGCTTTCTTTGACCATCAAATTTACCCAAAATGATAATCTGGTACCGCAATAGCTTTCTTTCCGAATCCTGTCAACTTCTAAGTTGTGTGTAAATATTTTTTTTATCAAAATAAGCATTTCAGAATTAACGAGAATGTCAGGCCTCAAAATAGAAACAACAAAAATATAACAACAGTTTACTTCAAATTTGTTCTTAGTGCCCCTATTTTTATACCAAGTTATAGTCATTAGGATGGAGAGGCTCTTTTTTTTTCCATTTTAAAAAGTTGTCATTCTTTAAGATCTTTATTATTTTTTCTTAAGGAGATCGGGGATACGCAGAAATGGCAGTACGATTAGCCTGTAAGTTTAGGCTTGGTTTAATGATCAGACACATTGAATTGATGAAGTTACCTTGAAGATACGTTTCTGCCACACTGGGGTCAACTTCCGGTAAACATCGTCGAGAGGGCTAGGGATGACACTCAGCGCATTGATGACGTCATTCTCTTCCTGTGATTGAACACGATTTTTTTTCAAAGGAGGAGAAACTCTTAGTCTTATAAACCATTTTTTTCTCAAGCGGGTTTAACTTGCAATTTGCTCATTTAAAGTGTTCAAAGACATGACAGCTAAAATTACGACACACCTCTTTTTCCTCCCCCCCCCCGATTTTTTTTTTCCTTTTCTGCTCGGCAGATAACTGCAATCATCTTTTGAGCATATGATATTACGAAAATAAAATATTCACAAGCTCAAAGTGCTACATGATATAGACGTTTTTTTGCCACCCCATCCATTATATTTTGCTGAATTTCTCCCATTATTGAGTTAATGGTCTTACTGAACAAAATGGAATATATTATTCATAAACGCTGAGTTTATCAACAATGGGCGGTTGTTCCGCATCAGTAATATTCCAGCTGGGGCTAGGACGTTTGCAAAAGAAGAGGCATTGTGTATTTTCTTTTTCAAATATATGCAGCTTTCTTTGACCATCAATTTTACCCAAAATGATAATCTAGTACCGCAATAGCTTTCTTTCCGAATCCTGTCAACTTCTAAGTTGTGTGTAAATATTTTGTTATCAAAATAAGTATTTCAGAATTAGCGAGAATGTCAGGCCTCCAAATAGAAACAACAAAAATATAACAACAGTTTACTTCAAATTTGTTCTTAGTGCCCCTATTTTTATACCAAGTTATAGTCATTAGGATGGAGAGGCTCTTTTTTTTTTCCATTTTAAAAAGTTGTCATTCTTTAAGATCTTTATTATTTTTTCTTAAGGAGATCAGGGATACGCAGAAATGGCAGTACGATTGGCCTGTAAGTTTAGGCTTGGTTTAATGATCAGACACATTGAATTGATGAAGTTACCTTGAAGATACGTTTCTGCCACACTGGGGTCAGCTTCCGGTAAACATCGTCGAGAGAGCTAAGGATGGCACTCAGTTCATTGATGACGTCATTCTCTTCCTGTAATTGAAAACGATTTTTTTTTCAAAGGAGGCGACACTCTTGACCTTATAAACCAAATTTTTCGCAAGCGGGTTTAACTTGCAATTTGCTCATTTAAAGTGTTCAAAGACATGACGGCTAAAATTACGATGCACTCTTGCGTCAGTGCAGATACATTTAGTTCCTTGCGATTAGTCTTTGTTAGATGTTATTTTGGTGTGTTCTGTCAACGATAAATAAACAAATTAGGCTGCCATGGCGAAGGGGTAGTCGTTTTGAAAAACATGTCATACAGGGGCGGAGCCAGCTTTGGCTCGGGGTTGGTTAGCTGTCATTTGTGTCAAGTGGGGGGGGGGGGGTTATGGGAGGTGCATGTGCTATTTAAGTTTTTTCCTGCCTGATTTGTATAATTTTTCCGGGCAATTTGGGGGCGGGGGGGTGTTGGGGGTGTTAAAACCGCGTTGGTTAGCTGTCATTTGTGTCAAGTGGGGGGGGGGGGGGTTATGGGAGGTGCATGTGCTATTTAAGTTTTTTCCTGCCTGATTTGTATAATTTTTCCGGGCAATTTGGGGGCGGGGGGGTGTTGGGGGTGTTAAAACCGCGTACCCCCACTCCCGTACTTCCGCCACAGTTGTGGCACGTTAACCCTAAAGGGGCCGGGCTATTTTGAGAAGCTCACAGCTGGGGGCCCCTCAGATCTCGGACGTCGAGTGACGAGAAATTTTATGACGATGAGGTACAAGGTTTTTGGAATTATGGCTAATCAATTATACATTTGCAACAATGGTAATTCTGCTTTGTGTACACTTCATTATATTATATTGGGAAATTCAGTTGAAAATTGTTTTCGCTGCTTGGTAACCCTCGGTCGGAATGTTATGGTTTTGGTATCAAAAGATGCGCAAGACTCGACGCTAGTGGACCACGCCCACTACAAGAGGCATGTGCGTTCTCTCCCGGCTCAGATTTTGAGGGAAGGCAAATGCGCTTTTCATTGTGGAAACTCCTTAAGAAAATGAACCCTCCCCCGACCCCTCCCCTTGCAAAATTAAAGTCAGAGATTATTTCTATGTGAACATATCGTTTGGATGGAAAACAAAAAGTAAATACCTGTCTGTCATGTCTTGCAAGCAACTTCTGGAGAACAGACTCCTCTTGATGTGCCTGAGGAAACGTTCGCTTTCTTTTGCCTAGAAAGAACAAGTGAGGGAAAACATGGCTGTTCAGTTGCATTCTCCGCGTTTTTTTTCGACTGGCATTCCGAAAAAGAATAGATTTCTTTTCTAAATGGCTATTTTGCTAACAGAATGAGACATCGACCGAAAAAAACTCAGCCTGTGTTTAGTGAATTATTACTTTACAATGACTGCTAAGCCGTTATTCCGTGCTCGCGGGTAAGGCTGGTTCCCGCCCCACAATCCGTATCAATAATGTACAAATCGGGGAGCAGTCTGCTCACAAAGCGGATCTGTCAGTGCCTAAAACAAAAGGCCTTTTTTTTCTTGCAGTACGTCCAAAACAAAATCAAATAGGGGGAAGGGGGCTGTTGGGAATAAAGAACATACAAGTTGAAATTTATTAACTAAGAGAGAGAGAGAGAGAGAGAGAGAGAGAGAAAGAAAAAAAACAGGCTTGACACCCTGTGCACAAACCCTATGAGACTGGTCTGAAAAATTATGTTTTCCTACTGAAGGCTTCAATATTTCCCTGCTAAATTGTACTTTTGGTTGATGAGTCATGGCAAGGACAAATCGTGGGACAACCCCCCCCCCAAAAAAAAAATTTAAAAAATTGACAACCCGTCTTGGGGGGGGGGGGGCTCAAGCCCCCCCCCCCCCCCCCAAAGGCCCCCCCCCCCTCCCCCGGGTGTGCCACTGGGAAAAACTAGTGGCGTACGTATTTGGAATTCTTTCCTGTACATTTTCTAAAATTCAGTTGTATTCGAATATTTTTTGGTGGGTTCATGTTTAACTTACACAGATGGAGTGTCTCTCTGATCAAGCAATCGTTGTAATGCTTTCTGCATGACTCGTCTGTCAGAAAAAGAAAAAAAACTTTACCGTCAGTTTCGACATGATGTTTCCAACTTGCAATCCTTGTATGGAAGAAATGTGGACGAACAACCTATAGATACAGAATAAACCTTTCCGCAAGGTTTGCAGAAACTTGAGACCAAAGCAAAATGTATTCATGGTCTAATTTCGGGGTGCCACTTTGTGACATAAATGATAAATGCAGTAGGATGATGAAATCGCACTACAAAAGTGGAGGGGACATTTGAAAATAGGTAGGAGAATTATAAATAAATATATATTTGTATTTTAAACACATTATTATTTGTTTTATGTCCATTTTTCATATATAAGCAACAACAAAAATCGGTGCGGCGTCCAAAACTAAAGCGGGCATGGACGAGAATTATGTTATTCCTTTCTACTAAAGGCACGAAGCTCTATACAGGATGAGTAAAAAAATGCATCCCAAATGGCAGGCACCATTTTTATAATGACGTTTTGCCTATAGCTCTTTCAAAATCTAGGATATGAAAGCCCAGTCACTAAGCTTTCTTTTAATAAAAGGATCTCAGCACTCATGTTCTTTTCAAGTTACGGAATTTTGAACACAAACACCGTTTTGAAGTTCATTCCACGAATTACAAAAAAAGTCAATGTTCCTTAAGCAAAACGAAAATAATTCTCATAGAAATGTATATTATTTTCGTTTGCTGAAAGATCACGTACCTTTTTTTCGTCTAAATGAAAGCTCATTGATTGAGCTTTCATATCTAGATTTTGAAAGTGCTACAGGCGAAGCTTCGTTTAAAAAAATGGTCCTGCCATTTGGGGTGTGTTTTTTTACTCACCCTGTATACTTTAGCACCGGGGAGGAGACAATGTAAAAACATCAATTTCGTGGGCTGCTTTTGGGTGGTTGGCTAAAAAAAAACTACAGAAAGAACTCACTTGATCCGCAATGTCTGTTGGCCTCTTGCCTACAGCATGCCCTCGATTCATCAGACGTTTTACATTGGTCTGAAATATCAATCAAACCTGAGTGAAAGAAATGTCATTTTTTGAACTAAAATCGCTTCTAATTTCATACTGATGACGTCATTATGAAGTCAGAGTAATATGCACACTTTGGGATCAGGTTTAATATAATATGATCAAAGTGCTAAGTTCAGGAAAAAAAGGAGGAAAAAAGAAAAACTTTAACGATTTCCAAAAGGTGACCGGGTCGAACCCAATCACCCAAAAAGATATACACAACAAAATTTCGAACGATTTGAAATAAAATTAAGGTGATCACCTAAAAAACACATCTCCGAAGCCCATTCAATAAAGGCGGTGTCAGAAACTGTGTTAATTTAAACTCACCTGTGCAGCTACAGGATACGGCAACAAATAATGCAGAGAAGCAAAGAGCACGCAAGAAATGACTACGATTTTCCATCTTCGTTACCGTAAATTACACCGAGTGGCGCGCCGGGCCTGCGCTCTTGTTGGCCGGCAGTCTGTTGGACGTGAACGCTGTGATTACTCGGCTCGCGCGTTTAAAATGGAGAGCGCTCCTCACAGAGAATCGATTACAAGGAAAACCACCAAGATCATGCACTAACTGAAGGATCTCCGCAAACTGATACCAATGCCCTTCATTTGGCGACTTTTTGTAGATAATCAATTGTACAGTCTATCCCAACGTCAACGGAAACAGAGATCATTTTCCAATGATAATTTAATAGGTTACCATGGTAATATAAATATTAATATATATTTGGATGAGGCGCTGGATCTTACCACCGTTTCCTTAAACCATTTTCACTGCCGCCTGTTTTTTTCTCTTTATTCACCTACAATTCATAGTTGAACTCAATTATTTACGCCGGTTTATAACAAAACCTAATGACCTTTATTTTGGTTCAAAATAAATTAATTACCTGAGAAAAAAACAGGAAAGACGGATAAAGTTGTATTTGTGGCGGGGCATTACGTCACGGTCAACCGCAGCGTTGTAGCCAAGGGGGCAAGGGGAGGGGGCGCACGCCTCCCATAAGCAAAAATATCGTTGCCCCTCCCCCCACAGTCGCCCCCTCCCCAACCGTACATTGGTTAGTCCTATATGTGATCATTGTTAAATGAGTTTCACAGAAAATAGTTGCATTGAAAATAGTACTGGTACTAAACACTCTGTGAAATTATTCCATCTGGCTTGTTGTCATTTAGAAAATTACTTTTTAAAAAACTGTATGTGATTTCTAACGATCAGTCTTTTGACTAATATAATCGTTGGAAATAAAGCTTATTTACAAATCGTGTTTCGTGAACAAAAGAATGTGCATGGTTGGTCAATGTTTTCTCCCCCCCCCCCCCCTCCACTTTAGATATCAACTGAGATGAAACTTCAACAGGTTGGGTTTGGAACATTGGATTTTGAGTGGTGTTATTATTGGAAGCGAACACCACATCGGAAGTAGTAAATTTGACTATAGGAAACAGTCAAACTAGTACCGAGCTGACCCTAGCTGCACATAGTCAGCTGGGTGCGAGTTTGACTGTTTCCTCATCGAATCGAACTATAGGTGCGTTTTTGTGTGAGAAAACGGAGTGTAAAAAGTCGCAATCTAATCGGACAAATCTTCTAATTTTAAGAGCAAAACTTGGCATCAATGGGGTGCTGTGAATTTCCTCTCTTCACTAAGAGAGAAGGAGTTATACTGACTCAAACGGGCAATGAGCAAACTTGGGTTTGTTTTATCGCAATGCTCCAGCACAAGCCTCATATGTCTCTTTTTTCTATAGTCTTCGGGGTTTTTTCCTGGAAAGAATTAACACACTAAAGCAAATGTTAAAGTTTAATTGACTATATAGCGCGTTGAGAATTTAGGGAGAAATACACAATTTAAAATTCAAAAATTAATACCCAAAATTGAAAACACAGAGGCGGGTTGGCCGAGGGGCATTTCTGAATCGACGGAGCTGAAACGCGCCCGATAGATCCCTCGGGATACGTGAGGGGAAAGGGTCATTACAATAACGTGGGCATTGTACGGCCATAGACGGAAAACCAGCCTGTGTTATATATATATTTTTTTAAAATGTGGTTGCGTAATTTTCATTTTGATTAATTAATTATAGTATTTGTTGAGTTTCCCAGTTAGACATTTATTTTACACTCTCCGATAAACCAATACAGAATGGGGTAATATATGCAGTCGACTCTCATTAATACAAACTCAACCGGACCTACCCAAAATGTTTGTTATATCAGAATTTTGTTTTAAGAGGAGCGCTGGTCCCATTCATTGTGCACATAAAGCACAGCCGGGACCAAGGGTTTATGTTTGTTATACCAGAATTTGCATTTACAGTGTTTGTATTAACGAGGGTGGACTGTGTACAGTAATATTAAAGTAATAGGGAAAAAGTGTAGGTAACTAACACAAGTAACAAAATAATTTATTAAATTGAGGTTAGTAAATAAGGAAAATGGAAAGAAAGAGTAATATAGGAAAGAACAAGGATGTTCACATAAGCCTCATCCCATCCTACCCCACCCCCGCCCGCATTAAGCCCACAAAATGTGGACAGTCACTCCAACCTCCATTGAGGTTTTCAAATTGAAAATTTCCAAAATTACGTTTTACAGAAATTTGAATTATAGATGACGAAAATTCTCGGAAATGAAATGTAGGATCCAGACGCCACTTCTTTGGTTGTGTATAAAATCTATGGAGAGTCGATTGCGCAAAGCATTTTCGTACAAAATTGCAAATGTTTCTCAGTCCCAGATTCGTGTTGTTTCAAAGTTTTTGCAATATCCTTTCCAAAGTCTCAAACGATTGACTTCAGGGGCGTTAATCGGGGGGGGGGGGGTTAATATATCCACCCACTTTAAGACCGGGGGAATGGGCTATTGAATCATCCCCCACTTTTTCGTCATGAGGAAAAAAGCGGATTTTGAGGTATTTTTCGAACAGCCAGCCCAACAACGCAAATGTATTAAATAGCATGGCTGAAAAGTGGAGAAACGAAACACAAAAGCTTTAAAAATGCGCTGCTTTGATGTAAGCGCGAGTATACATGTCTATCATAAAGACGTCCCCTAGTGTAATGTGGTGTCCAGCCCCCCCCCCCCCCCTTTTTCGCGATTTTTGGATTTTGGTCATTTTTTATATTTTTTTAATGTTTAACTGGCCCAATAAGCAGGGTAATAAAGATGAAGCGCCTCGAGAACCAATAATGGTGGATACGTGCGCTTTATAAATACCGTTTATTTATTATCCAGCCCTGTCTTGGTGGTTTCCCACATAATAATAAGTCTTTGTTCAACTAGAGCATGCAATGCACGGCGATACAGTCAGGATAGAAGTCATAAACCTTTATGTGCCATGTATTCAAGGCCGGGATCACGCAGTCACGATGTCAGCAACATTACCAATGCTGCAACACGGGGGAATGGCAAGTGGCGAACACTGCGAGAGGAGACGGTTTTTATAACAATCAAAATTAATAAATCCCAAAGGGGAACTATAGGTGCAGAATAAAATAATCATAAGTTGAGCAAACAATGCCAAGGAGACATTTTCTTTGCTCAACATAAAAGAAAGTAATATAAAATGCACCTAATTAGTTTCCCTTTCCCTTTAAGGTTATTTGAATACCATTAAAACAAAAACTAAACAGATGCAGACGTTTTCCCCAGAAATATCTTAAATGTATACACCATTATTGAATTATATGCATTTATTTACATTCCATTTTGTGATATTTCAGATATGACATTATTTTTAATTACTACAAATTCATTATTTTCTTACAAAAAAAATACCTACACATTTAAAACAAATTGAAAAAGCGAACGAATACGAAAGCCTGAAAGAAAATTGCTAAAAAACATTGCATGTCAGTCACATTTAGGCTTTTACAAAGAACAATCTTGATTCTTTTTAAACACAATGGAAAATTCCTTGTAAAAAAAATAAAAAGTGTGCAGCTCTGACCAGAATATATTTAACCAAAACAAAATGAGGCAAAAAAATTACTGTAATGGCCTAATTTGCAATGGTCAAATATAGTGTACAATTTTTCGATATCAAAAGTCATAAACATCAAAATACATGTATAGCTGGGAAGCAAACAAAAAACACTGCCATAATCCCTGTTTTAGAAGAAAAAAACTTTTACAAGTAAAACCCAATTAATATTTACAGAAGGGATAAGAACTTTCTGAAAAGATAACTCCAAATCAACTGGATTGATTAAGGCATATACTATTTACTCAGATTTACAAAGGCATTAAAGATTAGCTTTAGACATACCTTATACAGACAGCATTATTCATATATAAACAAATTATACCCTTGCTCATATTATGTCACATACAGGTGATATTCGGCAGACCCCCTTATCTGGCAAAACTGGCTCGCAGGAATATAAACGTATTTACAGAGTAGACAAGTTAAGTGCAACTGAGCGAAGATGTCAAAGAAACATTGGCAAGATCCGCGCACCCTAAATCTTGTCTGTGCCCAAGCAATTCAGAACCCTTATATTTAAGATCACTTAATATCAACTCACATCCCACAACTCTTTTCAAAGTACACTGTAGTTAAAAGTTACATGACAATGGAGTATTTGGGAGGAAATTGCGAACGAATTAAAAAAAAAAATGTCAAAGAGACTCCCACATAGCTTGATACAATGCATTTGATGGAAGGAAAATTCCAGAAGAGTCAACTCAACCCCCCTCCCCATTGAAGAAAATCCAACAAGATGCATCAGGCTGGATTCGAACCAGGATCACACTGGGATGACAGAGGACAAAGCACCAACACACCCACTATGCTATAACTTCATTGGTAATATTTTATAACAAATATTACTTTCAAAAAGCCTTAGAATGCTGCGAGTATCGGCCTTGTAGTTGAGTCCATCGGGGTTAAATCACTACGTCATTCAAAAAGATGAAAAGTCAAAAGTAACAGGGGATGGACAATGACTTAACTTAAGGGTGTCTTTGACACACTTCATCTTCTTTTTTCTTCTTTTTTACAAGAGACTGAAGGACTTGTTACTGACTTGTAGGGACTTCATTTCAATTCTGGCGAGGGCACATATTGTTTGCTCACTCGATTATTAGTCGGATGAATATCCGACTAATAATTGAGCAAACACATTGTTTGCTCACTCGATTATTAGTCGGATGAATGTTTCTTGCAGACCGTAACAATTTTGTCAAGTACTTTGACGAGTGATTCTGAGTCTGGTCAGAACATTGGATGCTTGTATCTGATAGTTTTATTTTCACGAAGAAACTGTGGCCAATTAACCTATCGCAGTAGAATCGCGTCAACGCAGCTTGTTGAATATTGTCCATTTACATGATACACAAATGGACGCGGAACGCGCAAAATCTCAGACAAACAAAACTTAGCGTCCAAAATTCCATGGGGTTGTCTAAGGGGCGTGGCTAACTCGCACACGGCGATAGGTCAATGGTCCGATCCAGTAAGCTCCGCCCACTGCGCACGTGGGCAAATTACCACCTGCTCCTCTCCAATGCCTCGCTGCATTTTCCTGCCGCGCGCATCATACGTGCGTACATGCGCGCGTACACGCATGTCGGACTTCTGTGCACGCACGTCGGACATAAATCACGGCTGTGATTGGTCAGTACACCATGGGGCGGTGCTTACTGGATCGGTCCATTATGTACACGGGGACAGATTTATAACAAACGTTATGAATCCAAAACCTGAATAAAGTTGTAAATATTTCAAGCAACTTTACAATCAGATGACCTGCTAATCCATTCGCATTGCATCATTTTTCTTGACCTATCAAGAATATCCGCAATTTAAATTGAATCTTTTTACTACTTATTTTAAGACCTTCCATTTTCTATGACAAAAACTTTGGATGTGTTTTCTAAAGCTGTTCCTGTTTTACCCTGATTACCTGTGAATACACAATGGGTGCAACTTATAAGCAAAGTAATAACCATAATTTATTGTAATGACTCAATTTTGTTCCGTAAAAAAGGAATTTGTTTTTCTTTAGAAAATATATATTCAACTTTACACTATTATTGAATTGTTGTTTACACTAGAATGTAATTTTAGGTGGGTACGAATTCTGCAGGTTTTGCATATTTAAGAGGTATTGGTTTATTTAAATATATCTGAATGCAATTTACATACGTTCATAATTTGTGGGGAGCAATGCATTACACATGATCCTAAAGGTTTATACAAAAAACATTTTGCTCAGAAACTGCCCCTTTAAACTAAGTTGTTTTTTTGGTCTGTAATATATATAATGCTTTCTATTAAGGCCATTTATTCGAAATATTCTCCACGTTCTTGGCAGCTTGCCCACGGAGACAATTTCAATGCTCTGCCTCCCATTAAAGCCCTATGGGCTCCATGTGCCAACGAAAGAGGGTGCCCTTTTACCTAGCAACGACGTCCCATGAGCGGGACATTTAGCTGGTTGACGCGCCCGTTCCTTGTGTGTGACGCACGAACACCAGGGGATTTGTACTATGTACACGCAGTGGTACGGCCGTGCGTCGCGGCAAAATTACAGTCATGCAAGATGGCGTCAGTCGGTCACCCCCAACTGTACTTTCTTTGCCAGTGAGGGGTACTTGTGAACGCTACCACATTCAAGGTATATAAAGTCTCTGCTCCAATATATTTATATACACTATTTCAACAAAATGTTAACAGTATTTGAATATTTTAACATACCAAAATTAATTACACAAATTATAAAACCCTTAAACAAGTCTTATATACAGGGTGAGTAAAAAAAAAAAAAGAATGAAACCCGAATGTTGGGACCATTGTTTTAGTGAAGTTCTGCATGAAGCACTTTCAAAATCTAGGATATGAAAGCCCAATTCATAAGCTTTCTTTTAGTTTAAGAATCATTCAAATCACTTATGTATTTTTGAAATTACGGAATTTTAAACACAACGCTGTTTTAAAGTTCTGTCCACAGATTATAAAAAAGGTGTGCATTCTTTCAGCAAAACGAAAACAATTCACACACGTCCTTATGTGATTTGTTTTCGTTTTGCTGAAAGAACGCTGAACTTTTTTTGTGATTCGTGGACAGAACCTTAAAACGGTAGTTGTGTTTAAAATTCTGTAACATGAAAAGTACATGAGTGATTTGAATGATTCTTGCACTAAAAGAAAGCTTATGAATTGGGCTTTCATATCCTAGATTTTGAAAGTGCTCCATGCAGAACTTCACTAAAAAAATTGGTCCCAACATTTGGGTTTCGTTTGTTTTTTACTCACCCTGTAAGTGTAATGAGCTTCTACATACCAAACATTTACACCGTCTTTGCACTTTTCGAAGTAAAGATTTAGCTGGCATACACATGATCTGTCAGATTCCACGGGTAAATCTTACACGATCACGCAGTTACTGATAACAAACTTATCACATTTTGTCCAGCATCAAATGCACCACCAACTGGCATATAATGGAATTCATTCTTTAAGTATCTTATTTAACAAGGTATCTCGAAAGTTTCTTGGCCAGATGCTGGCCAAGAAATGTGTCCATCAAGTCTGGATAAAAACTTCAATTTTATGCAAATCAATAAGTACAAATCATATTGCATATTTTTGTAATGCCCTTGCAAATCACTCTTTCTTCCACTCTTTATTGCATGTTAGTGAAGTGCTCGAAATTTGAAGTTCATTGGCAACAAGGGCTTTATACTCGATTATTAACAGTTCTTTTAGACTTCTGTCCCGAAGATTACGTTTTAAAGCTCATATCCGATACTCCTTGGATTACGAGACATTTATGTGACTGTATCACTTCTGTGTAGATTATATATGCCTGCACTATCAATAACTACAACAGATCATTGCTACACTCCCAGTCTTAAAAAACAAAACAAAGAAAGACACAGTAAGGCTTTATAAAAGTAGACCAAATGAATAGTCTTTCGGCGATGTGGAATGGATTACCCATTTTATTGTTGTATGGAAGTTGAATAGTAGTGGGCCTCAGGATCTTGGTTGGTGTTTGGAGCCAAGGCGACAAAGCTCTCTGGGTGGTCTCTCGGACGATCATAGTGGGAAGTGTTGGGTAAAGTTGCTCCTACGGAAAGATATAAAAAAGTTGTTCACTAGGGTTAGATAGCTCAGTTGGTAGAGCACCGGCTCGTTAATCTAGAGGTCGCAGGTTCAAACCCCGCTCCAGTCAATTTCTTTGTTCAACTTTAAATAATGTTCATATGCACCTTGGGGTACCGAGTCGAGTAACAGAAACACTGAAGGTCAAACTAAATTGAAGTAGTTCTACTCATTGTTGAGACAATGGCAATAAAAAAAACCTGCTAATGTATTACACTGGATGAACGGTCAGCTTTTACAAATGTGCATTTCCATGCAATTCTCAATACTGGTACGGCATACAAACACAGAAGTGCAAATTGCCCTTACTATAAAAACCATACCTTCCCAGATTTCAACCTTTCATAGGCACGAATGTTCCCAGCAGGCTCTACTTTACACAGCTAGCTAAATGATAAAGACTGCTTGTCTGTTGTTGTTTTATTGTCCACTCACCTCTGCTGGTAGAGTAGACATGGTCAGCAGGGAAGCTGGAGAAGGTGTGGCGGTCGCCCGGCTGATGCCTAGACATCATCTCTCCAACCTCGGCGTACGGATTTTCCGTGAACCCGGTTCCCGGATTGTCCGGTTTCTCGGACAAGAAACCATCATTGTCTATCCCTACAACCAGAATGAAGAATTGGATTATTTTCTTAAAGGTTCTCCTTGAAGCCGTGTGAATTATGGACGGAGAAATCAAAGGGTCTGATCAGTTTTGCCCCAGTCCACAGCCCATGTCGGCGATATCACAAAAACCTCTCCCAAGCCCCACTACATGTACAGAACCAAACCTTGCACATTACATGGTAAGTGCAGGCATCCTAAGGTAGCCCTGGTACATTTCTTGACCCATCTTGACAGCTTTCAGATTTTCAACCTCGACTAATACAAACTGGACTATGTATTTCACCTTTGATAAAATTATACAGTGCCAAAAAGTGCATCACTTCAAACTATATCGCCACCAAACCATGATAAAACACATGTTAGCTTCAACAAAGGTTGTAAAAGGAGAGGAGAAGAGCGCATTGAGTAACGTAAGTAGTCATAAACCCAAAATGGAGAACACTCATACAATGCAAACCATTTGGGTGGAAGAAATCTTCACACATCAAAGAAAACTGAACTGGAGTAAGAATTGAAAAGCTAGATTCTGATTCCAAAACTTTGAACTTTTTGGTGACAATTTATAACAGTATTTCTAAAAAGGTTTCTCATTAAAAAAAGTATATCTTAAAAACAAAATGATCTTTAATTGACCATGATATAACCAATACAACTTTTTTTTTTCTTTAAGACAAATGTTATATAAGTAAAACTAAAGTCTGTCACGAGCCAATGGAACCCATCAGGCCGGCATTTATCTCAGGTTTCAGAAGCGTGAAACGACTGAGAATATTTCTACTCCCCCTGGATGGGATGCTAGTCCATCGCAGGTTACTCCCCAGCTAATGCCGGTACCCATTTATACTCCTGGGTGGAGAGGGGCAAGTGGGGATGAAGTGGCTTGCCCAAGGACACAAAATATGGCCAGCAGCTGGATTTGAACCCATGACCCTCTGATCACAAGTCACGAACCCTAACCACTAGGCCACACTCTCCCCCTCCCAAAAGGATCTAGTCCAAACAATATTTTCAAAAAGGTTGCGTGTCAATTGTCCATTTTAACTGAAGGGTACCCTGACTTCAATTTGTCGGCTGTATGATAAGTCTGCACTTACTTTTGCCTTTGCCATGTGTTAACTTGTTGGGCACCTGCCCATTGAAGCGATTGACGTCGCCGTACGCACTGCAAGGTTCTTGGTTGTGCAGTAAGTGGTATTGGTATGGGTTAGTTGCCTCCGCTTCCGCCTCTGTACATTGTACAATATAACCATTTTACCCAGACAGAGAAAGCATTGTTAAGCACCTTGGCCGTCTACCAGTGAAGCACATATCATGGAGCTGCTCAGCATTAAAGCACAGATAATTAATTGCTTAGCAAGAATGGTTACCAGCTAAACTAACATGAGACAGGCAAGTATGTGTATGTATTGCTTTTTGACTTGTACTCCACCACGAGCGAGTTGGGTGCGAACAATAGTTAACCATAGTTTGACTAACTCTGCTCGAACCGAAATATGGTTGAACTACTCCAAAAATTTGGAACCGGACCAGGGGGGCACGTAACCATTGCTACATGTAGTTATCAAAACCTGTGTGCATCATGAAGCACAACAGGAAGGCAAGTCCAGGAAGTTTCGTGATGACGTTTTGACTATAGTTTGACTGGAGGCATTCGCATGTTGCGCAGGCCTAAGTTAAGTCACAAATTCGAAGTCTAGTCGACTAATGGTCCTTGCCTGAACTTTGCTCAATTTTGTTTAGGACAAAAATGTTTTGGTAAAGCAACTGTGTTATACCAGGCAACTCTCATCTTGAGACAGCTGAGCTCTTTTCTTAACATGTTAAGATTTGTTTGCTAAGCAGCTCCATGACCTTTGACCTAATCTACCATACATGGCCCAGTTGTCTATCAGAACAACGGTCTTTAACCAAAGCAAAAAAGTGTGGTATTTCAAACAAATTTGTGAAAGTTCCTAGCAGAACAGCCCCAAAAATTAGGAGCAGTTTTTCAACTGACTTCAGACCATGACTCTTGACTTAATCTCACTGGGAACTTGGAATCATAATTATATTTGACATGGCGGACTTGACTTGACATGGCAGATTTTCATCGCTGAAACAATTTGCAAACTCAAGACATAAACCGTTTTGTTCTGATAAGAAAATTGGGCCCACTAACTCAGGAAAGACTTTCTATACTTGTTAGTTTTGCACTAGGAGCAAGTAATATATAAAATTATGTGCAATACATACTTTTTTACTCAAAAAGTGCAAATTAAAAATATTCTTAATATCAAGCACAAAAAACACATTACAGTGTGCGAGGATTCCAAAAATGCAGAGTGCGCCTTCACAGAGGTCAGGTTTTGTTATTTATTACTTCAGTGTCTATGAAAGTACAGCGGATCTACTTATGCACATAACAGAGGAACAAAGGCCTGCCCTCAGTTATGGAGTCTATGCAAGCAGTCTATTACATGAAAAGAGCGAGCAGAATGCAAGAGAAGGATAAATATTGAGGAGGTAAGGGCCGTCTCAAGTCATATCCAGGACGAGTTACCAGACAAGTTGCGGATATTGTATCGGGTACAAGTTGCAGGATTCTAAACAACTTCTCCACAATCTTCCCGCAATAAAGTTATCAGTATCACAGTTTGTTGATAAATATTTCCCTGGGACATGTCCGAGACAAAGGCTGAGCTCCTTCTGAACTGAGTGAAGGATTCTACCCATAACTTGTCCGGAAATCGTCCTGGATATGTCGTGAGACGGGCCCGAAGGGGTCGTTGGCTTACCAGCAGGAAAAAGGAAAAGAAGTTGGGAAATGAAAGTAAACCGGAAATAAAGGGACAAACCTTTGCTCTCGAGGGCCATGGCCGCGGCGCAAGCGCCCTCTGGCTCTATGTTCTTGGCTGGGGGCAGGTTCAGTGAGTTGTTATGCATTCTGAGGTCGTTGGACGCGCACATCGTGCCATTGGGCAGGATGCGGACATGGTTGGGCGTGGAATTCATAGTGTTGGTTTCCCTGGTAAAACTGGGGGTTTTAAGGAGAGGATGGAGAAAAAAAAAAGGGGGGGGAGAGTGAAGAGAAGAACAAACAGAGGTCGTCAATTTGAAATTCTTACAATTTTAAGCCAAGTAGACCTAAAATATAACACAATGTTTAAAATCTGCAGATCAACATAAACATATAAATAATATCAAAAATTTGTCAATCATTTCTTCTCAAAGATTTTTTTTAAGAATAAACAGACAAATTTTGGGTTGTTTCAAATTCAATCTAGCACTTATCTTTAAAATACATTGAAAGTATGAATATGTAAAAGAAAAAAAAAATATTCAGAACAGCTTTTTTTAAAATTAAATTGACACCCATAATAAGCAAACCAAACCCACAATAACTGCCCCCCGTCCAAAAAAAAAAAAAAAAAGGAAGATGAAATTAGATTAAAAAAGAAATACAGAACCACTAAACAAATTTGAAGACTCACACAACGCCTGGTCCCTCGTATTTTTCCTTGTTCCTTCTCCGTTTCCTCAGGAAGAGCAACAGGAGAAGGATGAGAGCAATGAGGCAAATGACACCCCCGGCAATGCCGGCATAGAGACCCCCGCCTGGGCCGTCACTGTTGTCTGTTTGACCGCCCTGGACACCTTTAACAAAAAAAGAAAACCCCAAAACACCATACTTTTGTCAATAGCTGTTTGCCTTTTAGAGCTGAGTAGAGTTTGCCAGTCACACTGCCCTCTGATGTCTTGAATGCTGGGTATGCCATTAATCAACAATTGTTATTACCATCTTGATTCTGTTACACCGTATTATGAGATACCATGTTCTGTGGCGTAACTTGCAAACCTGCAAGCATGTTTAAAAGGTAGAGAATTTCATTACAATATTTGTTTGTGTAGTCCCAACCTTGTTGATAAACAGTTGTTATGAGTCACCCAGCAGCCACAATGTAAACCTATAGTCTCTCTATCAGTCTATCATTAGTTGAAGTTGTTTGAGAGTTGAGTGCCCCAATTGCGAGTGTTTTGCTAGTCACTCTGTGTCGTTGCCCGCTTCCCTCCAAAGCGTCTGAGAGGCTTTTTATTAATCATTCCTGGTTGAAGAACCATTTCTATTATGACCCTCCGCCTAAGGGTTAATCACTGAAGAAAATTATACCCTCTACAAATATAAACATTACAGATATGACGAGTTATAACAACCAGAATTGGCAACAAAACCTTTGATAAAAAAAAAAAAACTTGTAAGGATGCAATACAAAGCGATAAATCTGCTTTTCACAAGGACAAACCATCACTTACAATTCAGCATGACTTTGAAACATGAGGGATGGTAAGGACAAGGAATAATATGAAAAGGTCAATTTCATGCATATTACCACTTTTGCTTTAAATTTGGGGCACAACACTACAGGTCAAATGCCTTGCTTAGGGACAGCGGCATCAGGATCTCACCATTATTGCACTCCGCTCCAAACTCCTTTGGATTGGTGCACACACATCCCTGGATGCTGTCACAAGCAAAGTTTTCGTTGGCGCAGTTGCATTTCTGGAGGCAATTCCTTCCGTAATAGCCTGCTAGACATGCTGTTGGGAAAAGCAACACACAACTGCATAGCGACTATCCTGGAGAAAGTTGGGGTCATTGCAAAAAGCATTGTCCTCTAAGCTGGCTGTGGTACATGTAAGGTCTGCAAGCCGACTTAAGTAACTTTTCAGAAAGGTGATCACATCAAACTGCTTTTTGGACAACTAACTACAACTTGAACATCATGCATGCAGGAATTTCGGGAACGGTCATGGGTACTATGATAGTACAACAACACTGGTTGAATGGGTTACGTGATGGAAAGTTGAAAGTTTTCATAAAATTTGAAAATCATCTACAGTGTTTTCATTACAACTATTACTAATGCATCAAGCACAATACAAGTGATGCATGCGAGTTAAAACCACTGAGGTCACATTGAAAAACAAATCAATTGATTATCATAACTTCGCAATTTCATTAAAATGAAAATTTATGTAGCTTACTTGCTGTTAAATAAGGTGGCATTAAACCTAAATTATGACCTTCAATGACAAGATTTTTTGGGGGATCAAAAATTGTGCTTACTTTTCTCGCAGCTAGCACCGCCGTAGCCGGCAGGGCAGTCGCAGGCTCCTGTCACGTGATCGCAGGGCGCCCCCAACTGGCACGTGCAGGCTTGCAAACAGTCCGGTCCAAACTGCCCAGGCGGACATTCTGGAGTGGGAAAAATAATACACAAAATTGGTGCAAATTTAACAAACAAGCGAGACCAAAGCGACCCTTGAACCGGTAACCCCTGGAGCGCTAAAACAAAAAGAGCTGTAACATTCTTGTAAGGAATCCTTGGAGGTGATGAACTTACTGTCCGTGCACTTGGTACCCAGCCAGCCTGGTTCACAGTAGCACGTTCCATCAAAGGGGCTACAGGATGCGCCGTTCTGGCAGTCACAGTCCAGCTGACAGGCTAGTCCATAATGCCCATTGGTGCAGACTGTTTCAAGGGCGAAAACGAGAGGAAATGTTTACGTGAGAAAAACAGCTGCAAAATTTTAAAGCATTTACAATTTCAGAGTTAACTTCCAAAATGCAATACATCCACCGAAAAAAAGTGAAAAAGCTGCAGGGTTTACATAACATATTACATGTACAAGAGCTGTTTCTAAACTAAACTTTTCGCTTTGTTGTATTTTAAAATTGTTTTTTTAACCACAAAACAGCCATCGAAACTGACTTTTGGAAGCCAGAAGAGGGCGGCATTCTAAAAGAAACAAAAAATCTAAATGGAGTCTCCATTTCCAATGAACGAAAGTGACATTGAATACAACTGAATTAGGTTCTCAGTAGAAATTGTGTGGTTTCTTATTTTTTTTGGCACCTTGTAAAAATGGTTCACTGCGCACTTCAAATGGAATCGGAACAATTATGCCAAGTTGAAATTAAAAAGTTAAAAATTTAAGTTAAAATTTCTCTCTCAACTTTGTAACTGGTAGGTAAACTCAAAGTTAATGAATGGCAACGTTTAGATGAAATGTCACTTACTGTGAAATCTGAATTAAATCTTGTACCCTAGCAAGGTACTAGAGGTGAACAATCAAGAGGCTTCACGTCTTTTTCCATACTTACATTCGTTGCAAGTCTGCCCTCTGTAGCCGACCTTGCACTCACAGTACCCGTTGTCTGGACTGCAGGCTTTGGTGGTGGTCGTGTTGCACTGACAGGACTCGGCACATTTGAGGCCAAATCTACCCTGTGGGCATCCTTCAAAAAAAAGGAATACAACCAAAAATGTATCAGGTTAGCACGAAGAGCAACTTTACAAAACTCTAAGTAAAATAAGGTTGGAAAGGGTGCGAAATAACTTCTCTTCTTAAAACAGATTCACACCAGTTGAGATTATAAATTTGAGAAACACCATCTCACTACCTGGACAATTCAGACAGAATTGTCCCTATTAAGAAATTGTATTCAAACTGTCAAATTAAGAAGTAAACAAGGAGCAAAATGTAAGTAAACGGCAAGAAAAAAATTATCTTACAAAAACGAATTATTCTGAAGGTGTTTCTTAACTTAAACATAATTTTAACAAAACTGCCAAGCTTAAAACATAAGTGTTTCAAAGTGTTTGCTTGAAACCCCTTGAGTGCTGTAAGGACCGCTGAGCACTAATCCTCTCGAATACCAATCTTGAACAGTTGTACCTTGAATGAAAACTGTGCACAACTAACTTACGAAAAACAGCCAAGGTATCAACTATTCATTTTTGGTGGGCTGCAATTTTGAGTACGTATGAACTCCGGTGCCCATAGATGGCACTTAGTAAGCACTTTCGAAAGACTCGCCCAGTAGGAGAGACACCATGCAGCTATACTGGTTCACACGACTAGTTTTATTCTGAAAGTGAGGAAAAAACCTATAGCCTCTTCGCGGTCTCCCCTAACTCTCCCTTCACAACTGTTGAGGGGGTATTGCGCACTAAGTCCACTGCCAACACAAGCATGCTGACATAAATCAATCTTTAGTTGTGTAGTATTTTCCTACTTACTTTCAGTGCACCTTGGACCGCTCCAGCCAGCTGGGCATTTGCACTCGCCGTCGTACGGCTCGCAGGTTGCGTCATTCTCACAGGAACAGGTCAAAGCACAGTCCAGGCCGTAGCGATTGGCCGGACAAGCTGTTGATAATCAATTCATCAACCAATGATAATCAGTGATAATCAATCAACAATAATCAATCGTATATCATGAATGAAATATCCAAAATGCACTTCATGTCTTATAACTAAAAAATGCCAAATTTGTGTAACATCATTTCTTTAGTGACTCTACCCAAGCCCACCATATTAACGATTCATTTGAATTGGATTTAAATTCTGAGGGAGAAACTACTAGGAATAGACTTAAGTGTGAATATGTCCACTATGTCTTCAATCAGGTTTCTATTTCTTAACAGTGCCATCTTTTGTCAGACACATGTATTGTTTCTTGTAGTTTTATGACAAGTATTATTCCGTACTAAAAGAAAAAATATCCCCCTCCCTCAAAATTTTTTTTTTAAAGAGTCAACAATCTGAAAAATTCCATGTTGACTTCATAAATGACAACTTCAACCTCAAATATTGAATACAGATCACAATGCTAACGCCATCTTTCAAGCAAAGTTTAACTCAACACAGGTGTGACGTCTTGCACTTACGCATACTGCAGTCTGCGCCGACGAATCCTGGGTAACACTGGCAGGTACCATCCTCGGGGTTACACGTAGCGTTGTTCTTACACGAGCAGACGCCCATGCACTCGACCCCGTAATGGCCACTCTCGCACACTGTTGAAAACCAACAACATCACAAGTGTTAACCACCTTCAAAGCCAACTCAGTCCATCTACAGAAATTGGCAAGGGCTAACTACCACTAGCATGGTTCCTGAATGTTATAAGATGAAGCACATGCATGCAGATTCTGCCTTGCTGAGAATTATTTCCTGAATGCGAAGGAACAAAATTGCTCATACCCCTTCTAGCAGATCGCATACAGCATATTTAAGTTGCATTCATGATTTTCTAAATTTTGCCGGGGTTGGCTGGATGCTTTGGATCTGATAAAGCAGCAGGTATTGCAAATTAATGTCGTACGTACCTTGGTCGCAATTGTTGCCCTTGTATCCAGCAGCGCACACGCATGTTCCATCCACGGGGTGGCAAGTGTTGCTGTTGGGGCAGGCAGTGCAGGGATGCATGCAGTTGGGTCCGTACATCCCTGCCGGGCATGCTAAGAGAACAAATAAGAATGATAATCATAATTAGTAGGAATGCTACATCAGGGAGGCTTTCCCATAGTCTCATGCACTAATAAAAACCAGCAAAATTCCTCCCATGATCCCAATTCTCAAATGTTCCCCTCCCTAAACTTTTCAAATATATTCTCCATCTAAGGAATAGCTTTAAGCAACTTTCGACAGTAAAATCCATTCTGGAAATGGTTGTTGAAGAATTGGAAAGACGCGGAAATGTCTCACTTTTGCCCAGTGTCTCACTTATGTCAAATAAGTTACTATGTGTCTCCCTAGGGTAATGTTAACTCAATCATGTTACCAGTCCCATGCACTCGGAATGTTGTAAGCAACTAGGACCTCAATGACAGTGTGTAGGAGGCACAGATTGTTTGTGTGGGTGGGACTAGTGGGCCGTCACTGCGTTATGGGGAAGTTTTTTATTGTTAGGCAAATGAGGACTGAGTTATGGGGACTTTCTGCTGTCCCCACAGCGTCTTCGGTCCCCATAGTACCATGGGACAACTCATGTGTAGTCCCACAACTACGGAACAAGTATCAGGCATTCAACTGGTAATGTAGAAAAAAACGAGGAAACTTCAAACCACACAAGACTTTGTACAGTATTTTTCAATTTGTAATGGCACTCACGAGTAGTAAAAAAAACCGAGGAAATCAGCGGATCCGAGGAAAAATTGCATGCCTGAATTATGCATGTACTGATTTGCGTTTGTATGATTAGTTTTATTTGAAATGTGCACAGACAAAGATTGCCTTCAGGTGAGCGCCTGACTTACAGGGTCAATTTCAAAGTCCCTCCATGCTCTCTCTCTTTCAACAAGCGAGAATCTACTGGCCTAAATGGTGGAGAAGGGCCTTTCTTTGTTGTTATTGCGGGTTGGGGGCGGGGGGAGGGGGTGAAAGAGACGCCGACTTACTGTCCTGACAGTTAGTCCCAGTATATCCCGGCTGACATTCACAGGATCCGTCTTGCACTGAGCAGGACCCGCTGTTCATACAGGTGCACGTCTCGTTACACAGCATACCCCAGGTACCCAGGGGACACAGACTGTTGCAGTTCACGCCTGAGGTAAAAAAAAAGTAAAACACTGAGCAAAAAGGTTTTTAAAATTTCGAGTTGAGGAGTCGTGAAAATGAACTTTACATGTAAGTTGTGAAAAAGAACTATAAGTTACAAATATCAATAAATCTGAAAATCAAAAAGAAATCACACCAACTCAGTTTTTTGGGGGCATTTTTCTCCACTATGGCCAGTGCCCAGTTCCGTCTCATTTTGGCAGAACGCCTCACAAGTGTTCAATATTCAGGTTCAAAAGATAGTTTCTTGACATTAGGCCAAAAAAAAAAAGTCTCCGGTTTCTGGTATGCGCGCGCGTCGCCGTAGCCATGCGCGTCGGCAAAATTAAAAAGTTTTTTTTTCAATAAAAGATGATGTCTCAAAACCGCCAAACTCACTGGTTTGACTGGAATCCTGCTGCTACACAATTTTAACGTGTTTTTAGATTTGGTTATGGTCGAGAATAAGCTTTATGTGGCCTCTCTGGACTCCCATATATTTGCACTAAGTTTAGTCGGGCACCATTTGCAGTCATCAGCCGACATTTGAAGCAAAAAAATCGGGTAAAAAAAAAAAAGCTGCGTCGCCGCACCACTCTTTGGGCAAGCTCCATACCAGAAACCAGAGACTTTTTTTTCTTGACATTACTGACACAGACCTTTTTATAATTTGTGACTAACCTGAGTAACCATTGATGCACTGACACTCTCCAGTGGCGCTGTTACAGCCTACGGAGTTCATAGGCTGGCAGAAGCCACAAGTATGCATACAGTTTACACCATACTGGTCTTGCTGCAAGTTAAACAAGAAAACCAGACAATCCAATGCATCAAGTTCCTATAATTTGTTTGGACACAGAATTATTGCCTCATCACTAAACTGTGACATTAGGTTGGAATTTCTTTTATCGATATTAAGCAAAAATGTATTACGCAAACATGTTTTACGTGGACTATTTCAGCACTGCAAGTTTAAAACCATTCCAAGAAAAGTGGGTGTGGCTTATGTCTAGACATCACAAGTCTACCAGTTTCATTGTCACATGATGTAGTTTTTGTCCAATCAGAAGACAATACAAATTTACATATTCAACATTAACCCTTTAGTCCCTGTACTGCCCTGAACCCAACTAAATCCTCTACAGTTCTATGGATCCACCATGGGATAAATACAATGTAATACAATGTAATACAATGTAGTACAATGTAATACAATGTAATACAATGTAGTACAATGTAGCACAGTTGCTGATGGGTTAAAAATAAACCAGTCCATGACTTACAGGACAAACCAATGAGCAGTCTGCTCCATCCCAGCCTGGGGGGCATTCGCAGACGCCGGTCACATGATCACACAGCGCATTGTTGGCACACGGGCAGGGCATGTTGCATCCAATGCCGTAGAAACCAGCACTACAAGGAATGTCACACCTCAACCCTTGCCAACCTAAAAACAAAGACAGAGGGAAAATAGTTACCATAGTTACATACAGATATTTCCTTGAGCGAACTTTTTTTACTCTTAGTACAACTTCCGACAATTGATTCAATTTAAAGTAGCATGTTCTCTCCATTTGAAGACAGCAAATTCACATGGTTTATCCGCAAATTTTTCCCAAAGTTCCCAACTTAGAGTTACTATAAATGTTCCAAGCCGCAGATTTTTCAGAGATCTCAAAAATCAAACCTTTAAGAAACAGTGTGTGTCTATACAAAATGACCTTCTTCCAAATTCTTATTACCATTTTGTTTTGTCCTGCAATGCTTTATAAAGCCACAATCCAAATGATACACGATACAGAAGTAGAATGCATAGCCTGCTTTATCTGCAGTGCCACATGGGAAAAAGTTGATATTTGGTGGGGGTTTTTTTGGACAGAAGTAGCACTTTTCAAACTTTGAAAAAAAAACCCTGTTTTTTATTTACAAGGCTTCCAAATGAATCTGTCATTATAAAGGTTAGATAATTAATCTTGGGATTATATAAAGTAATAAATGTGGCCTCTTTGAGGCATACTCTGGGTTGCGCGGTGTAATGATGGAAAAGCAAACTTTAAGTCCAACCAATTTGATTTTTCCAATCTGAATAGAAAAATACAGTTGATGGTACCCTGTAATGCTGTTTAAAACAAAGTTACAAAAGGCAGCATGAAGCAGAGAAGGCCAATAGTTTTATTCATACCATCACTGCAAACACAGCTTCCGTCGACGTTGTCACATTTTTCACTGTTCACGCCGCAGTCACAGCGCTGACTACACCCGTTTCCATAGTAACCTACAGGACAGGTGTCGTTACACCTGCAAGAACCAAAGAAACCATTCAATCTGATTGGCTGACAGTTTATCACGATTCCATTAAAACCTTCCCAAGTACTACTGTAAAATGTTAATTACGCGTTGGTCTGGAAATTTGCATTGGATACGTGCATATTCTTCCTTATAGCCATTGTTTCTAGCAAACATAACAAAAATTTTAAAAATGGAGGCAAATCCAGACATTATTATGTCTACACAGATTGTAAGCCAAGAAATGTTCTTTACAAAATGGACGACACGTCATTTTTGAACTGTGTCAATTTACTTTCACTTTCTTTGTATGCTAAGAAGGAAATTCACTTTGATTTTCCCTGTGTTGTATAATATTTATCAGCAAACAAGACCTGCTAAACCTCATTCAAAAACAAGCTCGTCAAATCTACATTCAACTATAACATGCCAGTGTCTATTTCAAATCAACACACATGTTGATTTGATTTTTTTTAAACAATAAAGACATTCTTTGGTCTACACTTTTCTCATGCAAAGTTCAGAGCAAGAAACGCAAAAAAAGGAGCCAAAATAAGTTTAAACAAAGTTACATGTCAATACAACCAACAAATAACTTCAGCCTTGAGAAACCTATTCAATCAAAACAACTTAACTTGTGGGAGGCCAAACTGAACACAAGTAAAATATCCAGCTATTTGATGTGCTTATTGAAGTGGAATGAAACTTGTACATGTACGTGTATACAAATGATTATGATCGTTGGACTGGAATAGACAGTGGGTGGAAAAACATTGAAATCTACTGCAGTTATTGTGTTTATGAGTTTGCATTAGGGCAATTCCACCATCACAGGTTTTATATTCAGAGCCTACCGATACATAGTACATGTAAGACCAACTTGAAACAACAAAATAAAATACTTGCAGTGAAAGCACATTTTATATTTGGTACAACTCTAGCCTAGGCCTTAATGTACAACATGACATAGTTTTAACGTAGTGTTAGCTGATTTAATTAATGAGATAGATATAAGCACTGTAAACGATTGTTATGGACGTTACGCTTTAAGACATAAGTTCATGCCACTTTAAGTTATTTTTTATAAAATATGAACTTTTCACTCTGTCTTAAAACAAAAACTCACAAAACCGCTTACGTTTTGCATGTGAAAACAAGATGCCAAACTGACTACTTAAAATTTATAATTTTTGCCCGAAAATTTTTTGTTCAGAACAAAAATAAAGTAATAGATTTGAGCACATTCTATCTAATACTGGCACACCGCTCAAATAAAAGGTCTTGTTGTCCCCTTTTATGTGATACCACGTTTGAGGTTGTGATGATAGTTCTGAAGATTTCATAAATTGTTCCACTTTTCAGCCATGTCCACTTTTGCATGGAATAGCCCATTACTGAATGAGGTTTGAATGCAAATTTAAGTTCTTGAAGACTGTTGGTGTTTTACATGCTACAGCCTGTCTCCAAAAAAATGGTACAATCAGAAAAAAAATTGGTTAAATATGAAATTTCAAAATAAGTCATTCTTACTTGGCATAATATTAAAGAACAAAGACTGGGCTTTCCAATAGCGTTTGTTTGATCTTATTTGCTTTTGTCAATTCAGAGATATAATCAATTTAGTGCGATACACCAAAATCGATTTTGTGCCACTTTTATGCATGGGCAGAGTTGCTTCGAGTACTGTGGCACAAACTCAATTTTTGTGTTCCGCAGTAAACTGGAGTTATCTCTGGATTGACAAAAGCAAATGAGATGAAACAAGAAGTATTGGAAAGCCTGGTCTTTTTTCTTTAATGTGATGCTCAAAACGACTTACTTATGTTGAGATTTAATATTGAAAAAAAAAATCATTTTCGATTTACCATTTTTTTTTGAGACAGGCTGTACATGTTTTATCAATTTAAACTTTACCAGGGATGTTTAATGCACAGATAATCATCACCGTGTACATTTTGTGATGGCTTCAATCCATTTCAGGCAGCAATTCACATGTAATTTGTTTTTGCAAATACTGAAAATTGCAAAACCATAACTTGATATAGAAGATACAGTGTAATATCAATTAAATGTTAGTTTATTTTATCAGATGCCCAGTGGGAAGTTCGCAAGGAAGTTCAATTCTAAACGATTGTTTCCTGTCGGTTGGGTCTACTTGTACTTGGCTCAGGTTTGCTACTTATGAGCGAGAACGTGATGAAACATTTTTTTTTTTTACCAGACAAAGAAATATTGTGGGCAGAGACATGCCTACATGCATGCGTGGGTGGCTAGTACATACATGTATGGGTGCAACTGCCATGACTGCCTTTATAAAACTGACAATAAACTGCATGTAACATGGAAATACCAAAAGTGAAAGCTACAGAAATACAGCAGTCTTTTGCAGTTCAAAATGTTGCCACCGTTCAAGAGAATAAAGGCATTGTAAAACGTTTACTTTTTGCATTCACAAAACTACATTGTACTATGCTACCTTCTCTCTCAACAGAGTCTGTGGTTGTTAAAATTGTGGACTATTTGGTAATTTTTGTAAAATTACTTTGATCATTTTAAAAGAAACAATATGAGGGGAAAAAAACAAAAAAAAAACAACGATTTTGCATAACTTTTTATAGTCATTTTATATGAAAAAAAAAAACAGTTCTCAAAAAAAGAAAAAAATACGGAAAAGCAAAGCAAACATTATTAAAAACTTTGAAAATTTTATAAATCTTTGGAACTATTTTTGGTTGACTTACAAGACTCCCTGGAAGCCAGCAGAGCAGGTGCAGGAGCCGTCTACTCGGTCGCAGCGGGCCCCGTTCTGGCACTGACATATCTCATAGCAGCCTGAGCCATAAAAACCATGAGGACAGCCGTACTCACAGTACGTACCGACAAAGCCGTCATTGCAGAAACACTGGCCGGTCAAACCATGACATCTAGAGAAAAAAAAGAATTCAAAGGATGTTCCAAAAGCGAAACTTGTTAAGTAAGATAAGCATAAAGTGGTCATACAATTATCTGGATTGCAAAACCATCCTCAATCCTCAAAAAAAAGGCCAAAAATGTTGCACTTATGTTCAAATGACGGATACCCAGCGCCTCAATCCTTCAAAATCGTCAGACATTCCTGCCTCTCAAAATGCATTCCTCCACAATCCTCCTCTTTTTCAAACACCATTCATCCTCAATCCTCCAAAATCCTCATGGTCTTCAACACCATTCATCCTCAATCCTCCAAAATCCTCATGTGCGAAAACACCATTCATCCTCAATCCTCCAAAATCTGCCTAGTTTCTCCAACACCATTCATCCTCAATCCTCCAAAATGCTCCAAAACTGCCAGGAGGATTGTGTAGGCTTGAGGAGGGTTATAGGGTTAAATTAATAAAACTGAATTATGGCATATACTCACCCAAATGAATTTAGCCTGATACATTCACATTCACTGGTGCAGTTGGTATGAAAATACCACGGTGGGCAAACTAGAAACAAACAAAAATTAAAAAGAACAAGACTTTTAAAGTTGAACAAATTAATTGACTGGAGCCGGGTTTGAACCTGCGACCTCCGGATTGCCGTTCCTGTGCTCTACCAACTGAGCTATCCAGCCGTATGTTAGCAGTTCCTCAATTTGTCAAAGTCTTTGTTCAAGGGGCGCTGGTCAGAAGCCATAAACCAGTATTTTCTTTGTAGCCAGGTACCACGCCCAAAGATAAAAGTAAAAACAGATATGCTAATGTCTTAACATATTCATAATCTTCATTAGCTTCAACACTGTTATTGGAAAGAGGTTAATCCAGAAATGTTTATTCATAGAGGTCTTCCATTGCGCATAAATTACAATTTATCAATTTAACAATATGCAAGTGTAAAATATGTGTCAAACATTGAAAACAGGAAAAATATTACTAAACATAGGCCTGAGAACACAAAGTGTCACTAACAAACATGAAAAATTTTCATATTAATAAATTTCAAAATAATCTATAACTCAATCCAGCACAAAATGTCCTGTAAAATGTAATGTATTTTTCCCATGAACTTTTCCTTTTAATTCATAACAATTACAGGACCTTTGAATTAGGAAAGCCTACAAAAGGCAATGTTATAGGGCTTATAACGAATAATTTCATGAAGTTCTTGCAATTTGTGGCTCAATTTTAACAAAAGATGTTGCTCAACTTACTGCTTTGGTCACATGTTGCACCAGTAAATCCAGGAGGGCATCTGTATGAAAAAATAGACAAAAACTTTATTTTGATATATAATGAAAAAAAAAAAAAAAGTTTGGACATGTTTAGCTGTCACTTCTGAATAAGAGATAACACTGTAGAATGTGAGTTAGGAAGAATCAAATGACAGACATTTATTAATTGGCAACAAGACTCATAGTCTAACAAAACTCATGTACAACAAGCTACTAAATGCAGCCACTTGCATTAACAAGGCAACACAGAGACAACAGCAAAACTCACGTGCAACGTCCATCGACGTTGGAGCACGTTCCGCCATTGGTGCACTGGCATCTGTCCAGGCACTGCTGGCCATAGTATCCGTGGAGGCACTGCATCTCACAACGATCACCGACAAATCCAGGACTGCACACACAGACGCCTGTGGCTGATTGGCACGGTGACTCGTTGTAGCACTGACACGTTCCTGTACAGTCTTTGCCATACGTACCCAGACCACAGACTTGGGCACACACTTCGCCCTGAAACAGTCAAAATGTAAACTTCAATACACATGGTCAGTTTCACAGAATAGTTAAGGGAATTGATTTAGTGAGCACTAACAGACAAGTTTTGAATGGCAAAAATGTCATCAAATGGGCCAACATTCTGCTTTTATGAAGAATTTAAGTACCATGTACATCAAATTAGGTTTTGCCCTTCACCGACGTTTAAACACTGTATACTCAGTGTGTTACCTCCCGAGTGAAAGTTGGAAAAAATCACTCGGGTGGGACTTGAACCCACGACCTCCTGCTTTCTAGTGCAGATGTCTTACCACTCGACCACCGAGCTAACGAGATCGTACATGTAAGCAAGGAATCCATGATGTACACACGCAAAATTATGCAAAAATTCTTGGTTAACCCAAGAAATATGCTTACCAAAGATCAAAATGTTTGGCTACAGAAAAGCAAAGACATTTTGCTTATAGTTCAGCCATGGGCTCCAATCCATCACACTATTCTCATAACTAAACATGAATAGAGTAAATTGCAGTAAATACAGTAGAGTGAAGTAGTTGTCTTGCACAAGGACACATGCAAGAATCATCAAGGCCATTTTGCAAAATCAGCTTGGGCTCTCAAGCTTAATCTATCACTATGAATGGTTTAAAAGACTTTAGGAATAAAATAAGAAAAAGTTCAAAACAAAGCTTTGTAGAAATACTGTGGTCATATGTTTCAACAGCAGAAATGTGAACACATAAAGCCTAAATCTCAAAAAACTGACCCATGAAACTTGAGTCTGGAACCAAAGCAAGATCCCAAGCCAAGTCTATTTGAATTCCAAGCCTGAACTTTAGTCTATCACTACAGCACAAACGAATGTGTTAAGCAGTGTTTTCTGACGAGCAATAAAACACACTGAACCAGACTCTTACGGTGAAGCCGGCAGGGCAGTCGCACGCCCCGGTGCTCGTGTCGCACACTCCTCCATTCTGGCATTGGCACATCATGGAACAGTTCCGACCGTGAGTTCCAAATGGGCATGGATTCTGGCACCTATGTACAATAACAGACAGACAAAAAGCGTAGGATCAGTAGTTTTTTGTGGACCCAATGGGCCAGCCTATTGTAATCTGACTTACTGAGTTACCGACTGCCTGACCAACTGATTGCCTGACTGCCTGACTGACTGTGTACCCCCCTCAACGTTACGAAGGGAGAGTTGGGGAAGACAACTGGGAGAGATAGGCCGTGTCCGAAATGGGCTTCCAGAGCTACGGCTACGTCTATTGTCAGCGCGTCCTCGCATATTTTCAATGGGCGCAGACCTAAACCTAGCTCTAGACAGCTGATTCGGATGCAGCTATATGTGAATGCAATGCTAACGATGCCTGCCGCTCACACAAAGACGCTTTGGGTATGCGCACATTCAGAATAACACATGTCCTATGTACACCATGCCATTTGCGCTTGAGCCAGTACACCACGTGGTGCGTTCCTCTCACTAGGCCTTCAAAAGTCATCTCAAAGCGCCCTCTACCATTCGTGCAAGGAGTCTAAAAAGTTGGACGGGTCACTTATTACGAGCGCCAGGAACAGTTATCTGGGGGTCACAGATTCACATTCAGATAAGTAATAAATTGCCAAATGTGAATTATAGGCTGTAAAACCAATTTTTATTAACTGAAGAAAAAGTTACTGGCTTTATCTAAAATTTCACGAAACTACAAAAATTGTTTGTTTTTCGCCAAGGAATACGTGTTGAAGGGACTTTTCTGTGTATAACCAAAAGCGATAATTTGTTCATCAGTGAATACTTACAATGCTCCTTGGAAGCCATCTGCACACTGGCACGCGCCGCTCACGTGATCACATGTCCCTCCGTTCATACATTGGCAAGTCTGGCTGCACTGTGGACCGAAGTAGCCAGTTTGGCAAGGCAGTTCACATCTATCTCCTGCAAAAAGAAGGAAACATGGTTTAAATTTTTTTTTTTTTTAACTTGTGATAATTTTTGGAGAAGAAAATACAGTTTAAAAAACTGCATAGAATTGCTAATAAAAAAATCATTATTATATTTTAAGTAATGCACAGCATCATCTAAAGATGTACAGTATGTGCTATTTTCAAGATCCACCCCTGAAAACTAGATTTTTTTATAAATATTTATCTTCCAGCAAAAGACACTGAACAAAAAGAAATCGCCTAACATTTCGGTAAAATGGTTTTACTTGGGCATTACAGGTGTTAGAAAGCAACGCACAAGTTGTTAGGAGTAGAAAAGAGGAGAACAACCCTAGGTGTATAATTCCATGGTTAGCAGCGAGATCTGAGAAATTTTGCAAAAATTAAGAAATCATTTCAGCTCCCTGAATCGCCAGGGATGTACACAACTTACCCCTGTAACCTGCAGCGCATGTACAACTCCCGGTCCCAGCATCGCAAGAGGCGCCGTTGAGGCAAGTGCAGTTGTTGGCGCAACTGGGACCCCATTGGTTGGAAAGACACACTGCGTGAAAAAATACAAGACAAATTTCATTAAGACTGGATGTTAGTGGATTTTGTTTGTGATCCTCAATGTGACCGTAACCAACCAACATGTAAATATGCATAATAGTACATGTATGTAGTTCAGAATACAGTCGAATCTCATTAGTGCAAACTCTGTTAATACAAAATTCTGGATATAACAAACAAAAAGCCTTAGTCCCGACTGTGCATTTATGTGCACAATGAATGGGACTGATGTTCCTCTTAATACAAAATTCTGATATTACAAACAATTTGGCTAGGTCCGAATGAGTTTGTATTAACGAGACTCGACTGTCAGTTGTTTCATGGTAATATGCGCCATCTTGCCGACGAAGCAATGTTACATGCGTTGCTGTGTACGCATCGTCAATAAAAAACTTTGGCACTTCCAAGTCGTCATGCGGTCATCCAAACTGCGGCCGCATCTAGCACCACATGTTCTTTTTGCCCCGTGAACAAGATGGGCATATTATGAAACACCTTATTCACAGATGGGTGAAAATCCATGATATGTATTCTGCACACTTCACGTGCACTCCACCTATCAGAAACAGGATTTACGATCTGATTTTTCTCCCAAGATTGTACTTTAAAGTTTTCAGGAACAGCCCTCAGACACATCACTTCCTGTCTGAAATAAGAAAATCCGAAGGAGGTCACAAACCATGCATACATGTACATGCATGCGACTACATCAGTCTGATATATGATCTCCAAGACCAAGTGCATTTTTTTTTACATGTACATGTACATAACATTTCTGTGCCACAAATTTATGAAAGATAAATTCAAACTCATTAATTACATTGGTTATCCATATTTCAACAAGTGCTTGCTTCACATTGTTATATGGTATTTTAGCACCTGTATTGCATTGCATGACACTATAATTATGTTTATTCCTCGATGAGTTGAAAACTCTTACAGCGCACAGGTGGGTTTCAGGGGTATTTACATGCATGAGAAATATCATCATCATCATCATCATCATAGTCATCTTCATTGTCAACATCACCATCCCCGCGCCAAAAACATTTTGCGAGATCCTCCCAGGGCTAAATACATTTTGCAGAATCCCCATCATCACACCATCATCATAATAATCATCATCTTATATGATTATGTTTAATATACATATAAGAATTTTGTACATGTAAATGTTGGTGCAATCATTTGAGTGATTTTTGCTTGGCTTTTTAACAATTAGACTACCACTGGCTTTTTCCACGTAATCCTTGACAATGCATTGTACATTTGTGCATGTACATGCATCTGTGAAAACATTATACAAGACTTCCCTGTCCAAAATCTGGCTACATACATGTATATATACTTGACCCTTTTCATGACATACCCAACAGGTATGGCTAGGTTTTACCAACCAAATTAAAATCGAATTTCAGGTCTAATCATATTTTTAAACTTTCCAATGCAATAACAAACCTTCTCATTTATGCTTTTGATTTGAGAGATGTGTTTCAAGAACTGCAATGTGTAATTTCCCTCTTCGTTTTTTTGAAGTGGGGTTTTACGGTAACAGTCAATTACTTGGAATGTGCATTTTCACTTTTGAACATTTTATAGTCAACTTTAAAACCTTTGGCATTCAGTCTTCACAATGCGTTTTAAAATCAGAATTGGGATTCCCAGGATGTGTGCACAAAGAAGTAAAATCCTGGTACTGCATGGCACACGGAACCACATGTATAGAAAAGAAATTTGGGGTGCAATTTGACAATATATCAAAACGGGGTTACTGGAGCATAGCTGTGTGGGGCACAAACAGGCATCGACCGGGTTAATCTACAAATACCAAAGGTATCAACAAAAAAAGGAATAAAAGCTAGCGCTGCCTGGCTGTGCCAAATGTGTGGGTGGCAAAGTTTAGACTTGTAAGCTTTTCAGCCTTTTTACCTCGAGGGCATTTGTCTGAATCTGAACGCAAGTCATCGGACAATAACAACAGCAATTATTTGTGATGGAAATAGCGATGAATCATGGACATGGGCTGACAAAACCTTTTTTGGAGTGGGTGCTTTACACTGGGCGTATTGCGGTATTCATCTAGGGTCTTGTTAATTTGAAATACATGTTGACCTTTCATTTCTGTTATGCACGGCACTTGTGATTGAAGTGATGAAAAAATAAATCATTCTGACAAATTTTGAATCATATTTGATCTTAAAAAAGGGAAGTGAGGTGCAAAATGTGGACTAGACTCCCTAAAAAAAAAACTGATTGAAAAATATATGAACATGCACTATGTACAAATAAAGATATTCATACAAATACAAAAAATCAGTTCATTTTTTATTTGACATTTGAAATTTCCTTTCATCTCAAACCAAATGTTGACGATTTTATTTTGCCTTATGGTACACTGCTTTAAATTCAAGGCTTTTTTTTTGTGTACACGCAACTGCATCACTGCAATTTTTTATTTCAAACTTACTATCAGCTCCGTGCACAAGTACCCCCTCAACGGTAAGAAAGGGAGAGTTGGAGGAGACCACTGGGAGAGACATTTGAATGCATTGCTGGTGATGTCTGACACTCATGCAAAGACGCTATATGGCTTTGTGTATATCCAGAATAAAATAAGTCATGCGTACTTCGTGCTACACAGTACGTGCATGAATCAGTATGCGCACATGCTGTGTCCCTTTCAACGGGCTCTCAAAAGTGTAATGTAAAGCGCCCTCTCTTGCTCGTGCACAGTGCCCATCACATTAATTTGGAATCAATGGAGGAACAGAGACTCAGAGAGAATACTTACGGCTGTTACATGTGCTTCCCCGATAGCCCGGTGAACATGTACAGATGCCAGGGGCTGTGCACTCTCCATGGACACACCCAGTATGGCAAAGAGCTTTGGAGAAGAAACGGATCATTTTGGACGTGAATGAATGGCCAGATTAACAATAATATGTATCATTTACAGTTTGGTAGACAAAGTGAAATCAATTCATGAGTTTGTTGCCGTTTCAATCACTGTAAATCAACAGAACTCTTTACATGAAGATTGAAAGGCACAACCATTTCTTTAGGAGAAAGTAGTCATGTGACGTACTATCATTTCTCAAGAATGGAATTTTAACTTCACACGACAACTTTTTCATCTTAAGAAGAGGGTGGCGAGTCAGACCAAGAAACTGTTTTAGGAAGAGGCACTGGACGTTTTTTCCGCTGAGATCCTCTTTATCGCTGTTTGGGGACCGTACTTGGCTATTGTTGACCAATCCCTCCCTAAACCACACCATAGTTGAGGGTCGTATTGGCAATGAACATGGTGGACAGACGTCACAGCATGACGGAAAAGTTTGTTGTTGTTACTATAGGGAAATTAGGACCGAGTTACAGGGACTTTCTGCTGCCCCCATAGCGTCTTCGGTCCCCATTGTACCATGGGACAACACGCATGCAGTCCCACAGTTAGGGAACAAGAATGTGTGTACTTACGAATGCATAGTGACTCAGACTGTGCGTAGCCATTGCAGCATTCTCTTATGTCCCGATAATGTGTTTCAATTTTCTGATAATATCCGACGCGATACATTGTCCTGCAAAAAAATATAAATCAAAAGTAAAAGGCCCCACAATTGTTACTTTTACAATAATTATACACAAGCTCAATACTAGACAAACATAATGTTGTTTTTTAAAATTGATTTTGAAGGATCTTCGTTCAGTAGGGCTTATTTATACTATCAAATTCATTGAATTAAGAAGCATTACCTTCTCCGTGTACAGCGGAACCAGTTCAGAATGTCGGTACAGCTGGTGTAGTAAATCTGTTCAAAAGCTGTTTCCTTAGTGGCCATAAGTGTTACATGATAGCTGTAAGTATCAAAGAATTTAAAGAAACAAACAAACAACATGTCAGAATAATTTTCAACTAAAACCAGTCGTTTTCCTTTTTGCTTTTAACATTAATGTCCATTTATCATTAACCCACATAATGCAGACATTGTCTACTGTGCCGATAGCTAATTTAGAAGAATATAAACATCAGAAAGACATTCAGTTATGAAAAAAAATTATTCTTTTACACCAGCTTATGGTCGTACGGGGATGGATCACATAAGCCCTTTTCACACTAGACAAATCTCGGGCTTGACGCAGGGTTGAAAACATGCATCGTTTCACACTTGAAGAATTCCAACCCTGCGTCTACCCTGCGTCAACCCCAAGATTGATTTCCCCTCGGGTTGAACTGAACCCTGCTGCAGACCAGGGTTGAGAATTTCAACCCGGGTTTAAATTCTTGCCAGGGTTCGAAACAGTAGTAACTGAGCATGATAAGCTTGATTTGCATGAAACAAGAGTGAAACGATGCGGGTTGAACGCAGGGTTGAAAAATAAAAAAACTCAACCCGGGCCGGCACTGGGTTCGCCCAGAGTTGAGTTCAACCCGAGTTGAGAGGCTCTAGTGTGAAAAGGGCTATAGTTGAAAGCCTAAGCTTGTGGCATGGGACAGCAATCATGGAATGGTTCAATTTGAAATCTCCTTGCAATCAGTCCATGCTCACAAACTTGTGCGGAGAATACCAGCATTCATACAGGTTCCATGGCATTCAACTTCTGTATTGTCTACTTCTAAAACCTTGTCTAAAAGTACGTACACCTTGACCTTGTCAGCTGAACAATGAAAGCATAATTGAAATACAATAGTCTCTAGTGCGATGCCATCTCAAAAACAATTGATGTTACAGATATCTTTCATTGCACAAGGCACATACATGTACATGGAAAATCCTTATGCCCAAGTTATGCAAACATGTGTACACTGTAGATAAGACTTCTCTGAGCTGTGTCGAAAAATCTGTTTTTAACAAAACTTACTGACTTCTGCGAGTTTTCTTTTGTAAAGTCTTACAAGTAATCCATTGTAACACAGTATATTTTGAGAATGTTACACATGTGTACGTTTTTTTTTAAATTTGTATACAACAGCAACATATTTAGGGGGTGCATACCTATGTTCCCCAATACCGATGTTCCCCAATACCGATGATTCCCGAAATCCTTACCCTATAACCCAAACCCTAACCCTAGCCCTAACCCTAATCCTGAGGATTTCAGAGAATATCGGTATTGGGGAACATAGGTATTGGGGAACATCGGGTAGACCCCATATTTAGGTCCTTCTCTGTCTTAACTAGATGTTAAAAAGTTTTAAATTCCTTTAAGTTTGAGATCTTATCTGGGGAAGTTGCTCACTAATTAGCCACAAATAAATATTAGGCCCCTTCTCAGCTATTTTTAGGTGCTGTGTGAAAACCAAGCAAAAAAGGAAATGTGACTATACTGCAGATATCCACCCCTCCTTCCTCAAAAGATAAAAAAAAAATAGACTTTTTTAATTTCTTATTTGGGACTTTGGAAAATGCAGTCTAACCTTTAGTGATTCCACACATAGGAAATGACCAATTTTTAGGTTGTTAGAGTTGGCTTTCTTGCTGAATGTACGTACGCAGACAACCTCCCAGTTTCACTCAAAATTTGTGTGGATCTAACTTTAATACTGCACCACTGGGAATTAGGACCCATTTGAACCCCCCCCCTAAAAATCTGCCTCCCCCCCCCTCCAGGATACAGAATAGTGGCAGCTAATTTTAGAAAGTTTAAAGTTTCCGTTTCACATTGATTGATTAGGCTACCTCTCCGTTCTTGTACAGACGTGTGGCCCATTCTGATCCAAAGACAGGAGGCCTGAAACGTCGGCTATTCCCATAGAGAGTATCAGGACGAGTGACACAAGCATCACGTGTAGAGCCCCCATAGCTGACTCCTTGGCCACTGTTAGTAACTTCTACACCTTCAATCAGCAAAAAAAGGGAAGAAATTTAAAATCTACTTAAAAATAACAGTAAATTTCATAAATTGTCTTTCAGGTTTGCCAACAAACTCAGACACCTTCAATCAGCCAAAAATGGAAGAAATTTAAATTTACTAAAAAATAACTGTAAATTTCATAGATTGTCTTTAAATTTTGCCAACAAACTCCACCCCCCCCCTCCCAATCGGATGACAATTAAGCTCCAACATAATCTTAAATATTCCTAAAAACTTTCAAACGTGTGTCTTCAAAATTGGTTTTTTTTTCATTTCTCTGCACTATATTAGACAGATTTTCAGAAGAAAAAAACTGCACAACTCTCATAAAACACAAATATTATAAAACGTCTTTCTCCTAGCTGCATAATGCTTTGTATATTGAAGCTTTAATGTCACAGATTCTAGAAAAATCTAAAGCACATTATTTACAAATAAAATTCAAAGGATTCTCTAAACCCACAAGAAATATCCACATAAAATACAAGTATCACATACTAAAAACTGCCTCCATTTATATAAAAAAAAATCCCACTTGAAAAACCTCACACTGTATAAAAACAAAAATTAATCTGAACTTTTCACAACAGCACCTCAATGATCTGTTCAAAACTTTCCTGGAAACTTGATCCAGTAGTAAAAAAAAAAAACCTCGAATCTGATAAAAGACCTTTGTGGCATCCACTTACCTACGTTGTGTACTTTTATCATGTTTGTTTCACAAATACTTGTGTTGGTATCAGCATAGGGCACATGTAAACAACATACTTGAACCAACAACAAACAGTTAGCCTGAATGTGTTTTTGTAACCTTAACCATCATGACATTTACCCTCCAGAATCAAGATAAAATTTCAATGTTGGAATTTAGCAAAGTGAATTATGTTGACTTGCCAGTCACTAAATACAGCATGATTTGTCAGCATACTCACTGTATTATAATAATACAGTGAGTATGCTGACATTTTTTTATTGTTACAATAGAGACACAGTAGTTCTTAAAAACAGGCAAGATACTTGTCACTCAGGAAAAAGTAGATAAAATGCTTTGCAGAACCTCCCCCCCCCCAAAAAAAAACCCCAAAACAAACCAACAAATAAACAAACAAACAAACGTAATGTCTAGAACAAAATGCTGAAAATGAAGAAAATAACAGGAAAATTTCAAGGAGAAAAAATTGTGTAAGCGAAACTGCGTATTCCTTGTTCAAAAAAGTTAGAGAATTTAAAAAAATAATAATAATAATTAAGATATAATTTGGCAATTGTCAAAACATGCAAAGAGAACTTGTACCCCTGCATTTTTTAACTAATATGATTCTAGATTTACGAAAATATCAGAAGCTACGTATGCGCTTTGGAGCAATTTTGGGGGAGCACTCACTCGCCCCTAGGCCTTACAAACCAATCCCAGCAAAAACTCACAAAGGGCAATCCAAAGTAAACTACAGAAAGTCTAGAGAACAGCAAGCAACAAACTTTTAGACCATACACACCCTGGCTGAATAATGCTAGCAAATAACCCTCCAGCATATCGCATGTAAGTTAGACAAACTTGGGAATTTACATTCGATACTTCCCTATGGGGCAGGTTGTTTATTGGACTCTGATGATTGACAAGAGTCAAGGTAAAAAGTATCAAATTTTTTCACCAATCTCAAATTTTGAACACATATGTATGGTCACCTATATGTACCTTTTTTCAGAGTTCCCTCCAGTACAGACTACTCCCTGTGGTCTAACTTCAGGACCTCGAAGGTCAGGGGTCAGCCAATGGCCAAAACACAGTGGTCAGTCCCTCTATCCACACTCACCAAGGCCCCACACTGTGTGTAGTTTTCTTAGCCCAACTCCAAGGTCTTAGCACACCAGTGTTTAGTGATGTCACCAAGAATGACCTCCACGTTTAACAGGACATGGATCTGTACAGGCCAGAGAGGAAATAAAAATCAATAAAATAAACAGCAGTTTCAGTTTCAAGCTAAATTTAAACAAAAGCTGAAAAAAAGTACTTTTCAAGTTCATTACTTTTGAAAGAGAATGAAAGAATTTCACATACTTTTTTTTTTTTTAGGTGTTTGAACTCTTACAAAGTATAAATTTTGTTTAATTGTCAAATGACACATGCGTGTGTACTGATCTACATGCTGGCATGACTGAGAAACATGTAGGCCCTACCCGTCATTTTATACGGATACACTGTTAAGATCCTCAATCACTTCACAGCTAGCTTATAGCCTGGTCATCAAGTATAATTAACACCTGTAGGATGAAATTTGTAAACACAGGATTCAAAGAACATGGACTGTACCTACTGTATGCAATTGTCTTGGAACTGTAACTGTGTACACATTCCTCTATGATAACCAAACATCCGGCTAAACCTTTTCCTTGCAGTTACACATGTATACCCAAAAAAAGCTAAATGAATGTTGTAACATACCAGAAAATCAGCAGAATGACAGTATGACGGTTCCTAGCCCAGTAATGCAATGAAGACTTCGTCTAACCTGGGCTATGACGGTTCCTAGCTATTGCACAAAGTTCTATTTCACACGTAAAAAAGTACCCTCCATGGTACGTGTACCTTTACATGTAGTGAACCTAAAAATAGTTTTGTGTTCTCCTGCACTGCAGTGCTTACTTTACTCAAAAGTATTGTTGTAAAGCACTGTACATGTACCTGTCCTTCACAACAATATTTCCAATGACAATAAAAACTATTGTTATGCAATGTGGACATGACCATTACTTGGGGGGGGGGGATGACAGGCTACTAAAAGCAGTTAAGGACGCGCAACTTTGATTGTAATCAACCATCAAGCTTACAAAATATGGCATGCTACATAATCCAGCATGCTTTTTGTCCCTAAAAAATATAAGACAAATATTGTGCTATAATAAAGATAACCTCTGTCCTTGCTCTATGCCTTACCACATCATGAGACTTCTAACCTCAAGGTCACCCCCCCCCCCCCCCCCTTATGAAATGAAAAGGGCTGAACTATTCTTACCAAAGTTGTACCAGCCTCCTTCGGCAGCAATCAAGTTTCATCCTCACAAACTAAAGTAATATTTCCTGTTGTACTTCAAGCATGACAGGCAGCAACTCTCTGCCAAGAATCACTACCCCTCAAAACCTCCAAAGTTGTCCAGTCCACAGACCCCCCTTTTTTTCGTTCCCTCCAAAACTGTGAACTCAAATCTTTTGGCCTGCCTGCCTGTTGTGTGGCACAACAATGTATTACCTCAGGCTTGAAATACCCCCTTTTTGAAGCCAGTTTCTATAAGCGAGATCACGTAATCTGTGACTCACCAAATTGACCATATATGGTGAGGATGCATGGGGCCCGTTTATACTCAAAGGGGGCTAAAAAAAAAAGAGAAAGTGTTGACTTGTGTTTGAGGACAACCTCGCAGTAACTAAGGATATGACATATCGGCCGCTTTCTCGCTAGTTAAAGTTCAAAGAGTTTGCTACAGACTATCAGGCATGCAACTGGGAAGTCACACAAAAAAGAGGAAATTCAAATTTTTCCCAGACTTTGTACAGTGTTTTTCTATTTTCAATGGCACACTTGGGAAGTACAAAAAGAGGAAATCAGCTGATCCGAGGAAAAGTTGCATACTTGTGCTTCTGATTCTCAAGCCTTGAGAAAAACGTTGTCTGGTCTAGCTCATATATTCACGCATATAATTTTAGCATTTATGGCAAGTTATTCGAAATTGAAAGTGCACAAAAAGTGTATATTAATTAATCATTTATGACACATTTAGTTAGATTTTTTTTTCTTTTGAATACTTTTAATTATCTCTTTCCAAATTGGTCATGGGAACCAAAACCAACATTGGCCCTGCCACTATAATATGCAGACCATGGCAAATTATGTTTCACTTTCTGGAGAAAAAAAAGTATCCTAATTCCAAAACTAATATGAAAAAAATGCTCACACACACGGAATTCATCATGCACATGACAGGGCTGCTAGATCAGAAGACAGTTCACTGATGCATGCACTGATGTAATATAGACCCAATAATACATGGAATAAAATCACTCTTAGTCTGGGCATAGTCTTTGGTCAAGACATTAATTACCCGATCACCTGCCAAAAGAGGGCATTATCAAAATGATAATATCATCATTCATGACCCATGAAGTGCTATCACAATTAATCAGGATTCAAATAAAATTACATTTTAATTAAATAATTTCTATCAGAGTTGGAAACCAAATACAATTTAAGAATTGCATCATATACATGTACAATGCAGTGAGGAATAGATTGAAATTGGGCCCGCTTTAGTGGAATTAATTTCATCGGCAGATCTGTGTGCTCACCCTAGCCAAAAACATAAAAAACCCAAAGGACTTGGAATCCAGACTAGTCTTGGCAATGGCAGGGCAAAGTGAAGCCCAGGTTTTGGAGAAACTGGGTTCCATCTGCACATCCTGGTTTTCAATCCTACCATTCAGTCCACAATGAATTGAGCTTGACAGTTGAACACAAATGCCAAACCACAAAACAGGACTTAAACAGGGACAAAGATCAGCAAGCTTTTGTGCAACTTCCAGACTAAAATAGTAAACACTACGGGGCACTGTATGTATCCACTTTCGCTCCCAAGCTAAAAAAACACAAAAAAATAAACTCTAGATTCACAAAATGCAACAAAATTGATGTAAATCAAATTAGGTTTCGCCCTTCACCGACTTATATACACTGTAGGCCTATACTCAGTGTGTTACCTCCCTAGTGAAAGTTTGAAAAAATCACTCGGTGGGACTCGAACCCACGACCTCCTGCTTTCTAGTGCAGATGTCTTACCACTCAACCACCGAGCTAACGGGATCGGTTGGCTGGTTTGAATCTGATGTACATAGCAGCGGGTACCGCATTAACTATTTCTATCTTTTGAAAATTGATGTACAATATATGTACAAAATGTACACGTACATTGGGTGGGTTTTTTTTTGGGGGGGGGGGTTGGCAAAATATTAAATTCAAAAAAAAATATAAGACAAAAGTCTTCTGAAAAAGTCCAGTGCGTAAATCGAACATTTAGATTGTAGTTTTGTTTTCTTGACATATGACGATTAATATTACTTATGAAACATTGTGAATGGCCTGCATTTATAAATCATAACCTTGGCTCAAACAGGCTAGACTGCCACACATCTGCTGATTCACTCCCATGTAATTCACCCTTCATATTACCGAGATGAGTTTAGAATTACAGTGTATGGTGTCTAGTTGTCTATAGTGTCCTATTCCACTTGCGTCCTTATATTCAAAGGCCATTAAAGGTACAGTAGACCAATTGCATAATTTGTGCATTTTTTTTCGTCTGAAGCAACAGAAGTGCTCAAAATCTAAAAACGCGTGCACAACTAACTTAAATGAAGTTTAAGCTCTGTGAATGCTATATATTTTGGAGAAAAAAAACACAGAACAAAATTAAACACAATATTCTGGATCCAAAAATGCAGTGCCATATTTGCGCTTTCTCGTGACACAATCCCTAAATTATCAGCATTCAGTTTTGAATCGCGCGTAGGTGCGCGTCTAACGACAACAAACTAGTGCATCAATCGGCCGTACGCGTGCTGGTGGCGTGAGCGTACCGCCTGAGGTCAATTCAGCTTGCATCCAAATGCATGGGGCGATATTCACGGAAATTTAAAGAAAATGTGTCACTTGACACATCTTTGGAAAGGACCTCTTTTATCATTTTCTTCAAAATGACATCATGCCAGAAGGAACGTCTTCACAGCAGTTTAGTGTCATTACTTTCTTTAAACCTTGTAGAGCTCTGTTTAACAATATTTTGGGCGGTCACATTTTGGGAATGGTCTACTTCACCTTTAACAACCTTAGTGTTCATTATAAATTGATGAATAATAGAGTCCTGGCTATAGGACTTAATGTGTACATGTATCGAATTTTGAGGGTGTATTATCTTTTCTTAGGCATGGGCATACTAGTGTAACATGTTATCAACCATTTTCAATCTTTTGAAATTTGTACTATTTTTTTTTTAAAGGCAGCAAGACAATGTTGATATGACTGCCATATTTTACAATACTAAGGAAATCTTGGTCAACAAAAAATCAACTGAATCTCTTCACAAAGAAAACTGAACCCATTAGTCTGTGTAGGCCTGCCCTGCCCAAATCTGCCCAGTCTGTACTCCCTGTACCATCCCAATTCGCCCAAGTACTGTGCTGTTTTGTATTAAATTGTATTACATTATAAACACAGTGTATTACAATATGTAGTACAGCTGCTATTGGGTTAAAGAAAACCAATGTGCCAATGATATTTTCCTTGTCCAGTAATTTCATATTTCGCCACACAAGTTAGACGTTCCCTAAATGGTTCCGACATTTTGACAGGTATTAATATTTGGCCCAGTTCTCTCGCACAGTGTACATTATGCATTCAGTTTGACGAGATCGACATTGACTTTGGAGACAGAACATGCAATTATGTTCATGTGCGTACATAGCTCCATGGTACATGTATGTGCGGAGGGATACACACCAAGTACCAAGTACCAAGGCACAAATATGTATACCCTTTCGGTATACTGACATTCTTGACCCTACAATAATCAAAGACATTTATTTTAACATTGTGATAAGAACTGTTTGCAGCTTTGAATTTCAATTAGATGTCTTTGGCACATTGCCAAAAATGTTGTGGATTATGTATACACTGCATTGATCCTTCCTCTATGTCTAGAGTAAACATGGTTGTATCTGGGCGGGCCTCTGGCCACCTGCCAATGTTTACATAAACAAAAATATTGATAAAGGCTTCATCAATATTTTTCTTATTCATATTTTTCTTTCGCTTAAAAGAAAAATATATGTACCGGTACCTTTTGACAAAGTCCGCCACAAATTGGTATCCAATAATGAAAAACAGTTCTGAACAGGAAACTAGAGAATTATCAATGATGAATTTCATTTGATCATTTTCAATTCAAATTTTTGGTGGAACCAATCAAGGAATAGAAATTTAAGCTGCCAAAGTTTTACCCCAAAATGTATAAATTACTTTAAATCATTAAAAAATTAACTTCTTTCCTGTTTGTAAATTTGGTAAAAAGTAATAGTGCTTTGCGTGACAAAATTTCAGATTAAAGGTTTCATTATGTGCATGAGTCTGTAGGGGGATTGTCAGGGGAAGGGGGGGGGGGTGTTTACAGGCTTTATAGTGATAATCTTTAACTGGATTATAGATTCTGATGAAAAAGTTCAAAGGGTGACATCCCTCAATATATCCCTTTATCTCCCAACCTCACGCCCACCCCTCTTGTTTGATTTCATAATCAGCTCCGTTTATCATTTGTTGTAGGTCAAGAGAGAGTTCAGCAGCTGCAGTAGGAGGGACTGGGGGGCATGGCTGACTGGCCGTGCATGACTCACTGGCAGTGACTCGATCCTCGTTCTCTCCGTGGAGACTTCGTGCCATTTCTGATGAGGATATTGCTGCCAGAAACTCATTAGGATCTTCGTTCCTGATCCTGAAATCATGTCGAAGAAATGTGCTGACACATCTCCTACATGAAGCTTAACACATCGCATAGCTCGCCATTTATTGATAAAGATAATATTTATAAATAGACGTTGTGGATAATTGTCACTTCCCAGCCTGGCTTTTTATGGATTTCTCTTCCTTTTTTAGGCCTAAAAAAATAATTGTGTGTTTAATAGCATGAAACCCAACCTGCCTCGATTTTTTATGGGCCAAATTGCCAACCTTGAACTTTTTATTGCCACATTTGGCCAAAAAAGGTAAAATAAAGACAACTTTATTTTGAGGAGAAAAAGATCTCTGTTGTGTAACTTATTTGTGTGTTATTGGTTAATTAAACAATAAAACTGGTAAACAAAATACTGTTAAAGGTACTAAAGTAAACAAAGTACAAAAACACAGACAAACAAACATTAACTTTCATATGGTGTTTAAATCTCACCCTCCTCCACAAAGCTGATGAAACTCGCTCAATAAAATTTGTCATGCCTCGTTTACAATTTACATGATCTGAAATTTTGGTTTAATTCCATTGGTCGACAACACAGTTATTTAGGATCAAAAGTTGGACATGTTTTTTTACGTAGTATGAATGCTGAACACCAATCACCCTTACATAGACATTTTTTTATTCTCCAACTAATGAATTCAACTACATTTATTATTACACATGTCAGTGCATGTAGGATGATCCCATAGTTCTACAGTTGGGAGCACTCTTGGAAATTGAAGACCTGTTAATACTTTCAAAACAACTGCACAGGAAATGCTAAAACACATTTAAATGTACTTCAACTTGAATATCGGTACCATGTACATGTACAAGTATACTCATTAACCTTAACTTCCCAGACTAATTTACTAGGAACCATACCCATTCTGGCAAATTGCAACACCCACATAGGAAATTGTACACACACACTGTTCAAGGACTAGTTCTGGAGGTATATAAAATGTATGCCAACCCCAGTGTAAAAGACTATCTGTTTAGGGGTACATGTACCTATCCCAACGATTTAAACAAAACCTGCTGTTGAACTTTGATGGGTTAGGTTCGGTTAGGGTTAAAAACTACATGATTTAAACTACACACAACTCTAAATGCTGTCCTTTCATTTCTTATAATTCTGACAGAGATGATCATTACACCTTACAAAATAGTCAATTCCTCATTTACGGATACTACTTGTGCATCACTCCTTATGATTTGTCAGGCTTACTTGGAAACATTCTTAATTTAGGACGCTGCAGAGTGCAAGAATGACCATCTGTCATCGAAACTTTAATACTGTACTAAGGACATGATTAACATGTTAGTCACTACACGTTTATGAATTAAGCATGGTTCATGCATTATGTGAACACACATCACCAAATTATTTGTAAATGATTGGGCCTACAAGCATATATTATACTTTCGGTACATTCTTGCACACATTCTGTACTGTCAAATTAACTGTTTATAGATGGCAATCTATCCAGAACCTCATTTCTGAAGTTTAAAAAGAATGAGTAAAACTTTTCTGCATTAAGTCTGTTAATACTAAATTCAAATAAAAATAGCTGACCTCTAAGATGGCCGCTACATAATTATTATAAGGTCTATTAATTAAAATTTATGAAAGAAAAGTGCAAACAAGAGGAATTACAAATTCCAAGAAAATTTATTTCTTATGCGCCTGTCAAATGTCCCCCCCCCCCCCACCCTCCCTATGAAGCCCGTATGATCTTTGCTTTATATTGGTGCATTCTTTTTTCTTTTGAAGCCACACAATTTCTCAAAATCTTAAAAACAACTAATTCAATAACTGAACTAGTATTGAAATGGATTGTTGAACAGCTCAGTGGGTACTGTCAGACCATGGCCAGACTTTACATTTTGAGAGTTTAATAACAAAAATTTAAATATTCAAATGACATTGACAGGAATTAAACTACAGACATTTATGACATTTTGTTTGTGCTTGAACATTGGAAGACAGAATGTTAACAATTTACATGCATCTAATTTGATCGAAACAAAACACTCAGGGGCCCTACACTTCACGATCGCCCGAATAACACTGCGCCCTGCGGACCGCGTACGATACAAAATAATATGTAGGGCCTACTATACTCAAGATATATTAAAAATGTGTACTTCCCTGTTCTAGAAAGACGGAGAGAAGCCTTCTAAATCTGCAAGTACTTCTCTGTCATGCATGTATGTCTCTCAGAATTATTTTTAAAAAAATATGCAAATGCTCACCACATAGGCTTCTTCTGCATGCCTGGTTGAGTGGCTACGATCAGGGTGTTGATTTTTTTTCTTAGGGTCTACCGACTTCTGCCGACGTTTTTGGCGGAACTCTTGCCGCACAACTCAGACCATCGGCACATTCGTACTATAAAATGTAAACAGAGAGCTAGACGTACGTAACTAACCGTAGACACTATCGGCGCGCATGCATGGCACACCCACACGTGTTGTTTTTCTTTGCTTTTTACGATGTCGTACGATACGATGAATGATTCATATTTTATGAATGAACGAACTCGAGCGCATCGATTTATTGATGTTGACGTCACATCACTGGTTTTCTTTGCGCTCGCCATTAAATTGATGGTACGTCGCCGGCTACCAATGAGTAAAATCACGCCCACAACTGTCAATCAATTATTATTGACCACGGCCGTACCACAAGAGGGCGCGCGTGCGAGTATCCGTCTAGCATTTTGATGTTTTTTTCTAAGCTTACGAATTACGTCCCGTCAAAACAATTACAGTGATTGAATTACTTTGGTAATATCTGGCTTTAAAAAAGGCGATTTTTTTTTTTGCAGTAATGTGTTGTAATTTTACATTCTCTCGGATAAGATGTGAATTTATTCAGATTCTCATCCCTTTGGGGGCCGCGGCCTTGCCCCGGCCGGCCGGGGCGAGTGTGAAGAAGGGGAGGGGGCTAGATATTACGCAGTACTGAAAGGTAGACACTAGACAGGGTATTTTTTACCGGACACCAGCCTCCATAAAATCATAAAGTGTGTGTGGGTGGGTGGGGGGGGGGGGGGGGGGGTGGATACCATCTTCCTATGCTGGCGCAGCTGTTCTAAGCACGCATCGTGCATGGTCCATGTCAGATATATGTACATGCTTAAGGTGGCGCTGTTCACTTTACACAAGACGTTAAAACAAAAACAGGGTTTCCGTGAAAACAAATTTAGTGAAGACATACATTACTAGCACACTCCCGTGAAAAAGTGGTCCGGCAACCATTCTACACAAAATCCCAAGCATCGTGGGGTTTTGTGCACAAACCTTATCAGTCAGCCGATCACAATTGACTTCGGCAAAACCGCAAGCCTCATCATAAAGAATAAGTTAACCGACCAACTTTTACAAGAATGTGTTCATAATGTAGGACAGGTGAAATTATTCCGCCTGAAATTGTATCTTTTGGAAGAAAATAATCAATGAAGGTGTTTTTATTTTTTAATTAAACTGTGCCCGTGGGCACATTTTTTACGTGCGGCGTTAGCAACGGAATCGAGTTAAACGAGACCCCAAAAATTGTGCATATGCTTTTCTGTTTTCTCAAAATAAGTATCGACTAGAGCTGTAACTTACTTCAACAAGTTTATCGTTATGCACCCTTCTTAAGATTTTGAGCAATTTTGTTGCTTCAAACGTAAAACAAATGCACCAAAAGCAAATCCACGAATTGTATTCGCAATGCTTGCAGCTGCTGTATGCGAAGGATTTATTTAAAGAGGACCAATCGTGCAATGCAGAGGCATCAATTATTTAACATCTGACATGGCACTTTGCGGCCGTCGTGCGATGAGTCATTGAAGGTTTTTAGAAATGAACCATTCCATCCGGGACCTCTCCAACCGTACACCCATGCGCAGAAGTACGTCATCCCCCTGCGCAGAAATATCGAGGGGGGCGTTATGGGACGCCGCCATTGCAAATGTCGGACCGTACAATTTCAGACAGCAACGATATGATAAACACATCAAAATCATTTCCATCGTAGCGTCTACGTACCAGCTCAAAGACTGTGTGTGATAACTGTTTGTTCATCTAAGCAACCAAGGGGATATTTTGAGTCTTGATTTCGGGGGTACCCGTGAGGGGATTTCAAGACGCCGGTAAATATTAATCCGGAAGTCAGACTTTTCCTAAACTAATAACATCAGCGTAGCGGTATCTAAGAAAGCACTTTCACGATGGGGACGAAAGACGACGAATACGACTATCTTTTTAAAGGTGAGACAAAAATTCAGATAATTGTCAATAAAGTCGTCTTTATGTTGTGCGCTGTTTGTAAATGGTTGTAAAATAACACATTCGTAAGGAATGTGTTTTTAAGGAGGTGGTTGAAAACTTGAATCCCGATATTGATGGATTCCCGGATTGTGCTCAGGTGACGAACGGAGGCCGGAGCCCTTGCTTGGCCTTGCGATTTTACGACCACTGCATGCACTGGCACTGACTTGCCAGTGGGCGTGATCTGGTGATTTTGGATTAGAACTGTAGAAGTAACAAAACTGTGACGTGACATATCAACAAATGCCATTTTTGATACAGCTTGTTTCGGCTCTTTACCCCATGGCCAACTTACACAGGCAACAGCTATTTGGTTGGCCGCCTACAGGTGAGACTGAGAATGAGATACAGGTGAGATACAGTCGGTCATGTAGTAGCCTACATCATGACTAAGTTGTAAACAAGCTGTATCAAAACATGAAAAATGGTCTACCACCTTCATACATGTACACGTACACGTACACGTACACATGTATAGGCCTACATGTACTGAGGGCATGGACTAGTTGTAGGCCTACTGTTGAATGTTGATTGCTGGTGCATGATGATGTAGGGCATAGGCCTCACCAGGCCTACAAAGTACAAGTACAAAATACAAGAAGTTATTCGAGAACCTTGAGAAATTGAACAGTCTGCACTGCAGCCCTGCTGAGTGCCGGATGGTCAGTGCAATTCAATGGGCTGCTCAGCATATTGACTGATTTTCATTAACCCTAATTACATGTATATGTGCAGAGTAATCGACGATACCAATTTGACACGTTTAATACTCTGCACTGCCTGTGGATGGTTACAAGTTGTGAGCCTTGGTGAACTGATACTGATGACTGTATTCATCCTAATGAAGAATTTAAGAACATAATTAAACACATTGTCAACTGAAAGACATGATTGACATACAAAATTAAGTCACGTAAACATTAACATATCGGTGAAATGAACGTATTCAGTGTGCCAAATCGGTATCACCGCACCGTACCGGTGCGCGATGAAATGCAGATGGAAAGAATGTTGCAACCTGACGCCGCTTCCGCGATTGTGTACAAAGTCTATAGAGAGTCAAGAAAATTTTCTAAGTATTTCCCAACAAAATTGGAAATGTTTCTCAGTCCCAGATTCATGTCTTGCCATCATTTTTGCAATGAATGGCCTTCATTGAGATGATACATGTGTATGAGGAAAAAAGCAGCGTCAGGTTGCAACATTCTTTCCAAGAAGACAATTTCCCCCTCATCCAAAACGGTTGAGCCAATCGATGTCAAGGTGACCTCAGGTCACTTTGCGATGACGCGAATGCGACACGTGCAGTTAGACACATGAAGCATGAACCAGTGTTTTCGTCGGATCGAAAATGCGAAGTTAGTGAGTAAAAACTCAGATTTTTACAAAAAAGTTCGGTCCTATGGTCCAAAGACCATTGTTGCATGTAGCACAATTTACTTTTAAAGAGTTATGGATCAACCAGGGCAACTCTTTTGGGAGATTTACTCCCTAATTGGGAGAAATTGAAATTCTACATTTAAATATTTCGTCTATCACGGGGTAAAAAAAATTCCCATTGAGTGCAGACAACCCCAATAATGAGAGTGCTAGAAGACAGGGTGCCTTCTTATTCTAGAAGTAGTTAGGATTATGTTGTACCATATCCTACCTCCATCATGGCTTCACCTACTTGTCTCATCTGATTACATTTCTCCAAACTTGAGTGACTGTGACTATTCATCTCTCCCCAGAATCCAACACAACCACCTACAGTAACAACCAACAGTACATTTTCTCTCGGCCATTGGATTTCAACTGATTTGAGACTAAGGGAATAAGAAGAGTGTGAGTTTCAAACGTCTGGTTTCAAACGGGTTAGGGACCCGGTTGCAAAAAAAACCGGAACGAGCTGAAGGCAAGGGCTGTTATCGGCGATAAGGCCCAAAGGCTCCAAACCAGTTTTAAACCAGACGTTTAAAACCCCCCAGCCACACTATTGTTGATGTTCCCATTCTTAAATACCTTTTTGGTCAAAAAAAAAAAATTCAATAAAAAGAAAAAATGACTACATTCAAACGGTGTTTTATTCAACAATTTTACTCCATGTTCAGACCATTTCTTCTACATGTATAATGCACGTCGCGTCTGTGGTTTGCTCAACATCTCATTTTCTTTATGTGGAGATCAGTGGTTGCCAAGCACCCAGTTGGAGTACACGTAGGAGATACATGGATCCAGGAGATACAGTATTCGTTGGCTACTTAAAGATTCTGCTCAGTGGATCTCCATCATACATTGTATCATTTTGTATGCCTATAAAAACTACAACAAACTATTTCATAGTATTTTGTACCCTAAACATTAACATGTCTAGCAGAGTCTTAACAATTGTGCATGACCGCCACCAAATAAACATGTATGTACATATAGCTACAATGTATGTACATGTAGGAAGTAATACTGCTGTACAAGTACTGTCCATGCATGGTTGTGTTTTGTTCTAACCATGGAGGAAGGAATATTCTAACTGACAAATTTATGGTTTTCTAGATTCTTCATGCAGCTTTGGGTGTTTTTTTTCAGTCTGTGGTTTTTCTGTATTCATTGTACATTTGTGTCCTTTTATGCATTGGCTCATTGTAGTTTCTGTTTCGTTTGTGTGTGGATTCCTTCCTCATTACTGTGTACATGTACACTTGTATGAATCATCATTCATTTTCACAGGTGGGGCATTCCCTACACACACACACACACACATACTTGTTTCACATGACTAGTGTGGACTTTCCATTGCTTTCGTGTAGTTAAGAAAAACCAGTGAAAAAACTCATTTTTCTCAAACTGTGAAAACTCTTTCAACCCAATTTTTTTTCTATGATTCCCTTTTGTGTTTCTCTTCATTCTGCTACAGATAAACCTAACCCAAAAATGCCTCTAAACCTGTTTTCCAGAAATGGGGAAACACTGTGTGGACGTGGGGTAAGTCCACACAACGTCGGTGCTACCTACATTATGTGGACGTCTTTTGTTCGGAAGTCCACACTGCGTATGTAAGACAAACTCACACCCACAACCCAAACCTTTGCAGTTATGCTGCCTGAAGCACTCCTAGATCCTGTCCCATATGCAGGAATATCACTGAGTGACCGCACCGTGGCTGGTGCAGGGGGAGGCTGCAGTTCGTAATGCGGTGAAAGCAAATTTAATTTCAACGGCCATTTTCAGCTTCAGTAGTACATTCGTATTGATAACTCCAGAGCTGTCCTTTCACATTAATTCCCCATTGTCCCATTTTGTATACATAAGTAACATTTTTTCCTCTCTTGTTACCTTTTTGTTGTTTTGAATATGTGTGTACAATTTACTAAGATGTTTGTGAGTAGTCCTGAAAATTCAACGACAAAATTAATTTAGGAGCAGTACCCTTCCACAGTCTTGGAAAGCTACATGTAAATAATTTCTTGTCCACTCTTTTTATTTTATTTTTTAGAAATAATTCCCTCCTTCAAAAGGAGAAGTTGTAACTCTACATACCTTTCTCTCATAACACTAGACAATTTACACATGGGTCACGGCCTCCATTGCTAAGGTCTTGCTCTTGGTGACTCCATTGACATTTCTTGTTAACTCAAAATTTCTAATGCCAATGGTATTTTTTAAAGCAAACATCGCAAGCCTCCTGCTTATGCATTTTTTGCTGTTAGTTACTCTTGTAAACTTGTTTTGATTTACATGTAAGAACACCCTTTCTCTTCTTAATTAAAGAAGAGTAGTTCAAGTGTTTATTGCCTACAAAAGCTTTTGCAGTAGAGTTAGGGTCGATTAACAGGAATACCCGTAATCTATTACAGTACGTTGTTTTCCTCACTGTGGCCATTTCATTGTTTACAGTGACGGGTGTGCATCGTAACCGGATACCGCTAATATCAGAAACCGTTTCCTGATTATGGGTAGCTGAGAACCAACTTTACAAATTACTAAGTGCATTTGTAACTTCTACTCAGACAAGAACAAAAAAGTGAAATGGTTTGAATGCCATTGGGGGGTACTTTCAAAATGAAAACCATGCTACAAACATGGAAAATAAAAACACATTTCACATTTATGTGCATTTTAATTCGTAACAGATGCTCGTGAAAGTTGCAGTTTACACCGTAAAACTACATGTAAAGCCCTTCAGACAACTTCTGGATTTGAATTTTGGGGTTGCGTTTCTTTTATCCAGGTTTTACTTCAATTGGGTACCCGGTTCCCGTACTGTGCGTAAATATGCACACCACTAGTTTACAGTACTATGAAATTTAATAAAGTCAGTGTTTATGTTAATTGTTATTGATTGACTTTGGCACCCTCTGTGTTTAAATAGTGATCATTATTATTCACCTGACACAAATGAAGTTTTATTTAGGCCACAAAATTGGACCAAATCTGTCATTGGCATCTGTTGTCCCTCACTTGAATTCTTTTTCGAGAATTTCCAATTGAATTGGCTGACCTTTCCGGTTGTTTTGTTTTTGGAGTACAGCCAAGGTTTCTTTCCCTCCCCATAGGACCTTCCTCCCAAGATGGGCCTTGGTCCAGCCAGCAGGGACTAGGGATGTCAGTCCCCCAATGTAAACCTTGTCAGGGCCTCCTGTAATGTCTCACAGTACAGTGAGGGGACCCATGCAAATGAGGGAGCTCGTATGGGATGGAAAGGTGCATTAATCACCATTTGTGTTGATTTAAACTTGATGGGCAGGAACGTTTACAGACATGTACCAAAGTATGAATATGCACCCCAATGTTTCATCTTACAAATGTACTGTTCCCTTGGGAAAAGAAATATAGGAACAGTACAATTCACAGGTGGGTTTTCACAATTGCTGGCAACAGGTGTACTGTCTCAAATAAATACAAAATTTATTTCCTGCATAAAGTGTTGTCAGGTATAATGCAAATGTCATCAGTCATTGCAGATGGGTGTCTTTAGCGCCAAGATGTATGTACATTATGTACATTGTACATGTACATGTATGTAACACCTTCAAAAACTGAAACAAGGAAAAGGCCTTGAATATTAGTTTAGAAGTGCCTCTGTAAAGATATACTGTACATGTACAGGTACATATGTAGGCCAACCTTTACTATTTTCGTTCACAATTTAAAAAATATATAAAAAAAAAAACCAGTGCAGTATAACGCAGTACATTTTCTCTGAAACTGTGTGAACATGTATATGTACATGTATGTACGTACATGTAGTATGTTCTTGACATGTACTAGTATTTCATGTACGTGTACCGTTTCGTTGTTCATATACCGTGGTTAATGATCATGTAGACTACATGCGTGAAACCTTACACCGACATTAAGTCTAATGTGTCTTTCAGAGGCGGTCTAAGACAGACATCCCTATCCATTATAATAATGTCGATGTGTCGCGGCTGAGAACCAAAACAGATTTTTGTCGACGACCATCATCATACAGATAAAAAAAAAAACCAGTTATAAATATCTTTTTAGCAACAACAGAGAAGGAAACTGATGTTCATACAGTTTGAGGACCAGAATTTATACAGACGGGACATTTTGCCCCAGGGCACGGTTATTATCAGGTCATGTGGCAAGGGAAAGGCTGGTCACATGTAACAGGATTGGTGGGATAGTTTAATATCACAAATGCCACCTGCCTGGCTGATGGTCGTGTCATTGGCTCCAGAATGCCAAAATGAAAATTAGGATTTACCGTCAGTTCATTACTTGCTGGAGATGTGCAGGTGCTATCCTTAACCCATTGCATTCATGGATTATATGTAGAGGTAGAATGCATGGAGCAAGATTGTATCTGAAGAAGGGGCTGGCTCTGAATAAATAAATGAGGCTGTTATCGCTTGTGTAATGTACCTCCAAACTTTCTGTCTGAAAATTTCAGTTTATTTTTAAAGTACCGCTATATGGGTCATACATGTATGTATACTTTGAAAATTAGATGCCTGTTCCATCTGCCGTCTATGATATGATAATTCTGATGCACTCTTTAACCCTAACTCCCTAGGCATTTTTGCCAGGATGTAAACTCAATCCTGCAATGTCTGCCAAGTGCTTCCATGTACATGTAATAATTGCATTCAGCCTCAGTCCAGCAAATCATTCGTTATTTCTTGAATGTGGTCCTTGGAGGGGTTACCACTGCCTCAATCCTGCAAAATCCTCCAGCAATCACTGTCATTATGTTGAGGCAGAGTCAGTGACATCCTGGAGCAGTGCGAAGTATAGTGAAGGCCTAAATTTATGCACGTTTGTGCATACGGTCCGGCCCAAGACCTTGACACAGTGCATCCTCCAAAATCAGCCAAACATTTTTGCCCTAGAGCCCCAATCCTGCAAAATCCTCCTTTTGGCAAAGAGGATTTTGGAGGATTTATGAAGGTTAAGGTTAATACAGTCTTCTATAAAGCATGATTATGAACAGCAGACTGCCTACCATACCAAAAGAAATGTTTGAAGTCATTCTTAATTAATGATACTTACTCTTAAATGGCAAATTACATGTAAAAAGTGCCAAGGTACATTGTACATTGTAAATGTAACAGTGACAGGGAAAATGTCACACTTTGGTCCCTAAATTTATAGACTGGCCAATATGTACATATATGCACAATGTATAGGGTGCAGTTGTCATGGTTGGGACACTGAAGACATACACATGTAAATTTACCAATACACTGTACATTAACATACATGTACAGACAAAATGACAAAAAAAGAATCTGAAACTGCTTCAACGACTTTTGTTTTCAGTGTACATGTACATGTACTTGTCACACTTAAAAAAAGTTGACTGCAGGTTTGCACCACCACTTCCTGCTTGTGTAGGCTGATGTCACTCCACTCAGGAATCAAACAGACATGATTCCAAACCGGGAATCGGAATCATGACTCGACTTTTTATTGGAACTGTTTCTCTGAAGTTTTTGAAGCTAATTTTATTATAAATTGTGAGTGAGATTGAAATCATCATTTCAACAATTGTCTGAGACGCCCAAGCCTATACTTATTCACAAGTTTTCATTTTCTTTGTTTCTCTCCCTTCTCTAGTTGTGCTGATCGGAGACTCGGGAGTCGGAAAGAGCAACCTCCTGTCCAGGTTCACAAGAAACGAGTTCAACCTTGAGAGCAAAAGCACCATCGGGGTGGAGTTTGCCACGCGGAGTATTCAGGTGGACGGCAAGACGATAAAGGCACAGATCTGGGACACGGCAGGGCAGGAGCGGTACAGAGCTATCACAAGCGCGTGAGTAAAAATGCCAACTTTCGAATCCTAACTTCCTAAGTTATGAATTATTGGAGTCTTCCCAAGCCCACTGGAAGCCATCACTCTGTGTTGTGCACAAAATGTTTTCAGTTCCAAATCCTCCAAAATCAACCAAAATCATCCAGTGAACAAAATGCATTGGAGCTCAATCTGCCAAAATCCACCAGTGACAGAGTTTGTGGAGTTTGAAGGATTAAGCACTAACGGCTTCCATGAAAAACGAAAGCTAATCATACTAATGGCTTGCAATGTATATATTATATCTTATCTTCAAGTAAACTTGAATCCTTGATCCTGATTGGTCGATCCATGGCAACAAGCCGTGCTACATATAACCATGTAGCACGGCCACGTTCCATACCGCACTCCGCGTGTTGCGCTATTCCAAGATGCGCACGCCATTACAGGCACGTGTAATAGGATAACCGCTGAAAATGTTTTTAGTGCGTCAAGTTTGCTTGAAGATAAATTTGTTATCACGCTCGCGCTCGTGGAACACGGAAAATGTAGTGCGTCTGTGTCCCACATACCACTCGGCCTTCGGCCTCGTGGTATGTTGGACACAGACGCACTACATTATTCCGTGTTCCACTCGCGCTCGCGGGACAACTAATAATGTATCATTTCTGATCTGTTTCTCCCAAACTATGCAGATACTACCGAGGTGCAGTGGGTGCTCTCCTCGTCTACGACATAGCTAAACACCTTACCTATGAGAATGTAGAACGATGGTTGAAGGAACTACGAGATCACGCCGATAATAACATCGTTATCATGCTAGTAGGCAACAAAAGTGACCTGCGGCACTTGAGGGCGGTACCAACAGATGAGGCCAAAGCATTCGCAGGCAAGTATTTAGTTTGTATTTTGTGTTTGCCGGTCCCAAAGGGCAAAACTGTAGTCCTCTCATGGGCGTCACTAGAGGGGGAGGGGGTGTCAAATCCCCCCCCCCCCCAATAATCGTTTTTGTCAGCAACACCGTCCTGCTTTTGGCAAAATTGTGTGACGGTCAGCAAATGTCCGTGGATGAATAGCGCCACCTGTTCTCCACCTTGAACGGCGCTCCTTGAGGAAGATGGTGTCCCCCCCCCCCCCCCCCCCCCCCCCCCCCTCATTTGTCGATTTTACGGAGGCCAGGTGACCAGGCGAAAATTCCTGTCTGCCTTTCAGCACGGATAGTCTGTTGGCAAATTTGTTGTTACACCTCCAAAGTGGTCTAGCAACGCTTCCGAGTCCTCTTGGTACCTGACTGACTGACTCACTGATTGTCACTTGCTTAAGCCTCACCTTTTCCCAAAACCTTCACTCAGAAGATTACTAGACCAAATTGGACTGGGGCTTACCTTGTCTTGTTTTTAAATTTGTTATTGAGGTATTAGATAAGATGAGTTTAACTGTAACTCCCTGCATTATCTCATAGAAATGCTAAACAAAATTGTGAATTATCACACTTTTAAATTAAGCATATTCCTGGCCATGGGTGAAAATCCTTCAGATTTGCGACATGCACAGCAGCATGGCTGGAAAATATGCTTAGCAAATCCTCTAAATTTTACAAACAAGGTGGATTTGTTTAGGTGAATTGATATCCATGATGATGATACTACCAATCAGTGGGTTGGCTCTCTTGGAAGAACAGTGCTCTGGAGAAAGTTGATTTGCAATTGGTCCTGATGTTTTGTGTTTGTACATTTCTATCCACAGAAAAGAATTCACTATCCTTCATTGAAACCTCAGCTCTGGACTCAACAAATGTAGAGCAAGCCTTTAAACAAATATTAACAGGTAAGGTGTATATTTTTATGTGGGTCTGTTAGTGTTGAATGAAACCTTGAATGAAGCAGCGACCAGATGGGTCATAGGTCACATTTTATTACTGAACGGTTGCCTCGACCACAGAGGCAAAAAATCCCTGTTTATGATAGCAGAGAATTCTGTGCTTACGGTAAGCGTATTTCACAGGTTATGAAGAATTTTGGCTTGTGCGCATGCATACATCCTATAATTAAGGATTCTGTGCTTACGGGGTTAGCGCAGAATTTTTCTGCTAACACTAAGTGCACTGCAAGCTAAAAGGAACCCTCGGAAAGAACAAAAGTACAAATTTTCAACAGTTTATGGAAAGTCCTAATAACAAGACATGCAGTCAAAATTTGCCTGTAATTTTTTGATCTTGTTAACGATAGCCTGGAACAAGTCATGTATAAACTACTTCAAGTAAACACAAACCTTTGGATTAATTGAATTCACCTGTGTCACTTTTTTGCCTTTGAAAAAGGTCTTGTTAAGATCAAAATGTTAGGCCCTCTTAATTTTTTTGATTTGTCAGGTCTATCCAATCAGTAGCAGTTTGCAGCAGTTCAATTCATTTTCGTCTTTCTTCAATCCACAGAAATCTATAAGATAGTCTCACAAAAGAACATACGAGACGGCGGCAACGGTGAGGACTCCCCTAGCTCCGACGTCAAGCCCATCACGATTCCTCCCACGACAGACCCCAAGTCCAACAGGGACAGGAGATGCTGCCAGTCAATATAATACAAGCAAGTCACCTTAAAACAAACCCACTTTCCAACTTCACATGATGATGCTGTCCCCAGTCACATCGCTAGAAAGGCCCCAGGCGGTTTACACAAATACCCATCTAGGGCTCAGAGTACCGTTTTGTCTCACGGATTTGTGTCGCCCTATGATCCATCATGGTTTTTTTCTGAAAAAAAATATTGATATAGTTCCATGCGTGAAGAAAACAATCTGGTAGGACTTTTGCCTGATTTGTTAATTTTTAAACATACCCCACACATTTCTAATGTATGTAGTGTTCAGATTATCATAGTGTACGGGACCAGGTAGGCCGTGCAAGAAGCAACAAGTGTAGGCATGGGTACTTACAGTACATATACTGTTGACGACAGGGGGGGGGGGGGGAGGTAGCACCCGGACATCAATATACGTGCTAATTTAGTACCTTACATCGCAACCGCATACACTGTACCTATTGTCAGTCTAATCTTTTCACATATATTGTAAATAAGGGTATAAACTTGTGTGTGTGGAGCATACAATTTGGCTTTTGGCCTATGATAGACAGCTCTTGCGTATTACACCAAAACAACATGCAAAACAAAGTAAGGACATTTCCACGAGCCATGTACTAGCTGTAAAATAAGACTCGCCTAGAAGCTGTTTTAGTGCTGTACATAAAATATTTATGATTGCCATGTCCTGGACAGTGATAAACAAAAGCTTTGCTATCCAATTTCAGGTTCAGAACCAAACCCAATTCCCATATGCTGTTTAGTGCAGGTTAGTTTTGCCAATAGACTGAGTGCATTCAGCTGCCATCTTGGAGGTGTGGTTTGTTATGTTAATTCATTAACAATCAATGCACAAGATGTCCACTTGTGTGTATCCCTGCTAAACAAAAGTACACACCTCCATTCAAGACGGCTGCAGTGCGAATGATCTATGGAAACTGTTTGGCTCTGTTTATGGAAACTGTAAGCAGTAAGCACGGTTGAATGTATGCTTACTTACCAGCACTGGTTGCTGAAATTGGAATAGCTCCAACGATGCAATTCTCCAAGCAAAGCTGCTTAGGCAACAAGCTTTTTTTTCAGTTAGCACAACGACACATTGCATCCTACAGTTGAGTGAGATGGTAACATGTTTAAAGCCACGTGGGATCATTTGCAATCACTCGGAAAACTGCCTTCCGATTTGATGACAGAAACCTTGCTCAAGGTGAAGATAGGACTGGCATCTAATGCCCTGTGAAATTAGTCCCCCTGGAATGGTATCTAGTCATACGATGGAACTTGCGCCCGGATGATGTAAATTTAATGTTGGGTTTTGCCCTTAACTGACATATTTTACAAACACTGTATACTCAGTGTTGTCCTGAGTAATTGTGAGGACAGAAAGGAAAAACTAAGACATCTGCACTAGTAAGCAGGAGGTCCTGGGTTTGAGTCCCACCCGAGTGATTTTTCTTCTCGCAATCAACTGGGACAACACTGAGTATACAGTTTATATGAAGAAAGAATACGTCGGTGAAGGCAAAAACCCAATGTTGAAATGATTTCATTTGCAAAAAAAAAAAAAAACTCTGGAAGTGGTATTAAATAGGGTGGCAGCAGACACACTTTTTTTTTACCTGCATTAGTAACGGAATCCAGTTACAATAACCAACAAATTATGCCTACGTGTATGTTTTCTCTGTTTTCTCAAAATGTACAGAAGCTGAAACTTCAACAGGTTAGTTTTTATACCCCCTTCTTGAGATTTTTGAGTAAATGTGTTGCTTCAAATGAAAAAAAAAATATCACAAAGAGCCAATAATCCTTCATGTATGTAACTTTAAAAAAAAAATCAAGTGCACTGTCTGGCACCTTTTCCCATGTACTCAAAGTACATGTAGGATCTGGGCCAAGGATTCAAAGGCTACAGACATCCTAACGCTGATCTCAGTTTAAAATTCTCAAGCCGAGACCGTTGATTGCAGAATACGTACATTGAATAGCTTCATACCTACATGAACATCCTGCCTCACAAATACCTTTTCATTTAGTCTCATGTTGATGACAGAGTATGCACATACAATAATTTATTGTCTCTGCAGTTAAATTTGAAGAATTGATACATTAAGAGAAGTCCATAGAATGCTGAACAATTGATTAGTGTGAAAGGTGTTTCAATTTGTAGCTGGGTTTGGCTATGTATGGTGAGATAGCGAATGTGTGGGTACATGTTCTTTTGCATACTCTAGCCGCTTGAATAATTTGCAGTGTTTTAGCTTGTGATTTGGGTATCTCCTAGCCCAGGATTTGGCCTCTTTTGGGCTTCTTACGATGTGACTTGTGAAGCGAATTCTCCCGTTCTCTGCACATTTAAAAAAAAAAGTAGAAACCAGCTTAATATTGTTTTTTTTCTCATTCCTAATAAATTTATAATGTACATAAACATAATACGTGTAGTATACAATAAGGGAGGGATAACAACCAAATTTAACAAAAATGTTCTTAGTTTGTTTGATTTGATATTCTTTTTATTTTGAACGGTTGCTTTGCATTAAGTGTAACTTTATTATTTGAGGAATTAACCATCAGCTTTATGTAATGTAAAACGTAAACATTTTATAATAATCTATCAATGTGCCTGCTGTACATGGGGCTAGTAACTCTAGTATCTGTTTTCGTTTGTCCTTTGGTTCCGTTAGCTCTTGTATGTTCTGGTCTGTGCTCCTGATCTGAAAAGTAATGATGGGGAATTATTTCTCAAAAAAATCATTTCAAATTTAGAATGTTATCTGGTGGAGATTCTGAAGCCAGTGTAGGAAATATTTGCAATCCATGTTCAGGGGCCCTTTGTGTACATGCAGGATTTATACAGAGAAATGACAAATGGTAAAGAAAGCATAATATCAAGACCTGTCTGAAGGAATTTTGAATGCTGGCAGAAGTCTGTGCAGTGTCCTACATGCATTGTTTTTGCAAGCACAATTTGTGTGCTCACTTAATCATGAGTACATTTTCTTGATCATAAGCAGTGGCCACCAAAATAAGAGTAAGACAAGTATTGCTTCATGTACAACTTGAGCTCTCTACACTCTTGGAATCAAATATTTGTGTACTTACAAATGTACTTGAAATTCTTGAAAGTTTAATGGTACCAGGCCTTTGTTGTTTGTATAGCCATATTGGTCTGGTACCTGTTGGTAAGACATGGTCATAGTGCTCATTTCTAACCATGGGTATGGTCACCAGTCTACATGTGGTCTTGTGGATCTGATTTGAGACATTTTGTTTTTTTAGTTTGAAAAAATACTTCAAAAATGTTGTGTACATTTCCTGTTGCAATTTTTTTTCGCCAAAAAAAAAATCCAGAAACAAATTCTGACTAATGACACAGGGGTTATTGTTTCAGTGTCTCCGACCTTGTTAGGATAAAATGAAAACGCATTTTTTTTTTTTAATTTCAATTTCATAATTTGAATGAATTATTTTTGATATATTATTGAAAAAAAAATCTTGGCATTACTTGATAGTTAATTGGGGGAAAATTCTCGGTGAGATTGTTGACTTCAGACAAAGTTAAACAGAATTAACAACCCCACATGAAGAGGGTTGGAATTATTTGTGGAAAAAAAAAACAATTGTATGTTTGTGAAGCCAAGATTTTGTTAATCTGTATGTTCAAAGGTGTGGTTATAACTGAAGCAGAGTTCGTCTCGAACGATGAAATTAGATTTTTAAAAACTAATTGTCGCAGACATTTCCATTGTAAGGTGTAACGGTAGTAGAGACCGATTTCTATATAATGTATTACATTAAAAAATATAAACCGTATTGTTTAGTACAGTACCACGCACCGTCTGAAAGGATGTTTCGTTGGCGCTTGTTTTTTTGTTTGAAAGCGCTCAGCACCAAAATGAACATGAATAAAAACGGTAATTGTATGATGTAATCAAAGAAACAGTTTTTAATGTGTGTGTTTCATTTCTTACGTAATCGTTTATTTTGAAGCTTTGGAGCCACCGTGATTTCTGATCAATTCTGTATAAGTAATTATAGCAAACACTAGAGATCCATTTTTGATTTATTTGGAAATCCATTAACCAAAAACAATCTGATTTCTATTAAAATAGTAGTAACAGTCGCATAATGCCACAAATATGCATAAATGTATCAGAACATTATATCAAAGTATTTAGGTTTACAATATTACGTTTACGATATAAAAAAAACTGCAAAACGAATACATGTATCGCCATACTAACCACAATTATCCGCGTTTTAGATTTTTAATACAGATGAAATTCAATACTTTAAATCCGCGTTCATGTGGAAATCGTTAATACATAGGAAATTGTTGGAATCATTGTTCCATGAGTCACATGGTAAACAAAACGATACCTTTAAGGCTATATCACCAATTATTAATCATCTTCATAAACCACAAAAAAGCAAACACAAAGTTCATCGCAAGCATAGGGGCGTCATTGTTGATACAATTGAATTCTACGAAGTGAAGTTCCCGAATCGTGGTTCGCCATTTCGTATAAAACTGGCCACGTTTCGTCCCATTACTATCTTTCAACCATGTATGCTTTTCAACAATAATTTCGTCAGTAATTTTTTGGATAGCTGCAAATGATGGGACTGTAGCTTTAAATAGAAAAAAACACGTTTCAGTCCTTTAGCAGGATCTTTCGTTTGCCTCTTGGGAAAATATCCGGCCAGCTTTCAAGAATTTAAATATCATCAGGCTCTCTAAACTTTACACACAGTTTAAAGAGTATCAACCATATTTTACTTTTATCATTAAAGTAACAGACGAGCACCTTTAATAACTTGAATCAGATCTTTTGTGCCAGTTTAGGTATAAAACTACTTTTACAATATGATACTTTTTTTTACAAAGCTAAACAGGCCGATTTTTTTGTTTATATATAATGCGTTCAAACTTTCCATAGGCCTATTATGCCATAAATAGCAGCTTGCAGAACTGTTCATTTGAAGGAAAAGTTCATGCAAACAAAATACGACCATAGCTATGGTTTTATTCTTATAATTGGGGAGACGTATTTCAGATTGATAATAGAGAATTGAAACGTACAATACGATGACTAATAAAACAAATCCTGGTTACTGAAATCACTTTGCAAGTTCCACATGGGCGACGGTGCGTAAAAAGTACGTAGTCCCATATCTGCCAAACTGGGAATATTTTATTACATTGTACATTTTGGCGCAGAAGCTGCAACATCGGCATTTTAATGTACGTGTACATATACAGAGTTTTTTGTTATGACATCGTAGGATTGGTGGGCAGGGTGAGTCGAATGGCAGGTGAGCGGAGTAAAGCGGATAGGTGGACTTCTGTCCCGAATCATTGCTAAAAATATGTTTAATTCCAACCAAATTGTATAAAGATGCAACCCTCACTAAACCAACAAGTATTCCTAATTCTCTGAGCACGATTGCAGCCAGTTACGTTGCCCAGTTATGTCAGCTGATTTTCGCTCAGCATGGAAATAAAGCCAGGCAATAATCATTTTCTGATTAGCATCCCTTTAAGTTTGGGCCATTTTTCGTATTACTCCATCGGTCTCTGGTAAAGTGCGCCCTCTGTATTATCAAAATCAAGAATTCGTAGTCGTCAACAATACTTTTTGGCACCGTACCACCTATCAGAAGCCGTCATCAGCGCCGAACTGAATTCACTTTCTTTTGTTTACAAAGTCAGCGCGATTTTGAATTGGTTACAATCAAATTCAGGATACACTTAACATCATATTCCCTAGGCACATAATATTTTAAAGTTTATGTTAGATAACTAGGCTGGTAAGATTATTTAAGATTTAGGTTTAAAGAAAAACTTCGTTTGGATATTTGGCAGCTGATTATTTTAAAATTTGAAGGTTGAGTGTAATAAAAACAACTTGAATTGTCTCTTTCTTTCGGATTGACGACCGCCAGCAAATTTGCTATTTCAGCATTTTTTGCGATAACGGCTGTGATGACCAAAATTCAATCCCGTGCCATGCGGTATTTTTTCTACACAGCATCATCTTCCTCGTTCTCACTCATCCTTTCATTGTTGCCTTGCGGCTCCTGCGTCGGCTGTGCTGCTGGTTCAGCTGGTTTTGCCGTGGGCTCGTAGGCAGGAGGCAGACTGACGTTAGAGGGTGGGTAGGCCATGGTGTTGTAATTGTACCCGTACTGGCCGGGAGCAGGAGGGGGACCTGATGGGACCACGATCACTCCAGCTTGCTGGGGCGGGAAGTCGTCTCGGAGGATGGCGTACTCTTGTCGCTTCCTCTTCTTACGGCAGCAGAGACAGCAGGTGATGAGGATGAGAGAGCAAATCAGGATGCTGCCAACCACTATCAAGCCAATACCCCATCCCCTGTTTAAAATTTAAAAAAAAAAGTTAATCATTATTATTACAGTAAACAGGTTTTGGAAAGTACAAAGAAGTTACTAACCGACAAGAAAATTCCAATATCATTTAGAAGAAGGATTTACAACCAGTGTGTCCAAACGACGATGACTATGGGACAGAGACATAGGCAACAACCAAAGAGATGGAACAAAAATTGATAACACCACAGAGAGCTATGGAAAGGAGAAAGCTCAGACGGGACAAAATCAGACATACCTTCATAAGACAAAAACAAAGGTCAAAGATATCATCGAGAAGATCAAGGAAATGAAATGGAGATGGGCAGGGCACCTAGCAAGAAGACAAGAAGGGGTAGACAAAAAGGAGATGGAGAGATGAAATCACCACATTCATGAACACGGCCAACATGGAGATGACAAGTGACAGAAGAGAATGGATTTACTGCTCCAGGAGGGCTTCATCCAACAATGGATGACCACAGCCTGATGAAGACGATGAAACGGGCCTTACTTTAAGTTGCTACCTTTGTGCTGGTTCATCTTCCAGCCCAGGAGAACATGGAAGAGAACTCAACGTGTTAATTTAAAGTTTCTTTTCCTGTAGGCACAGATTGACCCTACAGGTGAAAGGTGCTGACCTCATCATCCACAACCATGTTGAACTTACTGTTGTATTCTCCCTTAATTAACTTTGAAACGGAGGTAAACTAAAAGTTGAGAGTGGGGATGTTTGGAGCTTAATATCTCTTATTGTCGTGAAACCGTCAGGTATAAATGTTTCTTTTTGTTGGCACATAATTATTATATAGGTCCCTCATGAGCATAATGCATACACCACCACATATTGAACTTATATTGTAGTTATTCTCTCTTAACTTTTTTTTGTAACGGGTATAATAGGCTCTACTTTGGGAGCGGTTGGGAGATGAATGAGTTGAGAGATGAAGAGGGCAGTTACAATAAATGCATCATTACAGGTCGGACTTACTGTATGTACTCAGGAGTGCAGCAAGTGTACCGGCTGTTGCGCTGACAGCACACCGTGTCCTGCAACAAGTCACCGGGTCGCGGACAGCCAGAAAAGGGGTAGTATTTTGGGCAGACGTTCGCTTCAACTCCCGGACCTGCAAGGTATAGAGAAGACTTGATCGACTAATGAACACATTATAGACCCTTTACAGCTGACGTCTCATCCGAAGGCACGTCTTTGTAGTGATCTCGGTAATACGCATGAGTCGACAGTGAATTTTTATGTGACAAACATGTCCTCGGTGAGGACCGGATGGCATTTTGTTTTCTTGCAATTAATTTTATTTAAAAAAAAAAATATTAGCTGATGTGGATGAAGTTCAACTTGCGGAAAAAAATATGTAATTTCGAGGTCGTCAAAAGTTTGGAAAGATATACACATACTTGGGATTAACAATAATGTCGGGTTTACGCCTTTATCTACAACTGGTTAACATAAAAACTGTCCTGTGGAATTTCAACCATAAGGATTTAGCAGTAGACAAAAGGTATACTTTGATGTCGGCAATAGGCCTGCCGTTAAGATATGACGAACAGATCCTTCTAAATCCCTGTCTTGCTATTGTATATGCCCCAGCCCTAGCCCTGATAAACGTGTTTTCTTTTCGTGAAACTGTACTGCATGTCTCGGATAATTTTCTTAAACCATTATTTGGAAACTTGTAGTAAAGGAAAAGAAACATAATACACACGTATACTATTCGTATATAATTGGGCCCCTAAAAACCTTAGCCACTGAGAGCTTACTTTGATGTGCAACCCTTTTCCCCTCTGCAACCCAATGGATATCAAGAATTTACTTTAAAAAAACCAACAAATATTATTCATCAATAACTTGCAAACTACTCACCATTGAGTAAAGACAACGACAGCGTACCTATCACCAGCCATACCGATTCTGCTAAACTTTGTCGAAAATGCATTTTGCTTTATATTTTCCTTGCAAACATGGCCTCCAAACTACATGAAAACTGATCTTTCTCTGGACTGGTGAGCTGTATTTGTTATCATTGTACGTCTCGTGATAAGTGGTGCACAATGCAAAGTTGAACTTTGGATTAAGTTCTGAAAAATCAAAGTTTACGTCAGTAGCACAGGATCCCATGTTTGTTGACTTAAAAGATAAATTCACTACAATCTTATGATATGATTCGTAACGTTGCCTTTCGACAAAAGGTCAGCAAGATTCACCTATATTGTTAATGTCCACCGCGTGGACATCAGCACTCATCAAAAACGTTGCGCACTTTGATTTCGCCTCTTAGCATGAAGGTAGGAAACACCATGCTCATATCTTGCTAGAGCCAAAGTGTAACCAGTCAAATTTAGCTGTTATTCCATCAAATAAAGTTAACAGAGAAATTTTACTTTGTCGCGTTTTACTATTATTTTGAAATGCGTATATATGTGAACCCTTTGCAAAACGCGCCCCAAAATAAGAGTATATAATTTTCTGACAAACATGTTGAATTTTCATATGTGAGTGGAGATAATAACAGTTATCCGAATTTGTCAGTCTCATACAGAACGATTTTAAATGTTCACTTAAGAATTTAATTTCTGAGATTTGTTAAAATGCGACACGTTAGGGAACATTCGGTCGATGTTGTGCCCAAAGTACGGACACCACCGTTTTAAAAAAAATTACCTTTATTTCATGACATCAATTTTTTTCATGGTACCAGAATATTCTGAATGAAGCTGTGTCAACTGAAGGTTTTGAGGAAACGATCGACACGTTAGGGGACTTATCGCTATTATATCTTAAAACCTAATAATAGGCCTATCATAAAAACTTGTCACTATTATATCATTATAAAAGCATGAACAGTCAAAATGAAGAGAGACAAATACATGTATTCCTAAAATGTGGTTGTGGTCACTTTACGTTGTGATTTTAATTTGACTGCTTTTGTTACATCAGTAATGTATACATGTACCTGTTTATGTTTATAGTCTTGTCATTTAGCCTTCGAGAAAGACTCTGCTAGGGTCTAAACGTCAGGCCCCTAACTATTTTTTTTTGCATTTATACCATAGGTCCTTTTGGTTGATAAGCAGTTTGCAACGGCTAATTCTATTTTTGATTTTAATTTAATTCTATCAACTCAGTCCTAATTACCAGTTAATACCGGCTTTAAGTAGCCGCGTGTTGACCATGATTTTAGACGGTCATGCAGAAACCCCTCACCCCCATTCCATCAGCAAGATTGGTCCCCACCCACTAATTTGGAAAAAAACAAAACATGTACGACTGTTTCCTGCATTCTTCTTTACAGTCATAGAACAGTAACGTCCTGGTACACGCCCATGTGTTCTTTGCATCATGCACCGTGTGCATGCGTGACTAATCATTCAGAATCAGAGCAGATTCAGCATCACAGAATATTGCGATACGTCTAGAATCAGTGAGAATAGGCAGAAGATCGTCACGAAATCATGGCAGGAGCCGATCCTGAATCTTCCCAGTTGGCAAGCAAGCCTTCGGTTCTCGTTCTAGGGGGTGAGTTCCTGTCGTATTCCAGTACGATTTCACTTGATTTCAAGCTAATCCGTGAAGTTGACCTAGGCGAAATTTCGAAGTAAATCTACGAGATCTTATTTCGACGCACTCCTTTCAATTTGCGCTGGACATGCTGGACAACGCGCGCCAAGCGTTACCTGCGCCGATTATGGAGCCTCGTGGATACCCGGTACCATGTACAAGTGTGACCGTGACAGATCAGTGTTATGTGTTTATTGTACTACTAGGCATAGTAGTATATGAAATTGCAATGGTTAAGTCCTGCAGATTTATCCTGAAATATCATTAGGCCTATAGCTATTTTATGTCGGTTAAAAACACGTCATTTTTTTAAACTGTAGTGTTGATTCCTCCATGATTATATTACTAGTCATGCTAGTTGTCAACCTGTGCGAGATAACCACTTAGTTGGAGGTGTTTGCACAGTAACCACCAGCACCAGAACCAGAAAATGTATTTTAATTTTTATGAGGATCAGCAATCATGGCCATAATCATCCCACATTGATTCTTTCTGAAATTTTATTGCGTTTATTTATTTTTTACTAATAGTAATACTATTACTAGGCCTGCCCTTGCTAGTGGAGATAGGTACATGTACGTGCGTAGAAGGCCTAGAGCCCAGTCAGATTTTTGTATGCCAAGTTAAAAAACAACAAAAATGAACAGTTTCTCATCCCCACCACCCTCCTTTTTCCCGCCCGCCTCCTATTTTTTTAGGCCAAATAAAAACAATAAAAACATGTTTAGCATCCTGCCTTTTGAAAAAAAAAGGAAGCAGTAGTCCCCTTTTTTTAAATGGCCACAATTGGACTCAGGAAATGACATACCAGCTTTATATGGACTAAATGCAACAGACAAAGAGGCCAAAATGATGTCACTGTTTAACATTTATCATTTTTTTTTGGTAAAAAAAGAAAAAAAGAGGCGGCTTCCAAAAAGCAAGTGGGCGGGAACGCTAAACATGTCTTTTTTTATTTGGCCTTAATTCATACTTTTGCAATTTATTTTGCAAGTAGGCGGCCTACAATGTCAATAAATTTTTTTTTTTATTTCCAACAAAATTGTAGCAGCATGTAAGAAGAAGGGGGACATCTCCTTTGGACCCAATTTTGTATCGACAACAGAGTTGAGAAAATGAAATCCGATGGTCCGCCATTTTAATGGGGGGGGGGGGAGCCGCCTGCTTCATTTTTTTCAAAATGCCTGGATGAGAAACTGTATTTTTTTTATTCAGCCTTATAAAGTAAAGAGTTACAGTATGGAGGTCCCTAGAGGCCAACTGCCTACTCTATATCCTGCCTTTAATTCATTCTTCCCATGAACTTGGTGACCTTATGCAAGTATATTTATAAACAAGTGTAATATTGAAAATTTATGGTAGTTGCAAAATATACAAGCTAAAGTGTGGTGGGTCAAACAGTCAAAAGATTATAAATTGTGGAAAGATTTCCATATACGAAGTTCACTCAACACCCTGTGTACAAACCCTATGAGATTGGACTGAAAAATTCTAAGTGTTTTCTAAGAAAATGCTTGTATTTTCTCACTGCTCAAATTGACTTTGATGACATGAAATTGCTATCTGGGGCCTTGTTAGTTAATACAGAGGAAAATTAGTGAACTTCGCATATGGTAATCTTGCCACTTTATGATAAAGATGTTTTATTTTGGGATATGAAAAATTGTTAATCTTGAGAACTAAAACTTGCAATTATGTTCATGATCAAGAGTACAATGTATAGTTGTCTTGAAAAATGGCAGTGTACAACACATGTATGTTCACTGTACATATTAGAAAAAAGAGTCATAAAATTTGGTTGACAGTATCCGGCAAATGTTTTTTAGAATAAAGTAGTCAGCAATTTTAAAATCAAATCTTTTAACCCACAGAATTTTTCTCCCATGGTGTTACAAAACCTCCATATTAAACTTCATAAAATAAGGAAACTACAAAATTAAGAACCACCATAAAAATGATAGCAGAGTTGCACTGACCATATTTTTGCACTTCTTTTTTACAAACCTGCAGGATGCGGCTTCATAGGCAGAAATTTTGTCCACCACTTAGTTACAAACAATCTGGCATCCAAGGTAAGTCCCATATTAATTAGGGGTCAAAATGTCCACAGTTTTAGTGTGCGAAGGGCAGATATAACACAGGGAATGCAGTAAAGAAGCCTTTAAAAGCAGTCATAGCAGAAATATTACCAAATTTGTTATTTTGTTCCATAACGTGAAGTCACCAATATTTGTTCCTCACATCATCATTCAGGCTGTAACTTGAACGACATAAGAGAATATTTGTTATTTTTTTGTTTTAAAATGGAAAGAAAATAATATCCAAATTGACAAAAAATTGTCTTCTAGTCATCTATGGATGTTGTCATTCTTGTCTGGATGTACACAATTTTCTAACCTGAATTTTTTGTGTGTGAGGATTTGATGGTCACATCTTTAAGAGCCTTTAGAAAAGAAAAATCTTCACGGGTTTGCTTGATTGTAACCTTATGCTCAGAGCTTCAGCCACTGAGCACTCCAGTGTTTACTGACTTTCGAATGAAATTCTTCTGTTGTTTGTTTCACTCATGCAGATCCGAGTCGCTGATAAGACCCCTCCCCAAACAGCCTGGCTGAATAGTGCACACAAGGTAAGCAATGTGAGATGCAAGAATGTTTTATTTATATGATAATTTGGTGCTTATATAGCCCTAATTACCAATGCTTTCAAACTGTTTCTCAATTATTATCCCTTGTTCATTGAGCAATGAGAAAATGAGATCAGAACACCTGGGCTGTGTTCCACTTACGCTAACAACGCAAACCTTGTCAATAATTTCCGATTGGCTATGCACAAAAAGATTGCAAACATTAGTAACATTTGTTTGAGTGGCACGCACCCCTGATCTGTATCCACACAGGTACCCATTTATACTCTTGAATGGACCACAGAGAAAGGACACAGGCAATTGTAGTAAAGTGTCTTGCCCAAGAACACAAGCACAACTTACATCAAAGATCAAGGTGCAAACTCACGTACCATCCCAATGTGGTGAGGTGGACACTGTAACCATTTGGACCACTTTTCTGTGCTAAAAAGTTGTCAGAGTGAACAGAAAATCAGAGAAAAGTATGACCCTGCAAAGTCTAGACACCTTTATGGCACTCTGTCTGTAAAGTGTACATGTACATGTAGGTTTGGACCTTGTTTATAAATTAAAATTTTGCATTTTGAAATGAGTGAGCACGGCCAGACATCTTGAGAGCTAGCACTCTTTAGTGTACATGTACTCAATAGATTATGTGAAATGTTAAGTACCTTTGTTATCACCACACACAGGAATCCTTTGCAAAAGTTGAATTTATCTCCGCTAACCTCATCAACTCAGGTTGGTTCCCCCATGCAGTTCTATAGTCTTGCACTCCTCTTACGTAGTACCAGCTGACTGCTCTGTCTGCATGTGTGTGAGCATGTTGTCGCCCACCAAAAGTAAAAATGTTTTTGTTTTGGCAGTGACATACATTTGTATACACTGGTTGTCATTACATGTGTGCACGCCATGTTTATGTGCTTGTTGACTTTCAATGCATGCGGATGAAACTTTGCTTTCCACGGTAGCCCTTGGCACTTGATAGTCAATTGGTGCAGCAGGTTTATTAATCAAGTTTTTAAGGAAAAGTTAGACATGGTAGATTTTGGCTGTCAACCTTCAGAGTCCTGGTTCAGGCACTTGGATCCATGGGCGTCAATCAGTGGGGGACGAGTGGATTAGTCCCCCCCCCCCCCCCCCCCGCACTTGCCCCCCCCCCCCCCCAGCCCAGCCCCCCCCCCCCCCCCCCCCCCCCCCCCCCCCCCCCTCCGGATCCACCAATGGGTGTTGTTGGTAAGAAATATGTGAATCAAGGGTCACAAAACCTCAGTGCCAAATCCAAGTCATGATTGTCAAGTCCCACTGTGAGTTCCTTGTCAGGGTGACTCATGTTGAGGCATACACAACTCGGCCCGCCAGAATAGTCATTTGCTCTCTGCAAATAACAATATGCTGCTTCCTTTCTTTGCTGAAATCATCTTTCTGCATGGTAGAGAATATGCTGATTGCGCACATTTATGTGTATAGGTGTTTAATAACAGTATATTAATGAATAAATTAGGTAATATTGCTGAATGTATCAGACAGGCTTACGTGAATTTCAGTAGAAAAACAAGAGAATTGTATTTTAAACGGTTGTTTGTCCAGAATAAGTGTGCTGTGTGCTACTTTTTTCCCTAAAAACATTTGCCAAGGTCCATTGTCAAGTGTACATGTAGTAACGAGCATTGTTCTATTTGCCAGATGTTTGCTAGCTGTTTGATTTGCATAAACGGCTGTAAAGATGCAAATTGCGTATTTTATTCTCTTTCCTTCATAATGCTTGTGCGAGTAATCTGTACGTATATTCAGCAATCCTGCATGAGTGTGTGCTTTTGAATTGGTTGCCATGGTGATTGGTGGTGGGTTATTAGAATTTTGGTTTCATTTTTCATTCATGTTCAACGGTGCTATGTATGCATGGTAGGTATGTACATAAAATAGACAGTAAAATGTTACAAAAGTGCTGAAGGAACTTGTCTCCCTTTTTAAAGATTTGATACTTCTATTTTTGTCAAAACCTTTTAGGCAATTTTTTTCCCATCTCCACTCTGCCAAAAATAAAAAAAAGAGCTGCCATAGCACTTTCAGAGTAAATGCTAGTTCATTTCAAAGCAAAGTTTTCATGGTAACAGTGAACGTCGTTATAAAATATAAATTTAAATTCGTTTTTGCTTTTTGTATGAAACAACTTTAAGCCTGTCAAAGTACATTCTCTTCCATAATTTGAACAAGGATTTGAAGTCAAATAATATTTGTCATGGAAATTGATTATTTTTGTACAGGTACGTACTTGTATTTGACAGTCAATGTTGTCAATTATTTTCTGTGCAATATCGGCGTGCATAGCAACCACCTGTGTGCTAAGATATGCTGGTACCGTCGGCCAATGTTTTTTTCTGATTATATCTGATACTCAGCATTTGTTGTCTGCTGTGATGTGGATGTGCTGTTTTTAACACGCGAGGGGCGCAAAGCACGTGAGGCGAAGCCAAGATGCTTTGCGCTTCGAGGCATACGACGATTCAGTATCGAAGAGGAAATTTAAACTGATACATAGCGCTACCATAGAAATCCACCAAGCAGAAGTTTAAGTCTTATTGAAATAACATCAGTTTCCCTATACAGAATACACTATTCAAACAAACCAAAAAAGACAAACATACCACAAAACAACCCAAAATCTCTATTTCCTTGTTTTTTTTTCTGGCTTAAAAATGCTGTATATCGTAATAGCGGGAACTGATAGCATCAATTATCAGGAAACGTTGGTATCAATGGTATTTCATTGTTTCCCTCGCAAGCGATTGTAAAACTAATACACGTTTATTTCCTGGTTTTTGACACTGCAGGGTCGGTGGCCAAGGTTTTTGAGGATAATGGGAAGTCGTTTGACATTGTGGTTAACCTGGCCGCCCAGACCAAGTATGGTTGCTCGGATGAGGTGAGAAAAGGCTTCTCACTGTGTTGGACCATACCACTTTATTTATGTACACATATTTCCAATATTATAATTCTGCATCATATATTCGCCCACTGTATGTTAAATACATCAAACACAACAATTTCCTACATTGTATATTATTGACTCGTGAGATAGTTGCTGGTTGTTTAATATTGATTAATTTTCCCAGAATGGTTGGTTTTATGAAAGCCATATTGTTTGTATTTTTACTTTTTTCTTTTTTTTGGAAATTGCAAAATTTGTACTTTCACTTGTGTGCAAAGAAAAAAAAAGCTTGCTGCAATTTAGCAAGTGTAGTGGTATATAGTGCTTCACAGTTCCAGTCACAAATAACAAGTCCAGCTACAAGTACTAGAATACATCACAAGTCTAGTCTCTAGTAAAAGTGGATGAACAATAATGAAGGAATGCCTTTATTACAGTTCATTCAAAGTTTCAAACTACATGTAAGCTAGTGATTTGACCTTGCACTTGTGACAGACTTGTGAAAATTTTTGATAGACTTACCAAAAAGCAGCCTCCATACTTTGATTTTTGATTGGTAAAATTTGATAACGCAATTATGTGAGTGTTACGTGCCAGTTCCTAAGCACAGCAGAGATCAAACTTCTTTATAAGAACTGTGATGAACCATGTAAGAACATGTACTTGACCTACAAGTAGGCAGGGAAGTGCTGTCTCTTTATGACAACAAATAAAGAGGACAACTGATGAACGTTATAATTAATTGACCTTTCCACCTGTTAATCAAACAGTGTGATTATGATTGGTAGGTAGGATTGGCTGAATTGCACCTTGCCCATGGTGGGGGTATTTTTGGGGTTTATGGGAGAAAACTTTACAACGAGTGATTTGTTTTGTTCTTTCATGTGACACAATACAGGTTTACAAAGAAGGCGTGCAAAAATTGAGTCTCCAGTGTGCTAAGGAGGCTGCTAACAGACATGCCAAGAAGTACGTCGAACTGTCTACAGGCCAGGTCTATATGCCAGATAAGGTCAGCCATGCATGTGTTTTACTTCTCATAAATGCCATTACAAATCGAAAAACACCGTACAAAGTCTTGTGTGGTTTGAAATGTCCTCGTTTTGTCTAAGTTCCCAGGTGCATGCCTGAAACACTATATGACATGGACCTCAGGTGACACAACATCTACCTGAAGCTCCTGCATAAAACCCCTGGAGTTTAGACACATGGTTAGAAATTAAATTTTGTTAGTTCAGTAACCATAAAGAAAATTTTCCTTCATTATTTAATTGCACTTTCCTTGGAATATTTTCTTCAGAAAGCGAGTTCGGAGGATGCCAAAATGTCTCCATGGACCGGCATCGCTAAGTACAAGTTGCAGCTTGAGGGGGAATTGCCTCACGTCGAAGGGTAAGATATCTTAACAAAATACTGACAAGGCAAAATTGTTTTGTTTATTGTGGAAATAAATAACCTCAATCTTTGTATTTATTTTTGGTTTGTATATGAAACAAGTCATCACAGTCGACAACATTTTACATGCAATTCTTTTTTTTTTTTAGTGTTGTAGTCAATTTACCTATTTTGGATCACAAGTCTTAAAAAGTCCATTGCAGGTCTGTTTTCGTTTGCTTTGTGTTAATTCCCATGCACCACAATGAAAACAGTAATACATTGAAAAGGAAATACAAAAGATGTTGTGAATGGTGGATGCTCATCATAAAAAAAGTTGAACATGAATCTTCCAGTCTCAAGTCAACTCACAAGCTATTCAAATGAACTCTGACAATTTCTTGTTTTTCTTTTATTCCCCGTTACTTTTGACTGGACTTGCGATGGACGATTAAAACACTGATTTTCTGAATGTTCGTGGACTGTGAATCTTGTACGAGGACAAACAAAGTGTTTTGATGTTGTTGAAAAAAAAATTAGATCAGCGGTTGATTTGATTCTCCCCACTTCAGATTGAATTATGTCGTGCTCAGACCAGCCATTGTCTATGGCATTGGAGACCGAGCTGGAATCAGTGAGTAGTCTGCATTACATTGTATTACATTGTATTACATTGTATTACATTGTACTACATTGCACTACATTGTACTACATTGTATTTACTCCTTGATGGATCCATTAAACCATGAAGTGCTGGGATGGTTTTGGGAGTTACATGTGTTAGGAGTGACGAGCAGGGCGTTTTGGGGTGGTTCAGGTAAAAATTGATAGTTTAAGGTATTTTTGGCAATTGACCTTCACTTTCAGTTAAATTTGAATGATATCTGGGTTACCTCTCCTTCCCACGGTCCTGGCCGGAACCTTATACATTTTATATCGATGAATTCAAATCCTGAGATTGATTTTGGCTTATCACCTTTGTTACCTCTAGTGCCAAGGTTAATTGTGGCAGCCGTCTACAGACAACTTCAAGAGAAAATGAAGGTAAAACGCACTCATTGGACATCATTTGTTTTAGTCATTATACTGTTTCTTGCGAAGTGTGGTCTGCCATGCTTCAATTTGGTTCAGGAGTTACAATTCAGTGTAAACAAATCAATTCCAAATTTAACTTGCAAAAAGTGATTTCTTCACTGAAATTGAATTGAACACAAATAATTGCATGGTCATTAATGTAATGTAATCCTTACCTAAAATAATGTAGCTACCACATACAAACAATTGTTCAGAAATATTGGGATTGAATCTTGGATTCAGGCAGTGGTCACCCCTAAAACGGACCATATTCAAGAAATAATGGAGGAATTTGCAGGATTTAGGCTATATGCTATTTTTCCATGAGCCCAATTGGAGGATTTTGCAGGATTGAGGCTACATCCTAGCAAAAAGGCCTAGGGAGTTAGGGTTAAGTATATGATCAGACGTTTTTAAGACTTTATGCGGTATAAAAAGATCCATTTCTTTGGTTGAGAGCAGAGCCAGTCATTTCAGCTAAAAGAAAAACTCTCGCTATTACTCTTTGTTTTTTAGGAGGTAATTTCATACATTTTAGTATGTAATGGACAATATGTATTGATTATTGATAATTTTATTGACGTATTCCTTAGTTGCTGTGGACAACGGATCTGAAAATGAACACGGTCCATGTGAACGACGTGTGCTTGGCAATATGGCACTTAATACAGCACGGGGAGCAAGGCCACGCCTATAACATAGTGGACAAGTCTGACACAAGTAAGTTGCCAAGTTCTGTATCAGTGTAGTACACACTTGCAGGAATACAGTAAATTACAGAGACATTTTGTAAAAAAAATCACATAAATTATTTATGTATTGTGTTATATTTTGGCCATTAACCCTAACGCACCTGAATCCATCAAAATCCACATCCCTGTTTCAAGGGATTTCGGCGGATTCAGGATACCTCCATATTGCACCAACTGGTGGATTTTGATGAATTCAGGATTTTAAGCCTAGCGGATCTGCAGGATTTTGATGGATTCAGGATACCTCTGTATTGAGCCGTTGGGGGACTTTGGCGGATTCAGGATCTCAACAGATTTACTCCCGTCTAACTGGTGGATTCTGATGGACTCACTGGCCACCAACAATTTTTTTGCATGGCAACATTGATGGATTTTGGCGGATTAATAAAACAGCCCAAGGGGTTAGGGTTAATATTCAAATGTATATTGTAGAAGTTATTTCTTTCCTTCTTACAATTTTTGCCGATCCCAGTGCTGAGGGCCAGTGACTTACTCACTGTTACGAGTGAATTAGACTTGCTTCATTCATCCTAACCTTAGCCCAAACATTTTACTTCACTGGTCAGGATGGCCAGCCCATCCATCCCACAGACTAACTGACTGTCATTTGGGAATTAGACTTGCTTAAGCCTCACCTTGACCCAAGACTTTGACACGGATGACTGCCTAGACCCCTTAGTCCAAATTGGACCAGGGCCAGCTTTACCTGTTTGAAGTAAGTTCACATTGCTTTGTCATATATTTCAGCGCAGGGATCCATCTCGGAGCTAGTGTGCAGAATATTCGACATCAAACACGACTACTTTGGGACTGTCATCTCCAATTTTGCACGGGTATGTTGTTTTCAACATTCCTTTTTTTAAAGGATTTTTCAACTTACATTGTTTCAGTTGTCTTGTTGAACTTTCCAAAGCTGGAACATGTCGCCGGTCTGTATAGTCAATCAGAGCATCTGCAACACATAATGTTTCGATGTAGTTGCTCCTGTTGCAGATGTCATTTTTTTGTGTGTACTTCATTCAAATCTTGGGAACATTTTTGATTTTGAATGGCGAGACTTTCAAATTCAAGCCAAGTGAATTAAGGTTCATTGTCCGTGTGTGGCCACCCTATACATGTACAGTATTATTACAGTAAATGTACACCAACAAAAATCTCATTTTTTAAGTACATGGCTCATTGCCAGAAGGGTCATTCCATAAATTAAGGGTTCACAGTGTGAGACTTTTCCTGTCCCTGTTACTTTATTATTTGCCATTCAAATATCATTAAGAATGACTTTTTCATTTGTTGGGTAGGTAGATTGCTTTTCATAATCACTCTTGGGGACTACTGCATTGAGGAGTACATCCAGAATTATAAACACAGGTGTCAAAAGTAACAGAGACAGGAAAAGTGGACCCCAACTTTACAGAATGACCCAAAAATGAATTTTCTATTGTTAACTTTTTGAATCATGCCTGTTTTGGTTGATGTTTGAACAGCTGAACATGGCTGAAATTGTCGACGATTCTAATGACAAGCATTTCACGCCGTGGACGGAGGCTTGCAACCAGGACGGTCTGCAGTACACACCGCTAAGCCCTTACCTTCATCAGGTGGGTTAAACTAGTGGATCTAAAGCCACTTTTTTTCCCAACACTGACCGGCTTTTTTGTAGGTGTAGAGTAGAAACATATTCAACCCACTGCCCTCTACCCCCTTACTACTCCCTGGCCCTCTCCACCTCTTGTCTGTTAAAAAAAACCCCACAAATTTTCATTTTTTTAAAACATTTTTTTATGTTGAGTAGGAGCTCTTGTACAACAAACACTTAAACATGGACGGGCAGAAACTGGAGTCTACTGGTTTCCAGCTGACCAGACCACTACTGACAAAGGAATTACTGAGAGAGGTAAGACAGAAGGCGTGGTGCTAGACCAAACGCTCTGGGTTGGGAGAATAAACCTTTCTTATGTTTGTAACATTGACTACCATTTTGTATGGGCAGCCACAAGGGCCTAATTCCAAGCCGTGGTTGGCAACAGATTTGACCCAAAATGCATATCAACATTGTCATTATTTCAGACAGAGGTATTTTTATCAAGTCTTTGGAAGTGTTTGTCGGTCATTTTGTATTTTCCAACAATGCAATGATGCAACCGTTAGTGAACTCATGTAATGAAAATGTGCACAATTTTCTTCTATACCGGTTGGTCTTAAGCACCCGAAACCTCATACTGCCAGTATCCAGGGACCTAAACAATTGATGAGCATGGCTAGGACATTTTTGTTAGAAAGAAACTGTTACCCAGAACTCCCAATTTGGTTCAGTCGTTTTGATTCCAGTGCCATTTTTGTGAACCAAAGTCAGGGGTTACGATATTCCTTTTGTTTAATGTGCAAGATAATCCTAGTTGGCGCTGGGATCAAAACTGCTGGACCGAATCAGGAGTTCATTTTTCTTCCAACAGAATTTCCTGTCCATATATATCAATAGTGTAGGTCTCTCAATAGTGGAAGTATAAGGTTGGGTTTTTTTGTTTTTTTTAACCACCCTGTATAGTTAGGCCCCCCGTTCTGAGACACATGTGCGATTAGATTTAGCAATTTCATTTAAATTTTCTAATGTTCTGATATTTTTTTTTTTGGACAGATGTTGGCCGACTATGTCAGCACAGGCCTGTTCCCCAAATCTCTGGCTCCGTCTCCAAGGTAATATCCATGACAACAAAACTGAACAAGAAAAGCAAAGCAACAAAATCAACAGTAATTTTATGTGCTATGACTTCTTAAAAAGGAATCAAAGTGAATGTATTTATAACAGAACATGATATAATATGCAATATGTGCGGATGCATTTTTTTAATGTAAGTAATGCAAATTTTTGTAAAAATTGAGAAGTTTTTGTTTCATTTAATTGGTGCATGCATGGCAGGTATTAACCAAGTTATTTTGTGAAGTCTAAAGAATACACGTACATATATGAACAAGAATATATTCAGCTTTTCGTGTCTTGCCAGTTAAAAATGAACATTGTCCGTGTGCAACACTGATCAAATTGAAACTATTTTAGTTTTTAGTCTTAAATTCTTAGTCCTTTTTAAAACTTCCAATAAACCACAGAGAAAAAATGATTATGTTCATCATGATGTTTTTCAAAGTGGAACAAAGAAATTGACTGGAGCGGGGGTTGAACCTGCCACCTCCAGAATGCTATTTCCCATCGTGACTTTGGGCGTGATCCCTGGCTACATGTCGTGTATAAGTTTATGGTTTCTGACTACTAGCGTCCCTTGAACAAGGATATTGACAAATTGGGGAACTGCCAACATAAGGCTGGATAGCTCAGTTGGTAAAGCACCAGAACGGCAATCCGGAGGTTGCAGGTTCAAACCCCGCACCAGTTAATATCTTTGCTGGAAGAAGGAAATTGATACCAAGAATCACACTTACCTTTTAAAACTTAACTCATATAACATGGCCAACATTCCAGCAAGAGTTTAAAGGGTAGAAAGGAAGAAAAAACAAAATGACTTTTTCACATTGTTGGGTTTTATTTTTTATGGGAGTAACAGGGTTAGAGTTGGGTATTTATTTGGTTGATGTAAAAGAAAATGTAAGTCCATATGCATAAATTTCAGTTGTTTTGAAAATTGTGCATCAAAGTGCTTCTGAATCTTTCAGGTTATGAAATATTTTAATTTTCAGTGTTAAATTTAAAAAAAAAGAAGGTTTTAAGTACATCAACATTCTTTTATGTATCAATAAGTGTGCAAGAGCTGTGTTTGTAATATCGTGTGCTTGGATACTGTCATTTTATTGGTCTAGAACGGCCACATGTCCAGTTTGTAAAAAAACAACGTTTACTTCATATACACTGCATTGCATGTAAACTATCTCATGTACACTGCGCTGCATATAAATTGTGCAAGTGTGGAGGGCCTGCCTATGCACTCGCGGCTGAGAACTGCCACCGCACAGTCTCATATCTGGCAGGAAAGTTGGCATGATATAACAACTGTTAAATGCTGTGATGCGGGATTTGTCATTTATAATCCCCTTGGGGCGTATGCGCCCCTTGGGTAACAAAAACGGCATATTCCACATCACAGCAGTCAACAATTGTTTAATATGCCTGTACTGCCGCTATTTTTGCAAGCAATAAGTAATCTCAATTAGATGTTGCATTTTAACAGGTTTTTGACCAAACCTTGTGAGGTCGAGGTCGAGCAATGAGTTTTATGTGGGAAAAGTGATAAACAGGGTCAAATTTCATGGCGCTGCTAAGCAATAAGATAAAGATTTATGGTAGCATCGTGTGACAAATCTGCTTTGTGACTCTGTGAGGTTCTGGAAGGAACCGGCGGAAATTCAACATTATGACAATGTTCTCTTCCCGTTGTCGGGAGACTGCTTAGCAGTTAACAGAAAAAGTGTGCTTACTACAGCAGAACATTGTGCTAACCTTAAGCACTATTTCATGGCATATGCTAACGGTTGAGTGGAGTTTATGCCGCTGATGTAACATTTTCCTTTGAGGTAAGCGTGTCTTTTGTGAAGTTACTGCTTATATCCTAGTCTTGGTCCAAGCCTGGAATTGAATCCTATTCCCTTTATGCAGCTGGTCTGTGACAAGTGTGGTCTCTGTCAACAAGATGAAGCAAATGAAATCCAGTCTTGGCAATATTGGCAGTGCTACCCAGTAAATTCCGAGCATTTAAAGCTTTAGTCTGTCATTTGTAATTAGTGCATTTTGTTCGTTTGAAGCAACACAAGTGTTCAAAATCTAATGAAGGATACTTAACAACTTACTTGATGAAGTTTCAGCTCAGCTTCAGCTTCATATTCCGAGAAAAAACAGCATTCTAGGATCTCAATTTAAAATCAAAAGTTGCTAAATCATGTTTCGAATTGTTTTGAATTGCAGCTTTACGCGATGTTGCGCACTGATCCTGTGCGTCGTTCCAATGCTTGTGCGCGCTGCGCCGAATAACAAAACGAACAACTGATTTAAATTTTCCTACGGTGCTTCTTAAGAAGCACCGTTGGAAATGCCTTCTTTCGTTGATTTCTTCAAAATGAGAACTTGCCAGAAAGGATAATTTCACAGGGAGTTTTGTCCCCTTACTATCTTTCACCAGTATGTTTTTCAACAATAATTACGCCAGTTACTTTTTTGGATAGCTGCAAATGATGGACTCGGGCTTTAAGCTATGCTCAGCAATTTCTGGGTTGGGCTGCCAATATATTGCCAAGGCTTGATTGACTCATCTTCTTGATAGCGACCTTTACCGTTGCAGCAACTTTAACATGTTTGTCACAGGACTGGCTGCAAAATTGGGGGGGGGGGAATCAGTCTTGGAACAAGACTAACGGTCTCCATGAAATAGAAGGCTTCGTTAGCAGAAAGTTTGTGTGCTTATAGCAGCGCCATGAAATTAGGCCCTAGTTATCTAGATTTTCTATAATGTGCATGGATATACACACATATACTGGTGCTTTCACAAAGAATATGTCTGTAACTAATAAGCAACACCTTGGTCTCTTGAATGTTATTCTATATCTTATTCAGTTTTCAACATTTAAACATTTGAAGTTTTCACTAGTTATTTCCTTTTGTAACGAATCTGTAAGGTACAGCGGTCAATAAAGTGCATTCTAAGATAATAAGAAATAGTTTCTGTCTCCAGTGATTGATCAACTTCAAGGCTGGTTGTTGTGACAATTGTGAACTGGCGTCTGTTTCGACATAATTCATGTCACTCTGCAGGAGATTTGCCAAGCATCTTCAAGGATATTAAAAACACACGGCCACATTGCAGCAGTCAATTTTTTTCCCTTCTCCTTAGACCAATCTGAGCATGCTGTCGCGTACTGTACGCTCACTTACATGTAGGCCCCCTTCAATGAGTGTAATGTATATTACAGTGAACATTATAAAAATGGAATGAAACAACATTGCATTTTCCATGCTAATCAATGAATTTGATTTTGTTTCTCTTATATGATTTTCATATATATTTGTTTTTTTCCAACCAAAAAACCCTCTGTTTTTCTTATTTGGTGTTTGTGCCACCGACTAAATAAAGGCTGTTTAATATTTTGGTCACAAATGGTTATACATTGAAAGCAGACCGGTTCCCGGTTTGTACATTGTTGATACTGATTGCAGGACCGGAACCAGCCTATCCTGCAAGAATGGAATTATTTTCGGGCAACCAGTTAAGTTGAAATTTATAAAGTAATGTTTCTATTGCCAAAAGTGGGCTGAAATTTTGGTCAATATCTCATTCAAAAGGGAATAAGTTTAGTATTGCTAGAAAAATAGCAATTAAAAAAAGGAATAAATTTGGGGGAATAATGCAACTTTATTTCACCTTAAAAACTAACAAAGAACAATTTGTTTAGAAAATCGATTACACATAGCATATATACAGCCACTCATATAAAATATTATGAAAAATATACAATGAAAGTTTAATAAAATGAGCAGATTGGAGACAGATTTGCTTGGAGACAGAACCAACATTTATATATATATGTCTATTCCTCAAATTTCATCTGATTGACAATTACGTGATCCATGCAATGGAGGTTCTATTTACCGTGGAATAGAACTTCTATTTTTATGGTGCGGTCACATGATCAGCAACCCGGCACCAATCAGATGACGAGAATATTTAGGCGTTGTTTAAAGTTTGTTGGTTCTGTCTCCAAGCAAATCATAATTTTAGTTAATTATCACATTTAATTAACAATCTTACTTTTTGAAGTTTTTAACATTTTTTTCCCCTGTATAATTATTGATCCTCATGAGTCATGACTCAACAGTTTTCCATTTACATTCACCCACACACATGTAAACATCGGCAATCGTGGACCCCCTATTGTCCCTATTAATCCTTATTTCTTTGTTTTTACTCTGAACTTTTTAGCAACAGCTCTCATTGGTTTTGTACACGAATTTCAATCATGGACTATCGGTCAATCGTGGACCCTTTGTTTGCGCCCTAACCCTTTTGTCCTTAGTCCACAATTGCCTGTGTTTACATACTCAGTGTGACTGCCCATAAAGTGCGTGTTGTTTATATCGAGCTGCCCCACTTTGTTAGTGCATACATTCAGAGATGTTATGCAGAGTTAACCATGAGTTAACTGAGTGTGTATTAAAAGTTTTTGCGGAATAATTTCGCAGTTAACATCCGTGTGTACTGACTACCTATTCCCCAACAACACTATTCAGTAAGTGCTAACCTTGTACCTTACACGTGAAGAATACTGGAAGGCCCTATTTTACTGTTTATATAGATCATTTGATGTGTTACATGTAAATGCAGGAATGTTCATTAAATTTTAACTGATAGTCCTTGCCTGTCTGTTCTGGCTTCATGACCAAGAGGCACGTTAGCTTTGCCAACTTTGAAGAACTTGTGTCGGTTATGTTTTGGAATACCTGTATTCCTTGTTTCTCATTGTTCATAAAGAACTGTGTGAGGATAGTTTCCCATTTATCTGGCAATTTGCAAGTGAGGCAAGCCCAGAAGTACCAGGAGCCATTATCCAAACGCTTAAGCGGACCCTTACGCCTACTTTGATGCTCACAATACAAATAAATTCCTTCTCTCGTTACTGCAGCTGCTTTGATTTCCCTCGGTGGCCTTTCGTAAGTATTGGCCATCATTGCTGTAACAAAACAAATATACTTTTATGTTGTTGAGACAATCAATTCAAAACAATGCATTAAAATGGACTATGAAAATAAGAATCCCAAACACATTCATCAAATTATTTTTATTCTCCAATATGCTTCTTGTTTATATCACTGAGATAACATACAACTTTGGATTTTGGAAACGATGCTTTCTCTCATTTTGTGTCTAATTTTCTTTTGTACAAAGTAACCTTTGATATTCTGAGCCTCTGGTAGATTCATTGTTTGAAATAAAACAAAAATTTGTTATTCAGTTTTTAAAAAGCAGTATAGCATTAAATTTTTAGCCATTGTGCTAAATGAGGTCCAGCATACAAATTCCATGGAAATTTATAGTCTGGTAAAAAATAGTTGGCAATAAAAGTGTAATTGCATGATACACTGCGCAACTTGCAAACATACCTTTGTTCCTTCCAGAAGATGACCCAGCACCCTTTGACTGTAGCGGCCCATTCTTCCTGTCAGGTTCCATCCCTGCAGCAGCTAAAAATTAAAGAAAGTGATTATCTTGTCTGGCTAAACACTATACTGAAAGGGAATACATACAACAGTTGCTTTTGCTGTAATTTTTAGAAATGGATGGATTTTGGGGATTAGTATTTCATTATCTGGCAATAAAAGCGTAATTGCATACACTGCTTGGAAACTATAATACGCTAGGCTTGCAAACATACCTTTAGACTCGTTCCTTCCAGATGATGACCCAGCACCCTTTGACTGCCACGGCCCATTCTTCCTGTCAGTTTTCGTCCCTGCAGCACCAAAAATTAAAGAAAGTGATTATCTTTCCCAGCCGAACACTACAAGTCTCAGATACCGAGTGGGGTTCAATCAAGCGCCATCGACCATTCAAGCATAGAGTTCAATCACAACATGACTAACCCACATTATACACTTTACCTTTTCTCAAGAACTCTTCAACATCTGCAAGCACATCTCGTCTACCAACTGTAGGCTGCTCCAGGCCCTCCATCAGCATATCGGGCCAATCATTTGGATTTCGTTGCATCAGTGCACAGAGAAACTGAAAGGCTTGCTCTGCTGGGTCGTCAGCATACTTTATCTTGATAGTCTTGATTTCATCAGAATTGAATTCGCAGTGTGTAGCGAGTGGCTGCCAACAGGTTGACAGCTTATGCGACCGATGTCGGAAGAACTGCTCGCACCTAATGCGGTTCTGGGATGAGGCTGATTGAGCTTGAGATGTTGATGAAGCCATTATTCTGCAACAACAAAGTTATGGCAGTGACATAAAAATACACTTTTTATACAAATTGTGTTCATGTTACTTACATGTTTGTCAGTTCTTAGAATACTGACGGTTCTCCCAAACATGGCCCATCATCACATCATGAAGCAGGCCCATGGCTTAAAGCCTTACATGTATAAGGGTGTGTGGTGAAACAAAAAAAATGGTAAATCCATTTACAAATTCTCCAAAATGTTTATCCATTTTACAAATTCTCCAAAACGTTTAAACAAAACCTGAATTAAAGAAAAGGGACCGAATTCACGCGATCTTTCTTTAAGTTATAGCACACAAAAAAAGACTTGGTTGGTGAAATACTGAGGACTTTTTCTTTGCCCAATGGAATTTTTCAGTGGAGAAATTTGCTGGCTAAAGATTTAGTTAAGTTGGCCTGATTTAGTTTTGACATTTCAGAGCACTCCAGGTCCCAGTCTGGCTCAGCCCCATAAACGTATCTCAGGCATGGACTTAGCCCCACTAGTGTGGCCGTCGGTATGCTGCGCTGAACCCAAGGTATCAGCGCAGCATACCGACGGCCACACTAGTGGGGCTAGCATGGACTAAGCTCCCTCCATAGAGCAAGCATGCTGGGGACTGATAATAGTGATAGGCTACGTGAGGAAAATTTCTCTTTGAGAAAATCGAAATCAGGACAGTTTTTTCCCACTAAAATGTCACTATGAACTGCACTTACCTGGTTAATAACCAGGGGAAATTAAAGGAAAGAACATAGTATATATAATGCCACTTCTTTGGTTGTGTACAAACTAAGTCTACGTAACATAGAGTCAAGTGCATTTTGAAACTAATTTTATCAAAATTGGAATTGTTTCTCAGGGAAAGAATGTTGCAACCTGATGCTGCTTTTTTCTTCACATAATATCTCGATGAAGGTCAGTCATTGCAAAAATGATGATAAGACATGAATCTGACACTGAGAAACATTTCCATGGAAAGATTTCCATATACGAAGTTCACTCAACACCCTGTGTACAAACCCTATGAGATTGGACTGAAAAATTCTAAGTGTTTTCTAAGAAAATGCTTGTATTTTCTCACTGCTCAAATTGACTTTGATGACATGAAATTGCTATCTGGGGGCTTGTTAGTCAATACAGAGGAAAATTAGTGAACTTCGCATATGGTAATCTTGCCCTGCTGAAGTAGCGTCGGGTTGCAACATTCTTTCCTTTCTCACTTCCAGAATCATATCTTTTCAACATTTTTGCAATGACTGACCTGCATTGATTAATATATATATAAATTCGGCTATATAGCTTGAATTTCCAGCTTTCCTCTATTCTAGGCTCATGACATGGGGAGACTCGCCATGTGATGAGCTAATCCGAGTAACCATGTCCAAATGTTAAAAAGTGATCAGTTGAGTCCTATTTACTCGGACTAGTGATGAGCCTAGAATTTAGGAAGCTGGAAATTTCAAGCTATGGACTACGCAGCCATGTAGCTTGAGTAACTCCAGCTTAACAAGCTCATCGGGAATTCACATGACATGTGAATTCCTGATGAGCTTGTTAAGCTTGAGTAACTCCAGCTTAACCAGCTCATCGGGAATTCACATGACATGTGAATTCCTGATGAGCTTGTTAAGCTGGAGTTACTCAAGCTAGCAGTCATGGCAGAATAGTCCCAAATTTTCGGACTACATGTAGCTCGGGAGGTAACACACTGAGTATATGTGTTCTTATTCCTCCATGACATCACATCATTTACAGCTGTGCTACCGAGAACCACCATGCAAATGGAGGAATTATTTGATGTTGAACCGAAGTCTTACCCATAAAAATGGACGACCTTATACCGTGCACTCTTACTCAAAATCTCGTTACTAACGTAACACTAACACTGAGTAACAGTAAACAGTAACAGTAACACAACTTCACAAGACAAGAGTTACATTCAGTGATTCACGGCAAAACAGTATGCAAATTTCCCGCAACAAAAATAGCTCTGACTAGTACCCAATGCCATTCGTATCAAGAAGAACGCTAGTGGGCGCAGGGGACCAGTTAGATGTGATAAGGGATTCGGGAATTCCCCGGCCCCGGCGTCACATACGCAATCTTGTCTGGTTCCCAGACCTGACAATTACTCCCAACGCTCACGTCTTAAATTGTAGGTCAGGCAGCCTCCGCGGCTAAAAATAAACATGACGACATTAATGGCCCTTTTTCAAAGCGTGGCTTCGTTTCCGATTTCGCTTTATCACTTGTTGTAGCTTTTAATGTTCTGATCAAATCTTTAAATAAATCACTTGCTTCGTAATATCATACAGTTATGATAATACAGTTTGATTTCATGTAACACTGGGAAAGGGTTTAAGACCAGCCAGTTATGTCTTTATCATCCATTTACGACCGGCCACGTGACAGGCTTTCGACCAATGGGCATGGGTAAACAGTCTTAGGTATTTATGAATAGAATTTACAAATACCTCAGAGAGTATACCCATTCCTATTGGTCGAGAGCCCGTCACATAGGTAGTTTTAAACTGCTGATAAAAGGCTGGCTACTTTTAAACAATTCCTGCATTCTGCATCACATTGCTCCACCTGTGCCAATTTCGATATATATTACGAAGGAGATTTTTAGCACTATATACGCACGAGTCACATTCAAAAGACATGGCTAAAGGGTTGTTTCGCAAAATGTGGAGGTAAATTGTGGAACAAAATTGTTGGAAATTTGTGAAATTTGACTTTGTTTGAGTCTTTGACCAAAAGGTATTTATTTATTGCCTAGACGTCTCCATGACTGGTTTTGTACAATGGCTGGCACAATACTTCCGCCATTTGGGGGGCCATAGAGTTACTCTGCCTGGATCAAATTTTTCTTCTGCAGCCAATTAACGTATCACTTGATTGGCTTAGGGAAGGAGGACTTAAAAAGTAAATGAAAAAAGAGAAGAGGGTCAATATTGTACCGTTATTTTAACGTATAATCGACACTAGAAACTAAGGAGCCTAAATGCATCAAACATCAATTTATGTCCACGCTTCCTCCTTAAAGGACTCAATTACATAACTCGAAATTTCTTTTCACACCATCTTGCAATTTAATTTCATTTCAGTATAAAGTCTTTCAAAGCAAAAATATACAGCATATTAAATTCTAAGGCTTGGAACCTTTAAAAGGATTTCAAAGGATAAAACAGTATGACACTTTTAAAAAGAGTGTAATGTATATTACAGTGAACATTATAAAAATGGAATGAAACAATTAACATTGCATTTTCCATGCTAATCAATGAATTTGATTTTGTTTCTCTTATATAATTTTCATATATGTTTGTTTTATTCCAACCAAAAACCTCTCTGTTTTTCTTATTTGGTGTTCGTGCCACCGACTAAATAAAAGGTTAATATTTTGGTCACAAATGGTTATACATTGAAAGCAGACCGGTTCCCGGTTTGTACATTATTGATACTGATTGCAGGACCAAAACCAGCCTATCCTGCAAGAATGGAATTATTTTTGGGCAACCAGTTACGTTGAAATTTATAAAGTGATGTTTCTATTGCCAAAAGTGGGCTGAAATTTTGGTCAATATCTCATTCAAAAGGGAATAAGTTTAGTATTGCTAGAAAAATAGCAATTAAAAAAAGGAATATATTTGGGGGAATAATGCAACTTTATTTCACCTTAAAAACTAACAAAGAACAATTTGTTTACAAAATAGATTACACATAGCATATATACAGCCACTCATATAAAATATTATGAAAAATATACAATGAAAGTTTAATAAAATGAGCAGATTGAAGACAGATTTGCTTGGAGACAGAACCAACATTTATATATATATATGTCTACTCCTCAAATTTCATCTGATTGACAATTGCGTGATCCATGCAATGGAGGTTCTATTTACGGTGGAATAGAACTTCTATTTTTATGGTGCGGTCATGATCAGCAACCTGGCACCAATCAGATGACGAGAATATTTAGGCGTTGTTTAAAGTTTGTTGGTTCTATCTCCAAGCAAATCAAAATTTTAGTTAATTATCACATTTAATTAACAATGTTACCTTTTGAAGTTTTTAACATTTTTTTTCCTTGTATAATTATTGATCCTCATGAGTTATGACTCAACAGTTTTCCATATACATTCACCCACACACATGTAAACACCAGCAATCGTGGACCCCCCTCTTGTCCCTAATCCTCATTCCTTTGTTTGTACTTAAACTTTTTAAGCAACAGCTCTCATTGGTTTTGTACACGAGTTTCAATCGTGCACTATCAGTCAGTTGTGGATGTATTGTTCGTCGATCCATTGTCCTTGGTCCATGATTGCCGGTGTTTACATACTCATTGTAACTGCCCTTAAAGTGTGTGTTGTTTATACAGAGTACATGATATGACCTAGCTGCTCTCACTTTGTGAGATGCTCTTATCATTTGATATTGAAAGTTTCTCAGTACAGCCAAGTTACTAGATCATTGTTTTAAGGTGTTATTATTACTCATCCAGTCATTTTTATTTCCGAGAATGCATGACTAAATTTCTCCTTTCTTAAATATTTTCTTGTTCCAAGTATTCTGTTTTCACAGTATACATGCAAGCACTGTCCCATGAGCAGATAGTGCATGTAGATAATTTGATCACTTGTGATCAAATGCATTACATGTAAATACTTGAGTTTTCGTTAAATTTCAGTGTATAGTTCTTGCCTCTCTTTTCTGGCTTAATGACCGTGAGGTTCTTCAAATTTGCCAGTTTTCTGGAGCTTGTTTCAGTTATCATCTGGTGTACCTGTTTGCCTTTTTCCCCAGTTTCCATAAAGAAATTTGTGAGGACATTTTCCTTTTTTTCTGGCAATACACGAGTGAGACAAGCCCAGAAGTGCCATGAGCCATTTCTCGAACGCTTAAGCTGACTCTGATGACGTGGGTTTTCACAATACACGTCAATTCCTTCTCCCTTTACTGCTGCTTTGATTTTTTTTGGGGGCCTCTCATAAGGACGAAACACCATTGCTGCAACGAAACAATAAAATGTATTGTTGACAAAATCAACTCAAAATAACGTATTAGAAATGGACTATAATAATAAGAATCCCCAACACATTCATAAAACTATTTTGTTTTTATTCTCCAAAAATGCTACTCGTTTATTCACTGACATAACATACAAATTTGGAATTTGGAAAAAATGCTTTCTCTGATTTTGTGTACAGATTTCTTTTGTATAAAGTAACATTCAATACAAGGGTGCACCCAAGGGGACCCCCCCCCCCCAGGCTGGCCTATTTTTTAGTAGTATAACAGGGGTGTAAGTGGTGCCACCAACGTCAAAATAGTCCCCCCCCCCAAAAAAAAAAAAAAAAAAAAAAAGGTTTTTTTTCTGCGGCCAAAAATTTTGGGCAACATTTTTTGGAAAAATTTAAATTTCCGAAAAACTTGTACAAAAAAAAGTTTTGAGCCCCCCCCCCCCCCCACAGCCAAATCCTGGGTGCGCCCCTGATTCGATATTCAGCTACTGGTAGATACATTGTTTGAAAGAAAACTACGTCTGTTATTCCATTGGTTTTTGAAAAGAAGACGAGCATTCAATTTTAGCCATTATGCTAAATGAGGTCCAGTATACAAATTCCATGGAAACTGACAGTCTGGTAATAAATATTTGGCAATAAATGTGTAATTGCATACACTGCTTGGCAACTAGAGTTAAATACGCTATAGCCATGCAAACATACCGTTGCTCCTTCCAGATGATGACCCCGCACCCTCTGACTGCAGCCCATTCTTCCTGTCAGGTTTCGTCCCTGCTGTAGCAACAATTACAGAAAGTGATTAACTTGCCCGGCCTAACACTATAATTCTCAGACACTGAATGAGTCAGGTTTCAACTAACTGTCCCTATTCCATCATTTCTATGGCAAGTCCAAGAATTTGCGCAGGCTATGTACCATACGTAACCAAAGTTTAAGGCCTCTACGATATTCGTAGATGTCAGTGTTTGTGATTCTACCGTTGGGCATCCGCAAGGAGAATACCCACAAGAATGTTTATGTTAGTAGCACGCGATGATTATGTAAAGAAAAGAGAACATGGTGTTACTTATGGGACAAAAAGGGGACCTTTTTTTCCGACATCCCCTCCAACTAAAAAAACTCTTTCATGATGCAAACCGTCATACAAATATATTTTATTATTTACTGGGTACGATATTCAAAGTGTACCTTTCAACAATAACTTCATATCAAGACATCAGGGTTTTTTTTAGGTTTGGGGCTATTAAAATGTTTCCGTTTCAATTTGAACCAAAACAGATTTTGACAATAATCTGGGGTTAGCAAATTCATAAGTAAACATGCCATATAATGTACAACAGCAAAAATACATGTTTTCTACCTTTAGATGTTTCCTTTTCTTTTGATGGCTTTCCAGAGCTTGCTTGAATAGGCTGCATCGCAGGTCTACTTTTAGTTTTTGAAGACTGCTTCTCTGTGTTGGCAAAAATGTATAGTCAATAAATGTCTGGTCAGAAATGTAAATCTGTAAGAATTACTCTGTGCCAAATTAAGCCTAGAGCACAAGTATTTTTTACAATTGATTTCTTAGGGTGAATAAATGGACACTTCATACAATAAGCATTCAAAAATTAGGACACATGTATAATAATGTGAGGTGTAATGCTGTTGTTACCTTTAGTTTGCATAAGGCCAAAAAAATATAATAGTTCTGCTTCTGGTTACCCTACCTACCCTATTTCACAGCCCCTACCCTAATTTTGTTTTGGGGAAAAATGAGGAAAAAAAACCCTCAATTACTACCTTTTATCCTCGACTACACACATACACCTCGATATCATCATACACAAAAAAATTGCCAAATTGTTTCCCCTGCCTACCTACCCAATTTTCAAGTGCCACGTACTGTAATTGGAAGAACTATTTTTGTTTTGGCCTTAATAAGTGGATATCCTCAAACTTAGCTGGTCTTCCTAAGAAAATTGTTTCATAATTTTACCTTCTTTCAAGAATTTTTGTTGCTTGACAAACTCCACCAGATCATTTCTTCCAATCTTTTTCAGACCCTTGATCAGATGCTTTTTCCAGGTACTGGTAGAGGGTTTCCTTTTCCTCAGGTCGCACAGCATCCAAAATGCCGGATTCCGGCGGTCTTGCTTGATTTGGTCAACCTCAGAAGAGCTGAAGTCCAAGAGAATTGCAAGTATTTCCCAGTCTTGTGACAACCTAGCAGCCAACTTTACGAAAAATTTCTCACACTTACGTATGAAAGACTCATCTTGAGCTGCCATTGTAGAACCACATGTACTATGCCTGTGTGAAAATGAAGATTAATTTATTACAGTGAGCCTCCATTTATAGAAACTATTGCAAGGAGATCAAAGTTCTACTTTTCTACTTCTGACATCAGCACAAATTGGAATTTGTTCAATACTTAATCAAATTAAAAGCAGCCTAGTTTATTATCTAATATTTTTATTTATAAATTAAAAGCATTCTGGTGATATAGAAAAAAATTATAAGCATGATTCATTATAAAGAGGAGACTATGTGCCAGAGGCAGTTGGGCGTACTGTAGTACTCTCAACAGATTGGCATTTACAAGTTTTATAGGGGGAAACAATTTGCTAGGCACAAAATAGACCAACTTTGTCATGATCATGCTGGCGATCGTGAAGACTTGTATATAGCGCCTTGGCGCGTTCACGGTACATCGCGCGGTGATTGCCATCTTTATTTTCGTGTTGCGTTTTGTTGTTATTGTCATTTTACCCCCAAATTTCCGGCCCTCAAAAATTCAAAACATGCCCCTGCATGTTTTTTTTAATGTCGTCAACGGAAAGATTCCCATATCTGGCCATCAGTAATTTTTCCCTTAAATAACCCATCAGCCATCAAAAAGTGGCAATATGTCCTTAAAAGTCAAAATTAGCGCTGAAGTTTTACTGAGAAATCACTTACAAATTTTCAGACCAGTCCTATATGGTTTGTGCACAGGGTGACAGTACAAGTGATGGCCAGATATGGGAATCTTTCCTCGTCAACTTGTTTGGTAGGTCAAATAATTTTAAAGTGGATTTTGTTCCTTAACCCTAACTAACTAGGGGGTATGCAAAATCGTATTGAAATTGGAGGATTCAGGACTGTTAGGGCTATTATACTTATAGTTATACTAGTTATAGGAACTGGGCTCATAGATACACAATTGCCATAATGCCCAGGTTCCATGGTAACTTAATCTAGCTTGAATAACTCCAGCTGACATGCTCATCATGAACTCTACATGTTACAGCTTGAGTTTACTGAAGCTAGAAATTGACATGTAACAAATTCCTGATGAGCATGTCAGCATGTAGGCCTACTAATGTTGACCTAGCTTGAGTAACTCCAGCATGGGCGTCACCAGGATTTTTCTAGAGGGGTGCAAAACATATTTTTCCAAAAAGATTCTTGTATTTCTCAACCGTATTCTCGATTTATCAGTTTAAGAGGGGGACATTCCCCCACCCGTTAAATTCACACCTCTTTTTCTTTCTTCTTCTTTTTGTTGTTGTGCCCCCTTGCCCCCCCCCCCTCGCGACGCCCATGAACTCCAGCTTAATGCTTATCGCATTAAACATTATAGCCCCATAAATGTGGCCTATTTACTGGACTGCCTCCGTAAACATAGGCCACACATCCACATGTACAAAAACGTGTCGCACTTTGCCAAATTTAGATTTTCACATTTAGGCTTAGTTTGTAGGGTTTTTTTGCTTTAGAAGCATACTCACCCTCTTTATAGGCTAATCAGAAAGTGCTGCCTTTTTCAGATGTCAAATTTTTGTGAAATTTCATGTTGAAATTTTGATACGCAAACGTGTGCAAATGAATCTGGAAATTTCACGAAAAATAGACATCTGAAAAAGGCAGCACTTTCTGATTAGCCTATAAAGAGGGTGAGTATGCTTCTAAAGCAAAAAAACCCTACAAACTAAGCCTAAATGTGAAAATCAAAATTTGGCAAAGTGTGACACGTTTTTGTACATGTGGATGTGTGGCCTATGTTTACGGAGGCAGTCCAGTAAATAGGCCACATTTATGGGGCTATAAACATTACAGCTGGAGTAGCCCCACTAGTGTGGCCGTCGGTATGCTGCGCTGAACCTAAGGCAGCATACCGACGGCCACACTAGTAGTGGGGCTAGAGCTGGAGTTACTCAAGCTTATATTGACCTTACCCCTAGAACTATGGGTATTACAAGTAATACCATAGTTCTATGGGTATGTTGACCCGTGAACGTTCACCATGTTCACGGGTCGTCATCTCTATCACGTCTATGGAGTTTATTACTTGTTAAGTTACTCAAAAAGTTAGAGATTTTCGGGTTGATCGTGTAGGCCCCCTACATGTATTAATTTGGGCTGAAAACATATACTTATGTTGAACTGAAGGAACGAGCTTACTCGGAGGCGGACAAAGCTAGACTCGCTATATAAGAGAAGGTCTTTTTTTCATTACAAACACAAGAATTACATACATTTTAGTTTTACGACATACCTGCTGCGAGTTCACCACAAAAACAGTCGTGTGACGTGTTCAAATCCCCGCGAAACCGCCAGCTCTGACTGGTAACCCTTGCTGCCTTTCAAGAACCTTACGGGGCGGCGCGGGACCAGTTACGTGATCATCAGGGAATTCCCCCACAGCTAGCACGCAATTGACCTTTGTTTGCGCGGATGCGCTAGCCACGTTGTAATTGGCGGGAAAAACTGCATTGCGCGTCATCATATATACCACCAGCGCTGGTGCTGCGATTGTAAAAACTGTGCAAGAGATACGAACCTTTTCGAAATGGAAAAAGCAGGCTATAATATAATTCCTGAAAACGAATTGGAATATTTAGACCAAATTAGTAGCCGGGAAAGCAGAAATACGGTATATACGGCTAAGTGGACCCACGAAGGCGCAGAACGCATGGTGGCTGCAAAAAGCTGCAATAACTTCCGGGAGGAGGAAGTCAGAATTCTGGCAGACTGCAAGCCGCACAAAAATGTCATCGAGTTTTTGGGACTTGTAAAACTGAAGATCCCTCCAAATGGTTTTGTCATTGTGACAGAGTTGGCTGAGAAAGGTTCCCTCTGGTGCGTGATCGCCCAGAACCGCGGGAACTGGCAGGAATACAGGCAGCCAGTTTGGCTGAAATGGGCTAAGGAAGGGGCCGAGGCTCTGAGGTACATCCACCAGAAGAACTACCAACATGGGGATGTGAAGTCACCCAATTTTGTGATTACAGATGATGATACTTTGAAGATCTGTGACTTGGGCACAGCAAGACCATACACCTACACTGCATCCACGAACACCGTGAGGGGATCTTTTCCGTGGATGGCGCCAGAAGCCATGGGCAAGTGTGATTCAGAGGTAGGCCTAAACACAGATGGTGGACAGAGGAAATCTTTCCAAGTCACAGCAAAGTCAGATATTTTCTCGTATGCTGTAGTCATTTGGGAACTGATTACTGGCAAGGTACCCCATGAAGAGAAGGACGTGCTTGAGATTCTAAAAGCTGTTCGTGAAAATAAAGAGCGTCTTAAAATCCCCAGCGAGTGCCCTGATAGTCTTGCTGACCTCATGGTGAGGTGCTGGGATGCAGATTACCGTCACAGACCAAGCATGGAGGAGGTGCTTCAACGCCTTGTGGAACTTGATGAGACAGATGCAAGTGAGTATTGTATTTGAAGAGTTTGATTTTTTTTATTTGCACTACTCTGCATACAATTGAATAGCCTGAGAAACTCCAGCTCCAACGCTCATTAGGAATTCAACATCCTGATGAGCATTGGAGCTGGAGTTTCTCGCACCACCACACATTGCCCTGTTAATTATAATAGACTGACTTTGTCCACTGTGCACATGAGCAACCAACACCTCTCCAAATACCAGACAGCATGATCCAGCCATGCACGTCTTTATGCTCAAACTTTAGTGCATGCACGTGGTACATATTTTAAGTCACAGCTGTGATTGATCAAAACACAATGGCCGGGGCTATTAATGTATCAGTCTATTGGCCATCAAAATCTTGATTGATATCCAACATGGCTAATTTTGTGTCTTCCTGACTCAGAGCTTGATGCAATTGCATGGGACAGAGATGCAGATTGTGCCAGTGGATCAAGGAGCAGGATGGTGTCAGCAGAACACCATAAGTTTCAGTTGGATCTCGGTAAGTTGCAAATATACTTCTAAAATATTATCCAAAAATGTTTCAAGTTTGATAAATAATAATAACATTCCATTTTGTTCACCCAGAATTGGTAAATGTTATATTCAATGAATACTGATTTAAATGCTATGCAGAGAATTAAAGTGAATGAATCTAGATCATCCATACTTCTGTACATAGGCTTTTATGTTAAGGATCTCCCTCATCAATAAAAGGAGACTGATAGTTTATTTGATGTGCACTTTGCTATGGATCTGTACCAGAGTCTGATGCTCTGCTTATGCTTCTTAAGTTCTTTGCAATAAATATATATATTGTGCACGTAAAATTAATGTTATTATCAAACAGGTGTAAAACTGCTGTAAAATTGGTGTACATTAAACTTCTGTAATTGTCTTACACAGCCGATGACCCTGATGACAAGGGAGCTGAAGACGATCAGCAGCTTAGTCAAATAGAGTGTGAGCAACTTTTCTTAAATGTGGCAGATATGTTGTCACAAATGTGGGAAAGAGTAGCAATTTTCTGTGGTTTTACCTCTGATGAGGTTAATAACTTCAAGCGGGACAACAAACCACCATATCAGGCATTTCAGATGCTGTGCATCCTGAGGAAAAGGGAACCCTCTGCATGGACAACGACCCTGAGCAAGGCTTTGGAAAAGGTGGAACGAAACGATGTGCTGGAGTTTCTCAACAGACGCATTTTCTTATTAAAAAAAGGTAAAATTTTTGAAAAAATTCCGACTAAGGTAGACTAGGTTATGTTAGAAAAAGATGATAAGTTTAGGGCAGTTCACATCATATTATTGCAAACTTACAAAGGCAACGAAACTTGCAAAGACAGTGTGAATTTTCAAAAACAATAAGAAGTTATGGCATTTTGCACCGTTTTCTCTGTAGGTTCATCTGAGGCTTTAGCGGGAAATGAATTGATATGTATAGTATGCAGATTTTGGTTTCTGCAGTTATATTTGTGCAATACTGAGCACATTATACAATGGGTAATCATGATATTCATGCATACAAACCCGGGAAACCCCATTGCAAAACTGCTCATTTTTGTTAACATGGAAACTGAACAAATTTTTAGAATCTCCAAAAAATATCTTGAAATTATTGTTGCACGGGTGTAGTTGAATTATTGTACCATTTAATGAAATCCATAAAGTACGTGCGTGTTTATAATACACAATGACAGCAACCAGCACTTGTTTTACTGGTTGAATTATTGCAGTTGCAAGTGGAATCATGATGGCATAATTTACACCGTTCCTTTGTTACTTCACATTCACAGGTGCATCTGAAACTTATGTTTCTCCCGGAGATCGTGTTATGATTGATTGTCTCAGTATTGGGATCATCAGAGGACAACGGTATCTCAAGGCATGGAGGCATTACTTGTTCAAAATCGAAGATTCTCCACAAACAACAGAGGATGGTACTAGCTACTACTTCTATGGTAAATTGAGAGATGAAAGTGGATTACCAATCTACTTCATTTACTATCAAAAGGACTATGAAATCTGTCTGAAACATTTCGAGATGATAGCAGCGAGTACAGACAAAAAACCATTGTACATGTGGTATGTCAATGTGCTGGATCAAGATGAGGGATATGGGGGGCCAGGAAGAGGTTCAAGTGTGTACAAACTGCAATTTAACGAACATTCAAGAATATGCTGGGCTTAAAAAATAACATTCAAGAATATGCTGGGCTTAAATAATGCATACTTTTGCTAGAACATGGACTAAATTGCAGGATTAAAGCTTGCTTCCTCTTTAGTAATCAAAAGCATGAAATCAAGAAAAGCAAGTATAATTAGGAGTTGGAATCCCACTTGAGCATGGTTGGTTCTTCCTCAGTACTTGTAATAGTGCTCATTCAGTGACAGGCAATCCCTTGACTGTAATTTGTCAGTATGTCATTTTTCTGGTATCAATTGATCAACCAGGAATTTTAAGGTGTAATTATTACAGACAGCATATGTTTTAGATTGGGCTGTCCATTTTCGAAAACTTTAATATCCAATTACTTGAAATTGCATTTGACCGAATATTTGGATATTGGGAACAGCCAGCTGCAACTGCGTGCTGCGCCAATGAAAAGTTGCACGAAGAGTACGCCAGTCTACTTATATGGGTGCTGTCGTGTTTTTTTTTTAGTATTTTATAACTGTAAATGGCTTTAACTGGCTAAAAGGATGAGAAAAACGAACCGTTGTCAGTTGTCAACAAAAGCATTACCGTTGACAAAAAGTGGCACTTGAAAATAAAGCACCCAACTTTACAAAATAAAAAAATTACAGTTGTGTGCATAGCTTTTTTTGTTTTGAATATTCAGACTGGCAAAAAGCTATTCAAACCAGCTCTGGTTTAAGATTTTGCCATATGATTGCCATCATCCTCTGTATTATACAGTGTATTAAATATTACTCCTATAATTCGTACAAAGAGTGGAATATCCCCCCCCCCCCGGCACCCTTTCACCAGGGCCGGGCTGCTTAGTTTTGGATATTGAAGGGTGATTGTATACCCTTATGACTATTGGCAAAGACCAACTTTTTTTGGCCATTCAACCGTCATGTCATGTATATAATGTATTGTTCATACAGCAAGGTTGAAACGTCACTTCTTATGAATGTAATGAAACTCCAATTTTTATTTTGAGAAAAGAAAAATGGATGGACATTATGTGTGGAAATTTTTTTTTGTATGGATGTTGTATATAATAATTGTTCAAGAAATTTTAGCTTTCAAAGTTCACATACACAAGATGATGTATATGTAAGATGGCATAAGTGAAACAAAATGATTTGCAATGGGAAATATGCATTAAAATAACATTACTTTGTATCCATTAATACCTAAGACCCATTCCGATTGGTCAAGAGAGCCCGTCACCTGGGTGGTTTTAAACCTCTAATAAAACACCGACTGATTTTATTCACAGTTTCCATATAAGATTTTTAGCGCTATACACACAGGAGGCCAAAACCATAGACACGGTTTTTGCCTCCTGTGTGTATAGCGCTAAAAATCTTATTTGGAAACAGAACATGAAGGAAATTGTTGAACAAAATTTGTAAAATTTTGACTTGTGACTTTTTGACCTACATGTTGTAGGATGTATTTATGAATGGGAATAAATATGTGCTTGGCCAGTTTTAATCAGTTACTTTTAAAACTGGCTAGGGGCTGGCCGCAGATAATTGGCCATGCTCTAGCAATTTTTAAACGTAGGCCTACTTGTTTAAACCGGCAAAGCACATATTTATTTTCTTTGTAAACTCCACAAAATAAGTACACAGTAGAGTCCGTCAATAGCCTTTTAAATTATATTTCCAAAACTACTGACAAAAATCACTAAACTAATATGCTTGTTACACAAAAATGCATGTTCTGTAGACCTACATGTATATTTATTCATGTTTTTCTTTTTTAAAGTTCATTTAACATGTTTAATAATGTTGTATAAAGCGTTGAATATTCAGCAAAATTTTTCATGTATTCATATTCAAAAAGCACTCATCGATAATTAGCCAATTCGGTATTTCAACTGCGCTTGCGGACAATGATATGGGTCACGGGTTGTTCTGGATAATTGAACGCTCATCGAAGGGGCATGAAGGCACACGGAGACGGGCGCACGACACCTGCGTGAAGCAGAATGGGCATTCGCATAACATCGCGTATCATCACGTCAGCAATTTTATCCGGAATGACCTTTGACATGGACTACTTCGTCTACCGAACTAGCCTATTGGACTGCTGACATTGAGTTAAAAACTAGAATTTAAGTAAGGATAAAAACGTTCACTTCATGGATAGACTCAAATCGAATTCACTACATTGCTTTTTACAAGTATCCTCAGAAGCAATTATGAAAGCAAGGATGAAATTTAGTATGCGTAATTATTCATTTGAGTAATTAACAACTGTAAACATTATAAAAATGTGGATACATTTTACACTGCACAAACCATTGCAGGACAGTGTACAATATGTATGTGAAGCTTAGTTAAAGGGAAAATACAACATTTGCAAACATCGAAGAAAAAAACTACCAAGTTTTTTACGAAATACCTTACTAGGATGTTGGTAAATGACAGTCTTAAGCATCCTGTAAAATTATGGCACCTTGTGTGAAGTCATTTTCAAGAAAATTGTATTTTTGTATACATTTCCAACGGTGGTCGGCTGACCACCGTTGGAAAAACCTAACTATTTTTCGACTACTGCTCCTAATTTACAATTTTGTTCAGTCCAAATGTTGTTTGCTATTGGTTACATGTTTATGAACGGGTGCAGGCCAGCTAGACTGGTTCCCTTACCTTACAATTTTCCGACATCTATAAATTGATTATTTTATCTTTAGTGGAGTCAGGGAACCAGACTACTTAAACATTTTTGTTTTTCTTGATTTTTTCCAGTATTTTCGAACACAAAACTTCAAACATGTCAGTTAAACAATATTTGATCTATTATATACTAACCCCTCAAATAGTTCATTTCTGAAAATTACAGCAAAAGCCAATGATGTACATTCCCTTTAAATATGCATTCAGAAATACTCTTTGAAGAACAATTTTTTTTTTTAATTAAATTCCTTTGGGAGCCGTTTTTTTTTTTAATGACTTTACATTTTGTGTTGTTTATTTTATTACATGTACATGTACGTTGTTACTTATCTCATATTAAAGAAATGACGTGTAATTGAATGTAATAATAACAAACACTATAAGGACAATTTATAAACACATAGTGGTCACAATGATATGTTTTTATGACAAGGTACTAAGTATTTGTATAATACAATGTACTTGTAAAAGTATTGAAATAAAACAATTGTGGTCCAATCATGAGCTTCAATGCTATCTGTTAGCATTTTTTGCATGGATTCAGGTTCGTTGATCAGTAATTACAGAGCAACGATTAAAACATATATCATGGGCAGGGCCACTGTTCTTTCATTCATTCAAGGAAAAAAAAAGTTTCCTTATCCCTATTTTATGCAACTGTTTATTACTGACATCCCTTTTTGGTAAATTTTACTGAAAATTGCACCTTTTTTTAAAAAAAACATTTCAACTGATACTGGGGTGTCATTTCAGGAAGATGCTGTTTATTGTAGGGTTTAGTTTCTGTTCACATTGTGAACCCAAAAATTTGCCCGTAGTTTGCCCACTGGCCTACTACCATGTAATGATGAATTGCCAAACGGAAGATTTACGACAGCAAAACATGTATCCGAAATTCTGGCAACTTTTTGTTGCTGAAATAGCTGTAATATTGAGGTTTCTGCCTCAAATGACATCACACTTTTTCTCATGAATATGGCAATCCATTATCATAAAACTCCCAAAAGGCATCCAAATACCCTTAAAATGGCAATACGATAAGTGGAACTAAGGTCAAATGGGACACAAATGTGCCATTTAAAAAGTTGCATTAAAAAAATTACATTGCATGAGCCCTTAAAAATATATATATAGAAATACAAAAAAAATGGCAACTGTTGCTGTTCCCCCATACTACGGTGGATATGCACCACTAATACTCTATGAGTACATGTACTTTACCCACATAACATGGACAGTTTGAGCTCAATGTTTTTCATCATTTTGAGAAGAATGTTCAATTACTGAAGCTTACTGGGGTTCATCTTTAACAAAGGACCTCAAACGGTTCTACTTAACAGTGGGAAGCTTTTCTCACAAGATTTCAGAAGCACTGATCGCAATCTCCTAGAGTTTTTATGATATATTCCAACTATTGAACTAACCTCTAAATGGGGAAAACCAAAGAACTTTTGTATTAAAAAGTCAAATCTTAAAAAGTATATATTAATTGTATTGTATTTACAATTCCAACGAAGCATCATAAATGGTTGGGCAATTCACAAAGCTGTTCCAACTGTTTGGGACCTTGTGACACTGATAGGTCATTTGGTGTTGTCAGGTCAACAGATTTACAAGCAAATAAAAATGAAACCAGCAGGGGCTGGTGTAGTTAAAATACTGCTTTGAAATGAAAGCATCTATTATTCATCTGCTGTTTGGGGTAGGGGTTGGTCAATTGGGACAAAAATATCAAGATGCAGTTTTCACCCCCTCCTCCAAAAAAGATGTTTCACTCAAAAATGTTATCCCCAAGAAAAGAGTGGGTTGCTCCATCTCTTGACATTCATTCAGTTTTGATGGAAGGAAAATCAGGATTGGAAAATTTCTCTGAATTGTCATCGAAAACCAATTTATAGTTGCTCGTTCCAAGTGCTTTATACTTTGTCCTCTGTTTTTCAAGTTTAAGGGAACGTAAGAAAACTGGGTTGTCCCCACTACTTCCCTCTATGGCATTGTATACATCCTTACATTTCTGTGCATTGGCCAGAAAGAAAGAAGCATAGATCTTCACCCCACTAATGTCGGTCAAGAAACAGTGGAAATAAGATTTGCTTTTCCCCACCTTGGGTTCGTCACTTATCATGTGTTGTTTCCACACTTTCATGTACCATGGGGCCCTCTTGTCTACCAATTTCGGCTTAATATCCGGAATGGCCACACATTTGTCTTGCGGCGCTGGAACGGACTTCGGTTTAGATCTTCTACGTGTCACTGGTCCGGTAGATGGAGCTGCATTCCCATCCGTTTGTGTCAGAGCCGCTAGAGGCAGATTTCCTGTAAAAGTTCAAAACATGAAATCAACAATGACAAGGAGACATCTTAAAATTATACCATCCCGACAAAACGGAAAGTAAAGTCTGAAAGATCTGTATGGGTAGTACAGGAGCAGGGTACCCGATTGAAAAAAAAAACATGGGTACCCGTTAAAGAAACCCAACGCCAAACAATCCAAAATTCAAATCTCAGAAGTTGCTGTTGAGATCGTTTACAAAGTTCCACACGATAATACCACATCAACGCATCAATACAGCAAGATACAAGTGTGTACAGTGAGCTTCATAGCTTTACTGTTTAAACTGCAGCTTTCACAAGTGTCATGTGTTTTGTTTTCCCATGTGGCCTGGTTTTTATCTTGAAAATTCCCCACGAATGACTTCATAGCCTTTCTTTTTTATTGTCTGAGAAGTTATTAAGTAATTTGTAAAGTTGGTTGCGGCTATACCCGATCCCATAATCTGCAACCAGTTCCTGGCATTAACGGTCGGGTATTCACAAATTGGGTATCCAGTTCCCACACACAGCCCTAAAGCACTACCTTCTCTTGACATGTACCAAGTCTGTAGTTGACACTTTTTAGTACAAACTCTGTTAATACAAAATTCTGTTTATTACAAACATAAAGCCTTGGTCCCTACTGTGCATTTATGTGCACAATGAATGGTACTGATGTTCCTCTTAATACAAAATTCTGATATAACAAACAATTTGGCTTGGTCCGAACGAGTTTGTTATAACGAGACTCGACTGTAGTCTGAATATTGAACAGCCCTTGTTTTACACTTTACCTTTTTTCAAGAATTGCTCTACATCATCCAGCACATCTTGTCTGCCAACTGCAGGGAGCATTAGGCCCTCCATCAGCATCTTGGCCCAATCATCTGGTCTCTGCTTCCGCAGCGTGCAAAGTAATTCAAATGCTTGCTCTTCTGGGTCGTCATTCATCATTCTGATGGTTTTGATTTTGTCGGATTCAAACCCACAGTGGGTGGCCAGTGGCTGCCAACAGGTTGACAGCTTAGTCTGGAGACGGCGGAAGAACCTCTCGCAGTCTATGACGCTCTTGTTGGATGCCATCATGGATCTGTTGAAAAAAAGTTATAATAAAAATGAGCAATTTGAATTCTGAAGGAGCTGAGTTGTCGGTTCGAAAGGGAACGTTGACAGCTGACATGAGCAGCGTGATTGGCCCTAGCAATGTAAACAAACACAAAAGTCAAAGTGAAAGTGCATAAACAAACACAAAGTGCAATGTGCTAAACGGCTATATTAACATGCCTTGTATAAGTTGTAACAGTATACAAGTAGCCTAGAATGAATCCTGGTTCTTCCTTTTCAACTAGTAGTTGTAGTACTATGCCTAAGCTTCTAAGAAAACAGGCTCAGTGACAGACAGTTATCGAGAACAACTTGAGGTACTCTGAAAAACTAGACCAACAAATAAAAACAAAACAAACCAACAAGTTGTCATCAAAATCCACTCCAGTTGGGGGGGGGGGGGACTAAAAAAAATACTACTTAAGTACTGGCATGACTGGTAACTGGAGTCTGGAGGAACATGAGGAAGATGACAAAATTTGAAAAAACAAGTTTTAATAGGCCTAGGGTAGGTCTACTACAATTTTATTTCTAGCCCCCCATGGGTCTGTTTATTCCCGTCTCAGTTATATTGTATCTGGAAAGAATGTTGCAACCTGACGCTATTTTTTCTTTGTGTAAGCGATCATCTAAATAAACATTTAAAGTCAGTCATTGCAAAAATGTTGAAAAAACATGAATGTGGGACTGAGAAACATTTCCAATGTTTTGGTCTCCAGGATCCCAGCTTTCGCACCTCCACGCTTCCTGTTACATTACACTGTACTTCACTTCAAATTGGAATCCCCTTAGTCTCATCATTGGTCGTTCAATCTCCTTGCCCTTGACTTGTGTTAGCTCCATGGTCTCATCTCCTGACGATGGACAGAATATGCTGTCCGAAACGTTGAGTAAAACAAAACAGTTCTTCTCAGAACCACCACATACAGTACATGACAGTCATAGGCCTATACAGTAAATTGGCCACATTAGCTAGTATTAAAGGCCTAGGGCCTACTCACAAAAAAAGAGATGGCCAGGCGCCACCGCAAAACTTGGCTTTGCAAACTTTTCATTCTTAATCTCAATTCCATACTACATGTATGATGTACAGTCATGACTTATACTAGTTCTAGCATTGGTTAGGAAATACTTTCGGTAATCCTTACTTTTAGGACACCTCTGTTTTGTACGAGTTCTGTTCAAAACTGACTTTTGCAGATGACTGTCCAGTACCAAAGTGACTTTTGCAAGCTAGAGCAGTCTTTTTACTTCAGATAAACTCATGTTAGTTGTAATTTTGAAAGCACTTTCAAAGAAAATGTGACTTTCCTACCTTTTTTTGCAGTTCGCCATCTTGCATTTTTAATATATTTTCTGTTTGTCATCGTCGTCTTTAACCCCTCATAAATCAAAGCCCAGCCCTCTTTCTACAAAATTAAACCTGCCGATATTAAAGAGGTGTCATTGCCAAATGTTCAAATGTGCCAAGAAATATCAGAATGTCACTTTTGAGGGTCATTTAGTCAGCTGTTTGGTGAGTCTTTTAACCTTATATAGGAAAGGGGTCCTAAAGGTAAGGATTACCATACTTTCCATCATGTCCATACACATTGTACATTATCAGTGATCAGAGTATTACAAAGCAATTTTTCGGTAGTTAAGGGCTTAAAAGAAAATAATGAATGTCCCTTTAATTTTTAAAAACATGTTAAATTTGGAAACGATTTAAGCGTAAATTATCGTAGCCTAGTACCTATACCTACCTGACAAATACGTAAAAAAACCACTGATGGAAAGTCACTGAACACGTACAATCACGTCAACCACGGAAAAATCACTTATTCCTTCTTCTTCCTTGGCTTGGCTGAGCTGAACAATTATGTTGACAAATTGTGATTGTGGTTTGTTGACGTACCGTTTTGTATGACGCTGTCACGCCCCAACTATCGCATCGGTCCCAACTATAGTTGGGCCTGTCCCAACTATAGTTGGGCCTGTCCCAACTGTAGTTCCACAGTTGGGCTGGCCCAACTATAGTTGGGCCTGTCCCAACTATAGTTGGGACGGTCCCAACTGTAAGTTCCATTGTTGGGCTGGCCCATCTATAGTTGGGCCACTCCGATCTTTTTATTTTGCGGTGTCCCAACTATAGTTTACATTGATGTACAACCATAAAACGTTCCCTACAGCTCTGATACACGTCTGACTTTACTGGGGACCACTGAAATTAGCTATTGATGGGGCGAATCTATAGTTGGGCCACCCCAATCTTTTTATTTTGCGGTCCCAACTATAGTGTACATTGTTGTACGATTATAAAACATTCCCTACAACTCTATTGACTTTACTGGGGACCAATGAAATGATCTATGGGTGGGGACCATCTGTAGTTGGGCCACCCGCAATATTTTTATTTGGCAGTCCCAACTATAGTTCGACTATAACATTCTCTACAGCTCTGCTTACATGTCCGACTTGGGACCTTTGACATTAGCTATGGGTGGGGCCCATCTATAGTGGGCCGGCCATGGCAATCTTTGAATTTTGCAAAATGTTGCTGGATAATAAAACCCAGCAGCTGGACAACTCATCCAACTAGGCGGTACCACGTGACCGGCCAGCCTTGCGGCATGCATGCATGCATGCACGACGAATACACGTTGCCAGCGCCGCGGAATCCAACAAGATCTATCAAGCATGAAGCACCCGGCGCAACTCCAGTCCTAACTATAGTTGGGCCGACCCAACTGCCGCACTATAGTTGGGACAGTCCCAACTATAGTTGGGACCGATGCGATAGTTGGGGCGTGACAACGCTTCTGAATTCATTTTTCGCGCGCCACGTGGGTCAGGTGATCGCAAGCGAATAACATGACGTCATGACGTGCGTGCACGTCACAGACATAAACACTCATAGACTTCCTTCAAGTCGGCTTCCTCGAGTTGGCGAATGCTTAACAAAATTGTAGACTTGCAATTAGCTTCCCCTAGTTTATTACAAATATTTGCCCATCAAAATCAGGTGATTTACTTTCGAAACCAAACTCAAACATTTACTCCCCACAACTAGCTGCGCTGGCTAAAAAAAAAAATTATTATTAAAAAAAATGATAATATTTCGCTGGTCCCAACTAGGTACGTACATATTGCAATTCGTCTCGCGCGCCGGCGCCGGATATGGATACCAGTACACAGGTGTAGGCGGAAACACGTATGGGCGGCCTGGGGGAAAGAACGCTGAAAATCCAGTTAAGAAAATGTCCGAAAAAGTAGCCAACCTGTTTGTGTCATGATAAATACTACTCAAAGAAGAAATAATGTAGTGTTGCAGTAGATCCTGTGTGGATGTACAGTGACTAGAGTGAAAGGGAAACGTGCAATATGTCTTCAAACTTGGCCAAGTTGGAGTCGGAGGAGGACTGCGAAGGAGTTGTTGTGTTTCACAAACGCGACCACTTTGCTAGCGGCTTCTCTTCAATGGAAAGCATCAGAAGGAAGGGGAAATTATGCGATGTGACGCTCAAGGTATTCTATGTCAATGTCATTGGAAAGTGCTCGCTATCGTACTAATTCCATGTATTATTAAGCTCTTGTCGTTTGGCGTTGGCATATTTCACAGGAATTTAAGTAAATATCATTTCACATCTAGTCCGAGTAACTTGGACCTAACTTATCGCCTTTTTTAACATTTGGACATGGTCTGGCGATAGTAAGGTCCAAGCTAATACCGCGACCTAGACAACACAGTCCCAAAAACCAACATTTTCCAACAAATAACATCAGATTTCACCTTCAAAACGGCCTCCAAATTACTAGATATGTCACCTGAGGTACAAGTAGACATAGATGATTAAGATGGTTGTACTTAAGTTTACTTACGATCCGGAAAAAAGTAAAATTTTCCGTTCAATTCTGAAGACCCCCTCTGCCTAGGTTGTCGTTGTTGTGCTCACGTTCAAAACTGCATGATAATGGCGTCTGACCTCGACCTCATGCAAATGTCGTGCGGCGCGCTTGCGCATAATGCACTGCATGCATGCACGGCAGATTCCCCTGCGCCGCGCCGACGACTGTTTCCTGATGTAGAGTGCTGTGTAAGTTCGCGGTACGCCTAGGAGTCGCGCTCTACATCAGGAAACAGTCGTCGGCGCGGCGCAGGGGAATCTGCCGTGCATGCATGCACTGCAGTGCATTATGCGACATGGTCTGATGTTTTTTGTTGGAAAATGTTGGTTTTTGGGACTGTCAGTGACTGTGTTGTCTAGGTCTCGGTATTAGCTTGGACCTTACTATCGCCAGACCATGTCCAAATGTTAAAAAAGGCGATAAGTTAGGTCCAAGTTACTCGGACTATTTCACATCATGCATCATGATGGCAACAATTGTTTCCCGGGCTCTGACCATAAGAACAGCTATATAGTATTATATAAAATAATATAGGCTACACATTTTTATTCAGGGATGAAAAAAGTGTGTGTGGGAGGGGGGGGGGGGGGGAAACAAATGATATGATATCCCCCACTTTCAAAAGTGGGGGGCAAGTCCCCCGTCCCCCACCGATTGATGCCCACCCACTGTATACTTTTAGTTTTAGGGTTAAAAATACCATATATATTTTTTGGGCTAAAAATAAGTACCCAAATGTGTGAATAAATATAATAAAACCCGTCCATTTGTGATTAATGCAAATTAGGCACCTGTCACAAAAGAATTTTAAGTGTCACCCCTTCTAAATATCATCTCTCAATCTAGACCCGTGAACGTGGCGTTGTATACAACGCCACGTTGTTGTGTATTTTAAAACCTAGCGAAATCGATCCGACATACATAATTCCGTATGGGTGTTGAGTACTCACCTAGAAATCTAAATTTGCCCGTCCGATTGTTCAGGCTGTGTAATTTCGACGAAATTTGCCCATCAGTAAAGACTTATACGAACATGATGTAGAAATTTCATTTTAGCCCGACAAGTGACCCTGACAAATGACCCCGGACGAGTCGCTTGGACAGATTGACAGCTGTTTCATGTCGCAACCCAATTGGCTGCTCGGCTCATCTCGTGTACAATGTACGTGGGCCCGCGTGGGGTGCGGTGAGAGAGGAAAGGACTTGAAACTTGTCTAAAACGATGTCTCTTTTAGCTGCGACAGTAAACAGCCGTCGAATTATACGAAGGACGGTACAATAAAACGCAATGCGCATGCGTCACTTGGGAGAAAATGGCAGCTAGCAGGACTTCGTAAACCGGGGCCAGAATTTTCCTCAAATTTCGTCAAATGCAAGTTTTGATGTACAAACAGATTTCAAGACAGCTTCATATGTGAGTACTTATTACATTTGCAAAATAACGTCCAGTGTGTGTAATGGAGGGAGTCAGATGGACAATTTCGCCAGGTTCAGAAATACACAACAGCGTGGCGTAGTTTACAAGCCACGTTCACGGGTCTACTCTCAATCTAGAAGAATCAAACTGCCAAGTTTGGGGATTTGGATCGGTCGATCACGATCTCGTCATTAATTGAATCTAAACAACCAGACTAAACGTGGGATCAATGTTTTGAATTCGACTCCATGCTCTGACTGTGGCTTGTAAGTTTTAATCTCCTTTGTGATTTTTTTTTGATGATTTTGTACAAAGGTTGGAGAAAGCAAATTCTCGGCACATCGGATTGTCTTGGCAGCAAATATCCCATACTTCCATGCTATGTTCACCAGTGATATGGTTGAGAGTAAACAAGAAGAGATCACGATGAGTGGCATTGAGCCAAGGTATGTTGATAATATCCATTCACTTCAATGTGAAGGCTGATGTTGCAAAACAAGATCATTTTACACTGTTTGTAACTTTGTATGATTGGAGTTAAACTTTGGTGCGAATAAATTCAGATTTCTTACTGGTTCCAGCAGGGACCAGCTTAGCCCCATAAATGTCTCAAATACTGAACTTCTCCCACAGCAACACAGTGATGCATGCTAAATTTCCCGCAAAAGTGAGCCAACTGAATTTGAAATTCAAACTATTCATTTTTTCACTTTGTGCTTTGTTGTGCAAGTTACATGTACTTGGTTAATAACAAGGAAACATTGATATCCTGGAAATGTTTTTGGGAGAGTTTGAGGTCATGGGTCATGCACCCATGATGTCTTGGTTTTTCCTGTTATATGCTCGGTAAGGGCTTCCATATCCAACCTCAAGCGGAAAAACAGTCTAAATTTCAAATTGGGGAAACAAACGTGTTCAGGAAAGTTAAATTGTAGCATCTATTGCTGTGTGGCGTGAGGAAGTGCAGTATTTGAGACATACATGTACATGTATAGGATAAGGCCAAAAAAAAAAAATTGGTCTCTGGTCAGACCGAAGGTCCGGAATTGATGCGGCGACCCAGGTTTTTTTTTTTTTTTTTGTGGCTTTTTTTTTTTTCAAGCTTGAATTGTACAGACAAGGTGGGTACTATTTTGCTTTTTTTTGGTCCTCATTATACATTGGTGTCCTCCTTAATTTGCTTTGGTGCCCTTTATCATTTGCCTTGGTGCAATTTCCCCATTCCTTGGTGCAATTTCCCCATTCCTTGGTGCTCCTTGGTACAAAAATTTGAAGAGGTGCGGCAATAGAGGGCGCTGTTGTAGCTTCCGTGTTAATTTGAAGAAAAAAAAAGGTTGACGCACATGATTAAAATCGACGCGCGCGCTGACCAGAGACCGAGTAATTTTTGTTTTTTGGCCTAATACCAGTCAACTGCCTAGTGTCCTCTTCGATCCTGACTGACTTCCTGACTGACTCTGACTGCCACTTGTGACTACGACTGGTTACCTATCTCCTTCACTTACTGTCACATTTGACCTACGATGGTCTGGCACCAGCTTTTTTGAGGCTTGCCTCTCGTAGTCTAAGGATCAGATGTTCAGGTGTGCAGAGCCCCACAACGAACATCTGATATATCCATGCATGTAATTTATATGCGACCCCACGCGCAAGCCAATCAGAGCCGCCAGAAATTGTGATGTCATTTAGGGCAGAAATTTGGCCAATGCTATTGATTGGTCAATAGCTGCCTCGTTCTTTTTCATACATGGTTTACCAAAGACACGATAGAAGATGCCCGCTGAATGGTCAGAATCTGGAGTTCAAGATGTAGTGTTGTTTTGCATAATCTACATGCATATCATAGACGCTATATCATAGACTAAGATTGCCTATTCATGTTTAAATTTCATCATATGTAAGCTGTAATTCTTTTGTTACCCCTTGCCTACAGTGCACTGGAGACACTTGTTAACTATGCATACAGCGGTAGAGTGGCGATGGATATACACAATGTGCAATCAATACTAGTAGGAGCCAACTTCCTACAGCTACAGGACATCAAAGAAGCCTGTTGTGAGTTTCTCGGAGAAAGGTTGGTAATATTCCTTCTTATCCCAAAAATGTGTGATTTTTGTTTCCTTTTCCTGCAGATCACACATCTTTCACCATATCTCCCTCTTTTTTTTTTTTTTACAATTCCCCCCCCCCTTTCTTCATAAATGTATAAGTTTCTTCCGTAGTGTGCTTTAATTTATAGTATTCGCCCGTAGTGTGCTTTAATTTATGGTGTTGTCAGGACAAACATGTCTTTTTTTGACATATTGTAGTTTTGTTACCACCCTAAACTGCACCGTTCTTTTCCCTTTAATTAACCTACCGTGGTAGAATCCTGTTAGAATCACGTTAGCCCCATAAATGTGGCCAGTTTACTGGACTGCCTCTGTAAACATAGGCCACACAGCCACCATCTTGGAAACTGACTCGGCGAAATTTTGAAAGTGATTTCCACATTGCGACTTCAGACCCAGTTCATTTATGCTTTAAAAATACACTTACCCTCTTAATAACAAAATTAGAACCTGCTGCCAGTGTCAGTTACCCAGCTGAGCTGCGTAATTTACGACATTTTCTGGAGCCTTCTTGGCAACTTGGTCCAACCATGGAGCTATCTCCATGGTCCAACTGAACAATGCCCTCGCGCAGATCGTTCACCTGTCAATCACGCGTGCAGGACGCACGCCGCAGGCCCAGTGGCAGTCCGGTTCCCAGACCAAAAGATTCGGACTATTCCTAGGATCAGGAATAGTCAGAATCTTTTGGTCTGGGAACCTAGGATCAGGAATAGTCAGAATCTTTTGGTCTGGGAACCGGACTACCACTGGGCCTGCGGCGTGCGTCCTGCACGCGTGATTGACAGGTGAACGATCTGCGCGAGGGCATTGTTCAGTTGGACCATGGAGATAGCTCCATGGTTGGACCAAGTTGCCAAGAAGGCTCCAGAAAATGTCGTAAATTACGCAGCAGCTGGGCAACTGACACTGGCAGCAGAATCTAATTTTGTTATTAAGAGGGTAAGTGTATTTTTAAAGCATAAATGAACTGGGTCTGAAGTCGCAATGTGGAAATCACTTTCAAAATTTCGCCGAGTCAGTTTCCAAGATGGTGGCTTCGTGGCCTATGTTTACGGAGGCAGTCCAGTAAACTGGCCACATTTATGGGGCTAGAATCACGTCAACACAGCTTGTGAAATATTGTCCAATTACATAATATATACAAATGGGGGCGGAATCTGAAACAAACAAAACTTAGTTTACAAAAATTCCATAGGGTTGTCTAAGGGGCGTGGCTAATTCGCAAACGGCAATAGGTCAATAGTACAGCCCCAAACCACCTAAGCAATTGCACAGTTAAATACAAGTGCTCACACATGCACATACATGTACTTCGGTGTCATCTAAGCAGTAGTATGTTAACCAACCTGCACATTATGGTCGTATTCTGATGTCAACAGGCTACACCCAAGCAACTGTCTTGGAATTCGTCGCTTCGCCGACACCATGGTGTGCTCCAAACTCTTCGAGGCCTCCACGAGCTTCATGCACAAGAAGTTTGTGGACACGTCCCTCTCGGAAGAATTCCTGACCCTCAGCAAAAACGAACTCATGGAGATCATTTCCACGGACGAGCTCAACATTGGCGGGGAGGAACAAGTAAGTTTCTCTCTTTTTTTACGAAATTTTAGGGTGATTTGATGTTATTCCGTAAATATATGATGCTAGAAATATTTATTTCTTCATTACGTGCACATGGATTTTAAAAGATTGAAATTCCACGTGAAATGATGGAATAAATTGATGACTTTAGCTAGCTAAAGTCTGTGACATTTATATTCACAAATTTATATTATATGTAAGAATTATACATCTAACTTTGGACAGTTTGGTTGAATGCAGTAGTGAACACTAGTGGTTGGATTTATTGACGTAGGTTAGAGTCGAAAGTTGATGATTGCAGTTTGTATTAAGTAGGATTTCAGTGCAATAATTTTCAGTTTATTTTATTACTGGACGTTTGTTTTTTGCCGATTCGGTCTTCACAGTTTATTTACAAGTGTACGGCAAAGTTTTTTGTTGTAACACGCCAGTTACAATGCAAACCCTTTATTCAACATTTTCCAAGATGCACTTTCAGTGATAGAGTTGACCTTGTAAATGTCTTGCCAGGTATTTGATGCTGTTGTGGGCTGGGTGAAGTACGACCTAGCCGGCCGGAGGTCCTTGATGCCAGAGCTGCTGTCCAGGGTTCGACTCCCTCTCATCCGTCCTCAGATCCTCACTGATAGGGTATCAACAGAAGACCTGGTCAGGAGTTCACACCAGTGCAGGTGTGTTGACTGTAAAGAGATTTGAAACAGTGCAAGGATCTTCAAGGAAGAAAGTTAGCATGTCCACTTTTTTCAGTGATGGATAACTCTTGACAACAAATGTGGATCATGAAGATGCTGCATGCATATCTCAGTTAGTAGAGCAGCTTGAATAGCAATTAAGCTGTCCTGGGATCAGATGCTTAGCAAAAACGTACTTCATTCCCTTAGAGAGGATGTCCTGTCATGCCTGTCAAATGGTTGAGCACCAGCATAAGAGTGCAAGGGGGTTTGGGTTGGAATTGTAGTGCGAGGGGTCGTGGGTTCATTCCTGGTCAGTTAAATGCATAGTGCAAGATATCTCAAATGGTAGAGCACCGAAATTACTGGGTAATGGGTTCCATTCCTTCCCAGTTCAAATCAAAGTGCTAGATATCTCAAATGGCAGAGCACTGGAATGACAATTCACTGGGTAATGGGTTCCATTTCTGGTCAGTTCAAATCCAAGTGCCAGATATCTCAAATGGTGGAGCACTGGAATTGCAGCGCAAGGGGTCCTGGGTTTGACTCCTGGTCAGTCCCATTTCTAATCCTAGGTTCGCGTTTTCTTGTGACAGGGACCTGGTCGATGAAGCCAAAGATTACCACTTGATGCCGGAGCGAAGGGCTCTCTTCCAAAGCCAGCGCACCAAGCCCAGGCTATGCAATGACATCGCTGGTCTCATCTATGCAGTGGGCGGCTTAACCAGAGCAGGTAAGTAGGACTCCCCCACCGCACCAATGGACTCTTCCACATAAGCCCCGCCCACCATTGGCTATCCGGTTCGTTAGTAAAAAACGTCATACACGTGCGCACACCACTGGTTGCTAGCGCTCATTGGATAAACACTCAAGTGCGTTAGCTTCCGGTTCCAATGGTTCCAATGCTACTTAATGGCCAGTGGGCGTGGTTTAAACTGAACTGACGTCACGGTAACGAACCGGATCCATGTTTTTCACGCTAGTGACTGAATTTGATTGGGGTACATGGTCTGCACCTGACCATGAGTTATGGGGCCAATTTCATAGAGCTGCTAAGCACAGAAATTTGCTTAGCATGAAAAGTCTGCCTTGGCAAAAACAGGATTACCAACCAAACTTCCATGTGATGTATATTGCTTGTGATTGTATTGAGCTGTTGTTTGCTAAGCATGAAAATCACATGGAGTTTTGGCTGGTAACCTGCTTTTGTAAGCCAGAATTTTTGTGCTAAGCAAATGTTTGTGCTAAGCAGCGCCGTGAAATTGGCCCCAGGTCTAATTGGTCAATGCACGCTTTTAGTGTTGGATTGACAGACAGGAAGGGTCTATTCCAAAGACATCAATATTTTTGACTAGACATTATTTTTGCACTTTGAGCACATGAAAAACAGTTATTTTGTTTGTTTGTGGCGTAAAGCAGTGGCAGTGTGGCGTTTCTGGGTTTATTCTTGCATGTGACTGGGTCCTACAAATGGCTCCTAAAAGAGATTATGCATGGAGACATTACTCTTGCAGCAACGTGTTTTATGAAGTTCTTATTCACTGTCGAACCGGAGCTACACTAATATTTGAATAAAATTTCTGAACTGACCCCGAAACAAAATCAAGAACCTGAGGGCTCACTTGCAGCAATATTCTCAAGCAGTATGCATCACACGATATTTTGTCTGGTAACTGTTTTCGGCAGACAAAATTTTGATACACGAAAGCAAAATTATCTGCTAAGCTGCTTCATGCAATTGAGCCCTGAAGTGACAATGTGGTTTTTATTGGTCAGAATTGTTTTTCAGTCTTCATGTTCACTTAATAAGTATTGAAACACAATCACTTCTTGTTTTTCTTTTATTTATTTCTTTTGAATCTGCATGCCTGTTACCTGTTTGTTCATGTCACGCTGTGCTTAGTTCCAACATTTCATCTGCTTTTGAAGATCCAAAAAAGGTCCCATGCACATCAGTGTAAGATCTGCGCAATCCTACTAAAAATGGATGCAAGTAAAGCACGTAAACCAAATGCTTCATTGAATTCATGCAAATCAGCCTTTACTTTTTCAGCTGTTAATTTTGTATTAAAGGCTTGTATAGGATCGTTTGCATTTAATAATTATGGATATTTATAAAGCGCACGTATCCACCAGGACTGGTGCTCAAGGCGCTACATCATTATTACCCCTGCTCATTGGGCACATGAAACATTCCAAATACCATCTCAGCTCCCTGGGGAGTATACAGCTCGATGCAGCCTGTTAGGCGCAAGGAAGCTAATTCAATCACAATAACCATTTCTGCCCTCACAGGTACCCATTTACTCCTGGGTGGAGAGAAGCAATGAGTGGCAAAGTGCCTTGCCCAAGGGCACACGCACCATAACCCCGCCAGGACTCGAACCTACAACCTGCAGCTTTACCCACAGACCACGAATCAGTGCCCTTAACCACGAGGCCACAGTACTCATTTACTGCAAAAGTAACCTGCCAAATTATTATCAAAAATCTTCCTGGCTTGCTGTCATTTAGAAGAAATCAATCAATCAACTGTCTGATTTTTAGAAATTGTGTTTTGTGATAAAAACAATTGTGCATGGTTTTTCACTTTTCTCGAAGAGTGTAATATCCACTGAGTTGAAAGTTCCACAGGTCTTGACATTCTTCTTTGCATTTTGAGTGGTGTTATAATTGGAAACAAACAAATTACATGAAGTGCAAATGATCCTAAATGCCTTTTAAGCTGCAGATGATGTTGGCAAAGCACGGCTGTCGTATGCTTTATACCCAAGCAGCGCAGGCATGCATTTAACCAGACCTTAAACACCACACGCCCAGATTTCTTTATCACAGGCGAGTCCCTCAACGCGGTGGAGATCTACGAGCCCTCCACCAACACCTGGACGTCGGGCAAGCCCATGACCACCCCTCGCAGCCGAGTGGGAGTGACCGTCCTGGCCAGTAGGTTGTATGCGATTGGCGGGTACGACGGGCAGGCTCGACTCAACACGGTGGAGGTGTTTGATCCCTGCAGCAGTGAGTGGTGGGACGTGGCACCCATGAACAGCAGACGAAGGTTAGATACATTTTTGGAGGGTTGGGCCATACTTCCAATCAAAATCAAATTGAAGCAAATTGTGTGTTCGGTCAGCTATTTTAGTTTATTGCGACATTTAAGGACTGCCATGTTTATTCATTTATATGATAATTCAATTGGTGAATCAATTTCTTCTGGAACATTCAATTGCATGAATTGAAAACCACTCTCAGAAGGTGCAGAAACATGCTCCGAAAACTCTATAGCCAAAAATCTCGAAAATTCCTAGAAAAATGGATCAATCAAAAAGACAGAAAGACTGTTATTGCCAGACATTTGAAAAGGTACTTGGAATTTTACTTGTCGGCAACACAAGTACCGACAAGGCCAGAAATGTTAGAGGTCCAATGTAGACATTAAAAAACACAATTTTAACAAGTTTCGTTATCAATGTTTTCATTTTGTGTTGATTTGTTTCTCCTTGGGTTGTATTTTCTAACACAGTGCCCTCGGTGTAGCTGCGTTGGATGGCCGTGTCTACGCATGCGGTGGCTACGATGGTATCTCATCTCTCAGCTCGGTCGAATGCTATGACCCGGACACAAATAAGTAAGTTCAATCAGTACCAGTCAACTCCCAAATCTATTGAGTTTGGCCTGGATAACGTGCAAAATGAGTCTTTAGATTTGTCATCGATTTCTTAGTGTTATGACTGGAATCTGCGAGGCCATGATTCATGCCCTTCAGATGCTGGCAGGTATAACAGTTACCCAACTCTCTTTGTCATGTTTTCTGACATCGGAATGCTATGAAAAAAGGAGAACACTGTATATTTCTTCGTAGGTGATGACCTTTGACAAATCTAACTGAAAATGAGTGTTTGTCTTATTTCCACAACAGTCTCGTAAAGTACTTTTGCTCTGGTAATTTTTGTGGCTAAAGCCCGGCAGTCCGGCTGATTTTTACCCTTAATTTGAGCCCATCTTCACATGGGGCTTAATACCCCTAAAATAATGCAAAGAATCTTGTCATTTGATTCATTGAAGGCTGGTGGTATTTTTAGAATCAGATGTGTCCCTAAAAACCGAAGTAGTTGTAATTTTAGCATAACCATGTCACATCGGATGAGGCGTATAAACGCAAGGTTTCGCGGTATTCGAAACGCATCGCGGATAAACATGCAACGAGCGAGGCCGGAAACATCCGTCAGCGACCGCCTCACAGTGAGGAAGGCTGGAAATATCAGGGTGTGCTACCAGCAGATGACGGCCTGAACTCGTCTGGCATCCAGGTTCGTGAAAAACAATCCCGCGCCTGGTTCCGGTCGATGTCAAAATAATCCGGCGGGAACAGGTACTTCAACTCTGTCATAATATCCACTGACCCTGCTTTCTCTCTACCTACCTAGGTGGTACATTGTGTCGGACATGACCAAATCACGCAGTGCTGCAGGGGTGGCTGTACTTAACGGTGAAATCTATGCAGTAGGGGGCCATGACGGGCTGCAGATATTTAACTCGGTAAGCGAAAAGCCAACACATTTTTCTTTTGTGAAGCTGCTCAAAGTGTGGTTAAAAGAATAAACCGTATATGTAGATGTGGTCGTCGTTTGTCTTGAAGGTGGTTCGATGGATGTAGTTAAGTTGCAGTTGTAGTTTCTTCTCTTTGACTGTCGCGTCAAGAATGCTTGACTGTCGCGTCAAGAATGCTTGACTGTCTTGTTAAGAATGCTAATTTGTTGCATCTTTTTCTTTAATTGTATATGGTTGTTTTTAGATGTAATAACATTTTTTTTCTTTCTATTCCCATAGGTGGAGTGTTTCAACCATTTCACCGGTCGGTGGACTGTGGTCCCTCCCATGCAGAGCAAGCGCTGTCGGCTGGGCGTCACCGCCTTCAACGGCAAGCTGTACGTCTGCGGCGGCTACGACGGCTGCAAGTTCCTGGACACGGTGGAAGTCTACGACCCCGTGGCCAACCAGTGGTCCTACGCCACGCCCATGAACTCCAGGCGCAGCCGGGTGGCGCTGGTGGCCAACCAGGGCCACCTGTACGCCATCGGGGGCTACGACGGCCTGACCAACTTGAACTCCGTGGAGCGCTACGACGTGCACGCGGACAAGTGGACCCTGGTGGGCCCCATGATGGCACACGAGGGCGGTGTTGGGGTCGGAGTCATACCGCTGACTGGATGACGAGTCACTTGCATCACACTGTCAGGTGGCAAACTTTCACAGACTGCCAAGAAAGCTAATGGCACTTAAAGCAAATACACCAAGTAGGATACTTCAAGGGGCCATTTTGAAGAGCAGCTCAATTACATTATTTGGAAAGCGCTGATTGTTTTTCCTGGAATCTTGTTTTTTAGGAATCGGTGTACATCAAATCTACGGAAGATGTATAATTTTTGAATATTGGGTTTTCATCTTCGATGACATGACATAAACACTGTACGGTCAATGCCATCCGAGAGCTTGGGAGAAAATTGCAAACCCGATCGGGTTGGATTTGAACCAAAGACCATGGACCCACCAGTGCGGACGACCTACCCACTCAACTAACGAGCTTACTATGAAATTATGTCCAGGGAGGTCCAAACTAAAGCAGAAAAATGTCACAAAGCAAACATGTCATGCTATTTTGAATTTTTTTGAATTTGTTTTTTTTTTAGACAGGTTCTGAACTGATTTTTGCAATATGTTACACTTAGTAGCTCCACAAAAATAAAGTCCATTTCATATTTTATTGTTTGCTTTATATTGCCGACGAAATGTGCTAGTGAGGCAGCTACTCCAACTCTGTTTTAAAGAGCTGTTCAACCCTAAATATTTATTTGCTCTGCGCGGAGCTGGGTTGCTAAGCAGAAAAATGTGATGCCAAAATGTTACCCGTCAGCACTAAATGAGCATGAAGTCAGAATTTTTAAGAAGTGAGATTTTTTAGATTTCTGGATTGTGCAGAGCAAGAACTTTCTAATGGTATATAACACGTTGGGTACTGAGTGCTTAATGGATAGACCGCCAACTACATTGAACTTATAAAAGAAATTTTCGAGAAAATGGCATTACAATTCTCACTGTTGTCAATGAACAGTCAACTTGAAAAAAAAACCGGATAGAATTTGTTTTAAAGATGTTTGATAGAAAAAAAAAATTGGGAAAGGTAGAATGGGACTTGCAGATGGAAGTTCACCTTAAAAGAAATATTCGGCCACCCCCTGAAATGTTGGCTTTATTTCCGACTTAATGCTCATTTCATGATGACAGGTCATAAATTCTATCTGGTATGAAATGCGTCGAAGGAATTTACTCAGTAAATGTCTTTTATCAGGCCAGTGAAAGTTGCTCCAAAGATAAGTCCCTTGTCAATTAAGAAGCATAAATTTAAACTTTGATGTTCAGATGATGTGCTGAAAATCACAAGGCGATGGTAATCTGTAATTCGTTACAGGTTTTCTTGAATTGGTCTTTTTTTAAAATTGTACATTCTGTCACCAAATCATGGAAATTGAGCCAAATTTTATCTAGTATAAAAAGAAATTCCCAAAAAATGTAAATTGAAGGGTGCCTAATCATTGTGAAAGAATGTCATTTAGTAATAAAAATGTAAATAATATTAAATGCACATTAGTTCAGAAAACAACCGTCAAGAACATCCGTGTTACCAAAATTCAAATGTAAAGACAGTGTTTTCCCTGTTAATATATATTCAAGGTTCCTGTATTGCAGGTGCGGTTCTAGAACCAATATTTTGGGGGGGCTAGCACGGTGGATCCAGAATTTTTTCAGAGAGGCGTGCTGAAATGTTGACCGGTTATTTTTTCCAGACACTTAGGCCTCCGAGAAAATCAAATGGGGGGGGGGGGGGGGGGGGGGGGGGGGCCTCATGCCATATTTTCAATGGGGAGCGCCAATAAAATCCTAAAATCATTCACACTATATTAACTAATGTACCCTTGTCACGACTATTTCTTTAGGGGGAGACCGCATGTACATCACAATCCTTTTTGCTAATGCAATTTTTTTTTTTACGGAATTTATTTTGGGGGGGCTAGACAAAAATTTTGGGGGGGCTACAGCCCCCCCTAGCCCCCCCGTAGAACCGCGCCAGCTGTATTGTCAATATTTTTAAAAAAAATTCTGAGGACATGCTGAAATTACAACACCAATTTGCTTACCTAACTGTTAACCTGAATAAATAAAGGTGATAAAAAACATGTACCTCAATAGTAAATGGGAAAAAAGGGTTTAAAAATAAAATTTAAAAATGGAAGGAATCATTTAAAGTTGAAGCATTATCTAATGAACTCCTCAGCAGCAAAGTTTTCTTAGGAGTGGCCAAAATCGTGAATTGGGAACTTTATTGACACCCTAAGCCCATTGTCAAACCGTGGTCACTTTCTTGCAAAATTGCAGATTTTACAAATTGCACCTTTTCAGTGTATTTAAACAGGAAAAACACCGAAAGTGTGTAGATTTAGCACTTTCGCACATTGGGCAACCTAACCAATGCACAATAACTCCTGCACAGAGCAAGCTTTTCATAGGGGCAATAGGATTGTAGAAACACGGTCACAGTGAAGTGCTGGAACGCAATGCCCTGTTGAAAATAAAATAAATCTGATTGGCCTTCCGCAATGCTTTACGTTGCAATAACAAAGAAGTTTTGCCAAGAAATCAAAATCTTAAAACAATCCCGGAACATGATAGATTTAATAATTGGTTGAAGTGTTCAATGAAGAACCAGTGCTCAGTACTGTTGTATGTTGTGCTCCACTGCAAACCATGTGTTTTTAAAGGACATTTTCAAATAATTCTACATTTTAAAAATTATTCCAGCGTTTTGAGGTTTTGATGTGCTGTTCCAATCGGAGAATTTCCCAACACGTTGGGAAAAACCTTATAACTAAGTAACCTCACTGAAGAAAATGTTTTATTTATTGAATCATTGCTGTGCATAGTGTACTTATTTTGATGGAATATATCTTTTATTTAATGTTGACTAATTTGTTTTTCACGTAAATAAACCAACCCAATCACAACGAAAGTGATTTTACAATTTCGTTTCTATTCGTGTATTGTTCTGTATTATAGACAGAAGTGACTGGAATGCCAAAATAAAGTCAAGTAAGATTTGAGGCTTCGCATTTTGGAGATACTAATGAATGAAAGGTTTGCGGAAACACCATGTGCGAATAATTTCTCAAACTAAGAGAATGGTTCTGAAAAGAACCAGAGGTATAAACTCGGTATGCTCTGACCGTCTTCAGGAGAGTCGGTTTTCAATAAAGTCAGTTTTCTATTATTTTAGTGGGGGATACAAGATTTATTTTCAAAGCTGGTGGCTGGCGGGGTGTTATCAAAAGGGTGTGTGTGTGTGGGGGGGGGGGGTAGACGTTGCTATTGCATAAAGGATATAAAGCCCATAACAAAAGAGAAAGGCCTGAAACAAATAATCAATTATTGGCAAGAGAACTTAAAGAACTTCACGCTTCAATCTGTAGTATTGTTCAGGGGTACGGTCCGACCCTTCAGTAAATCCTCAACTGCACGGGCCACAAAACCCTCTAACACAGAGAATTTGGGGGCATGCAAATCGTGATTTGACCCACGCGGGCAATTTACACTGGCCTAGGACCGGTACATGATGCCCGCAGTTGTCTTATCTCTATACTTCACAGTTTTCCGTCTCTGTAAATTGAAACTGCTAATTATCGCTTTCCTATAAATTTACGCCTCCATTGCCCCAACCCGACTAAATGTATTGGTTCTGTCCTTTTATCATTTCACAAAAGCACCGCACCATCCATCAAATTCTAATTTTCATCCTAAAAGCTTTGTGGATTAATATTACAACTAAATCAATAATTGCATCATCATCTGTCTGCTATGCTCATCTGATGAGCATAGCAGTTGAATGCTCATCTGATGAGCATTTAACGTGGGTATACAGTTACTACTGATGACAGTAGTGTTTGTCAGTGAAATCACGGAGAAGTAATTTATAACAAGGATAGAATTTCACAATATTAACATTGTTTCCAAGGATACGGTGGTAAATGGTTTATTTCAAATTTTAACATCGCAGCTAAAAAAAAAGCTGAATTTATTGTTACAAAATATAATAATACTACTAACAAATCTTAAAAAATTATAAAATGAACATAAGGATGTTAAAGAGAACAAAAAGATACATGTTATTTGAAACTGTTGAGCAAAAAGTTAGGGCGTACGACTGGACAACATTTTTCCACCCAGTTTTGTTAAGTTTGGACATCATCAGGAATCAATGTAATGTTATGATGGTCAGGGATAAAAAGATATTGAGCCACATCTCCGCTGGATATGTCGATGTGATATCTTGGTGTATCCCAGCGCATAACTAGCTTTTCATAACCTCCCAATATCCGAGATAAAAACACCACTCAAAACTTTCCATTTTTTGAGAGAAACATTGCAGTTAAATTTCCTTTTGTTCTCATTCCATACTTAACCCTAAAAGGGCCGGGTTATTTTGACCATCTCTCAGCCGGGGGGGGGGGGGGATTCCACCTGCCCCTAAGATCTCGGCCATTGAGTGTCGAAAAAATTTTGAAACTCGGTACATGCATAGAGCAACTCATCACAAAGATGTCCAAGAAATTTCATGACTATAGGTCAAAGGGTTTTGGAATTATGGCTAATTAATTATTCATATGTAAGAATGGTAATTGTGCTCTGTGTACACGACGTATATGGGAAAATTCAGTTTTCACGGCGCGTAGCGTCCGAATTTTTTTCGCTGCGCAGCAAACCGTGGTCCGATTTTTATATTTTTGGTATCAAAAGATGCGCAAGGCTCGAGGCTTAAAAGTCATAACAGCCCCGCCCCGGCTCCTTCAGGGTTAATTATCACTAACGCTTGAAATTCAAATCTTGTCAGATGAAGTGTTTAAAAAAAAAATAACCTCAAAATATTTAGTTTAAATACTGAATTCAAACTCCATCCACCCATCCTAATTTACACATTTCAATTACATGTAGATAATTTACAAAATACTGTAGTTAAAATTAATGCATAGTAACCTGAAAGTGGTACGCTCATTGGGCCTGATAAATATGACAGGGCGAGCCACTTTGAAAACATTGTTCAAACATTTATACTCAACTTATGTTCAACTTGTTTAGTTCGATGCTGAAGAATTCGTATGACCAAAATTATTGAGAAAAGTTACGAAAAAGAAAAATGTATCGTAAAGCAAGAGAGAAAGATATCTGAGATTTTAAAATAGATCGGAAATTAACGACCTCGGACTAGGCTTGCAATATATTTCAGTAATACCGTATTGTAGTGACAATATTTTTTGATACCAAACAATCATGGATTATGTTTTCAAAATTTAATGATGATGTTGGAAATTCATGACAGCCTGCCATTTTCCTCTTGAATGTGGCCAGATGAGTGCAAACGCCCTTAAAAAGTTGACAAACAACGAAATTTGCACTGCAATGTACATGTATGGACCATATTGTTTAAATTCATTGTGGTTATGGTATGTAGAAGAGGTGTTTACAATTGATCCATCAAGGCCTTTAAAGTTATTTAAAATACCGAATTTGTTGTGGCGGTATAGTAGACTCTCACAGTGCAATACAACACCAGCCTACCACAGATGTGAATTTTCAAGTTTGGGGGGGTTGAATGACATTTTGATGAAAAGTGAACCCCTCCCTCCCTATTTGTCACTAATTGCAGAGAGAAATACGTCACTAAATCTGTGTTGAAACTCCTTAATCGACATATCAGTCCCTGTGGCCTAATGGACAAGGCGTCGGTCTCCTAAACCGAAGACTGCGGGTTCGAGTCCCGCCAGGGATATTCAGTCTTTTTTTTTAATAAACTGAATTGGGGTAATTGATGACTGCATCAAGCAAGCTAAAAAGTCCCCTTGCATCGGGCGTGCGTCTGAGGCAGATAGGTGTTCCTCTGTGATACAGTGTGTACTTTCATTGTCAATTTAAATAACAAAGTCTGCTCCCAGTACTAGTGAGGGCGCACAGCGCATGTGGTCTGTAGGAGCTACTTGGGAAGAGCACGTAAGAGGAACCCAATATTATTCATTAGATTCAATCTCCCAACTGCTGTGAAACTTGATGGAAACCTGGTTTGTTCTTAAGATTCTGCGTTTCAGAACTCGTCGTTTCCTTCACTACAAGATGTGGCAACAGAACAACTTTTGGTAGGCCTAGGCCCGACAGGTAGTTTTGTATCAAAACAGTCTGGGAATTGATCCCAACAATTCGTGTTTATGATTTATTCTACCCATATTGCATTGCCAAAATGACAAACTTTAATTCTTGCCAATTTGGCCTAATATCAAGATTCTTTTTGGGTGTTGAAGAAACAAAAAATATAGGGACACAATTGACTTTTTTCGTACTGAGAATACTGTAGATTATACCTATGCAAAATGTGCGGCATGTTTTACCTTGCTAAGAACATATGCAGCATTTGGACAGAAATCGTATTATTTGGTTTGTGTTTTAAGGAAATGTCTTTCCCTTTGTCCCTATTGTAGCACTCTCCCATAGACTAAGCGTATAAATTCACAAAGGAGGACCTTTTTCAACAAAAGATGAACGGGCCTTGTCTGCCTGTCCTCGGGTGTATCCCGTACACACACACAAAAACACACAGACTTGTTTCACATACCTAGTGTGGACTTTCCTTTCTTTTCGTGTAGTTAAGGGTGCACCAGTGGAAAAACTCATTTTTCTCAAACTGTGAAAACTCTTACAACCCAATTTTTTTTCAATGATTCCCTTTAGTGTTTCTCTTCATTCTGCTACAGATAAACCTAACCCAAAAATGCCTCTAAACCTGTTTTCCAGAAATGGGGAAACACTGTGTGGACGTGGGCAAGTCCACACTTCGTCGCTGCTACCTACATTATGTGGACGTCTTTTGTTCGGAAGTCCACACTGCGTATGTAAGACAAGCTCACCAGCACCCATCGGCTAAACATGCAGCTTTGCACTACCTCAGTGTAAAGTGGAGTTTTGATGAGTGCCATGATTACATTGCAACTTGAAACAATTGTATATTTGTTTTTTGATACAACTTCATGAGGAATGGCTTTAGTCTAGCATCCCTGACACCACATACAAAAACGAACACTTATTTGTGGTATTGAAAAAGCATCCGCAGCCTGTTCCACAACACCTTATTATAATAACCAAGATTTTGCAAATGTGCAAATGATGAATATGCAAATGATCCAAAACTAGGACAAGAAATCATCTAGTGGTGGCGCATAGCTCGATTGCCATGGGAACGAGTTTGAGTCATGCGCTTTTAGTCACTGATGAGCAGTTACTATATCCAATTGCCAACATAATTTGTAAACTAATCTCAGCTATAGCGAGAGCAGCAGATGAACACTGATTTTGTGTTCCAAATGTTTCGGGAACTTTCTGGGCGAGAACTGCAAACCGAGAACCAATTGATTCGGAACGATCGACAAAAAGAACACGACTTTCCCATTTTTCTCTATATATCGTAAGACAAACATCATCATGAAAATTGCTATTATGATCCAACCTTCGTCAAGTATTTCTTTTGACAACGATACGGGCACGGATGAGCCATACGGGCCAGGGTTGATTGCAGTCAACTCCGTCATCACCAGCCTGGCTTTAATCGGTAACGGCCTGGTGATCACCGTCATGTTGGCAAGGCGTCGAGTATTCAGCTCCTTCACCAATCGCCTAATCCTTCATCAGTCCGTCATCGACTCCATCGCCGCAGTGCTCTTCTTTCTCCACAAGGTAGTCAAGAGTCCCGGTCTCACGGTGTCCGATGCAAATACCTTTCTCGACCAATTTGTCTGTCGTTTCTTGTTCCCCGACATCTTGATGTGGTGCGTGTACGTGACGTCCACCTATAACCTCGTCATTATCTCGCTGGAACGGTTCATGGCGACTTGCTACCCGCTAAAACACCGCAAGGTAATCTCAAAGGGGAAACTGAAGTTTGCTGTGGCGGCTACTTGGGTAATCGGATTTGTCCATGGCATAAATCTCATCAACCTATTTGAGCCGCATCAGGGCAAGTGTCAGCTCGTGTCGAAGACAAGTGGACTTGCGCTTTCTCAAGGCATGCTGAACACCCTTATTAGATACACAGTACCCCTCATCATTCTGATCTATGCGTATACGAGGATCCTCATCAGGCTACACAAGAAGATTGTCAACCCAGCGAATATCCACCAGAATTTCTTCCGCAGAGCCAAGGAGAACGTGCTGAAAACAGTCCTGGTGGCCGGCATCATGTTCGCAATCTGCTGGTTCCCTATAGAATACGTCTATTTCCGTGCCATACTTGGACATGTTCCATCCATGTTGGTCTACCGTGGGGTGACAGCGTTAGTATCCTGCAATGCAGCCGTAAACCCCGTTATTTACTGCTTCATGTACGAACACTTCCGATCACAGCTGAAAGACGTTTTCCGGAAACGACTCCGAAGAAACCAAGTGCAAAATGGGCAGCCCATTCGGCTTGGTATTTTGGGCGCTGCCTGAAGTGATCGTACGTAGGGTGACATTTTTCAACAGTCATGTCAACATAGCGAGGGAGCGGGGTCAGCAACTTAGGAAAGTGGGGAGGGGGATCTGACCGGGGTAGGGGTGCCGTTATGCCGAATTGATGTAAAATATGTGTGCTCAGGAGCAGAATCTTAGCGCTTAACACGATGGGAATAACAATGAGAAGATGTAGGTCCTTTGGGTAAAAAGTGATATACACTGACATATATTATCGGGACACACCACATTTGGGATTAAAATTTAATATTTTTTATAACTGTATTTACTTACAATGTATATATTTTTATCTTTCTTTTATTATTAATATTATTATTATTATTATTAATTTTTTGAGTGGTGCATGTACCTTCCCCTCCACCCGGGATTGCAACCCACGACAACTTGTATTCATTGTAAATACTTCGCCCAAATACCGCTCAATTTAAAGCGAGATTTGATTTGTTAGTTGTAAAACGATCATCACAAAATAATCTCTTCATTATTTTTTGTCCAAAATCTGCATGGTCTTCGCGAATTCGTATGATAAAATAACTTTGCATCAAGTTGAATCCTGCTATCAATCGGCATGACTTTCAGTTTCGTAATTGTTTTGGCAAAAAAAATGCAGTAATTTGAATCGCACGAATGAGACTATTTGAATTTTTTTTTTTTTACAATACAATGGTCGAGTTTTGAACCGCAGAATCTCACTACTAAATGTCAAGAATTTAACTTAAGTTTCAAAGCTGTGCATGGGGAGAGTGACTGAATCTCATGAAAACGTTTGTTTGATGCACTCATGGTATGCATTCTATCCCCAGTGTGTCCATTTCCATTTCGTTTGTGGAGTTATCAATATATTTAAATCCAATTTATTCTAAGAAAATAAAATACTGAGATCCCTGGCGGGACTCGAACCCGCAGTCTTCGGTTTAGGAGACCGACGCCTTATCCATTAGGCCACAGGGACTCTTACGTCAATTAAGGCGTTTCAGAATACATTTCAACATTCTGTGACGTATTCCTCCCTCCAGTGGAGGCAGTTTGGATTACCCCCCCCCCCACCCCCATCCCGAGTCCCCGCCCCCGGCGGCAATTTTTTTTCCTGCAACCTAGCACAGGCAATGACCACAGTGCGCATGCATCAGTTGGTAAAGGAATGGTTCTCGGACTTAAGTTCCCTATAAACAAAAATCATCCATAAGCCATGAATGAAAAGAAAAGAGTGAACTTTATTTTATCGATCATCGGGACTTGATTAAACACAATTTAGGGAAGAAAATTCCTTTTAGGAGGGAAAAAATGAAAAAGTAAAATTCCCTCCATGATTCGAAGCTGGAACCTGCAACATTCAGACCAGCGGGTTAACGCATCAGGCTAGATCTAGGGTATATACCACGGTAACTGCCGTGGAATATAAGGAATAAGAACTTATTCCGAATCAGGGGACATAATTTAGTTGTTCACGTGATATGTTTGACGCTTACTTGGTCAATGACTTAATACCAAGATGCAAAAAAAATATTTGTCCCCCGGCTTCATTTTGGTATTTTTGACTGTTGGCCAGTCTTATGCCATACCTTTCCCTCAACCGTTTCAAAGAACATGTATCTTTTTCTTCTCTTTTTAAAGTTCTTTTGACATCCATGTCCATTTTATAAAATTGTAAGCCTCGTTAGTATTATAAAAGTTTTTTTTTTGGTACCAATACATGTTTTACCTGATATTGATGTATTTTAAACGCAATTGACCTTTTTAGCCGCGATGTTTAAATTTGAAATAAACCATTAACCATCGTTTCCTGGGAAAATATTAATATTGTTCAAATATATCCTTGTTATAATGTCCAGATTGCATCCTTCATAAACTCATCAAAAGCCACTGTTTCATCAGTAGCAATTTCGTTATAAATGCAAAGCTACGATTTTGGAACGAGTATAACAGACAGATGATAATACAATTGATTTACTTGGTTGTAATTTTAAACCACAAAGCTTCTGGGATGGAAATTAGAATGTGATGGATGGTATGGTGCTTTTTGTGAAAGGCTAAAAGATGGAACCAATACATTTAGTCGAGTTGGGGCAATAGACGCGTAAATTTATAGGAAAGCGATAATTAGCAGAGTGGATAAGACAACTGCGGGCATCATGATTTGTTGACAAAAAAAGAATATCATCTGAGTACTATCAATATCTCTTGGTACGGTTTGTTCATGACTTGCTCTGAGAAAAAAACCCACAAATTGATCAATAGGGTATTTGGCATTACCTACTTAAAAGTAAGGCCTGTAGTACCTTTCCCAATTGTTGGATGTTCTATTCAACATCTTTGAAACCTCTTTAAAGTCATTATGTATACGTTGACTTCATTCACTGTAATACAACAGTGGGAATTTTAAATGTTTCTCAAAAAAAAAAAACACTACAAAGTCAATTTTTTGGTTCTATATTTCCGTTAAGGAACTCAGTATCCCTAAACGTCATATACCATTAGAAAGCTTTCGATCTACACAATCCAGAAATAAATGAATCTCAAATTCTTAGATTCCGACTTAATGTTACTCTGCTGCTTTAATCTGTGGATTTAGTTCCTATCCCACATGTGATCAAGGGGGGCAACTAGGACAAGCATGCTTTGGCCTTGGCTTTGGCTACCACGTAGAAGCCATAGGATAGAGGAGGCACGAGCATTGGTTTCCCACGCTTGATAACGACCGGCTCGATCTCTGGGAGGGAGGTGTCGTCCTTCAGATGTAAGGGACTGTCGTTCAGGTTCACTTCTCTGTATGCACAAAACGGAGAGGGCTAATAATCAAAGGTTCAGTCATTCTTAGGAATATTGTGATCGTTAAACTGAAAAAGACCAACTCTCCCACCCACTTGTTATTGGTTTCCAATGTCGCTCTGTATTCAACATAGATCAAACACATACCGATTACTTAACCCGTTTCAGATTGCCGTTCGAGAATCGCGCCGGAAAAAAACACCAGATATTTAGGAGCAACTCGGTCGACGCAAATGACATTGTAAAAATTGTGTTTAGAGTTTGAACACATTTCAAAAGTGTGTGTACCCACTAGTTTTTATCACATTTTGCATCCACGACACGTTTCGATTTGTTGCTATATGTGACATGCATGCTTTGGCATCGTACAAATTTAGTCAAGATTTGGTTACTACATTATTTTCTTTGGTAAAAATGAAGTTACTTACGGTGACGTCATTCCTTCCGGCCCGTACGGCGTCAACAAGTACTGCTGTATGGTCCGCCCTCCAAGCTTACGCGCCAAGGTGATGTTAGCCGTGTCGTTCTTATGCATATTCAGTACGATGAGGGTCACTGCGCCTGCGTCGTAGCCACTTTGGCTGAGAAAAACAAAATCGAATTGAGAAAAGTACCGTGCGGATATCACACAACACCCAACAGGAAATTGAAACCTGCTAACTGCCAAGGAAATATAAAACGCATTCCGGGTAAAAGCTGGCCTGGGGTTCATTTGTTTTTAATTGTATAGGGTCTACCAGGCACCATGCCGTGAAACTTTACCTAAAAGCAAATTCGAGCGCGATCCATGGTGGTATAAACCAGGCATATATTAGTTCGACTCGACTTGCTCGAACCCACGCTAGTCGACCATAGTTGGACCACAATTCGAGCCTTACTGAGGTAGGTCGCATCACTCATTACCAAATGCCTTGTACTGCAGGAAGCCAGTAGTATACCGAGAAGTTTTATGTAATGTTAAACACTTTGTTTAATATTATAGCGCGCAGGTGCAAGATTCGTCGAGAATCAGAAGCTATAATAGTCAATCATTGGTCAATCAAAGCTCTCTCGGAAAAAGAAGTGGGTCGACCATCAATCATTTCAATTGTCGCTCATCATTAATGTTCCAGAAGTCAACATTGTTGATTGTTTTATGTTAAGTTTTATCTTTAATTTTGTGTGACTTACTTGGTTGAAGTACAGTGGGCATACACGCGAACGTACTGCTTATCACCGCCCTTGACGCTACAGGGAGTTGATCCCGTAGTCGGCGGAGTGATCTTGACGCGAAGTACTCGCCTGCCGACTAGACGCTTATAGATGTACGCAATCCAGTAATCCTGTACAAGATAATGTATATACGCGCCATGCAGTGATTGACCCGAATACTTTAAACTCCATTAACATGTTATGCACATGACCAAGTCCGCAAAAACCTTACAAAGCAAGAGTTAAGTTGAAATGGGTTTTTAATGGCAAAAAATAAACCATTTTAATTGATGATAATTTAAAACAAGAAGGCCGCCAAGCTCCTCTAAAATGTTCCTTGCACATGCGCAGAAAAGGTATAGGCCTATTGCTATGGAGATTAGTTTTTACGCATACGGTAGTTAGGTGCGTGAGAAATTTTGGTCAGTGGACTTGTGTCTTTTTTTTTGGCACACAAAACTCATTTTTGTGTCGGTAGTAAATCTTCTAATTAGAATTTTTAACTCATATAAAAAATCAGGTAGGCTATATCATGCGGTTTTCTTTCAAAACCGAATCTGCCGGCCACAATGACAACAGCTTTTGGGTTAGAAAATACTTACAAGAGTTCTTAACAATGATTTTGGACAATTTCAAAAAAGAACCACTTGGAGTTCCGGACACGTACCGGCTTCGGGTCCAGGTTTTCCAGGTCGAGCATGGTGTAGTGTCCGCCGTAGTATGTTTGACGTATCACCGTGTCAAGTCCCATTCTGGCACTCATTCCAAGCTTGTCCAAAAACCTGAAGAATGGACTCAATGAAAAATGGACTCTGGAGTGAGATGCCACTCTTCTGGGTCAAAATTACAATTTTCGTGTAACAAAATGGTGACACAATTTTCGGTCTAAATGATATTTTTTGCGTGTCAAAATGATAATTTTGTTTGTGTCAAAATGAAAAGTTTTCGTGTCATTAATGACACTTTTAGGGCTAGATGATACGGAAAACGTGGCTCAGAGAAGTGCCATATCAACTCGGTAAAGTCAGTGTCAGGTCAATCAATTTCTGACCCAGATTCCGGTAGTATTTTTTTATGTGGGCTAAATGCTTGTAAACTATCGGATGCAACCGCTGATGACGTATACTTCAGCCAGCGTATCGTACTCCGCAACTGATTTATTTTCCCCACTCTGATTCTTGGTCAGATATAGACCCTGATTTTGGGCTCCATTTGGGCTTGATCCTTTTCCAGGTCAAAAATGACACTACTCCGAGTCAAAAGGACACCTTTGCCCAAGTTCAGGGTCAAAATGACCCGTAAAAGTGTCATTTTGTGACCCAAAAAGGGTTAGACCAAATAGAATCCGTATTCCCGGGTCAATCATGCCAGGGCATGTTTTGGAGTTCACGTGATTCTCAGGGTTGTAGTACTCGTACTCGGTACTCGTACTCGAGTACTACTCGAGTACTTTTTTTGGAGTACTCATACTCGTACTCGTACTTGAATGTCAAAGTACCCGTACTCGAAATGACGGTACTTGTACTCGGGCAGCAAAGTACTCGTACTCGACATGCCGAAATTGTACTCGATCATTAAAGTACCCGTACTCGAATAGCAGTACTGGGGAAAAATGGTATTATAGCTTCACTTACCTTGGCATTGTTTTATCGATACTTTCAGTTTGAAATGGTTGATTGGCTTGTGAAGAAATTGAGATTTCCTGATTTTTTTCTGTGCCGGCCGGACAAGCACATTTAACAGCTAGCCGTGAGTGGGTCTGTATATCGTCTGACTGGGCCTGGGCCAATTACGCACAATGAACCATTTGCCGTATGGCCGTATTCGGAAATGCGAATACTCGTACTCGTACTCGGAGGTACAAATACTCGTACTCGTACTCGGAGGTACAAGTACTCGTATTCGGAGACCCGTTCTTGTACTCGGAGGTACTAGTACTCGTACTCGTACTCGGCAACCTAAGTACTTGGCAGTACTCGGTATTCGGAAAAAAGTACTCGACTACAACACTGGTGATTCTCTCAAAGTTGAGACGGTTTTTATTTTATACTCACAAGAACCCAGCAACGAATCTATCGGATATATTCGGTGCCCCGCCGCCGAACGCGCTGCCCGTCTCACCCAGCCAGACCCGCGACCCCGGTTCGCGGTACTTGGACACCAGGGACTCCACCAGATCAATTTGACCCGGGAGCAGACCGTCGAGTGTCTCCGGGTCAAGGAAATCATCTACCGTCGCTATCCTACCATTGAGATAGTAGCTGTGAAAAGTGGTAGCGTTTGTGGTGTTTGTCTTTGAAAGAAATCTGTAAACGAAAAAAAAAATGTTGATAGTGTTATTATCTAATTTTTTAAACGCAAGATCACAGCGACAGACATGGAACAAGTTTGATCGAGGACTATCGGTGGTTGATTGGCAACGTATGTTGCGCATGCGCGCTACTTTTTCAGCAGAATCCTGGTTTGCTGTACACTTCAATATACGGTAACAGTCCAATTTGCGACTAGTGTGCGTTCGATGAAAGCTATCTGTCAAACAATGATTATTTGATCAAACTAACTTTTGCCTATATCGCCACCCAAAAATATTTATGCACGTTATCTAATAAACACATTTAATTTTTGTTGTATTTTTTTTTAATAGTAACGTACCCTTCCAACATGGTGCTGGTCTTTTTCCTTCCCACACTCCCGATGTCTGGCCCGTACACGGACGCCCCTACGTACCGGACTCGATTATTGAGAACCGTGCGGAGCAAGTTAAAGTCGATACCGATTTGACTCCCTGACAGAGTTATGTTGGCTTTCTTCTTGAAGGAATTTGGCTCTGAACAGGATGAAAATTACAACAAAAAAATTATCAACTTCACGAGTCACGTGTCAATTGCAATTTCAATTTGTGAAAAAGAGACCTCGATATACACCAGTCCAAATAAGTTGTGACTTTTTGCCCTCAGTTTACTGCAGATCGTTTTCATGATTTTACAAGATACATTTCGATATATTTTATCCCATTTAAAAATTGTTTTGCACTTTTCTGAAGCAACGTAATTAATTATTTCAATTTGATATAGGCCTAATTGTAACCGTGCATAATCAAACGTCAGTAATGCAGAGCTCTCGATGTTTGTGAAAGTTTTCAACCCACGTTTTTATTACCACTTTTCTCAGAGATAAAAAGCGTTCATCGGCCTCAACTTTTTCCGTACATGGGTATAATCGATACAAATCATACAAACAATTTAAAGTTCAGAAATGAAAGGGGACATTTTATGAAATATACGATAATTATAGAACAAAATGGTGGTATGTATATTACCATTTCCCAGCTCCCAGGCCACGTCGTGCGTGTTGTAATCAAGCAGGTGCTCGGCATTGTCCGGGTCCCAGCCTCCAGCCTCGGTCCGTAGCAACAGATTGAGGCCGAAGATTAACTTCAGTCCCGTATCGGAACAGAAGTTGTTGATGTCATCCCAGTCTTGGGCTGCAGGATACATGTGACAAGTCTTAAAGGGAATATACAACATTTGCAAACATCGAAAAATAGAACTACCAAGTTTTTACGAAATACCTTACTAGGATGTTGGTAAATGACAGTCTAAAGCATCCTGTAAAATTATGGCACCTGGTGTCGAGTCATTTTCAAGAAAATGGTATTTTTGTATACATTTCCAACGGTGGTCGGCCGACCACCGTTAGAAAAACCTAACTATTTTGCAACTACTGCTCCAAATTTACATTTTTTTTCAGTCCAAATTTTGTTTGCTATTGGTTACATGTTCATGAACGGGTACAGGCCAGCTAGACTGGTTCCCTTATCTTTTGGTATCTCTCTTGTTATTCATATTTAACACATCGGTACAGAGAAGGATGATGGATAGCATCGATTTAAAAGTCGTCGTCACTCCTCTTATGGATTTAGTACGCCTACTACAACAAATTACATCTGTTTGGGCGGAGCCATGACCCTCGTTAAATCGATAGGTATACGTTTCCAGGTAATTAGAAATACGTGCCTTTAAAGTTGCACGTTGACGTTTGATCATCGGTACCGGTCGACTGGAGTTGCCGTACGTTGGTTTGGATGTAATGGACATCACGAATCAACCACTTGATCTTTTATTGCTCCTTGCTCTTTGGCTATATTAATATAAGTGCATCCAACAATTCTACACGAATGGAAGAGCGTAAAAATACGTACGGCACAAGTAAGTCAGTGGATCCTCAACCCCAGTGTCACCGGTAGAGGGCTCACTACCATCGCATGGGTTCTTGAAGATGAGAAAGTCACCAGCTCTCCCACCGAGACGAAGGTAGGCGGGGGACAACGCTCGGGTCATCGTCTGCAATTTGGCTGAGCTGTGTTCGAATGTAAGATAATGAGGAAATAACAATAAAGAAAGTGCTAAGGTAATTAAATTTCAAATTGTTTCCACAGTCAATCAATAAGGAAATGAAATAAAATTAAAAGGGTTTTCTTCGTACTCTGTTAACATCACTAGAAAAGTTCGTTTCAAACCACATTTGTTTTTGAAGAAGCGTGTACTATACCTCTGGAGTATAGACAAAGGCCTCAAGTTTGCAATCTTATTCATCATCTTTTTTTGAAAACCAGTCCGAAAGTGAAATTGAGGCATTATGTTCTCGTCAACAAAGACTTTTATTTATAATATGTATGTAAAACTATTCAGGTACATGTAAATTCATCACCTGGCCAGGTTTAAAATACTACTTTTTTCATTTTACATGATTTAATCGTGGATATTATTACCTCATGAAATGACACTACGTATTTCTATAACCTTTACTTTGAATTTCCCGTCACCTGAAGTTGAAGTGCATCCAGTGTTTGTTGAGGCTGTTTGTATCCACCGCAACGGAGAGGAATCTTTCACCAGTGATATGGATCGGTGCAGCGTTGGCGCGCACATCCACCTCATAGTTAGATATGGTAGATTGGCCCTCCCTTCATTTGAACAATAAGACGATGCAAACAGGAATATTGAATTATTTTCTGTATGTACATGTACACCATTGCGTCATGAATGTTGGTAGCTAACAGCCAACACACCCTTCCAAGCATCTTTTCTTTAAGTTCTCCCGTATGATATCGCGTAAAACCAACCATAAAAATAAGAAACATAATACTGTGTAGACTAGAGGGGTCTGGTTTTCGTGAAAGTCGGAGGCAAGTGGCCACAACCTGCAACTTTTAGACCATGTGCTAGAAATCATATCTTATATAGGAAAAGGAAGTCCGTTCTGCATTTCTGGTGGCAAGATAACACTGGTTGTTGGTTGTTGTCTGTCAATTCGAGGGTGTTGAATTCGATCCTGCCTTTTGTCATGCACGCTATCAAGATACACTTAAAGGCCAATCTTCGTCTAAATTTTACCCTAAAAGCATCCGTTTGGGACCTCTGTCGATGGAACGGCAACTCCGATTTCAATGAAGATTAAGTTGTCATCATGCACACAGAGTAAATTATGATAATTAACTTTGGAAGGAATATCATAATAATGGCAAAAAATGATGAAGTTAGGCCAATACAAAACAAATTTAAATAATATAAACACTACAGTTTGTTTCTTAATGCTGCTTAATGCTGTCGGATATAAAATACGTATTATTGTTTTTTTTGTAGAAAAAAAAAGGATTTACCTTCTGTCTGGCGTGACACAATTTGCAACAGAAACGGCTTGAGCGAAGACCAGTAGGAACAAAAAGAGGTCAGATACCATGGTTGTCCTGCCGTGTCCCACTACGGTCTGTGAACAAAGAACACGATTTTACAATCATGGTATTAAAACTCGTGCTGTTATGCGTTGAATTTCAGCTAGCAGTAACACTGTCATGCCTTAATTAACATACCATTAGGTTCCTGTCCGGCTAATTTTACATCTGATTCAGCCTGAAACTGAAAGACGGCACAGGCGCAGATCCAGAAGGGGGGCGGGCGCGCTGGGGACGGTGGGGGGGGGGGGGAGTAAAATCCCCCAGCTCTTTTTTTTTTCATCGAAATTCATTAATAATAATGTGAACCCCCCCCCCCTTGCTAAGACCCGCATAAAATTATCGGATAATTATACCGTTAATAATATCCTCATGCGCACAAAATTTGGTCAGAGCCAGCTTGGTTATATTTCTACACTATTCTGTAATATAGCGTTGATAGTCGTCGGAAGTTGAACAGACCTCCATTAATTGAAAGTATGGTTATAGCCCCCCCCCCCTTGATTTTACGGACGGAGGTATGTCCAGAGAAACCCGGTATATGGAGCTAAGCCCTGTCTACATTTCAGCATTTATTTTGCTGATGCCCCCCCCCCCCTGCAAAAATTCCTGGATCCGCCCCTGCGGCAGCAATGGTGTGACACGAAATTCAATCAACACGCCACAACAATTTCCGGATAATGGTTTGCCAAACTATACAGGAAAGAACAGAAATCATGATGGACCTAGTACACCGCACGTCCACGGCACGCACCCATTATATATACATGTACATGTACCCAGTTCCGTGGCATTCGACGTGGGCCTAGGCGCCTACATTGTTCATTAATGTCGTGAATCAAACCCAATAAAGCCTACCTGTGTAAGTTGATTTGTTCAGCGTAGTCCTCAGCAGACTGAGCTACACCATAATTTATTGTACGCTTTTGAAAATCCCGAAATTTGGGACTTACTGTTGCCAACTGTCCGAAGAGATTAGCAGCGAGCAAGCATTTTATGCGCATGCGCAGGTTTCGTCCATAAAAACAACGTTAATATTCCTATATAAGCGCTTTCGTTTTGTACCAACTACATGTAGATAATTATATGTTGTACGAAAGTAAAAGTTGAACTTGTTTGAAAAGTTCGCTGTGTTTGTTAATGTTTATAACACGTAGATGAATTGAGTTCAATTGCTTTATGGTGTATGAAAATATACTAATGAAAGCACGCAGCGAAAGTGTTATTCATAACCGCAAATTCGCGAAATAATTATTCAGCGCAGCATCCGAGCCTCTTGTGCCAAAGGCGTATCGGGGGGGGGGGGGGGGCAAAGGGGGCCATGCCCCCCCCCCCCAAAAAAAAAACAACCGAAACCAATTTTTTTTTTATGTGACATCGCAATAAAGGCAGGCAATGAGTACACCACCATCTGTTCCTCAAAAAACATTGGCTAAAGTGGTCCGAAATTGCCTCAGATCGCACCACAGAGCATCTAGAATCCAAACAATTTTCGGGGCCCTTAAGCGGGCCCCGAACCCCACGCCGTAATTTTTTGACCCACTTTTTTGGGGGACATAATTTTTTTTGGCCCCCCCCCCCCAAATTGTGTTCTGGATCCGCCCTTGTCTCGTGCATGTCATGTATTGCAAATGGCTGTCAATCCTGTGGCGTAAAATGCTTAGTGCATGTTTGTGATTATATATTCGTTATTATTTTAACCAGCCTTAATTAGGGCAAACGAGCTTATACATGACTTGTATAGGCCTACACAACGTAGTGGAATATTAAAGATTTTTCATTTGTGAAGGAGACCATAATGACGTATTATAGGGACGCGGAGAATTCTACAACCCCCAAACCCCCTCCTTTAATTGGCTTGAGTCCAGTTGCGGCTTTTCTAGGGAAAAGACTTTGATGCGGAACTTACTAAACTTTGATGCTGTAAAAATAACTAGGGGGAACATTCAGCGCCTCCTTTAAAAATGTATGTGCCCACCCCCTCATCGAGAAGTTTAACTGTTGTTAACTACATTCTGAAAACAACTTTAAGCAAGCAAACACGGACTTCCATAGCGTTGGAGAAGAGTCAACGCTAAACAAACACAAACACACTAGCTCTATGCATCAAGCTTTTCATACCTGTGGCCCAAAATAGTACCGTTTGAAAGAGAGATGGCCCCTTGAGTTTTTATGGCCGGACATTTTTGTCCGCCAAGCAACGGCCGCATTCTCTGGGTTGACGACCCCACAGCTCGTCTAGCGAGAAAACCTTGGAGTGCATCGGGCAACACAGTCGAGTTTGGCACGATTGAATGGAACTAAAGAACTTGTTGCCACAACTAGAGGTGAAAAGAGAGACGATTTAGAGCATCCCTAAAGACTCCAATGTTTTCTTAAGGGAGATTTTAGAATTAGTTCTGCTTGATCGACTGTAAAAATAAATTGCTGATATTTCTCCCGCGATTTGTCATTCCCATCACAAAAAGTCTGACCTTACCTATGTAATTTCGCATTGTTCTACATGTTTCATATTTGAAAACCGCCTTGTCCGTTATAGCTTCTGTTTCAACGAAGAAGACGCCACATGACCATTACGTGGTGTCATTTCAGGAAGACACTTAGGGGTTCTGTTAAAATTGCGAACCCATCATTTTTTTGTTCATGAAAACATTTGTAAGAAAACTTTGCTCATTGGCCCGCAGTATATGAAACAACAACAAATCACCGTAAAAGAACATTTACGACACAGCAAAATATCCGAAATTCTGGCAATTTTTTTTTCTGAAAGAGCTGAATCATTGAGGTTTCTGCCTGAAATGACAGATGTCACACTTTTGCTCATGGGTATGCAAATTCTCCTTAGCGTAAAATTAAAAAGGCACCAAAAAATGGCCTTCAAAATAGCTGAATGAAAATTGAAAATAAGGTAAAATAGGACACAAAGGTTAATTTGCAAGGACAAAATCAAATTATGACCCAATTAAACATCTTTTGAATAAAACAATATATTTCGACCCGATTGTCTTATCGAGCTCCTATCCTATAGCTGTCGCGGACGATAAGCAGCTTGCTGATGAGACCGCGACGCGAACAAAAGCGAAGATAACCAAATGTGCCTCAAAAGAGAAACAGTGTGAGCGAAATGGGAGAAAACCTCCAATGAGGCTTCTATATACCAGGGGCTGCATCCATGGACTTTGATTTTGTATCGAACGACTGTGGCACCGATTCTATTCAAGTATTCTTAGAAAGAATGTCTGTACAATGTAAATGCATTCTTGGTTGGGTTAATGATGGCCGTGCCTATTTATGGGTAAAGCATACGGTGCTTTGTCAGCCGGTGAAAACATCTACTAAGTTTATGTAGGCCATATTCACTTTTCACGCAAGTTTTCATTAGTTGCTGTATATGTGTTACCATTGAGACAAGAAAACAAAAGATACCAACAATAGCTGAGAATTGGTACAAAATTTAATACATTTGAAGTAAGACATGCGCCGGAGAGGGCCTCGTTTCCGGAATATCAGAGAAATTTCTAGGGGATGTGTTATGTAACAATATAGGGTCACTGCATGGGGAGGATATGCCCCTCCGTCTTCAATCGTGCACGTTAACAAACAAAAATGGCTTGGGCGTGTTGCCATAACAAGCTTGACTGAATTGGCTTAGTTACTGAATAGATCAAAATGGAACTATCGAACACGGGGATTTGGGTTAAAAAATCGAACTGTTCTTTAAGAGCTATTTAAAGGCACTAAGCCAAGACGTCAAAACTCTGCATGAGAGGTAAAAGATTAACCCTCATAATTACTGAGTGAAACCACAGGAGAGTACCGTAATTATAAGTCCATTCAAAACAGATTTAGCTGCTTGTTTACAAAAACGAAGTGACGTCTTTGACTGACCATCAGAGGTCCCCACAGACACGCTAAGTAATCCTCGGATGTTTTGCTCCTTTTCATAATCAACAATGATGTAACAAGGAATTATGCTTAGCGATCTGCTACCAAATAAATCGAAATACACTATCAACACATGCATGTCTATTATCGCACTTGACCATGTAAAGTGCTATCACCGCATGCCCATGTGTATGCACAAACATGAACTACACAAGTACAAGGTGACAATTCGTTAAAACTTTATGTTGTCCATAGTCATCCTGTGGACAGTTGTGCATTTACACTTTTGATTTGGGTGTCAACAAATATTTTGATTGATTTCTGCAATACTGTTTACAAACCAACATTCACATGTTATATCCTGATGACCAATAAATAAAAGAGGTCTAGTTGGGCATAATGACTGGTGTTAATGTTTAACAGTGCACTCTGCATGTGCATGCTTACCGATATATTTTCATAGTACATTGTATGTCTCAATTTTCAAATACAGTGAATGATTGAAAGAAATTAGACGGAGCTATCAGTTATAGTTATTGACTTATACATTTTACGTATTGAATTTTTGCCGTCCGCCTTTTTGCCCAGAAGAACTTACCGACATTTGGTGGATGAATTCAAAAGATTTTCACCCGGGAGTCGACCTTGCCGAAGTCAGCAGGTCGGAATTACATCTCCCCGACGAAAAGCAAAACTAACTCCATCCAAGAATGCCTCAACAAATGCAACTTTATAGTTGATTGATGTACATGTTTAATGTTAACGATACGATAAGTTTCTTTAGTTGATTTTCTAATAGCACTAGAAATGTTTCCCAGTCGCAAGTTTGTGTTTTAAACTTTTAATCCAACAACTTTGTTGTAAAATGCAGTATCCTGCTGCAATTTTTTTCAACCGTTAAAATGATTAATATATGTTTGCAAAATAATTTTGGACTTTTCAATTTTGCTGGAAAAATAATTCGAAAATTTTCGCGACGAGGATATACTTTTAATATAACCATCCATTTGGTGTCACTGGATGCAACATTCTTCCACTAAATCCTATTGGAATAACCCATAACAATTTGAAAGACTATGAGATGTTCTCCTCGGAAAGATCTCAGTTTATCTCGGTAACGATTCATTGTAGGTAGTAGCTCCGTCTTACGTTCTCCCATGCAGCCTCCCGCTCCCGAGCCGTTTCCAGTTTTCGGCGAGCTTCTCCACTGAGTCTGACGGGTTTACCGGTCCTGGGGACGGTAGGGTAAGCGCTGTCTTGAGGTGGTCCGACCACGGGGCGCAACTCTCCATTGTCCCGACCGAACGACTCATGGAGCACGCTGGTGCTTCCCCTTCGCTTGGAGAGGTAGTGCCGAGACGGTGCGGAGTCGGTGGGCTTCCCTGCAAGTCCGGAGTCTTGCTTGGCGGCGATGCTGCTGCTGTCTAGACCGGGAGCTTGAGTCATCTGCCCGTACCGGTCAATGTCCTCAACTACGGCAATAGACCTGCGTCTCCTTGCAAGACTCGCTTGTGAGGGTTTACGGGGTGATGGCGATATGATATCGCCGATAGTTTCAACGTCATCCGTTATCAGCTGAGATTTGGATGGTTGGTACTGTCTCGTACCCGTGCCCGTAGAACTTGTGCCAGTGTTTGATGTGGATTTATTTCTCAAGTTAATTTTGTTTGAGTTCCGTCCCTGGCCATGTGCAGCCGTTTCGTAAAACCATGGGGATGATGAAGAAGATGATAATAATCCAACTAGAAGGCTATCATTTGAACCACTGTACAAACTCCGTGTAGCGCACGATGAGTTTTCCGATCCCTCGGATACGCCCGAGTCTCCCTGCATGTCCTCGTCAGCCCTGGGGGAGTTCAGCTCTCGCACCGGGGTCATGATCTTGACGTTGAAATGCTTCCGCGGACTTCCTCCTCGTCCCCGTGTCACTAAAGCACTAGGTAGGGGTCTGCTGGCGTCTTTCGCGGCATCAGAATCAAACGCGGATTTCCCTTTTCGTTTATCTTCGTACTCGGCCAGCGGCTGGCTTTCAAGACTTTTATCATTCTTGTCTTCGTATTTGAAGACAAATACAGCATTTCTTAAATGACTGCCGTGGTTATTCTTGTCATTTGAAACTTTAGGAATATGGGATTCTTCAGCAGCAAATGTTATGTTCGCGTTCCGCTCGATAATGTCTTGTCTGTTGCCGTTGGCATCAATCTGACATCCCTCTGTAACTGGATTTGTCGTCGCGTTGATCACGGGAAAGCTCGTCGGTATGTTGGCGTCCACACTCCCGCGTCTCTTCGACTTCCCCTTGGGGTCACACTTTGGCCCCGCTCTCGTTGTCTGAGAGGTTGAAGCACCGGAGTTCAGGGAATTCCGTCGCGTTATACGTCGCCGGGGACGCGGACTGATTGACGAATTATCTCCGGCCCCATCAGCACCGATTGCTGCTGATGTTGGGACGTGTGATCCTCTGCTTGCCTGATCTCGAGAGCTGTTGTTCGGGTTCTTCAAGCTATAGCTCGAAGTGATCGCTCCTGGCCTTAAGCCCACGAGACTGCCGAACGATTTGGTAAGCATCCGTTCAGATGATCTTTCGAGTTCGATCTGTCTTTTTCTTCGGTCGGCGTCCAGGATCGCTTTCTGCTTCGACAGGTTTTGCTCGGCGCACTGAAGGGAAACTTTCACATCACGGCGGTTGTTGGCGGGACCCGTTCTTATCTTCGGGAAACTCATGGCGATCTATCGGTCATCATTTCGGTGCGTGTTTCATGACAATGACGACGTCCATCCAATTGTTGATGAGGATTTTTCATCCTGTCGCAATCAAGAGAAAATACCACGTACACATTCCCAGCATGGAGTCAATGTTCTCTCGTGACTGACGAGTTCCAATTGTGTTGGTCACGTTGCCCACTCCTCTCGACAAAATACCCAAGCGGGATTATTGGTGAACTCAAGGCAGTCACAAGCACAATGTGTCTTCATTACCAACAATGAACCCACTCGACTATGACAAGGGGTCTCCGGTTATTATTGTTGGCGAGTTTGTTGGCACATCTTTTCGAAATGTCTCACGTTCCTTTCATTGTTGGCTCTGTGCATCGTGTATGCTGTGCGTTTTAAAGGTGAAAACTTTGCCGCTGATCAACGACCATCGGAAGTAAGGCTGGTGGCTGGTGGCTGGGGCGGGGTGAGCTCTGTGAACAGGTGCTGATTGCTGAAGGCGTGGTGCCAAATGGCCACACCGTACTCTTTAATCCCCGGAATTTTAAAAAATATATTCCTTTCAGTGGGCTTGTGAGGGTATGCATTTACTGGTACAGTCTTTTTAAACGCTCATCGTCACTAAAGTTCAAAACCACTTGATGCCATTTTTTCCTGACCTTTTATGGGCGGGGTCGTAACATTAAACAGGGGGGGGGGGCCTTCGCGCGCGCAAAAATAAAAACAATCCAGATAATTTCACTTTTCTTTTTGGCATTTCGACAGCTCACACCTAAGTACTACGTCACGAGAATAAAAGAATTCTAGAATGTTGCCTCTTTTGATGTGAAAATGATGTTAACAGAAAATCTAGATGTAATGGGCAATATTGGTGTGTTTCCCCATCCGGAGTAGTGAACGGGGGTGGATAGAATGTTTACATGTCAGATCTTAATTTTCTTGTTCTCCTTTAGGGGCGTGTGCCTTTTTTTTGCACAAAAAGGGGTGCATCTTATGAACGAAAAAAAAACAAAAAAAACCCAAATCTAACCCCATTTTGTTTCAAAGACATTAACCAGTTTATGAAGAGCATTATTGTTTCTATGAAATTATAGCCATTAGCCAGTACGTCATTGTTTTTAAGCGGACCAAAATATCAAAAGTGGTAGGAAAAGAGTGATTTCACATAAAAGGCCACATCGTGTTTTCTATTCGAGGGGTCCAAAAGCGCGCCACCAGGGGTCAACTTTCAGTTTTCATTGTACATTCTTCATTTCGGCTAAAAAAAAATACCCGGAAAAAAACAACACATTTCTGGATTATAATGGCATCAATAATCCCTGAAACTTTCAAAGAATGTACCCGAAATTGCATCGGAGATGCTTTTTGACCATAAGCCAACTGGCCATGCTTTCCGCCATACCTCCTGGAGAATGTTTACTCGGTTCATTATCGTGTGACCACGCCCTCTTTGGCCAGTCAGTCCGCCTACGTACCGTGACTGATCATGGAGCTGTGTTTTATAGCTCCATGGACTGATGTAATGTTTTGAAATATCCAGGGTTGAGGGATGAGACCACGCCCTCTTTGGCCAGTCAGTCCGCCTACTGTCGGGTTTGCTTACAAAATATTCTGAACGTTTTTTATATGTGGCGTATCGTTGCTCAGATATCGACTGAGATTGTGCTAATTCACTTGAGACCGAAGATTAAATTAAACTTTGATTTAATTAACTTAACTTCCGGTTTTTCCTCATGCATAACACAACACGTGCATACCCCAGGGAAAAGACTGGCACCTTGACACCAGCATGCCTGTTGACCAAATAGCGGGTTTGGGAACAGACTGGAACAATCGAGGTCGAGGTCATTCTGCACAAAATTCACGTACGTACACGTAGACACGTTGCTCAAGATTCTCGGACGGAAAGCTTTCCAGGTGTTTCCTTTTTGGCTAACATTCTGACGTGAAATTATCCATAATGTCTGAAGCAAGTCCTGCAGGGGAAGGGTAATGATTTCGGAATAGTTTTGAGACTAATTTTATGCATAAATCTGCTTATTACCAATTAGTGTCACTGTCAGGCCTGCCTAGTGCCATTTGCACGCACTGCACCAATAACGTGAAAAATGTAATCACCTTAGAAAAGTTTGAGATTGTAAACTGAAAAATCGGTAATCCTTATCTTTAGGACGCCTCTATTTTTACGAGTTCTGTTCAAAACTGACTTTTGCAGATGACTGTCATGACTGTCCAGTACCAACATGACCAAAGTGACTTTTGCACTGGCTAGTAAAGCATTAGCCCCATAAATGTGACCAATTTACTGGACTACCTCCATAAATAAAGGCCACACTTCCACCATGTAAAAAAACATGACGAACTTTGTTAAATTTTGATTTTCACATTTAGGCTTAGTTTGTATTTTTTTTTTTTTTGCTTTTGATTAGAAGCATACTCACCCTCTTTATAGGCTAATCAGAAAGTGCTGCCTTTTTCAGATGTCTATTTTTCGTGAAATTTCCATATTCGTTTGCACATGTTTGCGTATCAAAATTTCAACATAGAATGTCACGAAAATTAGACATCTTGGCAATTAATTATGCCAAAAAGACTTGACCTCGACATTCTGACCTTTCAGCTGGTGCTTTCTATATCGGGCCTCGTCATGGATGTCTATAAATAAATCTAGACATGCTAGACATGATATTATCTATTACTCTTTTTGACGCTGTGAATTGGGCAAAAATGTCTGTGGTCACGCGCTCTGTAACGATATGTTATGCGATACCCCAAGCAATAATTAGAGCCCTATTGAAGTCTAGGCTGTTTCTTTTTTTAACAAGAGCAGGCACGGCTTTTAAGAAATGTCAGGTTGTTGATTACAAAAAAAATTATAATGTAGCATTTTTGTGTTCTTGCATTTAAAAGAGCACCTTCCAAGAAGGCACTGAAGAAACAGCAGAAGGAGGCGGAGAAAGCAGCCAAGAAAGCTGAGCGTCAGGCCCAACAGGTACACCCATGGAAATCAGTCAACTTCCTACATCCAAAATCTACCACCCAGTTTGCCCCCTTTTTTTATTGAGGATTTGGTACTGCAGTGCAGGGTCAAGGCAACATGGCATGGGTCTTTGATGTTCTTAAATTGCTTATTTCGGTCCTTCATGTAGGTTTTGTAGACTTTTGCAGGTTTTTCACAAGCTGAATGTAACCAGAGTTCCAGCGCCTGGAAAAAACCTGGAAAAGTGATGGAATTGTATTTTCCATTTCTAGGCCTGCAAAAAGCCATGGAAATGACAAAAAAACACATTGACTCAAAAATATTGTAAAGTATATAATTATTCTATGCATTCCAACAATGTGCATTTTTTAAATTACGCTTATAAAAGGAAGCAACATTTGTATAGCTGGAAAATAGACAAACTCTATTACTGGAGTAAGATTCAAAAACATTATGGGGAGAGCAACTGCAACATTGTTATCAGTTGAAAGCTCCAAGTAGTTTATGGTTAGCGGTTTCCCTGAGTTAAGCAGTTGGGTACGGATGGATCGATTGTAACATGCAACTGTTACGCTTTGTTCTTGCAGGCGGCTGATGCAGAGGCTTCGGAAGGGGAAGATTACGCCAAGGACCGGTATGGAGTGTCTCGTATGGTTCAGTCCCATGAAAAACCAGGTATACTATTATTGGCATTCGTGGTACCTTTGAGAATGACAACTTTCTATTGGTTCTGTGCATGAACAGAGAGGGCGGCATTTGAGAGTCTAGTGGACAGGACACGTACTGCTTTACGAGGGGAGAGCGCACAGTACGCACAACTCATTTTATTGTGAATGTGCACAGAGCCATAGCATCTTTGCGTGAACGTCAGGCATAGTGGTGTGTATTTACGGGTAGTCCGGAACTTGGTACCCTATTTAAAGCTATAGTCCATCATTTGTAATTTGTGCATTTTGTTCGTTTGAAGCAACTCAAGTGCTCAAAATCTAAAGTAGGGTTCTGAACAACTAACCTGATGAACTTTCTGCTCAGCTTCAGCTGTACATTTCAAGAAAAACAGCATTCTAGGATCTCGATTTCAAATCAAAAGTTGAATTGGGCCTGAATTCAGCGTCCGAGACACGTTCTTACTGAGCCGAATGCAGCTTACGCGGTGTCGCCCACTGATCCGACGAATTATAGATGGCGCGCGTGCGTGTGCGTAGTGTCAACGCTTGCGGGCGCTTCGCTGAATAAAAAAACGAACTACTAACGGAAATTTCCAACAGTGCGTCTTAAGAAGCACCGTTGGAAAAGCCTTCTTTCGTTGATTTCTTCAAAATGACAGCATGCCACAAAAGAATAATTTCACAGGGAGTTTAGTCCCCTTGCTATCTTTCAACCAAGTATGTTTTTCAACAATAATTACGTCAGTCACTTTTTGGATAGCTGCAAATGATGGACTGTAGCTTTAAGTAAAACATGGGTGCCCGTAAAAGACCGTGTTATGAAAATTGAAGGTGTCTGAAGGGCTTTATAGCTTTACGGTGTAAACTGCAGCCTTCGCAAGCATCTACTGTCGCGCATTAAAAATGCACATAAATGTGAAATCTGTGGGAAAAAAAATAAATGTGACATTGTTAGGATTCTGGAAACAATTGGAAAGGTTGACTGGAATCTGTGTTGTTTTGGTTCCTATAGATCGTAAGTTGGTGAAAGTGAGCACGTTGAACTCTGACGTGGCTGACCAGACAGTGTGGGTCCGTGCTAGGCTACATACCAGCAGGGGCAAAGGTAGGGTATTATGAACAACAATTCCTCCCCTCCCACCGAGTACATGAAAACATTCCTCAACCCATTTCAGTTCCTTGAGGAGTATACAACTTGATGGTTGAAAACAACTCCAGGTTTACTGGTACATGTAGGGCTACTTGAGAATAAGGAATAAATACGGGCACAAGGGTGGATTTCCCCTGTATCCCAAACGCACACCGGAGTGGTGGGTTGAGATACACGCTATAAATCTTAATCACGTTCAATGAAGAATCCTTTGGTCAAAGATGGGGTATGTATAAATCTTCAACCCCACCAGTCATTATGGCAACATTTTGGTTATTATAACTTATTTTTAGTAATGAAACCGAGTATTCTTCAAAAGCACCCTAGGCACTGTAGCTCACAAGCTTGAAGAAACCTGTAGAGAGAAGACAGTGAGAAGAACTTACAGTTTTAGAGGTGGGAGGAAAACCCCGGAAGAATGTTCTGGGGAAAACCCACTGAATCAGGTAGGGACTGATTTGTTAATTTCAGTGTTTTCAATGTTTTTGTGACAGGCAAGCAATGCTTTGTGGTCCTACGTCAACAGCAGTTTACCGTTCAAGGAATCCTAAACGTTAATGAGACCATCAGCAAAGCTATGATCAAATTCACTAGTGGGTGAGTCCAGAAAAAAAGGTTATTTCTCTTAATTTCGTAGAGCTGTTAACAAAAACCAGCAGATGTTGGCAACAGCATGTGCACGTATCTTATGCCACACTGCACGTTGCAGCTGCACTTGTGATACGCACATTGGCGCATTTATCTTAGTTGCGATTGGTCAAAACGCTAACCCTTGATTTGGACTGTTATCCGTGTACTACTCTCGTTGTGTTTGTTGTTTCAGAGTGGCCAAGGAATCTATAGTGGACGTTGAAGGCGTGGTTGCTGTTGTGCCACAAAAGATTGAAAGCTGTACACAGCAGGATGTAGAACTACGTCTACAAAGGGTAAATAGTCCAAATTTGACCTTTTTTTTTTTTTTAAACTAACCGCCCTGAATCCTTCAAAGTCCTCTTTGCCAAACTGGAGGAATTTGGAGAATTGAGGTTACATGGCAAATGTGCGTTACTGATTTTGTAGGATGCACTTTGGACGGACCAGGATCGACCTTGTGTTGTTTTTGCTCAGCCATGCATAAATATAGGCCTGGATTATACTTGAAATTCTCAGCACTGCTCCAGGATGTCACTGGCCAAGCCTCACCATTATTGACAGTCACTGCCGCAGGATTTTGCAGGATTCAGGCTGTGGTCACCCCTCCACGGACCATATTCAAGAAATGATGGAGGAATTTGCAGGATTGAGGCTACATCTTAGCAAAAAGGCCTAGGGAGTTAGGGTTATAGAAATCTTTTAAAGTTTTAATTAAAAGTGCTTTTAGTGCTAGTCTTTAATTCCTTTTTGGTTTGAATTTTCTCTCAAATTCACTTTTTCGGTATTTAAAATATTCATGCCAATTTCCCACATCTGAAGCTGCTGTTAACTGATGCTGTGATTGCACTCATTTTACAGTTTTACTGATTTGTTATTAAAGCTTAAATGAGAGTTGTCAAAAATGCAGAATTATCCCCAAAGACTCCCATGGATTTTAAAAGATTTTAGAATGTTAGGGTAAGTGACATTTCTATACTTTTGCTGTGGCAGTTCTATGTCATCAGCCAGTCGGTTCCCCGCCTCCCGCTCCAAATCGAGGACGCGTCCCGGCCCAAGGGGGAAGAGGAAGAAGGCAGCCAGGCCCCAACGGTCAACCAGGACACGAGGCTGGACAACCGCATCCTGGACCTCAGGGTGAGTGGTGGGTCAGTTCAGTTCAGTTGACCCTGTCTGAGTTGATATGTGGTGGTCTGTGGTTGATATGCAGACAGGGTTGTAAGCCTCAATAGTCTATTGCAAAACAAGAATATCATAAGTGGATCGCAAACAATCGTAAGTAAGTAAAGAGTTTATTTGAATAGCTTGTCTCTTGACTTGAAACTGGACTTGCGATTTGACTTATGATGACTTGTGATTGTTTGATTGCAACTCTCTTTATACATACAATTTATGACTTTACTTCGCATTAGACCATTCCAAGTTCACCATTTCAAAATCGTTTTTCTTTGATGTTACTCTTGTTTCATTTGATCTGCATTGATATTGTTTCTTTCCGTTGTTGATGCAGACCCAGACCAATCAAGCCATTTTCCGTGTGGAGGCGGCAGTTTGCCAGCTTTTCAGGGAAGCTCTCAGGAAACGAGACTTTGTCGAGATTCACACCCCGAAAATTATCTCGGGTGAGTGATTTTTTTCTGCGCAATCCCTGTTTGCCATCTTCAGGGCATTTTGACCTTTATAGGCCTTATACATTTGTTGATAGGCCCGATGTTGTGGTTTTATTCTGGTTTTGTAAAATGTACAAAAATGTGAGTTTAAAAAGTGAGTTGCTTTGTAATAGGGGACTTGTTTTTTTGCTGAGATGAACTAGTAGACCCATCTGCTAAGCCCTGCCACATTTTGTTTTGACCTGGGGTCAATCTCAAAGAGCTGCTTAAGCACAAAATTTGCTTAAGCACAAAAAAACCTTGCTTAATATAATCAGGTTTTCGACCAAAACTCCATGCGATGTACATTGCTTATGACTGGTATTTAGCTGTTGTTTACTTAGCATAACAATCACATGGAGTTTTAGTGGGTAACCTGATTATGTTAAGCAAATTTTTTTTTCTGCTTAAGCACATTTTGTGCTTAAGCGACTTAAGCCAAATGACTGCCCAACATGACAATGATACTCGGACACTGATACTCAGACTATGCCGAAATCTGTTGCCGCGTACATTGTAAACAATCCCCAAGAGTTAATGGTATCTCTGAATGGTTTGTTATCTCTGCAGCTGCTAGTGAGGGTGGCGCCAACGTCTTCACTGTCTCCTACTTCAAGACCAATGCTTACCTTGCCCAGTCGCCCCAGCTGTACAAGCAGATGGCTATAGCCGCTGACTTCAACAGGGTCTTCACTGTCGGAGCAGGTATGTATCATAACAAATTTGGAGGTCCGTCTTTTAGCTTGAGCAGATCTTAGAGATGTACTATGCGTCCTCTTCAACCAATTTCATTTCTTTTCCTTGGAATTCTCAACTTGTATGTTTTATTTTAACAAAAACAAATAATTTTGGTCTTTTTTTCAGCATCTGCAGACTTTTTCGAAAAAGTTTTTTTTCATAAACAGATTCACTCTGCAAGTAGGTCGGTTCCCAGTCTTTATTTTTTTTTTTATTCTGGTACAGATGGAAAACATTCTACCCTGTGAAAACTGAATAATTGTGGGGCTGCAAATTATTCAAAAGTTGTGTAGTAATGTTTCCATCACTAAATTTGGGCCATTTTTATTAAAATTTGATGTGTCAGTCTAAAGCAGTTCAACTCAAAACCAAATTGTTATGATGAAACATGAAACGAACATGGAAAGTACGTCCATATTTAAAAGAGCTAGGTTTGTGACCTCAAAATGAGGATAGTGTGGCCATATTTTTTCACATCCAAGCTTACTGCATGTGTAAAGTTTAAGTCCAATCAAGCAAAGAAGTTTTTTTTCTCCTTGTTACAGTCTTTAGGGCGGAAGATTCCAACACCCATCGTCATTTGTGTGAGTTTGTGGGGCTGGATCTGGAGATGGCCTTTGACTATCACTACCATGAGGTAGGTCTCTTGCAAAGTCATCCTTGACCCTGGAAATTAAAAAAAATCTGTCATGAGCAAATATGGCCCTTCAGGCCAGCATTTATCTCCAGGTTCATGAAAAAAAACTGAGAATATTTCTATTCCCCCCTGGATGGAATGCCAGTCCAGGTAACTCCCCAGCTACTGCCGGTAGGTCTACCCATCTACTCCTGGGTGGAAACAGGCAAGTGGAGGTGAAGTGGCTTGCCCAAGGACACAACATAATGGCCAGTAGAAGTTCCCTGACTCTCTGATCATGAGTCATGACTCCTCACCACCAGGCGACACATGACCCTTAAATCCCATACCAAATTTTCTTCTGGAAGCAATTCTTTTCTCAATTCTGTCAATTTCTGGATTATCACCCCGGCGCAAAAATTCCATCTTATAATAGTTTATGCGGTACCCGCTGCTATGTACAACAGATTCGAACCGGCCAACCGATCCCGTTAGCTCGGTGGTCGAGTGGTAAGACATCTGCACTAGAAAGCAGGAGGTCGTGGGTTCGAGTCCCACCCGAGTGATTTTTTCCAACTTTCACTCGGGAGGTAACACACTGAGTATACAGTGTTTAAAAAACGTCGGTGAAGGGCAAAACTTAATTTGAATTATTTCTGGATTAGTTCTAGTTTGTTGATCAAGTCCCCGAACTCCAAACCTTAAAAACTTCCACTCAAAAAAAAGTCTTTCAAAAGTGTGTGGAATTAGCACATGTGCACTGCCAGCTAGAAATGTAACATGTAAGGGCTCACACCAAGACTTTCAGGAAAATTTGTTTGCCCAAAAAATATTTGCCCCCAAAAAGAAAAATCAACTTTAAAAAAAAGAAAAAAAGTATTAACCAAAGAGGGCTTCTTGGAAGGTTCCAAAAAAAAAATAATACTAATAATAATGCATGCTTGCAGGTTTGAAGCAGTGTTTCTATACTCACAGTGAAATGTTCTTTTTGTGGTATTAGGTAACTGATGTGATTGGTGGAATGTTCAATGACATCTTCCGGGGTCTCCGCGACCGCTTTCCCACGGAGATCGCCATGGTCAATAAGCAGTTCCCGGCTGAGCCGTTCAAGTTTCTGGATCCTCCGCTCCGCCTGGAGTTTCCGGAAGGTGTCAAGATGCTGAAGGATGCGGGAGTGGAGATGGGTGACGAGGATGACCTCAGGTAAAGATGTGAACAAATAAAGTAAAGCGTTGTTGAAGGAAGTCGTTCATTTACAAGGCTGAAAGGCACTGAAGGTAACAGGTTGCCTCTGAGTGGTGTGGTAGATGTAAGTGTGATACATGACCTAACCTGATACCATCCACAAGGAACTCATTACCAAGTTGTGTTTGCTTGGTAACATGATCTTTTTGTGCAAGTTTTGCAGTGACACGTGAAATTTTTGTATGAGGTTAGAGGAATTTCTGTTAACACAACACTTCAAGTTATTACTGCTGCTGTGTGTGAGCGAGCATCAACTGACCATTTTTGAAATGGGGGAGGGGGGGTTGTGTCAACAAAATTGCCGACAGACTCATTCTGTGCTGGAAGGTAGCTAAGAATGTTTTCCTGGTCCGGGAAACAAAAAATGGGGGGGGGGGGGGGGGGGGGGTGGACACCATCCTCCTCTAGGGAAGAGACGGAACATGATCCGACATAACATGTACATGTAGGTGGCGCTATTTGCGCTGCATATGTGTGACAGACAAAGGATTTTGCCGATAGTGTAGTGGTGTGCATTTACGTTATTACGGGAATCAGATACTCTATTGAAGTAAAACACGGATACCCGGGTACTGGTAAAGAGAAATCCAACCCCAAAATTCAAATCCTGGAAGGTGTCTAAGGGCTTTATAGCTTAGTGGTGTAAACTGCAACTATCACGAGTGTCATCTGTAAAGTGCACATGAACATGAAATCTGTTTTGGTTTTCCATGTAGCCTGGTTTCATTTGAAAAATCCCTACAAATGGCATTCAAAATCTTTCTTTTTCATTGTTTTAGAAGTTACTAAGTAATTTGTAAAGTTGGGTACAGGTACCCAATCCCATAATCATACTTGTTATTGTGTCAGAACCGTTGCAGCATCCTTCCTTTTTCCTCTTTTTGTAAACCTGTACCACTTTTTAATGTGTTGCTTTCTCTTATTGAGAAATAGATTAAGACATTTGTTGGATGATTCCTTTAAGTTGTCGTCTGTTTGATTTTCCAGCACTCCCAACGAAAAGTTACTTGGACGTTTGGTGAAGGCAAAGTACGACACTGACTTCTACATTCTGGATAAATACCCGCTGGCCGTGCGGCCTTTTTACACCATGCCGGATCCGAATAACCCTGTGAGTATGTGCAGTCATGTGCAGTGTGCATAGAAAAAAAATGGAAAACTATTATTAATAATAGGTGATTCTGTTAAAATTCTAACTTCAAAATTGAGAGTGTCGCTGCATCTGTAAGAGTGGTTTATTAAGCATTGCAGTGATACAATTACTGCGCTCATGTTTTGCAGCGGGTCGGGTGGACCAGGCCAAACCGACCCAAACATTATAGATTTAAACCGAATCCGAACCAAAACCGATCTGAAATCCCCTTATCCGACCCGACCCAAGCAAAAATCCGAACCGACCCGAAACTGCACCAAACCGAAAAAAAACCCTGAATGTCTTGCTTGGGCGACTGTGTTCGCTTGTTGTACCTGAACTTAACTGCGTTGCGTGAAAATCGTCGTCTCTCAGTAAAGAATACTACCGTACGGTACGGTGAAGATGAACAACGTTACCTACTAGTTGGCCTGCACATTATAGACTGTGCGTGATAGACCGCAAACCACATGCACAGTGGGTTGACGTTGGTCATACTGGGCATAGTAACTTTGCAATAATATTGCCCTGCGTGAATTTCAGAATTTTTAAAAAAAATTTGGTTTATTTTGTTTTTTTTCAATTTTAACAAGATGGCTTAACCGAACTGACTCCTGGAAAAACCAGTTGGATGAGTTGGACTCACGGTCCTAATGTTGCATCGTTTTTTTCACAAGATGGCTTTACCGAACTGACCCGACCCGAAAATCGCAAACGCAAAATCGAAACCGACCCGACCCAATTGAAATGATGGAAAAACCGACCCGACCCGAAACTCTCTTCGTTTTGGGTCAGGTTTGCACAACATTACACACCTCTGATTTAAGAATGCAAGGTAAAAGAGATTTATTGCTTTCATTAAATTAAATAGCATACCAAATTCTGTGGGTCAGTTATCTGTAAATAATTGATTTGGTAATAAAAAGGTTATCAGAGCTGAATTGGATGTGATTTTAGGCCAATTTTTTTAGTGGGATTCGTGTTTCACTTGTTCGTACCACAAAAGATTCTCTCTTAATTTGGTTTTTGGCATGTTTTTATGCGGACTTTTTGCAGAAATACTCCAACTCGTACGACATGTTCATGAGGGGAGAGGAAATCCTGTCGGGAGCCCAGCGAATCCACGACCCGGAATTCCTGTCGGAGAGAGCAAAGCACCATGGGATAGGTAAGGACTATGCACACAAAGTAATATGGGTAGAAGTAGGTCCTTGCTTGTCGTTGTAGTCATGACTTCTTTGAATACCTGTTTTTGTGCATGTGGCATTTTTACTGGTCACAGCAGGCCTATTTCTGCCCCTTGCAACATTAATGTAACTTAAAAATTAATGATGTTTTGCTTACAGAAACATGTCAAAATGGTTAAGTACATTGTATTAATGCAACATATTGAGAAAAAAAAAATCAAAATGGAAAAAAATTGTTATTTTTGACATATGTGGCTCTTCGTGAAAACGGTGACGAATTGTGAACAAAATGAACGAAAGGTGTGGGAGACACTGTCTTGTCTTCCTGGAAAACAAGGCATCAAAACCCAAGGTTATGACGTCTGTGTGTAGAATTGATTGCCCCTCAGGTGCTGCGTCTATCTCAACAAAATTAGGTTTTTGATTGAATTTTTGTTCTATTCCGCGTTTCAAGCATTTTCTTTGGATGAGTTGTCAGTTGATTGCCAGTTTATCAGCTTCGGAGCCAGTTGAGTCCCTGGACAAAATGTGATGAGAGAGAAGATTGAGACTCAATTAATTATACTCCAAGAACAAAGATAATCATGTGCCCTGAGGCAAACAAAGTGACAGTGGACTCAGGAAGGACACAGAGTGAATTAACTATCTGTCTAATGGTAGGACAAAAAATCTAACATTATTTAAAACACAGATTTGCTGTCAGGATTTCCCTAGTTCTGCTGGCGTCATTGCAAGACTTCATTACATCGTCAACCCTCACTAAGGCCATTTTTCGCAATGATGAGGTGCTGTTTAACCATCATGAGTGGTCAATGTATGAAAGGCTGTGTCGGGACACTCTTCAAACAAATTACATTTTGGAATACTCTATTTTCCTAGGTGTATTTGAAGGCAAATTAGGGAACAACTATTGCAACCTGACGCCACTTCAGCGGTTGTGTACAAAGTTTAAGGAGACTCAAGACATTTTTCTAAGTATTTCCTAACAAAATTGGAAATGTTTGTCAGTTCCAGATTCATGTCTTATCATTTTTGCAATGATTGACCTTCATTGAGATGAAATATGAAGAAAAAAAGTGGCGTCAGGTTGCAGCATTTTTTCCCAAATTAGTATTTTATACAATTCCTTTAAAGGAATTCTCAGAATCTCAGGGAATCATATTAGCCTATCTGAGATTTGGCAGACACAATAGCAGGGCGCTGTTTGGTTTGGGTAAATACTAAAGACTTTACCCAAATCAGATAGCACCTTCCTATTGTGTCTGCCATACGGAAAGGCTAATTGGATTCAGATTCTCCTAGTACAGGGACCTGAGCTAGTGGTGTGCACTTACATGTAGTACGGAAACCGGCTACCGTATTGAAGTAAAACAAGGGCACCTAGGTGCCCATATAAAAGCAACCCAAAAAATTCAAATCCCGGAAGTTGTCTAAAGAGTTTTATAGCTTTACAGTGTAAACTGCAACTCGTCGTGTGCCCGGCAGAAGGGCATATGTGCATATGCCCTTATGCAATAGCGCGTAATGACCAAAATGTTCCCAGCAAAAGGGCATATGCAGAAAACTGCCTCCATTTGAATGAAATTTAAACATTTTCGTCAGAAATTAATACGAGTTGATCCAAAACTTATGATTCATACGTGTGACAAATTTCAAATTCGTACGATTTATATTACGTGTGGGAGAACATTGGATACATAATGCGCACGAGGGAACAATGGAACCTTTCAATGCAATTTTCTTGAAAATGATTTTTGCATCAGAACGCTCATATGCCCTTCTGCCGGGCACCCGATGAACTTTTGTGAGCGTCATGTGTCGCGGGTTAAAATGCACATAAACGTGAACTCTGTTTTGGTTTTCCATGGATCCTGTTTTTCATTTTCGCATTTCCCCACGAAGGACATTCAAAACCTTTCTTTTTCATCGTCTGAGAAGTTACTAAGTAGTTTTTAAAGTTGGTTGCAGGTACCCGATTCCATAGTGTGGCACAGGTTCCTGACATGAGCGGTCGGTACCCGGGTACCGGTACCTGGTTCCGATGCAAACCCCTAACCTGAGCTCAAGCAACTGAAGCCTGAAACGAAGCTTGAGAAGCAACCTGATGTTTGAGACGCGGCACTAAAATGAGGACATAGAGAAATTATGGAAAAAAATTTGCAACCTAACGCTAGTTCAGCGGTTGTGTACAAAGTCTAAGGAGAGTCAAAAAAAAATTTCTAAGTATTTCCTAACAAAATAGGAAATGTTTCTCAGTCCCAGATTCATGTCTTATCATCATTTTTGCAATGACTGGCCTTCATTGAAGTAATATATGAAGAAAAAAGTGGCGTCAGGCTGCAGCATTTTTTTCCCGAAATTATTACTGCTGGCTGTCATGCTCAAGAACACAAGGACCGTGATTCCCGGGTGGAATGGACCAATTAAAGGCATTTGCCTGTAAGCTCCACCCACCTTAGGTTTGCATGCATTTCTCACAGTGCTTCTGACCAAGTTGGACGGAGCTATTGTGGTCACATGATCAAAAGCCGTGATCTAATTGGACAGGGCACACTGAGGAAGAGTCTATTCCTGGTTGCAATAGTAAGACAACTTTAACCACAAGACGATAATACCCTACTTGTTTTTTATGCCCCGCGGCGAAGCCGAAGGGGCATACTGTTTCCGCCTTGTCCTTCCGTGGGTGGGTGGGTGGGTGTGTGGGTGTGTATGTGTCCGGACAAATCTTGTCAGCGCGATAACTTGAGAAATACTTAACATATGAACTTCAAATTTGGTTTGTGGATTGTTCTTGGTAATCCTAAGAAGCCTTTCGCATTTGGGGCCAAAAGGCCAAAGGTCAAGTTCACAGTGGCTAAAACAATAGAAATCTTGTCAGCGCGATAACTTGAGAAATATTTTACATGTGAACTTCAAATTTGGTTTGTGGATTGTTTTTGGCAATCCTAAGAAGCCTTTCGCATTTGGGGCCAAAAGGCCAAAGGTCAAGTTCACAGTGGCTAAAACAATAGAAATCTTGTCAGCGCGATAACTTGAGAAATACTTTACATGTGAACTTCAAATTTGGTTTGTGGATTGTTTTTGGCAATCCTAAGAAGCCTTTTGCATTTGGGGCCAAAAGGCCAAAGGTCAAGTTCACAGTGGCTAAAACAATAGAAATCTTGTCAGCGCAATAACTTGAGAAATACTTTACATGTGAACTTCAAATTTGGTTTGTGGATTGTTCTTGGCAATCCTAAGAAGCCTATTGCATTTGGGGTCGAAAGGTCAAGTGTCAAGTTCACAGTGGCTAAAACAATAGAAACCTTGTCAGCGCGATAACTTGAGAAATACTTAACATATGAACTTCAAATTTGGTTTGTGGATTGTTCTTGGTAATCCTAAGAAGCCTATTGAATTTGGGGCAAAAAGGTCAAGGGTCAAGTTCACAGTGGCTAAAACAATAGAAATCTTGTATTTATTCTGAGATTATAGGGATTAGGGATTAATTCATATAAAACCTACAGAAGACACTAATGCTGTCAATGAATGTTCCATGTGACCAAGGTACATGTAAGTTGATGTTAAAAGAGTGGTGTTATGTCATGGGAACAGTCACGGTTGCGGGGCATTTGTGTTTGTAAACACACCTGACTTGTTTTTGTTTTGTTCTGCAGACCTGGAGACAATCAAGTCCTACATTGACTCGTTCCGTTTTGGAGCGCCCCCACATGGCGGTGGTGGTATTGGCATGGAACGTGTGGTCATGTTGTACCTGGGACTGGACAATATACGCAAAACCTCCATGTTCCCTCGCGACCCCAAAAGGCTTACCCCATAAATCTCTTCAAATATCTGTATTTCTGACTCATTGAGGTAAATCTATATCTCACAATAGCGTCACACGGTATAATAGGCCTTATATCCTTATTTTTTGGTTTGGTTTTCTTTATAAATGTTTCAGAATGCCTTTTTTTTGCCTGCAAATATTTTGAAGTTGATCAGCTCCTACCTTGAAGGAGGAAAAGTAAGAAATGAGGGTCAAGGTACTAGACTGATGTCAATAAGTCTGTTACTTTTCCAACTTTGGCATGGCTAAGGGTAACCGACCAGTGTACTTCATAAAAAATGTGGTTGAGAATTGAATAACATCTATGCAGTGTGCTTGATATTGTTGACATGTTTATTTTGAGAAGATAGGTAGTATAGACCAATTCGGGCACCGTCATTTCTATCACTGAGGCCCCCATCAATGGCTATTAGCTATTGTTTGGGTAACTGTCACAGAACAGTTGCTCTGTACAATAGCTAGCAAAATGATTTCGCCATTGGAGGGGGCCTTCCGTGAGTGAACGGTGATCATGTGACCAGATTCCTCTATAGGGCACGCTCTCTTTCTCTTCTTTCTTTTTTTGGTCAAACTCATACAAGAATATTTTGGTTTAGATGAAGAAAAATAAAAGTGCCTTTCAGTGTTTATGGAATGGAATGGGAAATATGGGAAAAAGAAATTCCATATTGTACATGGAATGATAATACAACAAAACAGTCTGTTGCAAGACTTTTTTGGAAGAAGAATAGGAAGAACTCTCTAGATGAAGAACAACTTAGAAAAAGAAAAATTGGGATAAATCAGGAAAAATGAATGATTGTTACATGATCGTTATCCAACTCAACAGAAATGAATCGGAAGTCACCATCAGAACTACTTTGAGTAAAGTGGCCACAGACAAATCTTGCGTTGTTATGAACTGAACCTTTGGATTCCCATGTCATTGTTTCAGAGTTTTTAAGAGATTGAGCAAACTAAAAATCCAAAAGAACGGCTGAGTTAAGCTGTAAATGCATTTTGAAACTCTCATTTTATAAGCGATGAAGTGCCTCTAAGACTTGCTTCGCTGAATTCCCTGTTGTTAACGTGCGCTTGGTAATAACAACTTTGGCTGTTGACTTTTAGTTGTATTAAGCTTTTCAGCGGGCCACATAGTAGGACTTAATTAAAAGATCATGCTTAAAATTGTAAATCCTGGTAGTGTTTTCAAGCCACACTGTATTATGTTGGTTAATGTATACAAGGTATGGTTATTACCCTCAAATAAACCAGCATGGGGACGGATAGCTCAGTTGGTGGATCACCGTTACGGTGTTCTGGAAGTTGGTGGTTCAAATCCATTTCCTGTCGGCTTTATTTTTGTTTAGATTACATTTGCCTCTACATACAACATATATATAAGATGTTTTAGTTTTATGGACCAATTTTGACTATATTCTTTTTTTTTCTTCCGGTGGTAGGTCTCACTCATCCTTGAATTTTGTTGTGTCACGTGCTCTCATTAAAATATGTTCAAGTTCAAACTCTGCCAATGTTACAGTGTTAGTGATTTAATGTACAGGGTGGTCCAACAACAGGTTAACACTTTTTCAGACGCCCATTTCTCAACATAGGGAGACATGTTGAAATGTTTTAAGACATTTCTAAACTACAAGATCTTGGTAGTATATGCTGAAAATGGCGTTGAAAATAAAGCCTAATTAGCCTTTGAATGAGATATCGAACAAAATAAATCCACCTTGTTCGGTTATTGAATACATGTAAATAATTTACTAAGTTCAAATTACTTTTGACCAGACAATTATGCAGGCTTATCACTCTGTGTGTTATGGGTGCAAAAACTACCCTAAAAAGCTTCCTTTTGAGGGGTTAAAAACGATCAAAAAAGAAAGAAGAAATTCTTCCGTTTAAATAAAACAAAAATGGAAAATTCGTTGTAGAAGAAAAATGAATAGAGTATGTTGAAGAAGACAGGGTAGACAACTCTGAGGGAGATTCTGACATTAGCTGTTGCCATGATATGACAGATTGTATTAAAGTACATGCATGCATGTCAATTACCTGAAACCATGGCCGGTGTTAGCAACATTTAGCGTGATGTTGAATATCGAAATTTAATGGCCCAATATTTTGATGCTACGGCCAACTTTTATTTTCTTTCCCAACGATTTCCTTAACTTTTCATTTTTTTTTTTTTTTTAAATTGATTTATTATACACGTATTTTCAATTTCAATTCTTATAAATCTAAGCCCCGTCTAGACAACTTAGGCCCTTTGCCTCTTTCGAGTATGATTTTCGCCGCAGGGATCCCGCAATCTTTCTTTCCAATTGACCGCCAAAATAATGAACCCAGGTAGCTCTACTAGCCTCCACAAATATAATACACACACAAAGCTTACCAATTTGACCTCAATGCGTCCTTTGTCCCTGTGATAAGATTGTATTTTCTGCAAGGCTCGTCTTCAATTTCTGTGCTGATTTGGTTCGGGAATTGGATCACGCGGGCGGCCGCAATGAAATTACCCGCGAGTCTGCCGAGTAGGTACAGGCCGAAGGTGCTCGGCAGCAAACGGCCGCATCGGGCAATTTACTCTAAAATAGGGAACGGGAGGGGGGGGGGGCACCCACCGCTCGAGACTTGTCCCCCTCCCCTCCCCCCCCCGCAGCGGCTCCTACTCAGACTTTTAGAAGGTAGTAATGAGCTTTTTATTGTTAACACACTACTGCCCCTACAGAAAATGAGTCCCCTCCGGTTAAGTGACCCACCCCCCGTCAATTTGGACCTCTAACTTACTTTCCTCTGTTTTGTCGCGTCAAGCAGCACTAATTGGAGATGAAGCTCAGCTCTTCACGCTTACAAAGCATACTGTTCTAAAACAATTTGAAAGAGTGTGAAAAAACTCAATTTAAGAGCCATACAGCGGGCAACTCTTTTCGAGTGGTTTTCAGTCTTTTAGAGTGACGTCTGCATCTGTTTGAGTGGTTTTTCACTGTGGCCCATAGTGAAAAAAAACACGCTCTAAAAGAGTGACATGAGTTCAAAACTGTGGGGGACAACTGAGAGTACTTTTTCACTCATACTTTTCGAGAGTACATTTTATGTATATTGCACGTGTCACCAAATATGTTATTACCATGATAATGCTATAGTCTACGAGACCTAAAGGCAAGAGTCTCAAAAAAGCTGTGATATTATTCAACCCCCCCCCCCCCACATTCTTGCTCTATGTTCTGTCTTGGGACACGGCTTTCAATAAAATAACGCGATTTTGCAATCATGTCTTACCGCTACATGATTGTGAACGTATACATGTACATGTACATCCAACGGCAAGGCCCCATGTCCACCTTGAAAATTGCATTTGTAATTAATTCGCAGAGGACCTGACTATAAGATGTACATTAATATGTACACAGTGAGGATCCGGTGCACATAGTAGGCATAAAAGCATGGAAAGCCTCGAGCTCAAAGATACAAAGTTAAAAGCATGAATTCAATTCGAGTGATGCTCTCGACTCACCGAAGTTTCCTTGATGCAACAGGCGCTGCTAAGCTCCAGGTAAGGCGCATCAACACGAGTCCTTAAAAACGCGAAACAAGTTGATAGGACAACTATGTTACAAGCTATATAGACCTACTTCACGTCAAATTGTTATTTGTGTTTTGTGTTGAGACATTCACTTGCTACTCAATATAATTATTAAGTTTGAGTTAATGATGCCCCTTTTCACAGCCATGTTTATGGCGGCCATTGTGAATTTCAAAACGTGGTTTCGGAGTCCAAAGGCCGAAATTGCAAATTACCCGCCAACAAAATTAAGGAAACGATTTCAAAGTGTTCTACCAACCCACTCAACTAATTTCAACAAAGACATATCCTTTTATTACTTCTCAGTGATTTTGGACAGTAAACCTGTTTTTATGATTTTTGTATGACTGGTCTTGTTTCTGATAAACATCGTGATTTAACAAGCAACTTTTCCCAAGCCTTATACGTATATCTCGTACGTTTGGATCTAATGGTCCCCAATGGTTTCTGATGTGATGGATGCGCATGGGTTAATATGCTGTTCATCAAATTACAGGAAATGTTTCAACATGGTTGCCCTGGAAACCCATGTCCTGAAATTTGGAACAATTAGTGGTAGTAGACTTCCTACAATGCCGCTTTCCTAAATGTCAACGTGCCGTGGCGAATCAGGGCGGAGGCCTCTTTGGCGCTAAAATAGGTCGGCATTAAAAGCAAACGTAGTTTTAATTTTCCTAAAATGAAAGCGAATAAAGCGAAGGACAAAAAATGTATTATATGCTTGTTACAAAATACGACCTTGATTAAATAATTCAAATTTACATAACTTAAGTTGATTAATCATTTATCCATATAGAATTCCAAAATTATGCAACTTATACAGTCAGACTTATGCCATGCACAATTAAAAATAAATGATGAAACAGTTCATCATAGTCACAAAGCATTTTCTCTTCTTTTTTCTGGACACTGATTCTCCGCGACGTTTCGCGGAGAATTGAAAATTTAAAAAAAATGTCAACCCCGTGATCCCGAGGGATGTTTATTAATGTGACATCATGATGACGTCATCAGGTATCAACTAACAATTGATTTGAGTTTAAAAAGAATGACTATCGTCATTCATTTATAATGCGTGAACAAAATGGACAATGTTTATACTTCGTGATCTGACAGACTTGACCTCTCCTTCCGGGGCTTTACCGGAAGGTCAAAGTTAGGTGACTTCGAAATTAAACCTATCGCGGTAGAATCGCGTTAACGCAGCTTGTGAAATATTGCCCAATTACATGACATACAAATGGACGCGGAACGCGCAAAATCTGAGACAAACAAACCTAAACATACAGTATCCCATAGGGTTGTCTAAGGGGCGTGGCTAACTCGCAAACAGCGATAGTTCAATACAAAGAAATGCCTCGAAATCAAAAGAGTGATCTCTGTATACTAGAGTGATAGTTGCTGACTGTTTGTGGCCCACGATTATTCTAAAATGAGCTTGTTTACAATGATAATTGAACTTTTAATATATCTTATGATTATGTCCATTTGAGAAGAAAAATGAAGTGATAAAATAGTGGGAAGGCCTGTATGAATATAAATGTCCTAAGATGATCTTATTATTAAGAAATGTGGTTTTCAGCCAACCATGGTTTGTTTTCCACTTGTGGGACCATTTGTGATGTTCCATTACTGATTTATTTTTCAAATACGTGCATCTAATTCGTTGGTTTCGGCGTTCAGATATAAATGACCCACTTGCTTCAATCTAATTGCTGAATTCTATCTTCGGTTGAGGTAATCAAATCTACAATTATTGTTAACTGTGGCTGTTCATTCAAAGTTGTCGTTAATAATAAATTGATTGGAGTGGTGCAAATTCAATTGGAGTGGTTTGTCATATCACTGATGAGCTGTGTCAGAAACTGCTGCATGATATCATAAAGTTTACCTCAATTATTTTTTGCTTTATTTACAGGTGCCTAGTATAGGAGGGAGTTTTGGAATACAGAGTGGCTGATAAACAAAGGGGCAGCATTTCAGAGATATAAGAAGCCCAACCAATGTCTACGGTGAAAACACAACACAGTCCATAAGTTCGCTCACACTGCATAACAGGTCATTTAAACTCTGCCAGCTTAGTGTTTCTGGTCAGACGGCAATTCAACTTTTTGAACAAATCTTTGCGTCAACTGGGGCTCAAGAACTAAAGCAAACCCAAACCATTATAAAAAGATGTTGGGCAAATTGTACATTTTGTTGATGGCAATATCCTGTTCGAAAGCGATTACTATAGAAGTAGGCGTGTTTCTTACTCACGCTGTGTTACTGTTTTCGCGCACCCGCATCATGCCGGCCCTCGATATCGCTCGTGACAACGTCTTCAGACGCGTGGAGAACGGTCAGTACGCTAACTTCACCCTGAAATGGGCCTACTCGCCAACGGAATGCAACAACCATAGTGTGCCAGTAGCCGCAGTTGGCCTGGCTTCCCGGCTGTATTTGGAGGAGGGCGTGGCGGCTTTCTTGGGACCACCTTGCAGCATGCAGGCGCGAGCTGTAGGCGACGTGGCCGCTTCGTTTAATCTCCCCATGATGTCCGGCAGTGCAAGCGCCCATCAACTGGACAACAAACTCCGGTATCCGACCCTTACCCAAACCGCCTTCAAATCCAGCACCATGGTTGACTGCTTCAAGCAACTGGCCTCCCTCTTCGGCTGGAAGCGAGCGGTTGTTGTGAAAGTGAGCTACGGATACTTTGTTTTCCCAAGTGGTGCTCTTGAAGTTGGTCTGCGTGAAGCTGACTTCAAACTTCACGTTATCTACTTGGATCAGTTTGGTGATATTCAGAAAGTCCTGAAAGAAGCCAAACTCAACGGCCGAAGTAAGTAAACTTATTTTCTCTATCAGATATGGTAGCTTTCTTTCTTTAAAGTGCAACATACACAATGCCGATTCTCCATCAATTATTGGTACAGGCGGTTTGAGTCTCAAGGTATAGTGGAAGTATGCAGATCCGTTTTTTGGACCACGCTGTATATACAATGTATGTGTGTCATTGTGTGTGATTGTAGAAAACAGTGGGATTTCGCGTTTTCCCGGGATAGATAGGGAACGAGCATCTTCACTGAAACAAGGTTTTATTTTGTCCAAACCTGTAAAATAGTTGTACATGCTCGCTGTGGGAGTGACGCGCCAAACAACAAGTTGGGCGTGACGAGATACCCGCGGACTGAAGTACGAACGTAAAACAATGAGTTGACATCTACGCGACTAGATTATTATCAGAACATTCAGAAAAGCTATGTGTATAAATCTCTCGTTGAAGTAACGCGCCCCATTGATGGCATTGCGCGCCAAATTGAATTGAGTGACACGCCCCTTTGGTATGAGTGACACACAGGAGTGATACGCCCTGTTGTTTAAGTGACACACCTACTGGTTGAAATGACACTCCCTTTTGTTAAAATGACATGCCCCATTGGTTGAAGTGACTGTAACTTATGTCCACGTTGACGTAGTAAGAATTTAAACC